CTGTAAATATATTTTGGGGCACAAGTAACGCACTGGTACCATGACAAACAAACAAGTGATTTTTATGTAAATTCCAATGTTCAAGGGTTTGGTTGGCATGGCTTTGCAAAGCGTTATTCTAAGAGATGCTATCGAAAAAAAACTGTATTCCCAAATTTGTCATCATTTGAAAAAGAAACTCTGATCAAAACAAAACAAGTCCTTTTAAGTACCTTCACTTTGTATTGGCCGCCAAGTGCTAAAAACCAGTTCTGGTCAAGTTCTTAAGCTTATCATAAAAATGCTCTGTCGGGCAGAAACAAAAAACCTTCTCGAGTAGTTGCTTACAAGCTTTTTCACACGTACACTCAAACAGATTTTCTTTGGACTGGAGGGGATTAGGATCCACTTTCAATGGTATCGATAGAGGATTAGTAGAGACCACAAATTGACTTTGTTCGGCTCTTTTGTTGCGGGCCGCATCTTAAGAAAAAGCAACAAGGGACGTCGGCTATGTTTCTTGAAATCTCAGAACGGACGGCACGTCTTTTGAAGTGGAGTTGTTCGTTTTAAAGCTGTTTACAAAAGAATCATGGCTGGAGTTTGCTTGTCAATAGAACAAAAGACATGTCGACAATACTGAAAGGAAATAGTTGTCCATCCTTGATAAAAAGACATCAATAAAACAACAATTTTTTTTGGCTTGTACTCTCTTAGAATTACAATGAAAATAACCCTAATCTTCAGTATAACAGTATTTGCGAATGTTATAAAAGGTGGCTATCTTTTGCAGACTTGAAGTCCAAAGAATTGAATAAAACATCTCTTTGGAATATTTATTAATACATTTGTTTCTTATCCAATCCTTAAAATGAAATAAATCGGTGTTTTACCGGTACAATTGTTAGGTACTAATATATCGTCACTTGACAACCTACAGGTCCCAATAACGCATGTTATTTTCTGTTTTACATTGCTGTTGAGGGAAAAAGGCAGCTGAACATTTTTTCAACGTGAAGAATAATCCTATAGAAACTGAATATATGGAACTGTACAAAGAGCATTGTGTTTAAAATCTTGTGCAAAACAGGATGTATATCCAAAGTGAACGTTTTACTTTTGCCCATTATCCGCCGTTGAACAAAACAGCATAAATTAAAATTAGCATAAACTTTTACGAGTTATACACTCGACTGAGTCGGGCATTGGCGAACAGATGGGATCCCTCGTTACTTTTGGTTGCTTTGTGCCGTTTGTGATGATTTATATCAATTTTGGAAAGAAAAAAAATATTGCCGCCTGCTTGAAGGGTCGAGTATACTTTGTGGAAGGAATCAACAAGTTTAGGATGGTGTTATTTAGATCATGTTATAGATTTACATCTATAAAATGTTTATTCCTTTAAGTTGATCTTCAGATTTTATTTCTGTGAATATTCTAATAATTTCATTGAAGTAGAACACATGCTGTCTATACACACAATGACAATCCCCAATTATGAACCGATATATAACATGACATTGATGGAAACCACAAACTACAATAAATCCATCACCACAAACTACACTGTCGTGAATCCTTAAGGAAAAGTGAACTTTTGAAAAAATATCATCAACAATATGGTATGGGTTGATCCAGGGATTCGCTTTTTAATTAATGGATAGCCATTATATATCACGGATGGTCAGTGTGTAATGCTGAATTGATCCCGTAAGTTTCTCCCCGTTGAATGGAGTATTAGGAGAGCTTTCAATTCTCCGGGCAAGTAAATGAGTTTGGGGTCATTAAATTGTTTTAAAAAACAAATGGCCTCAAACTATATAGCGATGTAAATTGAGGGTGTTTTTGGTGGATTTTAGGGATAGTTCTGAACACACATGCAGCTAGGTGGAAGAAATTCTAATGATTAGGAATTCAACTTCATTTCAGCTTATTCTTTATACAGCAATGATCTCTAAAAACGGACATTATCGAGAAATGTTTCAGATGTAAACAAATAAAGTAAAAATATACACTTAACTTTTTCGTGAAACTTATTACTCGCACCATGAACAGCCGTCGACAGCACGGGCCTCCGAGGGCCATTCAGAACGCGTGATGTGGTTGACAATGCCATGTGAAAGTTTTCCACGTTATAGGCGTGCAAGATTGTACAATAGACCCGAGAGTCACCCATTGTATTTAGTTTATTTCGGTCGCTGGCAAAATTTCCCCTTGTTCCGGTTACGATATGACGAGATGGCGGAAATGTTCCCTCCGATAATAGAAGAACTATCCCAGCCAGGTGTGTTGCAAAACCCGAAACTAGTCGGTGAATTGAATGCGATGTGTGTACAAGGGGCGAATTTTCTGCACTTGGCGAGAGGAGAGTGGTTGTTGAACTACACGGTTTGGTCATGGGGAAAGAAACTTCGGAAGTGATTCGTCTTGTTCAAATCGATGAAGACATGATTCAGAAACAGGTAGGCATACGCACAAAAATACACCTGCTGTTAATTACATGTAATTGGTTATGTACACAAGTAGCCGGTAGCGCTCACGGCAGATATAATAGAGACTTATACATGATTTTAACTCAATTGTGCTAAAATTGTCGCCGAGCACGAGACCACGCACACCGCGCCAGGTAAATTAAGCATCGAGAAATACATGCTCCTTTGAATAATGATTTGGAAGAAGATGACGCTGAAAACCGGTAAAAAAAAACTACGGCAGTGGAAAATATATCATTCATAATTTGCCAGCGAGATTCTTTTTCCGTGGATTGTTTTTCTTTGCAGCTCTCGGGATGTTACGATGCTCAACTTTCGGGGAAAGAGCGTTAAATCTATATTACTGCGATCGCATCTAATTATTGGGAGTACATAGGTCAAATCGCAAGACCATGCAGATTTCGAGTATAGCAGCAGCTTTGCGTCATGCGAAGGGCTTGTCATGTACTTTGATTGAGACTGCATTGATGATTGAGATTCGGAAGAGAAATTCACTTTGGATGAGAAGGGAAATTCACTGACTTTTGATGAATTCTCATTGAAGCTTTCATTCTCAAGAAATTGTAAATCTCTGCATGAAATACATGGGGAAAAAGTTATTTCTGTGAAATAACCATTGTGAGACCATGTCCGCAGATTTGCACATTAGTAGCCTAAAAGATGCACTCTGAGAGATACTAGGAAAAAATGACTCATGTTTTTACAAAGAAAATAGTACAGACTAGCATTCTAAGTATTCTTAGAAAAACTGTATTCTATTCTAAATAGTATTTATTTAAGATGTGTAAAGGTCTTATGATAAAAACAATTATCTATTTGTCGCGGAGCAGCTGGTTCTTCATCGCCTCATACCAAAATGTTAACGGTCCGGTATAAAGTGTACATTTAGTTTAACCTTAGTATTTTCATTACAATTTACAGATGTTATTGTTAAACTGTAAAAAATGTGACATGTGTATAATAACTGGGTCAGATAATTAATGGATGTTTACTGTGGGCCAAGTTCACCCTGCGGAAAGAACGAGGACGCAAAAAAAGGACAAAAAAGAACAGCTGCTAGTCCTACGGTCTCGCGCCATACTCATATGAATTTTGTTCTGTAGCAAAGTTCTGTGTTTTATTTGTTTTGTGTTTTGTGGGTTTTTTTCGGAAAGGGAAACTGCAACGTCGTTATTGCTCGTGTCAACACTGCAACAGGTTGATAATACAGAAATAAATGCTGCGCTTGAGAAACAAACATCCATTTAATTTTAGTGTAAATTTTGGTTCCATTTTTAATTGATGGTGTAGACTTATTTTTCACTTTGTAGAACATATGGTTTGTTACAAAGTGAAACAAATCAAGGAAATTATGTTGCTCCTGTTTGGGTTTGAAATTGAATTAATTAAGTTCCCGTGTGGGTTATATGTGATTGGAAGTGCACATGTATCGGCCAAACGTGTCGTAGCTTCAGCTCTTCGATCACCTGTTGTGTATTTTGGGGAGTAGCGGTACTTTCCTCGCCTTCCACCGCTGTAACCCGGGTTCGAATCCCGCCCGGGCCAATATGTGGATTGGGTTTTCAGTCCCTACCTGATTCCGTAGGTTTTCCTCAGAATATTCTTGTGGGCTTTTCCTCCCACCTCTAAAACTGTAATTTCGTCTCATTATTGTCTTCTCTCTAGTACAGGTTTCTTCAGGCTTTCGGGCTATAGTGCCTAGGGTACTTTTGAGCCGGGATCCTTGGTTACATAACCAGAAAGAAATAAAATAAAAAATAAATATACATAGATCTTTATTTCCATGCTAACAACGCTACCAATAACACTTCAAACTGTGATCATTAGTGGAAGGTGATGACTATTCCACTCAATGACGTCAGGCGTCATATGAAATCATTTGCATACATAATACTTATTTTTTTGCAGTTTAGAAGAAAATGCTCACAGAAACTGGCATTTTCAAACAAGATTCATACCCCGTAAACAGGGGGTAACTTTGGCATCCTTGGTAACTTTGGCAGAAGCCGTACCCAGTAATGCATTATTATTGCGCGGCTTTACTGACCATTTTATGAGAAAATAGATTCTACAAAGGTCATTTCCTAAGCAGAATATTTCCGTTTTTCAAAGGTTATAAATATCATGTTTGTTATTAAAGGTTTTGTGAATAATATCGATTTCATTCAATTCCAATATCCTGTCAAAGTAAAATAAAGTTGCCCCAATATACGGGGAAACGTTGGCAGCACACCGGGAGGCTCACAATCCTGTTCGTAGAAACGAACAAAATGTTGTTGTTATTAGGTTACAGATTAGGGTCCAGGGGCAAAAAAAAAGTACAAGAGGAAAAATGTTCAGCTTTTCATGTTTTGGACATGTATTTATTAGAGGAGAAAAACCTGCCAAAGTTATCCCAGTTGACGGTAAACCTTGTCTTGATCGCAAAAGTGTATAAAAGTACAATGACCGACCAGATTTTTCTTTTCATGTCATTCATGTTTTGGTTCTTTAATGTGTATTACATTTTTCTTATGGTTTTAATGACAGCAGTCTTACTACAACCGCTGTGCCAAGATGGGCTGTGATGACGATACGAACAGCTGGTTGGATCTGGAGGAGGCGGAGTACCAGACCAAATGTATCTATGTCGTGAACGACAAGCCGTGCCAGGGGGAACCAGACGAATGTCGGGCCGCCGCCTCTTTGCCTGCAAATCTGAAATACGTGGAGAGGGATGGGCAGGTAAGGGCTCAATGAAATGTAAAATTTCCATTTGTTTTGAGTGAATGCACGACAGACTATTATGTTGTCATTGTTCTTTCAGTTTTCAGTTTGGATAAGGACTTACTAGAAATGGGTTGTTGCACCAACTCATTCACAAAGTACATGTATACTCACATTTTTGCCTACGAGTTCTAATACACAAAGCTACACTATATAATAAGCCAAAAACAAAATACTTCTGCTTCCGGTTTCCCTATTCTGACAGCCCCTACCCCTATTTTTGTATGGAAAAAAATAGGAAAATAACACCCAAAACCATCAATTTCGACCTTTTACCCTTGACTTCACACAGACGCCTCCATAATTATGACCGTACACAAAAAAATGTCCCTACCTACCTACCCTATTTTTGAATGCCATGTAATCGGAAGCAGAACTATTTTTTTTGGCCTAAGTATTGGGTAACCCTAAAACAAAAACACTCGAAAAGATACTATCTGGCCAAGGTTTCCATTCGAAATTCAGTGATTCGGAAAGGCAGTATAACACCCTCTTGCCGTTGCCACTCTGCTGAAAACATCCAGGCATTACAAAATACTGATGGAATTTTCGAATCAAAGTTGAACTGATATTGATATATTGTTTTCGAGTGATGAAAACGAATTACACGTGGGTTAAATATTCGGGAATTCCCCTCCTGATCACCAGACTTCAAAAGATCCTTTTGTTGGCACAGCACTCGAGCCACCGATGCATTGTTGAGCGACAAGTGGACCGTTTACTTCCTTGTACCAGAAACCTTGAGATTGGGCAAGTGAGGGAGAGTGAATAAATAGGATAAATCTATGAAAAAAATATTGTAAGGTGACTCTTTTGATGTAAAGCGGGTCTAGGCGTGTCGCAAGTCAAGGGGCAATATTCGGCACATGACCATAAAGGGGATTGTTGCAGGGGTCCCTCGCATTGATACAAAAATCCATCTTTCTGACTTTTGAAAGCGGTTTATTTTTGTCGAGTTGAATTCGTAAGGCGCGGACGACGAAACAATCGTGCGTATTAGTATTAAAACTGTTGTCAAGTCGGGATCGCATGATGTTATTATCAGAAGTCAATCAATAGGTTTACTTCAGTACTGACAGATGATGACTTACTTGGCTATAGGCCCATCTCAAGATTTGTCCATTGAAAAAAAAATAGGTAGAATAACAAGCAATTTTCTAAATTTTCAGAAGGACAAATCTGCGATGACCCTTTTGCCAAATATCTTTCTCATGACATAATCTGGCTGTGTGCCAAATGCCATGCTTGAATCATCAAAGGCACAATCCCATCACCTATCTGCCGTACTAAATTGGTATAAAATGGCACTGGCTTCCTTTGAAATGATTAACTCTTCGGTTAGTATTGAGACCATGAGGACGAGCACGAAAGGCACACCATGACAGAACAAAAGACCAACTGGTGACAGACTTGAGCAACTCGGTTGGCACCATAAGGCAACTAGGACAGACAAGAATAGATGGACCGTGCAACTATAGTTTGTCAGATTAGTAGTAAGACGAATCTGTAGACGATCAGAAAAAGAAGAGCAAGAGTTGACTTAAAACAGTTAGTGGCGAGACCCATAGCTTGGCTATAAAAAGATAGTACTAAGGCATGTCATGGAAATAACAATGAAATGGTGTAATTCTAACTTGATACACAATGCAGACTTAATACAAGTATAGCAGCCCCACTTTTTGGAACTTGCATCTTTGTCAGCTCTGCCTGTCTTTCAGCTTGTCTTCATATACTTCATGGCTTATCATTAAACTCGGTCTAGACACAGATTTCTACCCAGAGACGCACTTCTCACATACTCATCTTGCTAACATTACTTGAAAATGCTTCATGGGCGTCGTCTACATATTGTTTTCACACAGGGAAGTGAAAGCCGAAAAATAATAATACATTCAGTTTAGTTTGTCTCGAGGAACTTAAATACACAATAACCGGACAATAGTGCGTATCGAGAGTTCTCGAAAGTATTAAGGACTTTTGTATCCACCTGTAGAGTTCAGGTATTGAATTTAATTCAACCTAAACTCTATGTATACCGTTGAACACCTATGCATACCCATTGTATTGTAGAAGTCGTGTTGATGCAGTCAAAAGTGAAACCAAGTTATGTGTGCGGTTCGTGTGCAAATTCTGTGTGATGGTAAAACTGCGCATTTCTATTTTGTCATCCGTCAATTCAAAAAGTTCAATAGGCGGGTGTAGGCGCCCGGAAGGGCGTGGATTTAAAAAAAAAACAACAACAACAACAAAAACCTCGAACGGCTGCAGTGCAGTGGCCTCGTAAATGAACAGTCCATCTGGGTTTTATACTTTACTGTCATTTTCATTATAATCAACTGTAAGTATTCCTTCCTCCATGGTTTGACTGAACTGAAATACTACCCTCATTGTGTTCTCTTCACTTAACGGCTTATAGATTCTCTTCACTTAACGGCTTATAGATTTAGGTTAATTCAAGAAGATGTTTTCATGTACACAAACGACAGTATAATTTTCAACAGGCATATTGCCCATACATTGGGTCGCTGTCCTTACGGCCGGAGAAGGGACCTTAGATCATCATCTCGGAAAAAAAAGGAACGAAGTTGTCTTAACATGATACATTATCAGTCCAATAGATCTCGCCGAGGAAAAAGTCTGGAAATATCTGCAAATAAGGTCCATTAAAAATATACATGTACACCTGTCACGGATGCATGAACCTCAAATGAACTTGAAGTGAATTGATAGGGGCGTCAACTAAGTACCCTCAATTCTGAACAATTGGTTATTATCAGGAAACCTTTTGAATGTGCCACTATTACAAAAGATTTAAGCATTCTGGAAAGCCCAGCAATTCGTTCAGCAATTAACAAAACATTTCCAGTTTGGAGTTCAACCTACAAATATCAATGTGCGGTCCCTCTTTTTTTATTTGTAAAAGTACAGGCTGGAAGTGCGCCGACTAATCGCTTACAAACGCTTTTGGTTCATGTCCAGTAGAAATCGATTTTCGCAGCACAAAACGTCATACATTTCGTTTCTTAAATCGTGCCTCCAGGAGATGGACTACGCCCCCATACTTTCGGTCTCGGGCTGCAGGGGTACGTCAAATAATTTATAATACGCCCATCAGGAAACATGGTCAACACAAGGGGGATACAGGGTCGTAGAAAATGGGGACACAGTGGGCACCAAGGCCACGCTGTTAGACGATTTGTTCGAAAATGATGCATAATTTTGTCGATAAAATGTTTTTGAAAATTGTAGAAGTTTTTTTGGAGAGTTTTTTTTCTTTTGTCACAAAAAGTTAACACTTTTGGTCGAGCTTCATAGCATAACTTGCGATTGCGATAATAATGTTCCCAAACTTCTTTCACAGATGAAGAAAAAAACTCATTTTTTCGCCTCTTTTTAAAATTTGTTTTTAAAGAATTTCAAATTGGCACTGAAGCCCAAGGCCTCAATGATGTCTTTTGTTGAGAGGATTAAAAAATAAAAGTTCATCAATTTATGCAATGGCTGAGCACTGACAGCCCCGGTTTCAATGCTAATTTGGGATTTATTGGCCCGAAACTAAAAGATGTTTGCTCTGTTTTACGTATTTTTTTAAACACTACCATCAGAAAGTACATGTATACTTCATGTACAAAAAGGCAGACACTTGTATGACTAAACCGGTGCACACAATTTCCACGCTTTCAGACATAAGCATTTGCATAGCGACTGACGTACGATACTTTTTCACTTTAAGGATGTACTATTTATAGGCATAACAAACATATAAATGTATCCATTGCCTACGCAAGTTTGTTTCTCCAGGCCCTATTAAATTTGTTATTAAGTCAAGTACTTTTCTTTTTTTTGTCCAGAACTAAAAATAAGTTTGAATAGACTTTCAAGTTCGCATCCGGGAGCTAAAACCGCCATACTCGATTCCGAGTACATAATAGAGAGCGCATGCGTTATTTAAGCAATTTCATTTGCAGGCGACTGTCGACGTGTAGTCCGTGAGCCTGGGGGTTCAATTCTGGGGCTATATATACCCAAATGACGGTCTGCATTGTCCCCCTTTTTAGTTTGAACCCTCAACTACATGTTTTGTTTTTTCATTTCCTTGTTTCGATAAAAGTTAAGAAAGGCAGAACTTGTTGTGAGCATATTGAAGTGTATATGTATGAATGTGTGCATGTGCAGAATGCTGGCAAACGATACTCACTCATTTAAAACTTATTTTCTAATTTCCCTTTGTATCAAAAAGTAGAAAAATATATAATTGGTTGTTGTGGTTTTTTTTTTTTTTGGCAGATTGTGGGCGTGGTTGCGAGAGACTATATCCCCCAGGGGACGCGTTTTGGACCCTTGATAGGGCAGATATACAGAGAGGAGGAGGTGCCAAGAGAAGCCAATCGCAAATACTTCTGGAGGGTAAGACTAATTTCTTATAGGTATTCACTCATGATGCACAATAGATTCCCCCTTGCAGATCACGGTCTTCGACGCTAAGATTTTAGATGTCTCACGCACTATAAAGACGGTAACCCGACGGTTTTTTTTCTAAAGAAGGTTGTTGTTAATCATCTGTATATTTTGTGTATTTATTTATTCCATTTGTTTACTCAGGGTATGCCCAAACAGTTAAAAACTGCTTTCCATTGGGGCCATGCATACATAACAAATTATTGAATGACGTTAAGTAAAGTTCAGCTCATAAGGAAAACTACATCGGTGAAACATACGACGAACGTTTATATTTACAAATACAAGTACGTTATTGCAGCAATATTAACATTGTATAGTAAACAGTGCAGTTAAATCAACTGTATAAGGCTGTACTATTGGCCTATACAGTTGTCATTTGTTTTGCTGGACTACAAGTGTCAGCCTATTGTCCCCTCTCTGACTGTGTCTCTGATTGACTGACTATAACTGACTGACATTTTCTTTGTACATATGTCCTATTAAACTATGACTTTCGGATCCAGCTGGACTGAGCAAGTGTTATTGTGATCAATTATCAAGTACAAGGGCGGACGCAGAACACAATTTTTTTGGATTCTAGGTGCCCTGTGGTGCGATCCGAGGCAATTTCTGGCCACTTTAACCATTTTTTTTTTGAGGAAAAGGTGGTGGTGTACGCAGTGCTTGCCTTTATTGCGACGTCTTTAAAAAAAAACGGTTTCTTTTTGGGTATAGGGGTGGGGCATGGCCCCCGTTGCCCCCCCCCCCCGATCCGCCCTTGATCAAGTATACGATGGCCATGACATCCCGGTCATGACACCGTAGTAGTGAAAGTTGTGGCTGTATATTTCACTGTAACCAAGCTGCCATGACGTTTGCGGAAGAGTTTCCCGGATATAAAATAGGATGTCTTGTTGGATAATTTCCTATTGCTGTGATACGGAATTGTATTTCAATCACTGATACTCCGGGAAATAACATTTCTGTGAAAGACAGTGTACTTTCTAATTGATGTGCTTATATCAACTTCATGTGAACTTACAAGTGGTACGTACTGTCCTGCAGTGTATTTCTTTTAGTCTCGTTTATCACTCGTCTTCACGAGCCCATCACAAATCTGCACAAGTCATCACACAGGTCAATCAGAAGTCACACAGTCCTTAGAAAGACATTCGTTTGTTATGTTCATCCCTCGTGGCCTGACTTGTGCATGGTCTTGTCATTTCCTTCTTACCGGATATTGATGGTCTAACAACACTGTTCCTGTACTGTGCGAGTTCATGTGCTTCCTCAAAGAACTAGCATTCATTCATTCCCATTTTCTTCAACATTTTGCTCAGATCTACAAAGCCCAGAAGTTCATCCACTACATCGACGGCTTCGATCCGCACAAGAGCAACTGGATGAGGCACGTCAACCCGGCCAACTCGGCCTGCGATCAGAACCTTGTGGCCTGCCAGTACGACACGGATATCTACTTCTACACGGTCAAGCCGATCCGGCAAGGAACGGAGCTCCTGGTGTGGTACTGCAAGGAGTTCCAGCGGAGATTGGAACAGCCTGTTGCCATGGAGACGGCAGCTGGGGATGGCGGGAAAGGTGAGGTTACTCGACCACTTTGGATGTGGAGAATACAGTTTTTAATCTTTTGGTTGTTAGTTTTCTTGTTGCACTTATTTACGGCTATTTATTTATATTCGGTACAAATTCTCCCATTCCAATTTTCTTCCCAAAGAGCATTAATTTTGGCATCACATAGTATACTCGGTCTATTTTAATTTTCGGGAACATAGAACCTCTCAATTTCTAATTCTCTTTGGAGCCCTATTATACACTATTGATTTTTCCCCAGACGTACCATAATGTCACTTGGCCTGGCCTATATTTTCCCCTCATTATAGGAAGTAATCATGTTTGAACAAGGGGCCCCCTCTCGCTCATTATCGATGAAAACATCAACAGCACCTGGCTCTACACGACATCGCTGTATCATATCCCTTGGGATGATTCACTCATTAGTTTCAATTAAATTGTTTCTAATTTCATTTTAACTGCGAGAAAATTGAGGGACTATCGGCCTAAGTCAATAACAAATAAGCCAACGCAGCCACTGACTGCATCGCGCCAGTTTCGTTTTCATTTCTTTTCCGACGACATCTGTTGCCAAATAAATACAAATAATTGTAGTGTGGGAGATTCTGCAGGGCGCTTGCAGGGACGCCAAATATCAATAAAACGGTTCGGAAAAAATTGAAGGCTTTCAAATTTTCCTTTTCATTTCAATTTTTTGTACTATTTGCTTTTGTTATTATTTAACTATAACTACTTTGCTTTTCTTCCCCTGGGAAACGTTTAGTACACTTGTGTTGAAAACGAAATGCAATAAAAGGAATGTGCATTTGGGCTCATCTTATGGATTTTCATACAGTGTATGTATTTTCCCCCTGCAAATGTTACTCAGGTCCACATTCACTAAAATGTTTCTCTCTTTAATCTTCTCTTCAACGTTGCAGGTGTTAGCTCACGAGTGAACAGTGCCTCCCCTGTTAGCGAACCCAAACACGACCAAGCACTAGACTTCAGCATGCCACCACGAACCACCTCCTCCGGCAAAGCAGCAGCAACTGCAACCACTACCGTCCTAAACCTGTCCTCAACACCAGCCATCGCTGTTGATTTCCCAGAGCGGTTGTCGACCAAACGGCCAATTGGTGTACCGGTCGGCGCCATCGTGGCCAATCCGGCCTCGGGTCCGGGTTTCAGTCATCCCATGATGAGTCCACAGACTTCCCCCGTACAGACAGGTGCTGCCGGGGCAATGCCCCAGAACATGGCCGAGTTGAAGCCGCAACCTGCCCACCAGATCCCTAAGCACGTAGCCGAGGCAGCCAGCAAAGCCGGAGTGCTCATCCCCCAACCCATATCCATGCATGTGGGTCGACACCAAGGTCTTCCATTCATCCTGCCCCAGTATATGTACAATCCCTTGCTGGTGAGAACCCCATTGCAGAACGGTATGAGCATCATCCCATCTCCATCCATTCTCCGTACTCGTGGTTTTGATTCCCGTCTTTCTAAACCAGACATTCGTGATGATCTCTCCAAGGACACAAGTCTCCCGAAAAACTCCTCGCCAGGAGCAACAGCGACACACCTCAGCAATTTCTTCCAAACTAGTGTGCCGAGTTTCTCACTGCCCATTTCATTCGCGGACGTCCACTCTCAATCCAATTTCAAGCAGGAGACATCGAAGGAAGACGGGTCCAGCTCACCATATAAGCTGACTCGCAAGAGGCCCTCTGGCAACGTCGAGTATGGCCACAAATCGCTGGAGTATCAGCTGCCAAGGAAGAACGGCAAAATCATGTACGAGTGCAACGTTTGCAAGAAGGTCTTTGGGCAGCTCTCCAATCTCAAAGTGCACCTCAGAGTACACAGTGGCGAGCGTCCCTTCAGATGTGAAGTCTGCAGCAAGGGTTTCACACAGTATGCTCATCTCCAGAAGCACCACCTCGTTCACACTGGAGAGAAACCACACCGATGCAATGTCTGCGATAAGTGCTTCAGCAGTACCAGCAACCTCAAGACCCACATGAGACTCCACAACGGTGAGAAACCGTACACTTGTAAGCTCTGCCCGGCCAAGTTCACCCAATACGTCCACCTGAAGCTCCACAAGCGATCGCATCTCGAGGAGGGCTACGTCTACGACCCTTCTGAGGAGGCCAACCTGTCTGTCTCCCCTTCGCCTTCTCCTTCTTCTTCTTCTGAGGGTTCCCCATCGCCGGCCAAGAAGATCAAGACGGAGTTCCAGAGTTACCAGAGTCATTTGGTGAGCACCGATGTGGCTGATTATTTTGGACAGATGGGGGAGGATAGTCCATCACAGTCTTCGGAGAGCAGTGAGGAGAAGGAATCTCTACCAGAGGGTTCTCATGCACAGACTTCCGGAGTAACAGAGCAGCATCCTGATCAAACATCCATGACCACCTTTCGAGATGGAAGCCCCTCGTCTGTCAGGGGGTCTCCCCCGCCACTTGTGCCCATCAACAGGGCACCTATGAACAGCAACGACACCCAAGACAAGCCAGAAGAGGTCAACACTCTCGTGCACCGCGAGAGTGGTGACAGTTATCGCGAGAAAAGTGGCCGCCCCAACGACGCTGCACTCTTTGAGACAGATGCGAGAAGGGAAGCAACAGTCAACACCAATAACTCGTTGGCAGTAGGGATTGATTCGGCTCACAAACAGAAGGAAAATTCTGAAGGAAACATCAAATGTAAACTTGAAAAATGTACAGTTATACAATCTCAGTCCCACGCAACCAAAATCGAAAACGTTGTACAAAAAATCTTAAGCAAGGCGGTGCAGAGTAGTTAGATGCTGCCTACACTGCACCCAGTTATTGATTCACCAGAAACTTTAGTTTTCTATTATTTTGACTGCGGGAAATCAGTGGGTTGTATGAGTGCTTTCTTAAAAGGGATCTTGGAAAAGTTTCTTGAAACTTTGGTATTGTAATTTGTGCAACTCAGACAATTGAAATCATAAAGCCAATAATGTTGATTGCCCAGATTGATTTATATTTTACTAACATTCCTAATTATTTATTGTGTATAAGAACTATTGATTGATCGTCTTCTGAAATAATCGACCTTAATTCATTATTTATTAAGTTAAGACCATTCCTTAATTAATCAAGACTATACTCAGAGACCAAAGAAAATTAAATGCCATTTCGATTAGATTAATTTTGTATTCCGACTATGAACTTTGAAGCCGATAAAAGTACGAACAAAAAGTGTACTCGATGTTTGAAATAATATTCAATATCTTTCCTACATAGCCTTTTCACCTGGTATTCAGATGTGTATTTACCAGATACATATTATGTATCTTAAAATAAACTATAGAGTGTTCAGACTATAATTTGATTAGAACAAAAGTACTGGTAGAGTTGAAAAGGCGGTGTCTTCCTTTCAATAAGTTTAAAAATGTAGTTATCAGAGATTCTTTTTCCATTATGTAATTTTTATAATGTAAATCTCTTCGTTGATTTGAAATGATCTTGGCTTCTGAAGGATACAAGATAATCAGTATTCTAGCATTATATCAATCCAGCAGTACTATTTTCCATTCGTCCTATCAGCTTCGTATATTGAGCGACGTAAATGAACTGGTTGCAATGAATTTGAAAAATGGTTTGACGACGGAATTGTGTCTATTAATTAATCGTTGTGCACGAAGACACCCACGATTGCGTAGGATAGCCACTTCTTGCACACCGAAAATTTGAAATTTAGAAAGTGTGTTATGCCAAACAGTTCGTTTAAACGAGTTCATTCAGCTGTATTTAAAGCCAACAAAAATCATACGAGTTCATTCAGCTGTATTTAAAGCCAACAAAAAATCATACGAATAGGACCTACTATCCTTCTTTGTACATGTACATGTAATACATTTTCATTTTCCAAGTCCATGTCCTTTCGTACATTATGAAAGTGACACGCGATGCACAAAGCCCGTTCAGTGTATCTGTCATTGTTAATACATTTCAGACTGACAATTGCATTTCGGAGCATTCAATCATTCATTCACGATTCACAGTTTTTGAATGTGATTTTTTTTGCCTTCTAATTCTACCGTGGGATAACGTCCATCTTGTGCATGTTGATGGCCTTTGTTGAAGAACTGGAACGCTGAATGTTCAACGTTGTAATTTACATAACAAAATGAAGTCGGACGTCGTCTTCGCGTTCACTCAGAATTATACGTGTACTTCTTTTCAACATCCACATTACTACCCTGAGAAAACAGGGCATATACTCAGATGAACAAAAATTGAACCTGTCAAAGTATAGCCAATAAAAGAACAAAGAATTAAATTTCGTTCAGATTAAGTAAGTTATTTGCAGTTGACCCCACACGATCTGCTTCGTTTGTATACTTCTTTTATATACTGGTTGATGTAATTTGTAGAGGATGTAAAAAACATGGTGCCGGTGATCAACAAATTTTGACATTTACCACCAATTTTCCCACTTGATTAAGTGCCTTATGACCGTATGTATATAATTGATTGGCAGGTGTTTACGATTGTATTGCTACTTTTCTGCTAAAAGTTGAAAATAATTCCGATTCCTGTGCCTTACAAATTTCGAATTATTTATTAAATTGTTTTTATTTAAAACCAATCTGTGACCGTTTATCTTCGTCTATACTTTTACTGTTTGATGCACACCAAACCTTATTCGGTTAGATGCCGCCGGCGGATCATAGAGCCATTTGGGGGGGGGGGGGGGGGGCGAGAGGTACGGCGTGGTGGGATTTGGTAGCGCGGGGGATAGATTTCATATTTTTGTGAAAGTTGAAGATAATATTGCACATTGTTTTCTGGCCATCAATTCCTTCTTCATCTCGGTCTTTGATCGATCAGTGATCGGGCCTTTGGTGGAGAAAATTGTGTAAAATGCGACGATAATTATAGGCCCACATTAAATTTTGTCCATCCAAATCGAAGATCCTCTATTTCACCAATTTAGCCCCAATGTCTCGAAGGGAATCCTAAGGAGCACTGTTTAACGCACAAAGGGTATGGGAGGGCCAAATGATATCGAGACTCGATACTAAAAAGCTAAGTTACTTGGCTTTTGCAACTATCGGGCCTAATGTAAAATCAAAACTGCATTGTCTCACATTTTTAAAAACAAAATCGCTCCTTTGGATCTTCTTAGATTTTCTTCACTTTAATTACTTCGTTCATTTTAAATGACAAAACAACAAAACAACTCTGTACTCTTGTAACGCCAGAATATCTGACTTCATAGTTATATCCAACCGCTAATTCATTCAAATTGACTGAAGCTGAAAGTGTTGTACTTTGTGCATTTAAAAACAAGTCCCGCGTTTGACGGTTTCAGGAACACTTGGAAGTTGAGGGCGGTATGCACGGTTACTGATCAGAGAGCCGTAACATAACGGCTCTATGTTGGGAAGGCCACATAACAGCTGCAGAATAAATCGCCGTAATTCACCCCGTCCTAGCTATGGCGAACCACTGCAAAAAGGGAATATAATAGAACTAGATCCCATTCAATGGTTCAAGCAGAACTAACATGCACTGGTGTATTAAACATGCACTGGTGTATTTTTTTTTAAACATACAACGAACCAACCGATTTCATTGAAAGGTTCCTTTTCACGAATCGGTCCTTTCCCCCCTCATCCGCGCAGTATAGTGTAAGCATTACATAACTGTTTTTGTAATTCAAATACATTTGCCACACCCTCAGACTACATGCAAGAATCTTTCTGAGGGATGGTTTTACAACGCAAATGGTTTTACAACACACAAAAAAGCAAAAATCAATTGTTGCTCACGCTGAGGAAAATGCAAACAATGAATAAGAAACTCCAGTTTCAAGAAATACGGAAGAAAGACACCACCAGTCCACCCAGATCTCAATTTTACAAAAGTATTTTATTTACTTGACTGTGTGTGTATTTATATTCAGTACAGATTTGCACACCATTTTAATTATGTCCAAGTGCATACAAAATTTATTGACCTCGTACATGTACAACATGTACCACAAAAAAATACCGTTAAAAATAAAAACTAAATCCACAAAGCTAATGCATATAATTATTAGTACAAAAGTCGTAAAAATGTTAACAGCTGAAAGTGAAACCCTGCCGTTTACTATAGTTTAACATCGTATTGCATAAATTGTGGATACATCATACTTGTACATGTACCCGTCCAGATATAAAGGGCAGTGGCATAGCACGGTCATTTTTATTTGGGGGGGGGGGGGGGGTAAAAACATTTGTAGACAGTTTTTTTCCCCCCGGACACTTGACCTCCGTGTTCAAAACCGACGATTATGCACACCTACGGCCAATATACGGTGCGTTTCAGGGCGATACATGAGCAAAATTCAGAAACAGGCACCCAAAACGGGATATGCCACAAAAAAGGGCAACACTTCTTCTCAAAAAAGGGCACTTGTTCAGAAAAAAAGGCCACTTCTTATAAAAAAAAGGCACCCTTTATAAAAAAAATTTTTTTGGGGGGGGGGGGGGGGGTAAGCAGCTACAGTAAGCCCGTAAAAAAGAGGGCATTTGAATGGAAAAAGGCAGTCTTTAAAAAATATTGGGGGGGGGGATAAATACACCCCTTACCCCCACGCTGGCTACGCCTATAAAGGGGAATGTATCAAAGTGGAAAGCATAACCAATAAAACGCACTTGTTTTGAATGATAGTGAATCTTTGTGGGATAAAAATTGTAGAAGAATAAACCTTTCAATACAGGTGAATTTTTTGAATGATAAACAGACGATAGAGCAACACAAGGCTCACATTTTTCTTTGCCTGAATCAATGAAATACACTTTGAAAACTTTGATGCTGTTAAAATGCCCCATGAACAGAGATCTAGATACACAAATTGTCTTGGTGAGAGAAATCTAAATTGAAAACCCATTAATTAAATACTAGTCTATAAATATAATTAGCAAACGTTAATCATTCAAGTGATGTTAGGGACATTATTATACTGGCACACACATTTTATTTTGGTGATTTGGAGCAAATCATCATTCTCATGGACATCAGTTTCACTCCGCACTGTAGTACTAGTAGTTATGACGTCCCTCACGATTGATCAGCAGCACCAACAGAGCGCCTATGAGGACCGCAGGAACGATGTTCTGGATTGGGTCCGACAAGGCCAGGATGGTGTACACGGCTCCGCCCATGATGCCCACCAAGACGAAAGAACTGTAGCGGTGCCAGTTGTAGTTCCCGAAGGCCAGGAGCACGCCGAAGGTTATCTCCAAGACGCCGACCACCGTTCGGTACAAATCTGCCGATGGCTTGTAACCCGTGAAAGACTGCAACGGGAACACCCTGACGAACCTGTTAAATTCTGACACCTGTGGGAAAAAAAAGCAGATCAAAAAGGTGTTGATGTATGTACACCTGATTTTTGTTTCATACATCCGATTGTATGAAAGCAATCTGGGATGGCAAAGGGGGCATTCTTTGCCTTTTAGCTGAAATAGGCCGTGTCCGGTAACGATCTAAACATGTCTACTACAAAATACTCTATCCAATCTAATATAAAATACAAACTAACATTTTTTTAAAAGTTAGAATCCAAATAAATAGTAAAATACATCATGCAATTAATGCAATTAATGCAATAACACGCCTGGAAGGGCGCCCTCTATACTTGTATGCGTGGTGGTCCGATACTGCATATTGGCAAACACGAAGGACCAATGGTCAATCTATTTCATAAAAAAAAACACATTAAAATCGCAGTCCAAACAGCTGGAAAACCACTCACCTGGGTGCTATAGGCAGGCTCAACAGGAACAACTTTGGTGACACCGGCAGCAAGGAACACCATGCCCAAAGCAATGGACAAATAGTAGTAGTTGCTCGCCATCGTTGCAAATTATTTTAATCTGACAAGGGTAGAGGGCGCTTCAGCGCGTGCATATATATATGGAGGGTGTGGTGAGGGCGCGCCATACATACAGTGCACATTATTTTTTTAGTAGATTTTATTGGGGGGGGGGGCTGACGGGGGATACATGTATATATTTTTAAATATAATTTTGCCGATTACATTTTCTTAAAAACTTTCTCAGAATTGAAAGCTTTTTCTTGTTTTCCCCTGGTTGCGGTTAATGTGGAGTAATCCCTTTCAGATAGTTATTTGGAGATTGGGGTGGAACATTTTGTACTTTTTTTCAAGAATCCAATCGGTTATTTGGCCCTGAGAAATAACTATGTAAACCATTACTTTTGTGTAATACTTTGTTCTCCTTAATTGCAATAATGGAATGTTTCAGGTGAAGCAAAAACTATTTCCCTGGGTTAAAAATACAGGTTCATCCACAAGAGACCAAATGCGCAGAATGTATTCAGGGCCGGGGAAATCAATTACTGAATCAGCTAGCGAGGCACACCAGCGAAAAAGGCGCGCTTTTCGTTGGCCGTTGCAGACAGTCACGCCCCCACAACCATATATGGTGAATTACCTCAATGAAATTTGCATATTAATGGCGACGCATTCCTTAATATATTACGCACGCACAAATTTTACTACAAGACCTGACGACGATTTTTCCGGCTGTCCACGTTGCAGTTTCACGTGAAATTAATCGTTAAAAATGATGAAGAATCGTTTCGGAAAGGGGAGGCATCGAAGTAAGTATATCCTAGATGATATTCGTGTAGAATTTAGGATCGGTTAGAGTGTGTCTTTGGAAAAACGGACGTTTTAATCCAATGTTTTGATTGTGTTTTGGTGTGAAGTTGGTGCTCAGTCGAGTCTGTATCATGCACGTAGAGTACGTGCGGCACAACAACCGGCTTACCATGTACACGTAACCGGAACCGGCGTTTTTCTCACGTGGCAAAATATTCAATGGCAGGCCGGCACGGGTGATGATGTTCACCAGATGTGACGCAGCGTCTTTTCAATTTCATCATCAGACATCAGTGCCCAAAGTGTGGTTTACAGTGCGATCATTTTGTGACTTTTTGATCATAAAATAAGAAATTGAATGATCATTAAAAATAAAATAGACTTTCTCTATCAAAATGATGATAGGGGGCCTATGCTTTATTTTTTTTCTAATTCTGAAGTTCGTGTTTTATTTTGTGCACGTGTTTATTCCCATCCATGTTGTCGAACACGATCATGAAGAAGGAAGTGAATTTGTTATAAAACACAGTCATGATGACTACACATTTTCATTGTTAGACCATGGAGGTTAGACTCATCGGTGTCACTGTATTTACCATGTAGGCTACCCGTAAATTGTTATGCTCAACTTATTCGTCTTTCCTGGAACTATGTTTTTTAAAGTGTAACTAGAAAGTAAAACAAATCGTTGATCATAGAACTTCAAGTAAAATTTACATTTCAATCTGGTGTCAACTCGATCAGGCCTGTAACAACAAATTATTTTATTTTCTGAGTAAAAAAAATCAGATTCCATACCAAATCTATTTCAATTGTTGTCATGAATTACTGTACTGTTTGGGCCAAACATATCCATTAAACATTTTTCATGGATTTGTTTTTTTTGGGGGGGGGGGGCGTGAGAGAAATTATTTTTAGAATTGTTGGCATATCCATGATTAATAATTTTATTTCAAAAAAGAGAAGATATATTCAAAGTGTAGTGGGATAAAATTAGTTCATACAATTATTTGATGTGTAGTGGAGAGGCCACAAATACAATCATCTCTTTCTGCAATAACTATTTCTTTTTAACCATGACTATAAACTAAAATTTGGACCCAAACTTGTTTACGGTAATGTATTTTCCATTTACCTTATTATTTTATCACTGTCTGTCATCATCATTGTATCCTTTTGTTTATGTCTTCAACACTCAAGATTATGAGACAAGATTATGCCTTTATGGCAAAAAATATATACAAAGTTCTCCCAATTTTTTTAATACATTTTAAAATTTAAGTATTTTAACCTCAGACCTTTATTTATTTTAATTTCTGGTAAAAAAAAGGGTTGTCTAATTATGCTCAAGGATTTGATTGCGATATTTTATTTTTTTTGTCATGAACATTATGCATATGGGAGCAGCCAGTAGTACAAAGAAAACCGCAGGAAATAGAAAATTTCCAAATGGCACTTTGGCAAAACCACATGATTATGCGAGAATTTCACTGAAAACTAACGGGCCATAACCATACATCCATTCACTGCTCACACTATCAGCCAGTGCTGCTTATAAATGACCTCCACACTGACCACAACATTAACATTATCACAGAGAGTATAAAAGAGACGGCATTATAGCTTAATCACCATTGTGGCTGGAAAGACGCTGCTGTAAGTTAGTAGTGCTGTTGTCTGCTTAATCTGCGACTGAAAGGGAGATGACATTTACTCGGAAAATGTTCCCTTTTAATCATCATTTAAAGGAATAAAATATTATGGCACTGTGCCACTCAGAAAAAAAATTAAGAAAATAGTTTTCTCATTTAAAATGTAGTGAAGAAAAACTACTAAATTTAAATTTTGCAGTTACATCCACCTTTCCTTAGCATAACTTAAAGCATGTGTTTCCCTTAACCCTAAAAATTAACTCTCAAGTTTGTCACTCAATTACATGTAGGTTAACTTAAATTGTAACTTTTAAAATGAAATAAAATAGTATTCAAATTAAGGCAAGATAACCATATGCGAAGTTCACTAATTTTCCTCTGTATTGACTAACAAGCCCCCAGATAGCAATTTCATTTCATCAAAGTCAATTTGAGCAGTGAGAAAATACAAGCATTTTCTTAGAAAACACTTAGAATTTTTCAGTCCAATCTCATAGGGTTTGTACACAGGGTGTTGAGTGAACTTCGTATACATAGGAAATCTTTCCCAAATTAAGGTTGCATTGAATGTATGCAAAAATGTCTTGCATTTCAACTTAATGTAACAAGGTTAATCGCAAATTTAATAACGAGCCCTTCCAATTTTATAATGTGACCGGCAAACCAGAAGACTCTTAATTTTCTCACTGTTCAATTGGCAAATTGGTATTGACCAGATAATTTTGATGGGAGATTTAATTTTTTAATTTAAATCAAACTCGTCTATGAAAGTGGTAGTGTAGACATGTTGTGTACATGTACTATGTACATACATGTACATGTACTGAGGAGGTTTTTAAATTTGGCAAGAGTCCAAGATGCACCTGCTTAAACTGTATGTGATTCATTATTAAATTATAAAGCTGTCTGGCTGGCAGTGAGCCAGTAGTCATTGCGTTGGTCCTTGCTCGGTGTGTAATCCCACTTACATGTGAGTGCTACCGTATACACTGCTGGATGTATTCCTGTTATCCAGGGATCTTGTAATGGGTTCCAACTCTTGATTTTATTCAAGCTTTATCGTGGTTTTATAACAATGACCACTGACCTGCTATCAACTCGGTAGAGCAATCAGTGTTTAATTTGATCAAACACAATTTACTACATGTACATTGTACATCAAGTGTTGAACCAAACATTCCTTGTTTTAGTCTTTAGAGCAGCAGGATTTGTAAGTAGCTCAAGATGACTATAAGTCATCATAACAAGTTCAGTACTTCATGTCTGAAGAACAGAAGTATGCTCATTTGACCGAGAATTTGGCAAATGGGTCTGAAACCTACAAACAAGTAATCACTTTCTTTCTTCCAAGGAGTGACAATTAACTAGGGACCAGACATAAATTGAGAGTGAAATTCATTCATAGATCAAGTTTCCACTGGATCGGTTGATTTTTTTCAGGGTATTTCTTAAGTTAGAGTGGTTTTCACACAAAATTAACAGTGTATTTTGTCTATGATCGAATTGTCTTGACATGCATTGAGGATTCTTCACACAAATTACAGTGTACGTACAGTTGGCACAAGTTTGTGAGTCAATGCTGATGATGTAGGAATTTTCAGTATCAAGCTGGCCGGGATTATGTTGAGACCTGGCTTCTAAGTCAGGAAAAGTTCACATGGCATTGGTACCGGTACCCATTTAATTCACTTGTTTTTGAAGAACAGTTTGTCAAATCTTAGCTCTAAGAAAAATATGAATGACTCAACTGGCCCACATTCTGTGACCTTGTGACCATAAGTGACCCTGAAGGATGCTGTGTTCTTAATACCCTGTCCAGACATGGGGAAATAACTCATTACAACATAAGCCCAGCTCCCCTGCCTTGCTGGCACTGGTACCATTTGCTGATTACGTACTATTACTCAGAGTCTCCAAGATTTCACCACAGACAGACAGATTTCTGATGAGTTCCATCAGAACATGTACAGTCACTTGCCAATCGGCCGCTCAACCATCTTTGGGCAACAGAGAGAAGTGAAAGGTTAATCAGGAGAGCTGAGAAGAACCTCTGACAACAAACATTCTGCAAAACAATTTTGGCCTTCAAGAAGGAGGAATGGATGTGTAAGATTCTTGACGTTCGTCTCATGCCACATCTGCATAGTTGACTCATTCCAAAATTCTTCTTTGGAAAACGCTTCTGAAGATTGTCTCTGGATAAGCAAGGTTCAACATCTTTACTTATTAAGGCGGTTGATTTACTAGGAGCAATGAGTGATGATGATTACTCGTCGAGTGACGCACTTCTAACGGCAGGTAAAACTGGAAAAGTTTGTAGATCACTACGCATTTAGACCCGTTCATTAAGATAAGCTAAAATGGACTTTGGAATGTTACAAATTTAAGAAGAGTGAGTTGTAGGCCCTATAGGCTACACTAATCTAGTTGCTGAGTAGGTTTTTGTTGAGAAACAACATAGAAGTAGAAGTAAAGGTTTAAGTACAAATAGAAGATTTGTGGAGAAGAACAAATTTATCCCAAATTTTCTAATTGGAAAATTCTCATTTTGTTCATCTAAGAAGGCAAGGGATGGGGCCTTTTAATGGGGGCTTTGTGACACCCTTCATTTCTAAACTCAAAAGCTGGACGTATGGCTGATAGTGATACCGTACCAAAATAGGCCTGTCTTATTACTTGACCACGTGTATACTCTGAATTCAACCAGCATCCATCATAACCCTTCAGCTTCTTTGTTCACCTCCTTATCAAGCCTGCCCTACAGATCTCCCTCCATTTCTTGCGGTCAGCCCTGGACTATAACGCTCTTTGTTTCCCTTTTGAAACAAATCAATATTGGGTTTTATTTCTTGGGTGTGCAGCTGCGGTGCAAGATGTGTGGGGCTGTGCGGCTTCTTAAAGGGAAAATACATCATTTGCAAACATCAAAAAATAAAACTACCAAATTATTTTGAAATACCTTGCTGGACTGTTAGTGAATGACAGTGTAAAGCATCCTGTAAAATCATGGCACCTGGTATACTGTCATTTTCAAGAAAAGTGGTATTTTTGTATCAATTTCCAACGCTGATCGGCCGATCAGCGTTGGAAAAAAACTGGCTTTTTTTCAAATACTGGCCCCAATTGACCATCGCACTTGTTTGCAATCGATTACAAACCTATGAACGGGTACGAGCCAGCTAGACTGGTTCCCTGACCTTACAATTCCCCAATGTATGTAAACTGCTCTGTTTCTTCTTATATGGAGTCAGGGAACCAGACTACAGGAAAATGATTGTTTTTCTTGGTTTTTGTAGCATTTTCGAACCCAAAACCTCAAAAAGTCAGTGTAACTATATTTGCTATATATTTTCAACCCCCCAATTCCATCCATTTCTGAAAATTACAGCAAAAGCAAATGATGTATATTCCCTTTAACCACAGGAAGTGGCCATTATACTGTGCAATCAGTCAAACTTTTAACCAGATAAAGATTTCAGTAGTACTATAGCTTTTTGACGGTGTGGGTTTTTGATAATTATGGAGAAATGTTTACTTTGCCATATCTTGCATTTTATGAATCATTTCTGTTAGAGGATTCAAGACTGGTAGCTAGGGTTAAAATACTGTTTGAATTAACAATATATTGTATTGTACATGTTGAAGAATGTTAGCCAAACCGTGCCTGAAGTTATTTTACTTTACAATTGCAATCCCGTAGGCAAGAAACTGAAAAATGTCATGTGCGCAAAAAGTGTTTGAATTCACGTGGGGGATTATCTGGCTCTTGTGGCAATTCAATGGGATCAGACAGCATGTGGACTGGTGTGCCCGCAACTCTAAAGAGGAGGGTGACCACAAGTATTCCACACATGGCAAGAATGTGCCACTAAAATGAACACTGGGTGGGCGGGCGGGCGGGCGGGCGGGCGGGCGGGCGGGCATGGGAAAAAGAAAGTGACTTCTGAAGCGCTGAAGGTCACTGTGGTACAACTTTCGGCTGCTTGATCCCGCAGATCAAATAAGTGGTGTCTCTGGAGCACCATGTGTCCTTTCTCCATGGGGGCACAAAGTGGAATTAACATCTAGCAAGGAACAGATTGTGGAAGACATAAATCCACAGGTCTGTCTGGCTCTTACTAGAGAGCTTGATCATCTTTGACTTCAGATACATGTATGTTTGCTACGGGTTTTCCGATGTTCCACAATACCTATTTTCCCGATACCAGTGTTCCCCGAAATCCTTAGGGTAAGGGTTAGGGTTAGGGAACATCTATTGGGGAACATAGGTACCCGTTTGCCACAATGATTGCGAAGCACAAGTGTAGTAATAAAGATGTGTCAATTAAATTGGTCCCTGCAGGTGTTGCAATATATGAGAACAGTATAACCAACCTTGCTCTATGGTAGAACTAACTGAATATCAGAACGGTGACTGCTCTATGTTCCGACACCCCTATGTTCCGACAACCTAGATTGTGTAACTCCCGGTTAGGGTTAGGGTTAGGAATAATAGGAATATGTGCAGTCGGAACATAGGGATGTCGGAACATAGAGGTGTAACCATCAGAACAGAAAAACAGTGAATGCTTTAATATAAAAAATCTTCATTCAAAATTGTTTGATCAGTGTTGGTCGTTAAGTGTAAATACTGTATTTCATTTTGTAAATGGGAGATAGGCCTACATTTGTACAGTATTGTGGTACTTGTACTTCCTCATTTTTTTCCACTTGTAAACGTATGTGAACCATTACAATACATTTCCTATAAATGGGAAGTGATTATGCATCATTTCTGTACCAGATGATGTACAGGTACCGGGGAACTTATCTTTCCAAATAACCCAACCCAACTTCCACATTGACCAACCCTGGATCAACCCTAAATCCAGGACATGATATGAACAAACGTGAACACAATATTAATTTGAGTGTGTAAATCTCATACAAGGTTTACTGTAATTTCCTGTTTGACAAATTCAGCAACATGTACCGGTACATAGTTACAGTTGCTTGTTTTGAAACAAGGGTGCGTATGTAATTGTTGTTTTTTATGTGAGTAATCGACTTTTGCTAAAATTTGCTTTTTATAAAAGCTGACATCATAATGAAATCGTACTTCTTAACTTGCTATTTAAACTGGGCTGTTTAAAAAGGGTATACATGTATGAAAAGGACTTCAACCTGCTGAATTTGGCTGCACAAAAAAAGTTGACTGTCCTTCGCATACATTGTATAAGAAGTCACTGTAGCGCAGCAACGTTGTTGAATCGAAAGTATTTTTGGCTCAGACAGCTTTTGTAAAAAGTACATACGTAAGAATGCTGAGGAATTTCTTTCATCGCAGATTGGAAGTACAATGGATAGGTAACTTGTACAGTCTGTCACTGACTGAAATCTTAATGTAGGTGTACTAAGTTTCCCAGGCATCGAAAAGGAAAAGTTTTGTTGACTTTACGCTTCAACTGACTTTCTCTATGAAATCTACATGACCACACGTACAACAGAAATATTTTAAAAATGCAACTTTCTTTCATTGATTGTGTAGTGATGTGTGACGTAAGCTTTTTTCCAAGTCTTTTTTTAGGTTAGGATCAAAATGTGAGGCCCTCTTATGTGTACTCTTTTGTAACAAGAAGTCATTTTTAACATATTGTTATTTGTGTCGTTTCATTTGTACGTACAAGTCTGTATTACCCTGTACAGTGGAACTCTGCTATAACAAAATTGTTTGTAACGGCAATCTTTCGATAAAGCGATTTTAAGCTGCTGGTGTTCCGGTACTCACTATTCAATAAATAGCGCCCTTTTCCTTCAGAACTTCACCCTGCACACCCTGGTGTTGAACTATTTAATTACACAGTTTTGAGCTTACTACCAAAGTACCAATGGGTGACTTTCCCCTTCTATTCCTTTGGAAAATAATAGTTACTTGTCACTCTTGTGTTGACATTTTTCAACAACAATGTTCAGTACGTTTTGTACACAAAAATCGGGAGCCAAGCACGGTGTTCGGTATAGCTGAATGTTCGGTATAGAGTGGTGCTCGGTTTAATAGCGACGTTCCATTATACTACTCCTTTACCTATATCAAAAGTGTTTATTTACATTTATATTTTTCAAACAAAAATTTCTTGTTTCACTTCAGATAAAACTGAATTACAAAGGATAAGCCGTTGTCATTTTCAGAGAGTTGAGTTTTCTTTTCTGAAGCCAGAAATGGAAAAGTGCCAATGTTGCCAGAAATGACATCCATATTCCAAGCAGACTTCATACTGTAATGTCTCCTAGCCATCTGCAAGTAAACAGTGCTAGACAGACCATAGTGCCGAACGCTTTATAAATTGGTTGTCTTTTGTCCCATCTTTATCCTCAGAGTTCCAAGATGACTGGGAGAGATCCAAGGAGCCGGTCTTGGAAGGCATCACCTTCTACGCCAAATACCTGGGTATGTGCCTGGTCAGTATGTCCAATGATGAAACCCATACAGCTGAGGCCGTCAAAAGAATCATACACAATGTAAGTAAACTTATTTATTTATTAAAATTATGTCTTCATATGACTTCATTGTTGTGCGTCTACAGCGTATCTTCTGCATCCTGCTTGCTCTTGTCTGTTGAAATTTGAGTTGTCAACCCTAACCCACTTAAATGGTGTTTTGAAGATATCCTCGTCATACCAGTAATAAAATAAGTTTTAAAATTGATGAATTTGACTTTAACATAGCAATTGTCATAAGAAAGTGAAAAGCTGAGTCATCTTTTCACTTTATATTTTAACAAACAACAAAAATTATCTGTATTCAGTATGATGAATAATTGAAATGTAATCTCAAAGAATTATGAATTTATCCTGGTACCACCACTTTGTCGCGATCATCTTTGATATTTCTGTGAAAAAAAACCCTCAACGTCATTCCCCTTTCGCGACTGTTCAAGGCCAGTCACCCGCCCTACTGAAGCACTTCATTAAAAAACATTTTGCTAACTCATTCACAGAGAAAACAATGTACTCATCAGCGCAGCAAAACCCCAAATGTAAATCTTACATGAATTTAGTTACCAGTTGGTTCAACTGTTCGTGAATCTAACGACTAAAAGAAAAGGTCTTCGGGCTCTAAGATTCATTTGAACTTGGTAAGGTTTAATAAGGTTTTTGCTTTTCTTTTTTTTCTTCAGGCGAAATACCAAAGCAAACTGTTGTTCAAAAAGGTTTCCCTGACGGTAACTCCGAAGGCTATCATACAGACAAACCTTGAAAGGCTCGAGGATGTACAAGAGATTTCAATACACAGGTAATTGTTTCACTGCCCTTCCTTTCTCACCCATCTGTATCACATCTAGAAATGGAGTGACATTTTGTAAGGATGTGACGTTTACATGTTTAAAGGTATAGTCCACCAGTTGTAATTTGTGCATTTTGTTCGTTTGAAGCAACAAAAGTGCTCAAGATCTAAAGAAGGGTGCTGAACAACTAACCTGATGAAGTTTCAGCTCAGCTTTAGCTGTATATTTCGAGAAAAACAACATTCTAGGATCGCGATTCAAATCAAAAGTTGCTGAATCATGTTTTGAATTGGGCCTGAATTCAGCGTCCGACACACTGAGTCGATTGCAGCTACGCTTCGCCAAATAACAAAACGAAATACTAATTTGAATTTCCTACGGCACCGTTGGAAAGGCCTTCTTTTGTTGATTTCTTCAAAATGACAGCTTGCCAGAAAGAATAATTTCACAGGGAGTTTAGTCCCCTTACCATCTTTCAACCAAGTATGTTTTTCAACAATAATTATGCCAGTTACTTTTTGGATAGCTGCAAATGGTGGACTCTGGCTTTAAACGGAAAAACACTCTTAATCCGTTTACGAATATTCAAAAACGAAACCCGAATTAAAAAAAAGGGATCTACGTTCACGGAGTCTTCTTGTGAGAAAACGATGTTTTCAAACCTAGTTATTTTACAAAAGCTTAATACTTGATTACATTTGAAGCACATGAAGTTAAGTTTTTACCTTATCAATGGCTGCCCGTTATTATGACAGTCATTGTTGATTTATCATGTCCATCACGCCTATCTTCAGACATAACGGGCAGGTGTCAGCCTTTATGAAATGGCTTAAAATTACAAACGTTAACAAAATTAAACGCAAAATCAGTTCCTTAAAATTTTACCTGCCTCACTACTTTTTTGGTCAAAGCACCTCAATTACATAAAATTAAAACAATACCCTTAAAATACACTGTCTTTTTTTATCACAGTCTCGAGTGGGTACATTTGTAGAGTAAAATCAGAGTATTGTGCAACAGCTGTAAATGAGGTACAATATAACAAAATGACAGAATGAAAATCAAATAATCAGCCGGAAAACCACCATTTTCCCAACGTTTAAACTCTTTTCTACTCACCAGGATAAGTTAAAGTCAACATTTTATTCACAAATATGCAAAGCAGCTTGCATTATGTTTTCAAAAGTCTACTAGCAATTTAATATCAGTTGAAGTTGAATCAGCCATAACAAATTACAATCACTCCCACCCACTCCTACGAATAAATTAATTGGTCGTAGGAGGAAGTACGTAAAGGTCTTTTGTACTTTTGTATATTTTGTTTTTAAAAGGAACATCTGGCTAAGCTATTAAAGGGATTGTATCGCTTGTATCAGGCATATGATGACGAGGAATAACAAGCCCACACCTTTGAAATGATGGACAATTCTGACCATATATTTGCTCAGTACTTTAAATAGGCTGCTGGAGAAAAAGTCATCATCTTGAGAATTCCAGACTCAACGTACAAATGTACATGTATTTCCTTTGTTTACATGTTCCTCATGTACACGTTTGGCTTAGATAGATAACAATCCAATTAATTTTCTAACCTGCTTCAAAGGAATTTAATGTGTAATATTTTAAATATTTTTCCAAAGGAATAATATTCCAAGATTGTTGAATGAAATACAGAGTAATGGTTACATGTTACTCTTTGTATTCCATTCGTCAATTAATGTCTCATTTTGTTAGGATTATAAAATAGTCAGGGCTATTTATGCATTTTAAGACAGGTGTTTTTTTTTCAAGTTTTCATTTTGCTGTTCAGTGCTCACCTGTCCATGTTCTGCTGTCCCAGAAATAACTACCCGTTCCAGACAGACCGACAGACAGACAGACATAGGCCCTACATGGTGTTTGCACATATGTACACATGTACAGCATACGCGACACAGCGAGTACACATCACCCCATGCTTGACCGCCGGTTGAACCTAGTGAAAAAACACTGTGTGTACACAGGCTTGCACGTTCCCCGTTTATATGAATGACATCAAACCGCCAATCATTATGCGGGGCCCTGCCAAAGGGCACTGCGTCACTGTCAGCAGCATATTGCTTTATAGTATGCAATATGAAACGTATGCATGAAAGGAGCCCTGGGGGGCATGTATTGCTCGGGGCATGTATTGCTCAAGGCTTCTACCCAGTGGCTCAAGGATAAAGCATATTCATGAGCTCAACCGTTAATTTCAGGGCATTAAAACACACTCAATGAAGCTTGTGATCATGTCTCCTTCAAAGCAAAGTGACTAAAATGGCCTGTCCATTTTTTTTACCTAGGGGCATTTTCTCAGTTCCCATAATAATAATTTTTTACAATAACACAAATTTTACGCACGTATATTTGAAAAGATCAGCCTTTGTGATAATGAGGATGAATTTACAATGCATTCTAAATAAATATGCACGTGGTGACGTGCAGACATAAACACTTCCTTCCACTATTCCAGCAACCTCGCTTCTTGTGTACGTGCATAAGAAAAAAAAAAGCTTCGCACATTTATAACCCTAACCGAGTTCGAGAGTACAGTGTGCATTTATGTACATGTGCATGTACATGCACATGTACTTATACATGTACATGTGTACTGGTAAGCCAAGGGTATTTATATGCCACTGCATCAAATTGCACTCCCAGTCAAAACATGACCTGCTTTTGTGAGTTCACCTTAGACTTGCTCTAGTACACTGAGTGTCTGATCCACAGGCGTGTACCTTTAAGTGTCATGCATGGCGTGGTTGCAAAAATGACACTTAACATGATCATACAGAACAAATAAATATTGGTCTCCCTGAAGCCCTGAGACTGTTTATGATAAAAACAATTCTTTATTACATAACATACCTTCATTCAAGCTAGAAGCATGCGATCGTCTTTCACAAAATTAAATCCTTAAAAGGTACTTGTAGTTTTCCTTAAAAAAGGGATTTTTGTTCTTCTAAGCTAGAAACACTGCTCCGGACTTGCACCTGTAGAACAAGTTGATTCCTGAATCCGGCTTGCTGGAAAATCACTCGTTTCAGTGTAATTTCTCCGAGCAAATAGGAAATAAAAAGTACACACAACATACTACATTCAGAATCAGATTAAATTGCCTATAAAGAGCTGTTACGTAATAGACAGAATCATATAAATTGTATAGGCCTATATCAGATAGCCAAGTAGGTGCCATTTGGGTTGATATCGACTCATCATTTACATTTATTTGTACAAGAAGAGTGAAGAGTCTTTTCATTATGATGAAAAAGAGATTACATTTAAAAAACAAAAATAAAAGGGTTTTATACTGAACCATTCCCAACTTTTATACAACATGTTTTGAGATCTCTTACTTTAAGTACATGCAGGTTTATAGTGTATCGTGGTGTTGGTAATTGTCTTTGTATTTAGAGTTTTTACATTTCAAATTTACCTTTTAATTTTTATCCTCAATTACTTATTATGTTTATTAATTTACAACTTTTTCCCCTGTATTTTCTTTATTTGCATTTTAATAGAGCTTTGTATTATTTGAATTAATTTATTATTTTTCAGTGCTTTTAAGAATTTGAAGAATCGTAAAGCGCATTTGAACATGGAATCTGCACTTTAGAAATGAATATTATTATTATTTTATGATGGCCTTAGACATGCTGTTTGAAGTAATATAACTATTATGAGTTACTTATACAACACACTGTACATTTGTGTAATGTGTTAATTTCCTTTCCGAATTATCCATACTTTTATGGCCGGGCCACGTTGTATAGTCCACCTACACTTTACATAAATCTCCAATCCTACACCCACTCTCAGCGATATATACTGGTAGCCATCCAAAGTTAAACTTGTAACCAGCACCATATGGCGACGCAGTTTCTAAACCACACTATTAAACTCCCACGTGTTCTTGTCCCTCCCCTGCAGAATATCCTACTGCGCAGCTGACAAAACAAGCGATAATAAAGTCTTCGCCTACATCGCCAATAACAGCATCACTGAAGCATTGGAATGCCACGCCTACCTCTGCTCCAAGAGGAAAATTGTAAGTTACCAAAAATTAAGAAGGTTCAAGATTTTCATTTATTCTTGCAGGAAATCAGAATTCCAATAATTTCGAGAAAATAATTCCAGAATATATTGAGCCATCTCTGGTTCTTCTTTAAACCACTTCTCTGCATTTTGGAACTCCTTACCTGAATCTTGTTTTCCACCTACTTATTATCTATCCCTGTTCAAAAGAAAATTGAATAATTAACAATTGTTGACTGCTGTGATGTGGGACATGACATTTTGAACACCCAAGGGGTGCTATGCGCCCCAAAGGTGTTCAAAACATCATTTCCCATATCACAGCTGTCAACAATTGTTTTGTTATACCTCTGTCTTGGATTCTTTAGATTTTGATGTAAAAATCATGAAAACAAAAGCAGTAAACACAACAATCATGAGAATTGAACGTCAACTCACATGCATGTTGCGTTATAGTTCTCTGCTCCCACTCATATGTGAAAACATGGTGAAAATAGCATGGGTACCAATGATACAAGCGTTTCACACCGGTATGTACAAAGTCATAGCGCACTCCCTGTGGGATATCACGTACGTGATATCCCACAGGGAGTGCGCCATGTCTCTTAATGAACTTAACACTTGATGGTTCTAGGCCAATGAAAATACAGTATTCAAGACAGAGGTATAACGAATGTAGATATCTTCTCTCTCTGTAACTTTTTCTCTCTATATACTTTCCTTTGTAGCCTGCATCTTGATCGGCCTTCTTGCCTTGTGATGGGCGATTCCCATTAAAAAAAACCCCAAATTCTCCCCCGAATTCCCCCAAATTCTCCTTTGTTGAAGAAACTGTTGGTTTTTGTTTCGGTTTGAATCATGTGTACTTTTATAGATTTAAAACCTACAAAGAGAAATTATTCAAATAAAACATGCATTGTGAGTGTTAATGATTAATATATGTTTCATTTCATTATTGCCTAGATTACAAATTGAAACAAGGAAATGAAAGATGTATATTTTCACAATTATTCACAGTTATTGTGGTTGGTACATGTACATATACGTTTCCAATATGTCTGACAGCTCATGTTTTTCCTGATGACACGCCAATTTTGTCGGTCAGCAGCCAGTTCATAATATATTATACCTCTGGTGATGGTGAAGGTTGCCTACCAAAATGTCAAGCCACCTATATTTTGGACGACCTTTGTCTTCATGAGCCTTCAATCAGTCGCTGCATAACAACTTTCTGCTGCATAACAAATTTCTCCACGCAAATTATTTTGACTTCTTCTTCACAATATGCAACCAAATTCTTATAACCAATTTGTTGAACTTGCAGGCAGAGGCGTTAACTCTCACCGTAGCTCAAGCTTTCAACATCGCTTTTGAATTGTGGGAACAAGACAAAGATGAGCAAGACAACGGATCAGACGACAGCAAGGATGCACCCCCAAGTATGATTTCTTAAAAAAAGAAATTGTAAAATTAATACAAATTTCACAAAAGTATGCTTTCTATGCCTTAATCATCTTGTCAGTGAAAGATTGGCATCTAGATGAGTTGATTTAAGCTGCATGTATTGACTCTTTTTTTTTAGATGTGTAAAAGATAAAAATTAGAGAAGAAATGAAGGGAAATTTAAATTTCTTGACCCCAGGTTGTTAAGGAGAAATATGAAAATTCAAGATATGGAAAGATTTTCCGACTAACAAAGTTATGTTCACATAAAGAACAAATCGTTTGTAAAAAGTTTTGTTGATAGATTCAAGACCAGTTCATGAAATAAATCAGTGAAGTTAATTTCTGATACTTGATTCGTCCACAGCATCACCACTTCAAAAATCTGCCCCTCAGAGTATACCGGGCGGTAAATCTACCTCCAGCAGCAATGGAAGAGACGAAGCTTGCTGGTCATCAGGCACATCGCCTGCACTACCACCCTCCCTGGATCCTCCACCTTCAAGTACAAGGAGGGGTGAGTCAGTCTTAATCTTCAACGTGTATAAATATGATGACCAATTATTCACAGAAATGAAATGGATTATCTCTTTAATTAAAGTTAGTGAAATACACAGAACCACCCAAAACTGACAATTAAAAAAAACAAGTTTTGAGGAAAAACTTAGTGCACTAAGTGTACTCACCTTATAATTTATAAGTGTACACACCTTTGAAAACCATTGCAAAAACTAAACAGCACCATATTTTATCTTGAAATTTAATCGCATACAAAATTTGTAAACAATGTTGCTCATTCCTTTAACAGTATTCCAATAAATTTCAGAGAGGAGAACTTCACACAAACAGAGGATTGGTTAATGTGATTGTTAACCCACAAACAGTTCGCTTTGAGGATTGGTTAACGTGATTGTTAACCCAAAAACAGTACCCTTTGAGGATTGGTTAACGTGATTGTTAACCCACAAACAGTACGCTTTGAGGATTGGTTAACGTGATGGTTAACCCACAAACAGTACGCTTTGAGGATTGGTTAACGTGATTGTTAACCCCCAAACAGTACGCTTTGAGGATTGGTTAAATGATTGTTAACCCATTAGCACCGGTACTACATTGTATTACATTGTATTTATTCACTGAAGAAACAATAAAACCATAGAATGCTCGGGCGATTTCGGGCAGTACAGTGAGTTATAGGCGGGGCGGTTTCGGGTGCTACAGTGACTAAGGGGTTAATGAATTAATAAATACAGTCGAGTCTCGTTATAACAAACTTGTTCGGACCTAGGCAAATTGTTTGTTATATCAGAATTTTGTATTAAGAGGAACATCAGTCCCATTCATTGTGCATATAAATGCACAGTCGGGACCAAGGCTTTGTGTTTGTTATAACCAAAATTTTGTACATGTATTAACAGAGTTTGCACTAACGAGAGTTGACTGTATCTATCCCCTCCAGTATTGACAGTGCAAGCTGAAATGGATCCGATATCAGCGTCAGCCCCCTGCACGGTCCCAGTTGTTCCCCCTCGACGACCCACGGGCAAGCCCCGTTTCTCCCCCTGTATGGTGAACGGTTATGGACAACATGACAGCGGCGTGGATTCCTCAGTGGATTCAAAGGACTCGGATGCCACCGCAAAGCTACTTGAGAATTGGGTAAGTGTAGAGCATGGGCATCGCGAGGGGGGGGGGCAAGGGGGGGCACTTGCCCCCCCCTGGAAAAGCCCCCCCCCCCCCCAAAAAAGGAAGAAAAAAAAGAAAAGAAAAAGAGGCGCGAAGACAAAGTGGTGTAAATTTAATGAGTTGGGGGGGGGGGGGCAAAATGTCCCTGCCTCCCTCTAAAACTGATAAATCGAGAATGTGTTGAGAAATACAAGCATTTTTTGGCAAAAAAAATTTTTGCCCCCCTCTAGAAAAAATCCTAGCGACGCCCATGGTGTAGAGTGATTAAAGAATTTCAACATTAGCATAGTAATCTTGGGCCTTGGTTCCAAAGCCACAAGATTCTTATTTGTAGTCTTGAGACTGAGCACAATTTCCAGTTTATTGCAAGTCTATGGCGGGTCTATGAAGAGCAGGGGGTTTAAGCCATCTAATCTTCCATCAATTTTCTATTGTTCATCTTCCCTTTTCCTTGTATGTACTGTAACTTCTCATTGGTTTTGTACGCATTTTCTAACCGAGGAGTCCTCGATTTGGTTCCTGTCCTCAACTCATTGATGATGTTGCACGTGTGTGTCCTCAATTTACACCATAAACAAATGCAAATACTTGTTTCCTAGTTGTGGGGACAACACGCGAGTCGTCCCATGGTACTATGGGGACCGAAGACGCTAGGGGACAGCAGAATTAAAGTTCCCATAACTCGGTCCTAATTTGCCTAACAATAAAAAACGTCCCCATAATGGGGTGATGGCCCGCCCACACGTAGAGTCTAGACACTGCTGTCTAGAATTTTGTTTTCTAGATCACTGTCGGTTGGAATATAATATCTCACTAAATAACAAACAACAGTCCACCAGAATAAACCTGATCATTTTATTGATTTTAACACCTTTTTTTTTACAGCATATCGGAGGTGATATTGACCTGGATGAAAGCTTTTCAAAGTAAGTTAATTCCTTTGTTTCAGACTGTTTGTCCAAGTTGATCCAAATATGTTTATTTTGATATATTCAAATTACCCACATATGTAATTTGCACCACAGGAAACACCCACACAAAAGCTAATGCCCCCTGAAAAGATAATGAGCCATATGTCTACTTTTGACGCTGAAAAAAATTCCACTTTATTTTGTGTAGGCATGAATATCATGTGGCTGTGTTAGAAATTCAATTTTCCACCGCCGAAATTGTCCCCAAAATTATGGACACCACAACATATCTACATTGATCACTTTAAAAATTATGTGTTAAAGGTCTGGCCTTTCAGTTCTGGGAAGATCATTTCCCGAGACTGAAAGATGCAGCGGACAGAAAAAAACAAACAGATGAAAGGTAAACAGCATAACGGAGGATACTAGAAAGCCCTGGCCTGTTGTATTAAAAAAGGGGCTTATCACTGTATATCACTCTAACATGAAAATCCAATTGGGTATTTTCTTGATTGGGTATTTTCTTAATTTTTTTTCTTCAGATTGGCAGAGAGTCGGTCCAATCCTCAGCTACTGGACATAAATGTTAGGAGGACGCAGTTTGATGCTGACATCATCGTTCATTTCCAGGGCAACAAGACGGAGCGCGATCAACTCCTTGAATCCAGGTCCAGTGATAACTTTCAATTAGATTACCCGTCACCTTGAAATTTGTTGCGAGAAAGCATACAAAAGAAATCAGTAAAATCACGCGGAGCTGTAGTCTAGTCCATCACAAGTCAAATCAAAATCAATCACAGGTCGAATCACAAGTCAAATCACAAGTCAATCACAAGCCAAATCACAAGTCAATCACAAGTCAAATCACAAGTCAAATCACAAGTCAATCACAAGTCAAATCACAAGTCAAATCACAAGTCAAATCACAAGTCAATCACAAGTCAATCAAAAGTCAATCAAAAGTCAAATCACAAGTCAATCACAAGTCAATCACAAGTCAAACACAAGTCAAATCACAAGTCAATCACAAGTCAATCACAAGTCAATCACAAGTCAAATCACAAGTCAAATCACAAGTCAAATCACAAGTCAAACACAAGTCAAACCACAAGTCAAATCACAAGTCAAATCACAAGTCAAACACAAGTCAATCACAAGTCAATCACAAGTCAATCACATGTCAATCACAAGTCAATCACAAGTCAAATCACAAGTTAAATCACAAGTCAGGTCACAAGTAACAGGGGATTAACAATAGACATTTTCGACATCCAGAAGAAATGTTACATATCCGTATAACTACAGCTGATACAGGTAAGCATACGTGGGGTCGTGTTTAAAATTTCAGTTTCGGCAACACCCATAGTGTAAACATCGTGCTGCTGAGGAAACCAAGTCACAATTTTATGTCACAAAGATGCTCAATGTTAACGATACGCCCTGAAAAAAATCCCTCTTTAGCAGCTTCAAAATTGCAATCTGACATATCTGGTACATCACAAGATTAAGAATGAAAGCTTGATATAATCCCTAAATTGGAAGAAATTTTGAGCGAAAATACGGAAATTCATAGGTACTGATCCTGTGTCAATCGCCTTCCACACGTAGTTCCCTTGTCACTTTTTCGTATCACGCATGAGAAAAACGAACATTATGATGAAGTCATTCTTATAATTGATAGGGATACATAATACAGGTGCAAATATTAAACTTGCTGAAACTGTCTGACAAAGGAATATTTTTGTCACACTTCATCTGAACTGCTTGTGACTTGACTTGTAACTAAACGACTTGCGATTGATGAGGACTTGTGAGGACTTGAGTACAACTCTACTATTAAGTTCAGATTCCGAACACTGTTAAATATGGATGTACAGCGTCTCAAGATGTTTCTTAAGAATCGTATATTGGCGTATAAACATTTGCAAACTGTATGTACACCAAAAGCTGTATCTGCATAATTTTGGAATGAAATTGAGTAATAACCCTTGTCAAGGAAAAAAAATGTGAAAATGTAAAATAAAAACAACAACTTTGCAAACTGATATTGCAAAATAAAAGCTATTTAAGGATTGCAAGTGTCTTTGCAAAATTGTTCAGTTTGCATTGAAGGTGAAGCGTTAATCCTGTAATATATAAATTCTTGAGATTATATTAATCTGAAGATTAGCATGCCAAGCATGTGTTTTCAGCTCAGCGTGTTTCAAAAACAAACAACATGAGAAAGAGCTGGAATTTCCCCCCTTTTATTTTAAGTCTTAAAAGTGACAAAGTATGTTTTTCCGAAAAACTATTTATTTGAGTCCAAATGTACAGTTTACATTTTTGGGATCGCATGAAGATGAAGAAGAGTCTTTGCTTTGATGGTACTTGTATTGTGCTACGCATAGAAGTCCATATACAGTATGTGTGATGCGATCAAGCTAAGTGAGTCATTTGTCAGAAATTTTTAGCTGGAGATACAGGCCAAAATAGGGCCACTTCATCACATCACTTCATCACATCTCTTGGTGTTGCAACTTCCATAATTTTTGAACTAAAGATGGTATCAGCATGCAGTTTTCACAGCAGTAATGCTGAGATTGTGCTCTTTTCAAATCTGTCATAAAAAAAAATTGACCAGGGCCGACAAACGACTCATGTAGCTTGATCGCATCATATCTGTTGTTTCCCCCCTCAACTTGACGTATCTTTGGCTATACCCTTTTCAAATCTTTCAAAATCTTCCTGAAGGTTTTGAAGGATTCAAACCCGGACCACAGTGGTTGAAGGCGAGGAAAGTACCACTTTGCCAACCTGACTCCCCATACACAAACCTGACTCCCTACATGCATATATATATGGGTGATTTCTTGTCTTGGGCAAATCTAGTGTTCTGTAATGTCCGTGACAGAGCTTTTAAGAGCTCAGTGAATAAACCTGAAAATGTAGTTTTCAAGTCTCATACATCCTTCATCTAGCACGTGTAATGGTCAAGGAGATTACAGACTAGGAGTTGTTTGTCTGCTCTGTCTCAGACATTACCTTCATGTTATCTCTATTGGATGATGTTGTGGAGTCTTGGTGCTCATTTCCACAGAACCAAACTCTTTTCGGTTTTGTTTGTAGTTTATTTTTCTGTGGTTGAATTGGTTTACCCAGAGTCACACACTGAAGTGGGATTTAACGATTTTTGACTGAGACTTGGGGCCAACTTCAGTGAGCTCCTAATCTTACAAAGTTGCTTAAGCACAGAATAATTTTGCTTAGCGAGTGTGATTACTATTTATAATATGCTGATTATAATGTTATTGCCGTGACTGGTTATCTTTCTTGGCCGACTTTTAGTGCTGAGTATTTTCTGCTTTGCAATAATGTTATGCCTTGGCTGCTTTTATAAACTAAGCGCAAGTTGGCTAGGCGAAGAAATTATATCTTTGGCAAAGCATGTCACAAGCGAAGAGCCGGTCAAGAGAAGATAATTATAGAAAGATGATGTTGTAAATAATTGCATGTGATGTATATTAATTATATATAAACTAGGGGTGTGCAACAGAACCGGGTACCCGGGTACTTGGACCGCTGATGTCAGGAACCGGTTCCAGATTATGGAATCAAGTACCCGTAACCAACTTTACAAATTACTTGGTAACTTCTCAGACAATGAAAAAGAAAGGTTTTGAATGCCATTTGTGAGAAATTTTCAAAATGAAACCAGGATACATGGAAAACCAAAACAGATATCGCATATGTGTACATTTAAACGCACGATGTGTGACACGCGTTGGGTTTCTTTTACGGGTACCCGGGTACCCGCATTTCAATAGGGTAATATACCCGGTTCCTGCACGACCCGTAAATGCACACCACTACTATAAACTCATTACAAAATATTGTGGATTGCAAAAAGCCAACAAAATGCTGTACAGATAATTACTTTCTAAATTGGAATTCAAATAAGAAATATAATCTGTGGTCATCAATAATATAGGAATTTGACGTTAAAAACAGAAATGGATTTCACAGAGAACTATTCTCAAGTATTTACATGTATTTAAAAACTGCCCATCTGTAAACTTATACAGAAATTGTTCAGTTTTTATTTTAAGTTGACGAAATTGTAATCCAAATATCTATATTACACCAAATACAAATTTCATCATAAACAGATCCACAGGCTGCCATTATGGTAAGCAATTTCGACCAGTGTCTACCGATGAATTAAAGAAAATTTGCTCAGATAATCAACTGTTTAGGGCATTAACTAAAGGTCAAATACAAGTTGACAAGTTCAGGTCCTGATAATGTACTATTTTTACATATCATAGGCAAGCTGTGACAAATTTTCAGTAGATTTACCTATAAAAAAAGGATATGTACAGAACAAAAACAAATTGGTATTTTAGGAGCGCTTTTAGGCAGATGGACCGTACCTTACTCCTGATCCTCGGCCACCCTCAAATCCTTTACCAATTATTTCCTGGATTTGTTTGTATTTTTTCTCAATCTCACCCCTGGTAATTTCAGAGAGCTGAATTATTCTTCATCCCAACCCCCTTCCTCCCTGCCCCCTCCCTTCCATTTATCAATCTGTGGATGTTTGATCGAAATAGCCTTTGATTTGTAAATGCCTTTATAAACTGTTTGGCGTTTCAGAGAACAAGACCAATATGCATATTATTTAGAGGCTGACGTTTATTAATGCTACTGGATAATATGAAAATATATTTGGGTGTTTTTAAGCCATAAAAAGTACGGTTTCTTTGGTTTTTAATCAAAAGTTAGTTTTGTAAAAACTTTGTTTCAACGTCAGCGATTGATGCCCCTGACTCGTATCTGGATTCCAATTGGTTAAGAAGGATAGTAACTTTCAGACAGTTATTTTGTGATTTTTTTAATGACTTAACATAAACTTTTGATTTTAACAGTGATAAAAATCTGTTTCGATTTTTTTTAAAAACATTACAAGAAATGGTTTCAAAGAAGTATATTTTATAACAAAAGATGTTCAGCTGAAGCTTTGACACTTATTAAATTCATTTTATTAGGAATTGTATGAAGTGCAAATTAATGAAGAAGTACGTAAAAGGTCTGATCAGAATGAAGACAAAATTGTTATCTTAAAAAAAGGTTCTCAGTAGATAAAATTTCAACCAGTCAGATGTTAATTTAAATTGCAAATGTTAAAATATTGAAATTGAAAATTGTACGAAAAAACTTCTTTTCAGACAGGTTTATGCTTCGAAACGCACAAAGTTTGTTCCCCATCACATGCTCCAAAATTATTTACAAAATGTTAGTTGTGGTCATTATAAATACATATGTAAATTTGTTGTTTTGACCAAGTCTTTCCCATATGTGTTACATTTAAACGCCTACATCCCTTTGTAATACTGTTATTAAAAATTTGATTCATAGTGAAAGATGCCCCTAAACTTACTTCCACGCCTTGATAAGGCTAATAATACTAATGACGTAATGGCTTTGTTTACATATGCACTTTCCTATGGGAGTGAAGTTGGGATGTAAGACGAAGTAGGGACCGTTCGCCACATAGGAAAGCGCACATTTAAACAAAGCGTGACGGCACTAGGTCTCAGGCCTATTCCTTTGGCTTTTTCTGACAAACAAAACTATTCCCACATTTACATGTATATCACACAGAATACCTTAACAATCTGAACTAAATGCATGTGTTTTTTTCTGTTGAGTTTTTAAAGAGTTCAGTATGTTTTAGAGTTGTATGTTTCGTTTTATTTATTTTACCTTTAGTTTACTGAAGTATGAATGTATCCTTAAAGGAAATAAATAATAAGTTATATTTAAGTGAGGATTTAATTAAATTCCAGGTGGAATTTAAACCGAATGTTTGAGTGTGGAAGATGTTTGTTCTTCATATGTTCGCAGTTGCTTTCGAAGTCAACTCAATAGATGTTTAACTCAATAAAAAATTACTGAAACATTATACCACCAGTCCGACAGAGGGCAGCACTACAATTTTACGATAGCAAGTGGTATTTGCCCAATAAATTATTGTTCACATGAAAATATAATAATCCCCGTGAGAAAGACAGCATCGGTTCTCGTGCAACTTCGTCTATATTTTATGGATTATCTCTACAAAACGTTCCAAGGCTCTTGACGTCAGCATCCGCTGTGAAAATGTAGACATTGGACAATGCGGGCATCAGACAGACTCTCGCAGAATAATCCCTGATTACACAAATTCATGGGCGTGTCCAGATTTTAGTTGGGAAGGCGGGGGGGGGGGGCCTGAAGCGGGATTTTTGTTTCTTTAAAAATTGCCTTAGTTATTAATTATCCGCAAAATCTTTTTCAAAACAGGGGCTGGGTGGATTGAACATGTTGTGAAGTGGTGCCGCTTTCAGTTTAAAAAAAAAAAGACTGTCCCGCTTAGTATGCCACATCTACCCCCCCCCCCCCCCCCAAAAAGCTGAAGTTACGATGAACAGGGTATATGCATGTAAATATTCTCTTCTGCTGTACGGTAATGTCTGATTCGAGTATTAAGAACAGCTTCGGACAATCATTAAAACTGACCACTGCAACTGGGCCGCATTATCGCAAAATGCCGAATCCTCCAGTATTTAAGCATGGACGTTCGTCACAGTCTTATCAGTTTTTAAGGTCGGGTTGACACATTCCTAGAGAATCATAAAACATTTAGAATTAAATCCGCCATCTCCCCGAAATAAATATGACACAAACAAAATATTCACTGTCGACACAATAGAATTGTCATCGATTTCTGCCAAATCAATAGAAAACAATATTGATTGTTTCATTGTCTTTGTATTACATCTGTCCATTTGCGTCCGCTTTGATTTGGTACACTTATATCAGTTCATCTTTCCTATGAGCGGAGAGGAACGGATCCTTGGCAGAAAAATACAATAAAATCGTCTTTGGAGCGCGTTTTGGAGTACATAAAACAGGTAAGATTTCACATCCGTAAGGCTTAAGTCCGTTGTGCATTTTTACTGAAAATCCTTGCCGAAAATCGAATCAAAACGTTGGCAAATTAAATAATTCTGGCAATTTTATATACTGGTGTGCAGTGGTTTAGAGGGTCATATATTTTATTGATTAAATAGTATCGATTTTGTTGTGCTCTTTTTGAATTTGGTGCAATAATTTACATCTACAACATATTTACTCAGTAATTTAACAGATATTTTGCTAAAATATTTTGGTGGTTTTTTTAAAGAAAGTAATACCGTCAATGTGGTGTCGTTATTTTTTCTGAAAGGTTTTCTTTAGTACCAAAACAAATACTAGATTGTATTAACGTAACAAAAGCAACTTAACGCAGTTTTCATCATCAGGTGTCTGGGAAAACCTTCCTTCAAAAGGACACATCTTGTTTACAAAATTGAAGAAGAAACCGTCATTTTGTTACAATCTGATTTCTTTTAGTTTGCCGAGTGGCGCTTGTTCTTCAGCTCAGCGTCGCGAGGCAATATTCCGCCGCCGATCATGGCCCGTCTGAAACCCAGAGGCTGGTTCGCGCTGGTGACCTTACTGATTGCGATTACCCGTAAGTACATCACAAATAAATGATATTTAACTATGAACGTCATGAAATGACATAGTTTGAGTTTCGATAAGTGCTTCGTTTTAAGTTTTTTTTAATAACGATATACCAAGTATATGCCCTATGCGTACAGGGTGGCGATACAGAGTGGTGAATCTACGGGGATATGGGGGGGGGGGGGGCGGGTAGGGAAAACACAGCAGAATAATGCCCGCTACCCCCCCCCCCCCCCCCCACCCACCCAGCAGCGCTAAAGGTTCCTCTTGATCTAAACCTTGATCCGCCCCTGGAGACAAGCAGTTTTATTGCTATCTGTCTATTTCTCCCTTCGACATATACATACAACTTGGACATATTCACAAACCAAACCAAATCAAATCCTACTATGTGCCACAAAATGTGAAGAACGTCCCAAGGAAATAAAGACGAACGTTTGCATGCAACTCCCACTAAGTTGATCTCTGTCATTTGCCCTGATGACAAGTAAAGTCAATTAAGTAATGAAACATAATCTCTCCTTCTTCTTCTTCTTCCAAGTTATGCGCCAACTTAACTATAACATAATTATGGTAAGGCACATTGTTAGGTGGTCTCCAACCTTGGAGACGAAATGACTGAAACTGTCCCGCTGTTTTCACCGGAGGAGCAGCATATACTACTCCTCGCAACAAATTATTTTGAAGAAACAAAAGAAGTTGTCTTAAATTCTTAAAGAATTTTTTGTCATTTTCTTGACCCTATACCCCAGGAACCGAGGCATCCGTCAACATGCAAACCAAATACGCTTGCGAGGGTGAGATCCTCAGTCTGGACTGCGGAGAGAAGTACATCAAGGTGTGGAGCGCCCTCTACGGCCGTGCCAATCCAACCATCTGTCAGGAGAACGTGATGGCACCCCTTCCTCACGCCTGCCGAGCCGACAAGTCCAATTTTGAGAGCATACGTCACTGTGACGGCAACAACACCTGCGAGATACGGGCGGAGAATTCCGTCTTCGGAGACGCGTGCGGCAGCATCAAGAAATATCTCCAACTGGAGTTCTACTGCCGCAGCGAGAAATCTTCAGAATGCAACCCAAGAGGTATAAAAACTTCCCTTTACCATCTCAACCCATTTCAAAACATTATTTTTTTCTTATCGCAAGTCAAAACACTGCTCCTTTAAGGTATAACGCATATCGAAATATAGAGGGCGCCCTTCCGATAAACTTGATCTTCCGGGAAACTTCAAACTCCATATGAGTGAAGATGGTTGTTTTGTTGTTACGGGAAACGCTGTAAGTTTGCAGTCTAATCACACTAATCAATGGTACATCTGAATCCTGAAAAGAATATCCGAAGATCGTTTGACTGGAAATGGTCAAAACTGGCCTTTTTATATATGTCAGTAAAATTACCAGTTCCCTTGCTGAGGCTGAGCGGTCCAGCCGGCCGGCTGGCCGGCGCGTAGACCCGTGAACGTGGCTTGTAAACTATTCACGGGTCTAGCCGGCGCGGCGTTCGTCGTGTTTCCGTGTTGGTTCCAACAGCCAAAGATCCTGACGTTATTAAATACTATAAGTCAGAAAACCAGACGGTTCCATAACGATAGCAGTTGAAAAATGATAGCAACTGCGTAAAAAAATACTCGGCAATGAGACGAAGGCTTGTTGTAAAGTTTCATGCTGACGACAAAAGCCCACGCACTAAACCTTGTCAGCATTTCCTGAAATCAGTTTTAACATTAGATACGTAAATTATATAGGCCTATATAAAGAATTGAACATGTTGGCTTAGCCTGCGCCTGCATTTTTTGTTCTTACTTAGTTTTAATGAATATCAAGTTGTGATATTCATATTAACTTCAGTTCAGATATGAAGTTTTAATTAATGATGTTTTTGCGACTTGAGTTCTACACTACTACAGGCCAAGGCCTTTTTTCTTTACAAATTAACGTCACCAGAAACATATGCATGTTGACCCTCATGCTACATTGTTATTGTGACTTGACATTGACAAAATGAAAGGTTCTTAATATCCAAAATATTTACCAAACTTCTAATTCTTACAGACTCTCCGACGTACAACACCAAGTATGCCTGTGATAACACTGACTTGGTGTTGGAATGTCCCAACCCTGGAGACGTCATCAAAATCCTTGATGCCAACTACGGTCGGCAAGGCTCCAATGTCAACTGCACCTACAGGCCCGGCGTCGACGACGTTTTCTGCGACGACGATACCGGGGAGTCCTTTGAGCATGTGTGTTTGGAGTGCCGCGGAAAAACAGAGTGCACCGTTCCTGTCAGCCCGCAAGAATTCAAGGATCGCTGTGTGAATACCAACAAGTATCTGTCAGTGCAGTATGTGTGCATTTCAACAGAGCCTGAAGAGGAAGAAGGTACTTTATGTTCAGAATTAATAGGTTTTATCTCTGTTTTCTTTTTTTTTAACCTGCTCTTTCATTTTGGAGGATTTTGTTAGAGGAAAGAATGTTGTTCCTGACGCCACTTCTTTGGTTTTGTACAGTCTATGGAGAGTTAAGTGCATTTTCAAAATATTTTCTACCAAGTTGGAAATGTTTCTCAGTCCCAGATTCATGTCTTTTCAACATTTTTGCAATGACTGACCTTCATTGAGATAATATATGAAATTATGATGAAGAAAGTGGCGTCAGGATGCAACATTCTTTCCTTGTTGGATTTAGGAAGGTGGAGTTTACCACTATAACTTTATATGGGGATCAGTGCTTCTTGGATAATGACATTGGGCATTTATTAGGTTCTTGCAGTGTGGAGGGTTAAATTGAATAAATTGTGAAAAATACAAAATTGGTTTGGTATCTGCTCCGTTCACAATTGCCCCCTCACTGGCAAAGAAGGAACAGTTGGGGGTGACCGACCGACGCCATCTTGCCTGACTGCAATTCATTTGCCGCGAAGCGCGGCCACTGCATGTACATAGTACAAATCCCCTGGTGTACGTGCGTCATACACAAGGAACGGTGCGCGTCAACCAACGAAATGTCCCGCCCATGGGACGTCGTTGCTAGGTGAAAGGGCGCCCTCTTTGTCGGCGCACGGAGCCCATATTTTACATCGATTCTCTATCTCTGTCAAGTGCCAATTTGGATCAGTGGGCATACCACTGGCAAAGATATACATGTAGGGCCTAAACAGTAAGTTATTACCTGCAATTTATCGTCCATACATCCAGTGTCACAGCCAGGATTTCTTTCCATTCTTTTCATTGCCTCTTCTTTTCTGGTCAATGTAGAAGAAGATGAAAGAGAGACTCCCCAGGAAAGTGAAATTCCTGAAGATAATAACCGACCACCACCAAGACCTCGACGTGAGTTTTTTTTAAGATGATCATGAGTCAACACGTTACGCAGATCACAACTTCTCTATTTCATGACTGATTTGTAAACATTCCTGTCCTGTTGTGTAAATAAAAAGATGTTAAGCGTCCCCAAACTCATTTTGAGTTGATATACATGTGATTTCGAAAACTTGATTTTAAAATGTGTTAAACAGACATGGTGTGTCTAATAATACCGATTCATTTGTATCTTCGTTGCTGTCTTTGTTGCATTTAAACAACAATATTTTATTAGATGACAAGAATTTTGTTGAAAAGTCATCCATTATTTCTCATCTATACCTGGGGCTCACTGCAGCAAGGGTTTGCCGCTTCGTTTTGCATAACTATTTTTTTTCTTCATATTAATGCATCATTACAGCTGAACCAGAGGGCACTACTACCGCAGCACCAAAAGGCCCAAGTGAGTGTAACTGACAAAAAGAATCCCATTGAAGCCTTTAAGTCTCACTCAGGAATGAACTCAATAAATATCATAACTAGGGCCCATCTCAGTTCATGTCTGGAACGAGTTCCAGACAAATTGCAGACATTGTATCGGGTATAAGTTGCAGGACTTGGAACAACTTCCTCGCAATCTTCCCGCAATGAAGTTATCGGTATTGGTGAGTCAAGCAGTTGCTTATGAAAATTTCCCCGGATCATGTCTGGGACAAATGCAGAGCTTCTTCCGGACAAAGTGAACGATTCTACCTGCAACTTGTCCGGAGCTTGTCCCGGCTATAAAATGAGACAGGCCATAAGTAACACAAACGGCCGTATGGTATCAGGTATCCTGACCAATTTCCTTGGAGTCCTCCTGAATTGAAGTTATCAGCATTGATTCAAGACTGATAACTTCCTGATGTGAAGATTTGGGGGAAATTGTTCAAAAGTCTGCAACAAATAGCCATACAATGTACTTATTTTGGATAAACTTTGATGTAACTTTTCCTGGAAATTTATGAGATGACCTCTTATAGACTGCTGATCCATGAATGCATTTGCAGTCCATTTGTGTCAGTTGTGGAGCTACGCAAATAGTTTGCTGATAAGCTTTCTTACTCAGTTGCTCAACAGATGAAGTTGGATTTGTAATTAGTTTGATTTAAGTTTGATTTCCTTGAAGCAAGTTTTCAGTAATTGTAGTGTGATAACTGATTAAAAAAATGCTAACAGGAAGTCTTTTGTTTTCTTTGCTAGTATTTTTCATGCTTCCCAAGCCTGGACAAGGTAAATATGAAATATTCATTGCAGTATTGATTTTTAATATGCTAAGTATGTGGAGTTGTGTTAAATTATGCATATAGTGTATATTATACTGAATATTTTTGTTGTTGTGTGGAATAAATTATTAATGTTGTTAAAGTCAACCCCAATTTTAATTCTGCTTTCAGTGATTTCTGGAAGCATTGGATCTGCCACTGGACAATCTGACACTAAAACTTTCACCTGGAATGGAGGATTAGAAGCACCTAGGCCGGGTAAGAAATCGTACATTTTAAAAATTAACGTTACATTTTTTAAATTTTTTTTAATTTTTTTAAATTTTTTTACATTTGTTACACTAATTATATTATTTAATACTCAAACCGAATTTAAAAAGTGAAAAGGGAAATCTCACCTGGTCATCCAGTTTTCCAATACGTTTGTAGTGCTGTGGTTGTTAATTTTTGTTCTGGCAATCCTATTTATCTGTTTTATGTTAGTCTCTTTGTCAGCTTACTTGTTTTATTTTTTTCTTTTCTTCGTTTGTTAATTTACCTGCTTAGTTTGTGTGTGTTACAATGTATTCCCTGTTAAATAAGAAATGAAATGAAATGGATATGTTTCACTGTTTAAAATGACTTAAAAATAAAGTGGTATTTCTTTTAGGAAACGTGGTAAATGATAAGTATGAACAAAACTTAGCTTCTGTATGATACATAGATTAAAGCGGTATTGCCCAGATTTTAAGGTCCTTATTTAATGCATACAATAACCTTAAATTTGGTATCATATTACGCCTTGTAGGATCCGGCAATACAGGAGGAAGTATTGGATCTGGCACTGATCCAGGATCTGAGAACACCTTCACTTTTCTCAGGCCTGGCCAAGCTGGAACGCCGGGTATGATTAACATTTTTGTTTGAATATTGGTCATTTTTATTTGGAATGTAATTGAACCTTTCCAACGACGGATTTGGTATCTGTTAAGTTTTGTTGAGTATTTCCACAAGGTTCCGTTCCTTTTTGTCAGGATTCTTTTCACAAGGAAAAAGGAAGGAATGGTATTTTATTTAGGTTCATTCATAGTTATTCAACAAGATTCTTTTTGTAAATGAACTTTAAGAATGGCAACAGTTTTACTTTTTCCGAAAGGAAAATTGAATCAAATGCAAGCAGGTAGATGTTGTTTCCAGGACAATTAAATAGCTTCAAGTTTTATTCCTCAGATTGAAGATGAGGAATTCCATGAGAAATGATGTTAACTAAGCCAAAACCCTTCTTTCGATACCGACAGGTAAAAATGGAATCCAGGGAAGCATCGGTTCAACCCGACCTGATGGGTCGGAGAGAAGCTTCACGTGGGGAGGTAAGTCATCATTGATTCATCAAAGGTTAAAATTAGAGAAAATATGGAGTTTAGATTGATACTGTAGCATTAGAATTGCCTACTATCACAGTATGACCTGGTACAAGTAGAGATAGACACTATTTAAACAGTTATTCAATGTAACTCATTACCGAAACTTAATTTCTTTCAAGAGCAGATCCAGGGTGGATCTTTGGAGGGGGGGGGGGGGGGGGCAACAGGGGCCATCCCCCCCCCAAAAAAAAAACGAACCAAATTTTTTTTTTTAAGTGACGTCGCAATAACGGCAGGCACTGCGTACACCATCTTTTCCTCAACAAAAATTGGTTAAAGTGGTCAGAAATTGCCTCGGATCGCACCACAGAGCATCTAGAATCCAAAAAAATTTCAGGGCCCTTAAGCGGGCCCCGAACCCCACGCTGTCATTTTTTGACCCACTTTTTGGGAGACCAAATTTTTTTTTGGCCCCCAAAAAATTGTGTTCTGGATCCGCCCTTGTTTCTTTTCATCTAATAAGTGATTACACACTTGGATGTTAATATATGTACTGAAGTATCACCTTGCTAGGGCCTTCAATCAAGCAGTACCTTTTTTTCGGGGGGGGGGGGAGGCCTGGAGGTACATGTATTTACAATGAATTTGTTTTGCAAAAAGTTCAACAATGTTCAACCCTAAATGACAAAGTGAACTCCTTTTGCATAATTTCTCCAGGAGAGCCATTTGAAGGATTCACCTCTCTCTTTGCACCTGTCGGAGGTAAATTTACAAGATCTTACCTTTATCCTTGAAAAATGTTTATAATAATGTTTACAGAATGCATTCTGTAAAATTTAGAGATTTCTTAACTGTCAAAATACATACACATGTAGATGCATTAGCAATGATATTCTATTGGTTTGGATTTTCGATGTATAACAAGAAAAAAAATCCCTTGTAGGATGCAGAAGTTGAGGATGCAGAGGTTTTAATTTCAGTTATTTGTATTCCTTTGTAGCTTCATGAGCAATATTTTTGATCTTATATAAAAATATTGAAGTAAAATTTAGAGATTTCTAAACTGACAAAATACCACACACGTAGTTGCATTAGCATTGATATTCTATTGGTTTAGATTTTCGATATGTAACAAGGAAAAAAATCCCTTGTAGGATGCTGAAGTTGAGAATACAGAAGTTTTAATTTCAGTTATTTGTATTCCTTTGAAGCCGCTCCTGGTTCGACTGAATTGATCATGAAGATCATTGTGACTACCGACGCGAGTGGACAGAAGTATTTCACCTGGCAGGCAGTGCCAACAGGAGCAACACCTGGTAAAAATAGACATACTGACAAACAGACAAACTGTTTACATAACTGATCTCTTGTAAACTAGCTTTAGACCTGGAATTGCATACAATTGTATCTACCGGTAGGTCACGGCTAATGTTACCCTGGACTTGGCCTTGTTGTGGCACAAAATACTTGCATCTATATAGACTTGTACATTTTCTAGTTAAAGGAGATTTAATCTTGGGTCTTTAGGAATGAAAATGTGAGGTTTCTAACTTTTCAGTTAAAGGTCTAGTATTTTCTTACTCTAAAGAGAAAAGAAATGAAAAATCAAATTCAAGTCTGGAATTGGAAACTGATATTTGACAAAAAATGTTCATGTGTACCACAGAAGAAAACTATTATGCATGCTGCAACTGCCCAGGTACTTATTAACATAGCAGGCCAAGATGTTTTGAGAAAAAAATGTTGCAACCTGATGCCACTTTTTTCTTCATATATCATCTCAATGAAGGTCGGTCATTGCAAAAATGAGGATAACACATGAATCTGGGACTGAGAAACATTTCCAATTTTGTTAGGAAATACTTAGAAAATGTTCTTGACTCTCCATAGACTTTGTACACAACTGCTGAAGTGGCGTCAGGTTGCAACATTTTTTTTTCTGGTTTTGATTTCCAGAGGCAGAGTATGTCAGTCAATACTTTAAATGATCAGATAGATAACTTACTTTATTATCTTATTTTCCAGGTGGTGCTGAATATCTGATGAAGATTGACCTGACCAAGTTAGCTCAGTACACTCAGCAGTTTACATTTGCACAACTGATTGAAGAGTTCAACAGGGGTATCACGTTCTACAACATGTACAACAGTAAGTTCTCACTACCTTCAGTCATTAGCCACATCTGACGTACTGGGATATGGCTGGTATTAACACACATTTCTATGGGAAGTGGCTTAGCCACTTCATAGCCACATGTGTGATTGCAAGTAATTTCGGCTGTGGCTTTTCAATTTGTTTTTACCTTACTATGCTCTGAAAAAAAGATACATGTTTGTATTCTTTGAACTTCAAACTCTCCATGTTTTGGAACACTGAATTGTTATAATAATAATAATAATAATAATCGGCATTTAAGAACGCTCAAGCAATTAGTGACAAAGTGCCTTGCTCAAGGGCACACGCACCATGACCCCGGCTGGACTTGAACCCACAACCCGCAGCTTTACCCACAGACCACGAATCCAGTGCCCTTAACCACGAGGCCGCAGCACTCCACTACTTCTAGGTATTGGTGTTTTAAATATGAACAAAATTGACTTGTTAAAACCATCAACACAAGGCTCAAAAGTTCAGTTGTTGTGTAACAATACAGCATTCCAGCCGGCATAGGTTCAAATCCCGCTTCAGTCATTTTCTTGGTTCAACTTCATGCTCTTGTTTTTAAATGCTAGAACCATCTGATGTCAGTCCACCATTCCAGTTCAGCATCGGCAAGGGTCTTACGGCCTTCTTTCCATCCATATTTGAACTGATCACTGAAGTCGATGCCACAACAGGAAAGACAGGTTAGTGTACAACAAAAATTGAAAACTTGCAATTTGAACTTTTTTAAAATTTATTACTTCTGGTACTGAAACCAAGGATTCCCCAAATAGCGCCCTAGGCACTGTAAGCTCGCATTCCTGAAGAAACCTGTAGAGAGAAGTGAATGAGAAGACATTACAGTTTTAGAGGTGGAAGGAAAAGCCCAGAAGAATATTCTGGGGAAAACCCACGGAATCAGGCAGGGACTGAAAACCCAATCCACATATTGGCCCGGCTGGGATTCGAACCTGGGTCACAGCTGTGGAAGGCGAGGAAAGTACCGCTACGCCAACCTGACTCCCTAATGCTGGTCTCAGAATTTGTCTTAATATACCAGTGAAGGGGTCGTTTGTCAATTTTTATCACAGTATATTAATGTAAAGAACTCTGGATGGACGTCTAACCTACTGTATCAATGGAAAAAAACTAATCAAGCAACCACATCAAGAAAGTGATCTCATCCTCTGTTACGACCAAGGCAAATCATGGTACCTCTTTAGTGAAGGCTTTGTAGCTTGTGGTCACTGATATGTGTATTGTTAACTATAGAAAATACAATTTTGAGGCAGATGAATGAGTAGCTGTTCTTAAGATGCTACACCTGTTAACTTCACTTGGAATGATATAACACATCACTGTCAGTTGCTCTACAACCAGCTGATGAAAACGTCTTGATTTTTATAATTTTTTTTGCAGTCACCGTTCCATCCCCCTCATCGTCCAATTTCCAAGTTCTTCTTGATGGAGGCAACAGGCAAATCATTGAGTACCTCATGTCATTCACCAACATGAACCAGCAATTACGATGTAAGTTGCCTTCAACTTGATGAACAATGTCTTACCTGCAACTGACACACAAAAACTCTGCCACCAGTACATTGCAAGAGTCTTTAAATAAGCACCGACATCCTCATGAATCGGGATCGGCCATGCTGTGCAAGACTGGGAGAATACTGTTGCAGCTACCAGTTGTCGCCACCCACCCCAAGTGACCCAGCCGACATATAGAGACTGACTGACTTCTCATCAGGACATTAGCTAATTTTGAGGAATGATATTCGGCTGAAAGAATTATTTGAACTGAAAAAAAATTGAAATAATTTCATTATATCCGGTCAAATTTTGCTTCAACTTCTTCAACAAATTTTGTTTCGACAAAATGAGAGAAAATAAAAGATTGAAGGAGCTTTACTGTGAAAAAAAACCCTGTTTTAGGTGAAAACAGCAGAGTATTAACTACGTTTATTTTTCTCCTGTTAGCTGAACTGCTTGATCACAATCTGAGGATACCACTGAGGTACTACGATGAGACAACCAAACAGATTGAAGACATCAAAATTCCCTTCTACGTCAACTACAATGGTTTAACAGGGTCCCTTTCGACTGTTTACAGTAAGTAATAATGTACAAACTGATTGGTCAGTTTCTCGAGGTCATACGCAGTCTAGTTGCATAATTAATTGCCAAATCTGTTTACGTACAATAGACCATGGTCAGCTTCGCCTGGGCCAGGGTCTACCGGTATTACATAGACTAGGATTACTTCAGGTTCAGCCAAAAGTTGTACTAACTACAGCAAACAAATTGTGCTTACCGCATCTAGGCGGATATCATGACTAAGACCATCTTTCGGTCAATTTTGTATTGAGAACTTTTTACATTAATGATGAATTTTGACAAATTGTTTTAAAAATATTGATGGCTTTTGATTAAACTACTTGAAACAACTTTTTTGTAGATGCAATGCCGAAACCAACATCCCAGTTTGGAATGAAGTTTCAAATCATTGGGGAGGACGGCAGCAGAGAGCTCATCACCTTACCCCTCACTATCGTTGAGGACCAAGGAAAGAAGATGCTCTTCTTGAGTGAGTAAATTCCAATTTCCTGATGAAATAGTCATCATCTGTTTGTTTTTTTAAAGCAAACCAGTGTCATCAACAAAATAAATCCCATCAGCACCGTTGGATGTCTGTGAGTGTGAGCAATGTTGCTTCTGATTGAGTACCATGTGAATAATCGAGGTGCTTCAACACTGCCTGCACATACATAAAACTTACTGTAGCTTATTCATGTTCTCTTAATTTTTTCAGCATCATTGCAAGTATTCTTTCCTTTTTTTCTCTTAAAAACCTCAAATTCGAAGGAGTGGAGAGGGACACTATAATAATAATGCATATTTAAAGTGCATGTATCCACCAGTATTGGTGCTCAAAGCGCTACATTATTATTACCCTGCTCATTGGGCCAATGAAACATTACAAATACAATCTCAGCTCCCTCGGTGCAAAGCAGCTAAAATCAACCACTAGATACTATCTCTGCCCTCACAGGTACCCATTTACTCCTTGATGGAGAGAAGTAATGAGTGACAAAGTGCCTTGCCCAAGGGTACACGCACCATAACCCTGAGCTGGACTCGAACCCACAACCTGCAGAATTACCCGCAGACCACAAACTCAATGCTCCGGACCACAAGCCACGGCAATTTCCTAGTTGGAAAGAGAAATATAATTCTGCCATGGTTATGCCTATGTCAGTGACTGTTTGATTACTTTTTAAAAACAATTCCATTGATTCCACTAATTGTCATGCAAATATCAAATTGCTAACTTACTTCTCTCTGCAGCACTGTCAACCTGTGCTGCCTATAAGATGTATGGCTTTGGTGACGACAAGGAATATCTCATTGATCCTGATGGAATCAACAAAGGAGAACAACCATTTGTTGTCAACTGTAACATGGAAAAGGGTGAGATTTTAGTGCTTTCTGTATATTCACGAGTTGCTCTTGCCATACATGATATGAAAAGGAACGCATTTTTGAAACATGTTTTTGTTTTCACCATTTTGTTGTGAACTGTACCATAGAAAATTATGGTGGTGTTATAGTGGTTTTGGGAAAGAAGAATTTTATGTCTTGTATTTTGTGCAGTATTTTAGCCGGAGTTTGTTATTTCAGGGGCTTGGTTGACTGCAGTGAAAGTTTAAAGCAGTGATATGGACACTGTCAATAATATGTTGATTCACTGGTCATCCAGAAACACTGATGTTCAATAATATAAAACCATTTATACACATGTCATTTTTATCCAGAAATCGTTCCTCAAATTCAGTTTATTATTACTGTGATTATTTTCTTTGGTAATTTTCCATTGTAAATTAAAATATATCCACTTCTTATGAAGTTCATCGTGTTAACTCTTTAGTCACTGTACTGCCCTAAACCGCCCTGCCTATTACTCCCTGTATCGCCCGAAACCGCCCGAGCCCTCTATGGTTATCATTGATTCTTCAGTGAGTAAACACACAGCAATACAATGTTGTACAGGTGCTAATTAATTAAATTTTGCTTCTTTTTCATCAAACTACTTGAACTAGGCGAGACAATCATCAACCACAATCGCGAGGAGTCAACGGTAGCCTCCTACCCAGCCGGCCAGAGCAGACTGAACGTCGACATCACATATGACGGAGCCTCGGCAGCACAGCTTGCAGCTCTGAAAACCGTCTCGGAAACTTGCGAGCAGGAGCTGTCGCATGAATGTGTCAAAACATCGGCCCACTTTGTGGGTGGAAATGCAAAGATCTGGTGGCAGAGTTTTGATGGGAAGAAGAGAGAGAACTGGGGCGGTGTGGAAACTGACGTCAAAAAGTGTCACTGCGGATTGACTGATGGTACATTTTCACATAAATTCCAAAGAAGAGAAGTTTTTCAAAATAAGTAAACTCGACAGTGTGGTACAGGAATGCAAACATTTCAATTAAATAGAATGGCACCTTTCCCTCAAGCAAACCACATCAAGAACGTGATCGCATCCTCTTATGACCAAGGCAAATCATGGCACCTCTTCAGTGAAGGCTTTGTAGACTGTGATCACTGATCATTTTGTACTATAGAAAATAAAAAAGTTAGGCAGACAAATGAGTAGCTGTTCTTAAGATGCTACATGTGTAAACTTTACTTGGAATGATATCACGTGTCACTTTCAGTTGCACTACAACCGGCTAATGAAAAATGTCTTGATTTAAAAAAAAAAAACTTGCAGTAAACTCAACAATGTGGTACAGGAATGCAGTCATCTCAATTAAATAGAATGGCACCTTTCCCTCAGTACAAAATGATGAATAATTTTAAAGTGGAATATTGCATTATTGTACACTTGTACAGTTTATAATAATAATAAATAATATGGAGCTTTTATAATGCGCCAGATCCACCTTAATTAGGCGCATAAAGTTATAAAGTTGTCTCTGTCTTTAGTTACAACTGCCGGATATTGCTTAACCTGTGACTGACTTTTGCTGAACGAAATCACCTGCAACCCACCCGTACCAATTAATTAAGCACCTGTCTCTCTGTTCTTGGGTTTATTTCACTTCAGCATGCAAGATCAAGGGAAGCCTTTGCAATTGTGACAACGCAGAAGGAACAAGTGACTGGGGTGCTTTGATTGACAAGGACACCCTTCCTGTCAGCAGGGTCGTCTTTGAAACACCTGCTGCTACACAGGGTCAAGACAAACTCAAAGTCGGTGCTCTGAAATGCAGTGGAGATCAAAGTAAGACATATCTCTAACGAAGATTTCTCCAAACAACTGATTTTCTAGATTAGAAATAATATTTTAAATACTTTTCTGTTGACTAGAATTGTTGTTTTTTTTGCGTGCCGTTTATGTTAGAATATGATTTAAGGTAAGTACCTTAGCTGTTTGGTAAAAACTTCAGAAAATGTTTTTAGCAAGATCAAGCAAACCTTTAGTGGCCAAATTCTTGATTGATTATCATTGAAGGGTGGAAAAAACATGAAATCTCATTCCTTTTTTTTTTAGGTTCCAATACCTTGAAGTTTTTCATCATGCTGATGCAGATGTTGGCTCGTGGTAAGCTCGTCTTAAAAAAAAAAGATAATTTTGGAGACTTTTGAAGATGTTAGTTGATAAAAAAGTCAGTACATTGCCCCATTGTTGGCACTCGGTGAATAGTGGTTTTTGTTGAAAATAGAATTGTTAATGTTGTTGAAATTTATTTACTATTGTCCGAACATCACAAATTTATGATGCAGATGATTTTTGGTGTGTGTATCTGATATATTTATTGGCAAGAAATTAATTAATGATTTTGATGTCAAACAGCTGACTGTGGGAGATGTTATCTTTTGGGTATTCATTTTCAACATACTGTTTGGCACAGTCAGTACACGGCACCTGTTGTTTTCAGAAAGGGGGAACAAGTAAATAGAAAACCTCATGTATTGAAACATTGCAGGCACTGGAGGTAAAATTCTGAAAACTTGTGATGAATACAAGAATGTTGGCTACGAGCTTGACGGCGTCTACCTGATTGATCCTGACGGGAAAGGAGGGGAAAAACCTTTCACTGTTGTCTGTGACATGGAAAAACAGGAACATGGTAAGACAGTTTTTTGGTACGTTTATGTTTTTAACTATTTTTTTTTCTCTATTTGTTTTTGTTTTTCAACTCAAAAGTTATGGACGGATTTGCATGAACATTTTTTTAGGGGTGGTCCTTGGTACAAGTATGAATGGATTAGATTAGATTTATTAAAAACATTGACAAAGAAATTAAACATAACATTCTAAAATTCATATCACATATAGAAATATCTGAATTAAAAGTGAAAAAAGGAAGAAAACGCAACATTGATTAAAAAAAAACAACGTATAAATAATTTGTGAGTGATAATGTACCAGAATTTCCTTTATTGTTTTCTACTTTGGATAGGTGTAACCATTGTCCATCATCAGGTCAGCAACCAGCGCACCATGGTCAACAACTTTGAGGAGCCCGGCAGTTACAGCATGGACGTCAGTTACGGGGCCACCTTGAGACAAATCGAGAATCTGAAACACGTGTCGGGAGTCTGCGAGCAGTCTGTCACATACGAGTGCCAGGGGTCTGCGTTCCGCGTCGGCGATGTTCAGTATCACTGGTGGATGTCGTTTGATAATGAGAAGATAGATCCCAGTAAGTCTGATTAATAGTTGTAAATTTGTTGACTCCATGCACGAACAGTTACGGCATTGTTTGACTGTTTACCAGAGCTCCAGTTTGCATGCATGCACACAGCCTTACACACACAGTCGTGTTTTACATAACTCCCTAGGACAAGCCATTGTCTTTTCCTTTATACCTGTAATATGACACTCTCTCATAGACTAAGCACATCAACGCACAATTGATGCCCATGGTGCCCAGTAAAGAGAAGTCAATGTGAACAAATTGCAGTTTTAGATGTGGGAGGAAAAGCCCAGAAGATTATTCTGAGGAAAACCCACGGAGTCAGTTAGGGTCTGAAAACCCTATCCACATAATGGCCCAGGCAGGAATCGAGCCCGGGTCACAGCGGTGGCAGGCGAGGAAAGTACCACTGCACCAACCTGACTCTCCCAATGTCTCTCTGATCATGATAGCTTGCCTGGGAAACTCCAACTGCGACTGTGACAAGGACGACAACGTCTTACGCAAGGACGTCGACCTCTTGAAAGACAAGAACAAACTGCCAGTCATGCAGCTGCGTTTTGGCGACACGGGAGGCAACGATGAATTTGGCTACTACACCCTCGGCCCTCTCAGATGCTGGGATTATTCTAGGAAAGATGTCGCTACCCGTGGTAAGCTCCCTTGAATTCTATATGAAGTACAAAATACTGCTTCAGTTAATGATTTTGCTAAACCTCATATTCTTAAAAAGTTAGCCAAGTCTGTTTCTTGTGTTGTTCTACATGATGAAGTACAAATCTGTAATAAGAAAGGGGTTTTATTTTTTATTTTTTAGAAAACTTGCAGTTGCTAATATCTGGCATGATAGCTTTCTTATTTTAATAGGATTTCCAATTTATTTCGCCTTTCATTTTTTATTATTTTCCTCCATTTTCAACTCTGAGTGTGTTTCCGAAGTAGCATTTTTTTTTTACAGGATTTTTTTATATTCTGTCAGGCATTTGAGGCTAATCACAAGAAGCATAATGCTTTTGTAGAATCAGGATGGCAGCGTCCTAGCTTTAACCAAACATTTCAGAGAATTCTGGTCTTAAGATTTTCAACGAACTTGATTATCCTTCTCAGCTGATCTAAGCTCTTGTGAGGCTATCAAGAAGGCTGATCCAGCAGCCAGAAGTGGCAACTATTACATCAAGGTGAACATAAACTTGGAGAGGTTCCTCGTTTATTGCGACATGTCTGGAACTGAGGGTAAGTTACTTCACACAGTCTGAAAACAGCTACCGTTAAAAAACTGTTAGTATGACCTGCACACAAATCAAACTTGTTACACCTGTACACATTGAAATAATCTGAATGTTTAATTTTATCAAAATATCAATGGTACTTATGTCGGTGGGGAGTGTGGCCTTGTGGTTAGGGTTCATGACTCATGATCAGAGGGTCTGGAGTTGGAATCCAGCTGTTGGTCATATGTCGTGTCCTTGGGCAAGCCACTTCACCCCAACTTGCCTCTCTCCACCCAGGAGTATAATTGGGTACCGGCATTAGCTGGGGAGTAACCTGCGATGGGCTAGCATCCCATCCAGGGGGAGTAGAATTATTCTCAGTCATTTCATGCTACTGAAACTTGAGATAAACGCAGGCCAGATGGGCCACATTTGCTCGTGACAAACTTTACTATTTCTTTACTTATGTCAGTGTTATAAACATTTCTGCTTATGACCATTGGCTTTGTAGGAATCACCATCATCTATCCTGATAGTGTACGAACGCTAGAAATTGACGGCTTCTATGAAGAGCCAGGAACCTGGGCTCGTTCCATCCGCTATGGACCATCTGAGATCCAGCTCCTAGCCCTGACGACTCTGTCAGCCTCCTGCAAGCAGTTCATCAGCCATGGTTGCCATGGCTCCCTGCACCATGACGACGTGACGGGAAAGATGTACACCTGGTGGCAGTCCAGGAGAGGAGAAAAGATGACATACTGGGGAGACACCAAGGAGGGATGTCAGTGCTATGCTGATAAAAGTAAGGACGGCACAAGTTTGGTTTGGAGTGTGGAATTCAGTTTTACTTGAATTCCAAATTTACATCACCAAAATTACAGTGGCAGCAAAACACATGAAGAATATTCAAATTGACCAATGAGACAAGGAAGAGAAAAGGGATAACAAAACAAAGATAATTGAACTGTTTAATGTCCAATAACCCTTAGAACAGAACTCACCCATCAAACCCCAACAGCATGTTTTGTTGGAATCAATCAGGATGGGTACAGTGCCCCTAAACTGACAGTCTTTTACATTGGGTTTGGCACACCTCGGTCAGAAATATGTGGGTGCAGTTTCCCATATGGTGTGGGTATGGTTCCTAGTATTTCTGCTAGGGAGCTAGGGTTAAAGTATGAAGAATGTACATTGTATGTTTTGCACTTTGCAAATGTTTGAAAGAATTGTAGGCAAGAGTCTGTTGCCAGTATGACTGCATATTTCATAGACAGCAGTTGAAAATGCAATCTGAAATGAAAAACGTTTTAGAATTGTTGAGCAGTACCGACAGATCATCAGCTTGTTTCAAGTCTGGTTTCATTACTAGGCTTATACGTTATTCTCTAAACAAGATAAAATTACGCTCGTGTTGTTGTTTATTCAAATAACAGCCTGTCAGGTAGCCAACCAAAAGTGCAACTGTGACGTCAACTCTCAGAGTCTGAGTTCTGACGAGGGATTCTTGACGGACAAGTCTGTGCTTCCGGTGTCAGCCATACGATCCGGAGACGTCAGCGACAACAACGGCTGGGAATATGGAACGGCTAAGCTGGGACCCTTGATGTGCCAAGGAGGTCAGTGGAATCATGCTGTGAAGAAATTACTCGGCACTCAGCTTACAGTAGTAAAGGTCAAAGATTACAGAAACTAACATGAGTCTCCTTATAAGTTTGGGGTATTTGGGGTTTTTTTAACCTTCAAGAAAGCTTTGATGTTTTAATTATCAGATTCAAAAATACTTGAAGTTTGCCAGAAATTGCTCGATTTTAACAGTTGCTCAAGAGTTTGCTTATTTGAAAGTTTAGTTTTATAGTTCAGTTCAGATTGTGATTCAGTTCAGATTTGAAGGTAATGAATACAGACAGATAACTTTAATGTTAACATGAGTTTACAACTTTGCAAATTTTGTCCCTCTTTCACTCTATTGCAGAGCAAGCATTGCCCGGGGTCCGGGAACTTGATTCAGGTATGTACAAATTCATTTTATTTGCATCAGTTATTCAAATTGAAGAAAATTGACTGTGAATAAACTGATTTGAACCAGTCTAAAAAAATGACATAGGCGAGGCATTCTGGCAAAATGTGACTGAACTGGGCACAGGACATAGTGGAGAAAATATTTTAAAAGAATGAGTGTAAAAATGAAGAATAAAAGTGTATGTCAGGAGAAACAAATTGGCATCTTCCATTGTCACCACTACAAAAGTTGACAAATAAAAAATATACACTTTAAACAGCCATAACTTGTCTGATTGAAGTGCAACAAACAGTATTCTATCCTCGTTCCTAAAGCCCGGTTCATACTTCATGCAAAAGCGAAAGCGAATGCGAATCTGAGACGTCATGGCAAGTATTCGCGCTGCGAATTCGCAAAAGTTGAACACATTTCAACTCGGGCGAATTTCGCAGCGAACGTTTCATGGCGTCAAATTCGCATTCGCATGAAGTATGAACCGGGCTTTATACCCACAAACCCCCATTTCGACCTCTGCCCAGTTCTGTCTCATATTTGATACTTTATAAAAAAAACCCTGAAATCAAGAAAATCCTGACAAATCTCATCCCTGCTATAACTTGTCATTTCAGAACCAGATTGTGAGCCTATCATAACTGAAGATGGAGGACAGTATCGGGAAATGACTGGAGAACAGACGCTTAGTGACTTTGAGTTCAGTGTGCGAACCCCTGGGACTGCCATTCTTAAACTGGGTGTATACAGCGGGCCTGCAACTGCTTACTACAAAATTGGTACCAACAATTCTTCTAAAGTCAAAAAGAAATTTTTCATTAAGGTAGTTTTTTGGTCAGACAATGAGATGAGACTACTGACACACTATGGTCATGTTAAGGGACAAAACTGCATTAAAAAAGTCATTGCTTAAAGCTAGAGTCCATCATTTGCAGCCATCCGAAAAGTAACTGGCGTAATTATTGTTGAAAAACAAACTTGGTTGAAAGATAGTAAGGGAACTAAACTCCCTGTGAAATTATTCTTTCTGGGAAGCTGTCATTTTGAAGTAATCAACGAAAGAAGGCATTTCCAACGGTGATTCTTAAGAAGCACCGTAGGAAAATTTAAATTAGTAGTTCGTTTTGTTATTCAGCGCAGCGCGCGCAAGTATTGGAACGACGCACACGCGCGCGCGGTTGTTATAATTCGTCGGATCAGTGCGCTACGTCGCGTATAGCTGCAATTCAAAACAATGCAAAACATGATTCAGTAACTTTTGATTTGAAATTGAGATCTTAGAATGCTGTTTTTCTCGGAATGTACAGCTGAAGCTTAGCTGAAACTTCATCAGGTTAGTTGTTTAGTATCCTTCATTAGATTTTGAACTCTTTTGTTGCTTCAAACGAACAAAATGCACAAATTACAAATGATGGACTATAGCTTTAACAAACCCATACAGTACTGGGGCAGTTTGGAGCAGTACTGGGAGTAACATGGAGGGTGGTTCAGGGTGGTTCAGGGACTAATGGGTGTATATCTCTCTCCTCCGTGCGTTGCCTTCAGAAATTGAGCCAGGGAAAAACGTCAACTTCTATCGTTGCAATTACAATGCGAGACAGGAGGACTGCAGCGACAAACAGACACAGTCCTTTACATCGGCCCCATCCAGTGCCACCGAGGACCGGAAGTTCATCCTCACATTTGGAACGTCCGGACTTGAGTTGACTGAGAATGGCGAGAGCGTGACGTTCCAAGACCGGAGTATAAGAACCTTGCCCGTTAAGTACTTTGCCTACAAGACATCGGGTGGTGATGGCCAGTGGTTGTTTGACAGCATCTGTACAGGGACTGTCAAAGGTCTGATTATTGCTCTTAATGCATAGCATTCAAAAAACAATTTTTCTTTTGTTTTTCAAGCAGTAAAGATGAGGAAGAAACATTGTTTGTTCCCCGTCTTTCTGCCTGTTTGTTGCTGTGCTTGTCTGTACTTTGGTGCATGTGAAAAATATGCAGTACATGTGGATTGGATACGATTTGACAATTCCATACAAAAACCACAGGATCAGATTTATCAGACTTTGTAGCATGTATGATGTTGCATTGTTCAACGTTAATGTTATAGGAAGGCCAACTCTATCTTTCCTTAAATACAGTGGTCCTTGTCTGATTAATGTTTTATTTCTTTATCTCCGTGTGCGGTTTAGTTATGTGTAGTGGAACCGACACATTGAGCTGTGTAGCACCGATGAAGCCTTACATTGTAAAAGCCTTGTATGGACGGACAGAGAGGGATGTTTGCGAAATATCGAACGATCCGACGGATTATCCAGACTGCCAGATAGACGTCACAAAGCAATTACGGAATAACCATGCCTGTTTGAATCAGGGCAGTACTTGCTACTACCATGCCTCGGACAACTCCTACAAAAGTGCTCTGATAAATGCAAGATGCAGGCCGAAGAAGGGATACCTTCACCTTGTTTACTCCTGTCGGAAGGAGTTACCACAGGAGAAGAATCTGGGTGCATGTAGCTCCAACCCCTGCCAACACGGCGGCACCTGCTTAGAGTCGGATGACGAAGCGTCTTATTCTTGTTTGTGCCACGAAAAGTTCGCTGGAGTTAACTGTGAGACAGGTATGATGATATAAGTGGTGAAATAAAATTTGCCTCTCATATTTACACCCTCGCTGTCTCTCCCCCTGAGTGTAATTTTGATCTGTTTTGTGACCGTTGTGAAAAAAAGTGGATTATCCAGAATAAGAAGTTAAGAAATGACACCGTAAAAATGTAGTTTGCTACCTGGGAATGATTTTACATCACTGCGAAGTGCACAAATTGGCCAAGGCAGAGAAAAGTCTTCCTTGGCAAAAGAAAGTTTGGAGTGGTGATTGGGTAATTTTTGCTGCGCCTGCAAAATAACAACATATGCTGCAGTTCCTCCATCTTGATATTTTATTGATCTCTGAATGTTTGTGTTTATCCTTTTCAGAGATGGTTACCTGCAGTGCCCTCGGTGATCCGCACTACAAGAATTTTGCCGCACATAGGTTTGACTTCCAGGGCAACTGCATGTACGTCTTTGCTCGTGACTGCAAAGAGGATCCAGATTTTGAGGTCCTCGTGGTGAATCAGTCTCCGAAGCTTAACACTGCAGTGTCCAGTACTGCAGAGGTTATCGTGGTAATAAACGACAGGGTAAGTTGAACAAACAATTATACTTTCTTGGAGTGATTTTCCCCATTTTGCCATTCAAGACAATCTAGAAAATACACCAAGCATTCACTCCCACTTTTTAAATATTTCAGTCATTTCTCTCCTCTCATTGAAGAAAATCCAACTGAAGAGATACAAGGAAATTCTCGTTGATGGTGAGCGGATCGAACAGCTTCCCGAGGTAGATGAAGATTTCAGCATCAGAGATCGAGGGGCACACGTGGTAAGTTGACTAGCTTAACCAGAGTTTATCAAGCTGCTTTGAAGGGTAGTGTCGCATATGCTTCGCAAAAGAACTGATAGTTGGTTGTCTATATTCTAATACTTTAGTATGCAACCCTACTCTGCCAAACTGAGTCAAAAGAAGAGACAGACCTATGACGTACACTGTAAAAGAAATCCTTGTCTATCATTTTTAATCCTTGTCTAGTCACATTGCTATTAGTCTTAAGGCATGATTACGCCAGTTTAACTGGTATCCTTGGTGCCTGGAGGGAGACTTTCAGCAACTAGAATTTTCATGTCCAATTGTTGTGTGAGGTTGGCGAGCTTTCCTTTCCATGCTTTGAGGCGTGCCTCTGCTGGAGAGGTATCAAGGGGTTCTACACTTAACAGAAAACTCTTATGTGACTTGAGTTAGCTCGGTGGGGGTGTGCCCCACAAAAAGATGATAATGCAGACAGAATAGAACTCACTCGTTTTATTGGTTTTAATTTTCAATTCAGGAGTTGCATGTGCCAGAGTACAGCCTGACAGTAACTTGGAACCACAACGACATTACCAAAGTGATCCTTCCAAAGAACGACGGTTCCAGGGACATCTGTGGACTCTGTGGGAACACGCGTGCATTTCTCTCTGTCGGCAGTTACCAGATGAAGTCAGGAACGGTATGGTTTTTCCTAGTATAAAACATGAAACTGAAGCCACGTATGTTTTGGCCATGGTTATTGTTGCATGTTCCTTCACATGAGCTACAATTTGATCAGGTTTCAAACCTTGTTTGAAGTGTTCAAGTAGCGGCAAAAAGTTGTAATCAGGGAAACACTGATAATGTGATGGTACCTTACTGTCTCCATCCACTGCGTTTTGTGTCACAACTATACTCTCGGTGGTAAAAGTGTAAAACATTTCTTGCCTTGACAGACACTTAAAAACCATTTCCCTGTATCTGAGCTCAGGTTGTTTTATTTCATGCACAATTCATAAGAATTGCGGTACCGGCTGCTACATGTACATCGAATTCAACCCAACCAACCAATCCCGCAAGCTCGGTGGTCGAGCGGTAAGACGTTTGCACTAAAAAGCAGGAGGTCGTGGGTTCCAGTCCCATCCGAGCGATTTTTTTCCAACTTTCACTCGGAGTGAATACACTGAGTATTCAGTGTCCATACGTCAGTGAATGGCAAAACCCTATATTGATTTATTTGATGCAGTTATAACATTCAGGCACGATATAACCCCACTTCACCATTGGAATCCCTCAGTCTCCTGACGACAGGCAGAACATACTGTCCAAAACACTGAGTACCTTCCGTTTTTTTTTTTCAGAATCGCACATACTCACAAAAAGAGATTTTGCCGCACTGTGCTACCGCAGCAACTTATTTTATTGTTAGACATTCGGTTGGATATTAGTCATGAGCAGTTTACACCATTTTGCAGGTGTTGATCAGTGCCTCGCACCTCATGAACTTTTTGGCTCTCACAGATAGGCCAAAGAGCTCTCTACACTTCCTGCACGAAAACCTGTATCTCTCCTCATCACATTTGACAGATTGTGACAGACCCAGTTGTCTTTGGCAATAGCTGGCAAGCTGATACAGACACCTGTGTAGCCAACACGGATCCCAGGAACAAAGGTCAGCTCAGCCAAGCCATCAGCGTTGGACAGCTTGTGATTGCTAGACGATTCTGCAAGGCAATCTCAGCTACTAATGGTAAGTCTCCTCTCTTTACCTGTTAAACTGATTTGTTAAACTATTTGTTATTTAAAATTTGTCTTAAAGCTATAGTCCATCATTTGCAGCTATCCGAAAAGTAGCTGGCGTAATTATTGTTGAAAAACGTACTTGGTTGAAAGATAGTAAGGGAACTAAACTCCCTGTGAAATTATTCTTTCTGGCAAGCTGTCATTTTGAAGTAATCAACGAAAGAAGGCCTTTCCAACGGTGCTTCTTAAGACGCACCGTAGGAAAATTTAAATTAGTAGTTCGTTTTGTTATTCGGCGAAGCGCGCGCAAGCATTGACATGACGCACACGCACCCCCGCGTAGCTGCATTCGGCTCAGCGAGAACGTGTCTCGGACGCTGAATTCATGCGCAATTCAAAATATGATTCAGCAACTTTTGATTTGAAATTGAGATCCTAGAATGCTGTTTTTCTCAGAATATACAGCTGAAGCTGAGCTGAAATTTTATCAGGTCAGTTGTTCAGTACCCTTCTTTAGATTTTGAGCACTTTTGTTGCTTCAAACGAACAAAATGCACAAATTACAAATGATGGACTATAACTTTAAAAAATACCAAATAGCATCCTGCACAAGTAGAAGTACATGAGAAGGAATTTGGCAGCTGAAGTAGTTGGAGGGTTGCGAAGCTAGTGTGGGCAATCCAAATGACGAAATGGATGTAGTAACTTTTCGATCCAAAATAAGTTAATTTGATCTTTCCCTCACAGTTGCAGGATGTCCAAATACAGCAGCCACTGCTGATGCAAGCAGGCAGTCATGTGAGTTTGATCACGCCAGTGGTCTTGCAGAGAAGGCCTGCAACATCATCAAGGATTATCAAGACGAGTGTGTGGAAGAAGGGGGAAGCATTGTATCGGGTGGAAACACCCAGTGTGGTGGTAAGTCCTCGTTTTTGTCGTTTTTTTAAATCCCTTCTTCAAGTTCCTAGATCCCGACGCTCTTGGGGTGACCACAGCTTCTCTCACGCAGGCCCCACTCTCTGGAACAGTCTACCCCTCTCTATCCGTCAAGCTCCCTCTTCGATCTCCTTCAAACAAGAACTCAAAACCTACCTGTTCACACTCTAATCTCCTCTTCGGCTTGTACCTTGCAATTCATATGTCTTGGACCTAGCATTTATAATTTGTAGTTTGTCATTTATAAATTTTGTAGCTTGTACTTACTCTTTGTATAGCGCCATGAGCGTCACCGAGTGATGGACCTGTTTGCACTTAATAAGATGCCACTATTATTTTATTATTATTATTAAATTATGAGTTACATTATGATGCCAAAGTTTTTGTCTTAGAAAGTGCCACATAGCTAATGCCTCTGATGTCCTTGCTAGTACAGGTTTCATACCTCCTGACTAATGCTCTTCGAAAAAAGAATTTTATACTGGCAGACCACAAATGTAAGGCTGGAAATTAAAGTTGGTTGAACAATGGCACCGTGTTTGGAGCTTGCAGGTTCGAGTCCCACTCCGGTCAATTTCTCTATTCAAGTATCACATCTTAACAGATATTTTGACTGGATATCCACAGCTGCATGTGCAAAGCATCTGGAGCACACTCAGTGCGTCATGCCGTGTGGCACCTGCGCTTCGTTCCGTCTCTTATCCGGCAACTGTAATGAGCCCTGCATCTCTGGATGTTCCTGCCCGGATGGAAAGTACGACGATGGTGATGCTTGTGTGGAGGAAGAAGAGTGTGGATGTGCATATGAAGGCAGATACTATAAGGTGAGAACAATTTGATTAACCTTAACATCCTCGGCAGTTTTGTTAGAAACCTTTAGAATCCTAAGTAAGATTTGAGGCTTTGCATGGTGGAGATACTAAATAATGAAAGGTTTGCGGAAACACCATGTGCGGATAATTTCTCAACTAAGAGAATGGTTCTGAAAAGAACCAGAGGTATAAACTCGACGTTCCGGTCAGTATGCTCTGACTGTCTTTAGGAGAGTGCCTAAACTCTAAGAAAGTGGATACTTAAGTAGCAAAAAGCAAAATCATTGAAGTGTGAAGTTGCATCCTGTGAGGATGCCAAGTAGACAGGATCCTAGAGCAAGCTTTAGAATCCTCTCAAATCCACCACTCCACACCAACCGTCTTTGTAAAACATTCGAGCAGACTCAAGTGCCATGTAAAGTAATAGTGGCTGGACTGTTTGTGTTTAAATGCTACCCAAATCTCCAAACCCTCCTGCAGTTTTTGGAAGATCTTAAAAGGTAGGGGTTAAACAAGTAGCTGTCCACACTTTGAAATAAAGGTGGAGGGAGGGGTTAGCAATTAAAGTCTGTCATGAGCCAATGTGGCCCATTTCGGCCGGCATTTATCTCTGGTTTTAGTAGCATGAAATGACTAGGAATATTTCTGTTCCCTTGGACGGGATGCCAGTCCATCGCAGGTTAATGCTGGCACCATTTATACTCCTGGGCGGAGAGAGGCAAGTGGGGGTGACGTGGCATACCGAAGGACACAACATATGACTAACAGCAGGATTCGAACCCCTGACCCACTGATCATGAGTCACAAACCCTAACCACTAGGCCACACTCCCCTGGGGGGAGGGGGAACTTGTAGATTTTTCTCAAAAAAGCCATCTGGATAGATGCCACCTCACCTTATACTTAATGGTAAATGTCAACAGCGTTGTTGAAACAAGAAAGTCAGTACAAATCTGAGAGGCCAAATTGTTACAGATATTCACTGTCAGCAATCAGTGTCAGCAATTACCGAGTTGACATGTGCTTAATAACTCTACCAATTCTTCCCCACAACCTTTGCAGCTTGGATCAAAATTCCTGGATGCCACCTGCACTGAGGAATGCACCTGTTTACAAGACAATGTTGTTGAATGTGGTACACCTGCAGACAAGCTGTGTTCCATGGATAATCCTGAGTTGCATACCATGTGTATGCTCAATGACGGTGTCTATGAGTGCGTGTGCATCAGAGGGTATGAACTAAACGCAGATAAAACAGCCTGTGTAGGTAAGTAAATCTGTGTCCGAAACTGGCTTCCAGAGCTACGGCTATGTCTATTGTCAGCTTGTTCCTACGTTGTTGTAATACGGGTGATTCCCAATACAGTGCTCCACCAAGAGTTGGCCATGGAGAGTCCATTTTTCAACTTTACGGTCCACAAAAACATGGCTGACTTGCCGCAATTTGAGCAAATGTCAGAAGACAACTTGAGGAAAGTTTTGATAGATCGGTGCATAAGCTTTCTGCTGCCTCCCAAAAAACTCCATCAGAAAAGAAAAAAAAATACTTGAATTATAGGCTTACGAAACTACTGATCTGCCTAACTAACAATTTTAAGTGTCCCGTGCCAACAAACTTGTCGATCGTCTCCCAAAATGCTCTGCGAAAAATGGACTCCCTGTGGCAAACTCTTGGTGGCGCACTGTATTGGGAATCGCCCGTATTGAGGAAGACCTACACAATAGGTCTAGTAAAGAGATTCAGACTCGGCCTTACAAACAGCACTGTGGAACTTTCAGAGGGGAACAGAGGCAATAACACCTTGAACTAATCTCAAAGACAGGTGGCAATTCTGATCGGTGTGACAACGGAAATTGCCTTGCTGATAAAAAAAGCAATGTTCAGGCCTAAAGAGTTAGTCAGACATTTCAACCTGAATGTTCATAGACTGTCTCCAATCAAAATATTTTCCAAATGAGGAATGTCAAGATGGAATACATAAAGTAAGACACAACATTGTCTGAAAAACTTTTCACTATTTGCTGTCTCTTTTGCCTGTGCTTACAGTTTGTTCTTTTATAAAATAATTTAAGGGGGTGGGGGGAATACAATTTGAAGCATTACTATTATTTGTATATTATCTGTGGGGCGCTGTGGTCCAATGGTTACGGTGTTCGACTCGTGTGCCGTGGTGCATGGGTTCGAATCCTGACTGTGGGAACATGGTGCTTGTGCTCTTGAGCAAGGCACTTAACCATTATTGCTCCGTCCTTCGGATGGGACTTAAAGCCGTAGGTCCCGTGTGTTGTGTAATGCACGTTAAAGAACCCAGTAACACTTATCGCTAAGAGAAGGGGTTTGCCCCGGTGTTTCTGGCAGTGGCTGCAATGTGCGCCGCAGCACCTTGTAAACCATTATAAGGTGCTACATAATGGGTCTCATATTTCTCATAAACTTTATTTACATTTCTTTAATAATTGACATAATTTCCAGCGCCTTGAGTACCTAATTGTTGGTAGATATGTGCGCTATATAAGACTCCGTTATTATTATTATTATCTGCATGATATCATTTTGTTCCTTTTCTTTCTGTAGCAATGCAAATGAATGATCTAGTGTACCCACCAGGTAAGTTGAGTCCTTTCCATTTAATAATTTAATAATTCTAATCTCATCCATGATTATATGAAAATTATCTTTTCCTGCTAGTAAAGGGATTCAAATGAGAAATTTGGAGCATATTGTTCACTTAATTACCAATTGTTCCAATAATGTAAAAAAATATGTTTAATATAGATGCCAAACCGTGACTGTTTTTCCCTAAGCCAAATCTCTTACCAGATAACACATTGGGCAGATGAAGAAGTATTACAAACTACCATAACCTTTTCGTGATATTCCATCATGGAATGAGAATATTTTTTTTTTACAATTCTTACGTTTCAGGTCGTCGGCGTCGCAGAAGGGATGTCAGTGGTATGTAGACTCATTTCATTCTCAAGTAACACCTATAGTATATGATAAAGACCACCATATTTCTGTCTGGTCGACTTGGCTTTGTTTTTAACCTTGCGCAGAGTGACCTGCTGCCCTTTAGGCCCCAGGTAACCGAATTTTTTGAATAAAAAAAAAAATTAGGGCCAATAACGTTCACCTCCTATCTAATCCTCATTCAACCCTTGCCAAATCAGCTGGTTCAATGAACTTTGCAGCCAGGGCTACACCCAGGCCGTGTCAACAAACTTTCGACCAGGCCTCCTGCCAAGTCTCATTGAAACATCAACAAAGACCTGTAACTTGACACAGTCATCTCCCTTCATAACTGCATACCACAGCCGCCAGTCAATTATCTTTCCAGCGCACTGTCTGGCAACTGTCTGGACACTGTCTGCCACGTGGCTTTTTGTTGTATTGCTATGAATAGGGTCTTGCATAGTGCGGGAAAGTACTTGCTGCCCTCTGGGCAGCAGTTGACGAGTTGTTGTAAAGTTTTTTTGTAAACGCTGCGCAGGGTTAAAAAGCTATCTTGAAATGGATTGTGGTAAAGAAGATTCACAGATAATGTAGAACCTGTCCTCAAAATGGAGTCTTGCCTTGCCATTCATATGAATGGCATAGGAAAATCAGCACAACCAATTATACACCTGTACAGAGTACTTCCATTTCAATCAATTATCCACCTGTGCTCTTGCAGAAGCTGAATGCAATGTGGAATTGGGCATGGCCTCAGGCCGCATAGCTGACAATCAGATCTCCTCCTCCTCAAGCAAGAATGGGAAGAGTCTAGCCAAACATGCACGGCCCAACCTGAGCGGCTGGACCCCACAGAGAGGCGACACCGAGCAGTGGCTCATGGTCGACCTAGTAATACCAACAGAGGTAAACTTTAATAACTACCCCAATGAGAATAAAGATGATAATAATAATTTGGGAGGCTAATCATCCTTACTCGCAGCTGGTATGCTGAATTGCAAAAGATGCGGCTACAACGTGGTCGGGCCGCTGGCACGTAAAGGCGCCTATGGCTGCCGGCCACATCGACCCATATATGACCACGGAGCACAGCCTGAGATCGAAAGTGTTTGATTTTTCCGGAGGGAGGAAAACCGGAGGGCCCGGAGAAACACCCTCGTGGCACAGGAGAGAACCAACACACAACTCTACTCACATGCGATCCGCGGCCAGGATTCGAACCGTGGTCACCTTGGTGAGAGGCGAACGCTTTACGCACAAGCCACCCATGCCACCCAAATAATAATGGCCATAATCAACAATGCCATTAATAAAAAACAATGCCATATACAGTGTTGGAACAACTATTCACCATTAGACAAATCATTGGACACATTCATTTATTCTTTATGGCAAGGATGAAAAATGAAGTTATATGACTAGAGATCTATCGAAAAGCCAGAAGAGGTAGCAACACCTAAAAAGCATAGCTTGTGTGAGGCATGCCATTACAAAGGACATGAACTTTTTACAGGAAACCATTATCCAGGAACAATTTCCCACACGTTTTTTTGCGAGCATGAGCATCAATGTGTAGAATTCGCGTTGTGTATCAATCGCCCTGCACCTGATATCATGGATCATTCAATGGGTTGAGTTTGAAAGAAATTACTCAGCCTATGCTGTTCTCTGGGCCAAGGAATCTTCTGTTCATCTCTGCAGTAAAAAGTCTTTCTTAACCACTTCGCGCCGGGATTATTTTGACATTGACCGGACCCAGGCGCGGGATTGTTTTTACAACCCTTGATGCCAGACGGGTTCAGGCTGTCATCTGCGGGTAGCACACCCTGATATTTCTGGCCTCGCTCACTGCGAGTGGGTTGCAGACAGATATTTCCGGCCTCACTTGTTGCATGTTTATTCGTCATCTGTTCCGAATACCGTGTATACAAGTCATCCAACGTGAACTAGGGAGTCAGGTTGGGGAGTCAGGTTGGCGTAGCGGTTGGGGAGTCAGGTTGGCGTAGCGGTACTTTCTCGCCTTCCACTGCTGTGACCCGGGTTCGATTCCCGTCTGGGCCAATATGTGGATTGGGTTTTCAGTCTCTGCCTGATTCCGTGGGTTTTCCTCAGAATACTCTTCTGGGCTTTTCCTCCCACATCTAAAACTGTAATTTCTTCACACTGTCTTCTCTTTACTGGGACCCATGGGAGATCAGTGGATTCCACTGGATGGGCTACCTAGTTAAAATAAGAAATAAATAAATAAATAAATAACTGGCTAAGGACACTACATTCATTACTTCTTTAAACAGAACCAACATTTCATCTGATCTTTGCACAGATAACTGGTGTGATGACTCTCGGCGATCGCCACAAAGTCGGGAGGAGGTACAAGCAAGCATGGGTGAGTGCCTATGGAGTGGAAATCAAGCTGGATAGCTTGGATCCATGGATAACAGTGAGAGATTCCAACCGCCGAGAACAGGTACGTAATCAATTCTTAAAAAGTCACAGTTATTTTTGCGTTGAAAGTAGTTTGATGTAACTAATACTACTGGTCAATGAGGTATAAAACCTAGGTCTTGTGTTACGTAAGAAAGCACTTTCAAGCTGGACATTTTTTTTTTCACATAAATATTCTCACTCAGCTCATCTCAGGCGTGTGACACACAAAGGAGTTTATCAATGGAAAATCAGCATATAATTTTCAGGAAATGTGTTTGAAAAAAAATTGTTTACAGAAATTTGTTGGGCATCTGAAATTCAAATACAGAATTTACTTGTTAGTGTTAAAAGTGAACGACAGAACGCATTAAATTTCATACTTAACACTAATATTCCTGCGTGGATACTTTCAAACATCATAATGCCCATTTGTAATTTACGGCATAGACATTCAATCCCTTTTTTTTATTTCTATTTTGTTACAGTTTTACGGAAATACAGACACAAACACCCCCGTCACAAACACGTTTTTCGAGCCGGTCCATGCACGCTTCCTACGCATCAGGCCCATATCATTCTATGGTGAAATCAGCATGCGTATGGAGGTGATCGGCTGCAAACGTAAGTAAAATTACTCGGCGTAGTACTTTGCATACATACAGCGTGTGTCAATAGAATGTAGCAGTCAATCCATAAATATTAAAAAAAAATACTAGCACTCCCTTTTTGCTAAACTTATCTATAGAGTCTGAAGGTATAGTAAATACTGTACACAATGGTCTTTATCCCACCTCATTTGGACACCCCAGTCCAGAGATACAGCTCATTAAATGAAAGGACTTAAATTCCAGATTTTTCAGATTATCTGGTATCTAGGCATTCACATACCAAGAAGGTGTGTGAATACCTTTCATTAGATACCAGATAATCTGAAAAGTGGCCCAAAGAGATTTTGACAGTCTTTACAAGCTGTGCCGCTTACAACTTTTAAACAAAGGTCCAAATCACACAGAACAAAAATCTTGTCAAGGGTAAAGAAACCCTCTATCTTCTCATGGTAAATTTATTTACCAAAAAACCTGATGTAGTTTCCACTAGAACAAAAATATTGTTTAGACTGCTACAAAAACATAATCTTCACAAGTTAGGGTAGCAAACACTACCCCCTCCTTTAAAACTATATTCTTTTCGAAACTGAGGGTTATGCTTATGAAATGACTTTTTGATTCCAAATGTGGTTATTGTGTTTTATATGTTCAGAGGTATGCGATGCAGAGATTGGCACCTTCCCTGTCACCCGCCACATTGCATCCGACAACTGGTTTGTCGTCAACACCGGTGAACCAATCACCTGCATGGGTCAGGTCACGGCTTGGAAAGTAATCCACGCTAGAGAAGAACCTCTTGAGGCGTGGGTCCTAAGACCTCTGAAAAATAATCCAGACGGCTTCATGCTTATCGGAAACACCCACATACCTGCTGGTCCTGTCGACAAAGAAGTGGAATACGAACTGATGGGTGATCAGCGCATACCTGTACATACTGGTGACGTCATCGGGTTCTTGTACGAGCGGAACCCTCTCTACTCAAGTGAAGAAGGAGAGGAGACGATGGACTACAAGTGGCTGCACATCCGCGACATCTCCAACTTTGAATCCATGAAACCAGGATTTTCCCTCCGATTCACTGCTGGCGACGGAAAACGTGCTTTCTCCGCTGTTGCTGTTCTTCAGCGTAAGGAAACATTCATGGATGACTTTCATAATCCAAATAGCTCCACAAATTTCCACCAGTCTTACATCCTCATGTTCTCTTAGAGACTTTTGATGATTTCCAACAAGACTTCATTCTCTGAAGTATAGGACTTTAAAAGACCACTCTGTCTGATTTCCCGATTGTGTTTTCAATCTTCATGTACTCCTGTCTTTGAATCTGGAATAAGCAATGCTGACTTCTCAAAATCAGAGTCAGTTGACTTGTGAATGCACATCTTTGGTTTCAATAACCATCAATTCTTTTTCTTAATAATTGCAGCATCCAATGGAGTACCTGTTCCCCCAGGTAGGTACCTTTTTAAAAGTTGTCTACATTTTCGTGTTGTACATTTATCATCATGCAATAATCAAGTGTGTGTTAATCAAATTAGCTTTTGCCCTTCACCGACGTATAAACACTGTATACTCAGTGTGTTACCTCCCAAGTGAAAAATCACTCGGGTGGGACTCGAACCCACGACCTCCTGCTTTCTAGTGCACACATCTTACCACTCGACCACCGAGCTAATGGGATCGGTTGGCTGGTTCGAATCTGATGTACACAGCAGCGGGTAACGCATTAACTATTCATAAGATGGAATTTTTGCGTCAGGGTGATGTAAATCGAAATGTTAACGAAATGCTCTGTTGTTGAATAGTGAGGTACTAAATACACTCCATATTTCAGTCCAATGTGCTGGAGAGATGGGACTGAGCATGGACAAGATAGTGATACCAGATGAGGCGTTTTCTGCGAGTAGCCACGTGAAGGGTCACAAACCAACACGAGCCCGCCTGAACACACTCTACAGCCACGGTGGGATGAGAAGTGGATGGACGCCCAGACGGAGAGACAGGAAGCCTTACTTACAGGTCAGTCTTAAGTTTTAAGCTCCTTGATGCTCTCCATCGGGACTAAAAAACTAGCACCGTGATTTCCAAGTCTCCCATCGTTTGCCACCTCGACTTTTCATTCGGAATCTTTTTACACTTTTGACCCAAAATACAGATCAAAAAGTACACTGAAACATCCGAGTGACCTGCATCACCGGTGCATTGACTTACCACTAAGAAGCTTGCATCTTGTGGACAATTTCTTTAGCAATTGATAGCATCACCCTTACACTTGATTTATCAATTAGGTCCATTCCAAAGGGATGCAATAAGTAGCAAGGCTTATTATGGCTGAAATATGTCAGTATCATTCTAAAATTGCTTTAGAGAAAGATTTTAAAATCGAAATGTAAGGTCCTCTACTTTTTTTGCTTCCCTCTCAAATTAGTTTAGTCAACAAGACTATTTCCGGTCTTTTTTTTTGGAAGGTTGATCTTGGAGATCAGCGACATCTGTCTGGCATCATCACCCAGGGAAGGCACTTAAAGGAAAACTTGAAGAACTTTAAGGCAGACACTGGACGGAAGAGGAGGAGAATGCGACGACAAAAGAGACGTGCCCGAAGGAGAAGTGCCTGGGTTACTGCCTACTTTGTGAAATACAGCTTGGATTGTGAGCACTGGGAGTACATCAGGACACCTGATGGACAACGGCAGGTAAATGGATAAAGAGTATTGTAGACAACTCAAGACGACCACAATAGGCCTAAGACTTAGGCCTAACCTGTAATATTGTATTTCAACTTATTGTACACACTGTACATTTCCTTTTCCAAGGACAGCATAGAAATAAATGTACTATTCAATCAAAACCTAATGATGCCACGCTTTGTTTACGTGTGTGCTTTCCTATGGGAGCCAGGTAGGGACAATTGGCTGGTGTCCCCACCTGGCTCCCATAGGAAAGAGCACATGTAAACAAAGCATGATGTCATTAGGTCTGGGGACTATTACAAAGGTGGTACATCACGTGTGTGACAAGCTGCTCAAATGCTCAAAAGCTTTCCTTATACTTGTGACATGACTTATGATGTGACTTGATATGGGCTCAGCTTCAACTCACCTTGCTCATTTCAACTGGATATCTATGAAAAACTGTGTTCTTAAACACTTTAAAAATGAAATGAAAGCCTTCATAACCTTCGGTTCTAAGATATCTAGAGTCTTTATAAGCTTGGCGGCAGTCGCATGGGGAACACTGGAGTAAGACCTCTTCACAGAACTTTGTTAGAAAGGCTTCTAATTATCTTTTCCTTTTCTCCAGCTGTTTGACGGAAATGTAAACCCAAGCACCCCGAAGACAAACTATCTGGATGAACCCGTAACAGCAAGATGTATCCGCATCCATCCAAAGAAACAGCGGCGGTCAAAAATTGGGTTGAGATTGGAGCTGCTTGGCTGTTCAGGTGAGGTTTTTGTTCTAACAAGACAAATAAGGCCTTCTGGGGCATTGCAGTCAATTGTACGTTATTTGTGGATGTTGTTTGGTGTGTCACTCATTCACACACACTGGAATTTGTATCCTTGTGGAGACATTCCTTTGTTCTCGTGTACTAAAGTTTTTGAGTTTGAAAGTGTAGTTTTGCTCTTATTTTAACCAGAATTAATTTCCTTGGCTGAAATTTGGAATTAATATCCCTTTTCTAACACTCTTCCATTTGCGACAGATCAACATAGCTTGGAAATTCCTAGTTTACGGTAAAATCCATATATCTTTTTTGTAAAAACCTTGTGGAGATGTATTCATCTATAGAAATTGCCCTGTGGAGACGTATACAATCTTTTGTTCCCTATTGTACACACGTCTCCAGAGGGTACGGTGTTTTAGATCATTCATTCAAGTTTAGCTCTAGCTGCATACGGCAGCTGCTGAGCGGGCGTGGAGAGTCAGTCCAACGCGCAACATTTGTCAGTGGTGATAGCGTGGGTGATAGCATGGATGTTGACTACCTGCTGCAGGAGGGTGTGTTGCCTTTTTTGTTGTGCTGGACTGCCGAGTTGCATAACGGAAAACCCTTGGAATCAGGCAGGGGCTGAAAACCCAATCCCCAGCACGTATTGGATTTGAACCCGGGTCATGGAGGTGGAAGTTGAGGTGGAAGTTGAGGAAAGTACCACTGCACCAACCTGACCTTTGACCTTAGCCTTCCACACCAGCAGGCTGTGTGATGACTTCTGCTTCATGATGTCCTGCCAAACACTTCTGTGGAACGCCAGCCGACTTGCTTCTGACAGTGAGATGTCTCTCGTTCTGCAGTCCGTTCCGAGACAGTCGAGCCATTCTTTGTTGGTCTTCCTCTTGATCTTGTCCCATGGGTTCTCCCCTGGAAAATAAACCTAGCTCAAATTTCAATATTGTATTTGGATAATAATTACCAAACTCTCTGTTACAGTTGACCCATGCACCAGCAGCCCTTGTGAACAAGGAGGGACCTGTAGACAGACGTCAGGCCTGAATCCGGATGGTTACGTCTGCCAGTGCCCAGAAGGATGGACAGGAACGAGATGTGAGATTGGTAAGGCAGCATTTTTTGGCTGATCAATTTTTATTGATGTGATAAATTTATTGATCGGTTGATTGGGAGTTTTTAATATACAAATGAAGTTTTTACAGTATTTTAATGGTATTTTATCTATGTGCGGTACTGCGGTACTTAACAGTTATACAGTATTTAACATAGATATTGACTGTTTTGGATAGCACCAACATATAGAGCAACGTAGCTTATAAGAATAGTTTGTAGAGTGTAGAGATGATGTTTTTGAGGTCACAGGTTCATATCCTGCTCTTGTCAATTTGGTTTTGTTTGCTCGTGATATTTATCGATTCATTAACTTCTTAATGGGCCTAGATGATTTCAATCAAGTGTGGAGTTTACTTCGCTTCTGAAGAATGTATCTTTAAATATTAAACAGATAATTTTCTAGCATCTAGAATATATACAATTACTCTTCAAATATTTTAATTGTTTTGGGGTGCTGTGGTCCAATGGTTACGGTGTTTGACTCGTGTGCTGTGGTACATGGTGTCGAACCTCACAAGGAACATGGTGCTTATGCGCTTGGGCAAGGCACAGAACTACAATTGCCTCTCTCCACCCAGGAGTACAAATGGGTACCTGTGAAGGTACAGTCCACATTGCGCGGATCTCGAGCTGCTGCAGGGTCTCATTCTTGATGAACAGGGATAATAATTGTGATGCGCATTTCATCATATTCTTACGGAATTTGCGCAAAATAAATGTATATATTATTATTGACCTACACAGTTGAGGGCATGTGCCGTAGTGCCGGTGACTCCCATTACAACACCTTTGACGGTCGTCATTACTACTTCCCTGGCGAGTGTACGTACACTCTGGCTAAAGATTGCATGAACGGGGATGCACCAACCTTTGACGTTCTCACCAATAATGCTGCTGCTGGCCGTGAGATTTACATCTTCACCAACGATATAGTGAGTAGACATGGCAAAAGTGACTTTTATTAATTTATTCTTTAACTTTTTTCACTTTTCCAGATGGCTCCATCACTAAATAGGTCAAAATCATACACTAATTGGTAAAACAATTCTTAACTAACCATCTTCAGAGACAATGTCAGCATTTTCTTGAACAATTCTATCGTACCTTTGAAATGTTTAATGTATCCATTTTGTTAAAAATTGTCATTTTTTTTTAACCCTCAAATAAAAAATTGTTTTTCTGTTTTTTACTCCCAGATGTTTGAATTCAAACAAGAAGGTGTCGTACATGTCGATGGAGAAGCTTGCAGGCTACCAGTCAAACGGAATGGTGTTTCAGTCGTTCATAATGCCTACACTGGAGTGGTAAGTAGGCCGAAGTATATTCCATAAACTTTTTTTTATAGGAGGTACCATCTTGTTACTTTTTTTAGGACATATACAAGCTTGTTGTGAGCATGCACTCTTTATAAAGATCAGTTCATTAACATTTTGGAAAGTTCTCAAGTTTCATTACAAGTCTTGTAAGGGGAGCCATGTTGAAACTTACAAGGCTGCCTTCTACAGATACAAAAATTTGAAGATTACACTCTAAGTAAAATAACCTAAATTTCATGTTCAAAACTCAGGCAAGTGTCTCCAGTTATTTTGGAGTCACCAGAATAAAGCCTGGTTCACACTCCGCATGAAAGCGAAAGAGAACATGAATTTGTGATGTCATGGCAAGTATTCGCGCTGCGAATTCGGAAAAGTTGAACGTATTTCAACTCGGGTAAATTTCGCAGCGAATGTTTCATGACATCAACTTCGCTTCGTATTTGCATGAAGTATGAACCGGGCTTTAGGCAAGCATAAATTGTATGACCCTTGCTGCAGTACTGAGTCTTAGCATATATTTGGGGATACGGTTTAGTGGGGGAAAAACAAAGCATGTAAAGTGCTGAGTATGATTAACAATATGTATCTTGACCTCTGTTATCAGTTGTTGCAGACAACCTATGGTTTGACTGTAGAATGGGACGGTCACCATCGTGTCGTTGTGAATCTGCCAGCAACTTTTGCGGATGGAGTGTGTGGGCTGTGTGGCAACTTCAACGGTAACAGAGATGATGACATTCCAGAGGTAAGATGATGGATTTTTCTTGTTGTACAGATACTCTGTAAATTATGGCCATTAAACTTTCCTGTTTTCGCCTTCGTCACTTTTTAGGCCAGTGCTGAAGCACTTTTTTGTAAATTTTTACGGTGGCTACAAATATTCACTATTCATCATGTCGCTGCAAATACAGCTGATGTGGACTCGGCCTTATTTTGTGAAGACGATATTGGCACAGAAAGATTTAAAATAGTTAAAAAAAGACGTTTTATGAAGAAATGGAGATATACTACTCAATAAAAGTTTATTGTGATTCGTGAAAGGGTCTCACAAAGGACATTGTCTAACTCTGACTTTGGAATTAAAAAAAAAGAACAATAAAAGTTGAACCGACATAATTATAGGTTTATCATCTCAGGGGATGTAATTTCAAGCCACTGTATTAGCTCATTGTATTCAAAGATTGTATGATGATTTCTTCAAATCTATGTTATTTTGTCAAGGGTGTCTCTGAGATGCAGTATGGAGAAACGTTTGCATCAGAACCGGAGAATTGTGAAGTCTGCGAGAAGTGCCAGCTGGACAAACCATACGATAGCAATCCTGGCAGACAGAGTGAAGCTCAGGAGTCGTGCAGTCCGATCAAGGATCCACTTGGTAAGAATTTATTCATGTTTACTTCCAATCGCTTTTCAAAATCCGAAGTTGTCTCAGATTTCTGAGACAACTTTCTCACCGTGTACATGGATGTATGGACCGCACGTGTATGTACATGCCTGTCGCTGAATCACGAGAAGCGGAGTTACAGCTAAACATGACGCATTCAAATTTGACATGCGTTCACGTATTACGTAACAACGAACATGCCAGACGGACGCACATGCCGTTGGATCGCATGTGTTTGGAATTTGTTTTGTCCAAGGATTGGAATATCACATGATATTCAACAGACACTGTGATTGGATAATGCTTGTGAATGGCGATAGGTCAATTACCCCCTCAACAGCAGTGCACTTGCTATTCTGAAGAAAGTCCTAAAATGTTGTCATCCAACAATAAAATTCACCGTTCCACCACTCATCTCTGACAAGAGTCCTGTTATGTCTTTAATTTCATCCAGGACCCTTTGCACGTTGCCACGGTGTAGTGAGCCCAGACGAGATCTACGATGACTGTCTTCAAGATGTCAGTGACTCAGACTCACTGAGCAGTGTTCCACGCTGCACCCAGTTTGCCGAGTATGCCGACATGTGCTCACTGAATGGCGTAGTCATTACGTCATGGAGGAAGAAGAATTTGTGTGGTAAATATTCTTCTTGAGTTATAGCGACTAATTGGAACTGATTATTAACTTGAACGATGTATCATGGATTTATTTACATAAACAGGAATGAAAGATTCAATACAGTGATAAGTACTTTCACGTCTCCTGTTACAGCTTCTGTTTGGATCAAACAAGGACAAGGGAATATTGGGTTAGGGTACATTTAAGCTTGAAAAATTTTGTGCACAAGTCTATGGGGATGTCTCCTAAATGTCCAATCCAGGGTAATTATTATGATAATAATTATAATAATCAATGGTTGGAGAGTTCATCTAGTACAAATTCCTCTCTTTTTATGGCCGTCTACTTCAATAACTTCAAAACTAATTTTTAAGATTATGCTGAAGTGAAAATTCAACACCAAAATCTAATGTCGTTATCCTTCTTTCAATAGGCTGTCTTGCTGTTCAGGGTGTGGAAATTAAATTAATTATAATAGAAATCAAACAAATAAACTTGATGTCTTTTTCAGGCATTACATGCCCAGCAGGGATGATTTACACTCATTGCGGAAGTGCTTGCCCAGCAACCTGTGGTGACCCCCATGCTCCAAATACCTGCACCAAACCCTGCGAGGAAACCTGTCAGTGTCCAGAGGGGCTTCTCAAGGAGGGTGACAAGCTTTGTGTGCCACCGTCTGAGTGTGGATGCACTGACAATGGATGCTACTTTGAGGTATTGTATTTTCATTTTACAATTTGACTTAATTCTTGAAATTTAATTCAGCTCTCAAATCTGTCGTTGTGAATTTAGAGACTCTTAACAGATTGGACAAGAACCTTGCTACCAACAACAACATGATGCTATGTTTTAGTAGTAATAATAATAATTTTGGGGGCTAATCATCCTTACTCGCAGCTGAGAAGCTGAATTGCGAAGGACGCGGCTACAACGTGGTCGAGCCAAAGCCAATAGGCAGCCGCTATTTGACCCATGTCTGACCATGGAGCACAGCCAGATCGCAAGTGTTGATTTTTGCGGGTGAGGAAAACCGGACAGCCCGTAGCTTACCCTCATGGCACAGGAGAGAATCAACGCACAGCTCTACTCACATATGGCCCGAAGCTGGGAACCGAACCCGGGCCACAGCGGCGAGAGGCAGGCACTTTATGCACTAGCCACCCATGCCACCAACGCTAAATAGTGTTGTGCTCATTACTTTCAGCAGAGGTCCTTAGAATTTACAACTCTGGATATTCACCGTAGTACAGCATCTAAAGCCAAAGCTACAAAACACCATCAGCTACACAAAAGATAGGCACAATATGATATGGATACATATGAAATCTTTTCAAGATTTCATAATCAAATGTAAACTGCTTTCAAGACAGTCTATTCTTTTTGAAAGCACTTTGAGATGCATACCCAGTATGCAGACAGCAATGAACAAAACACCTTACGCATCTCAGCATTCCTCAAATAATAAATGACAACATTGAGCCAGCTATTGGTCATTAAGAGAACGTCACATAAGGCTTCCACCGATAACGGAATGTCAGTCTTCAACTTGACAATTATTCGCACGACATCCGGCACCCAGCCAAGGAGTAACGCGGCAGCGATGACCACTACGGTAGTGAGAGTTCTCATCATGGGTTGTTGAAAGCCGAGAGGATTTGCTGGGGCAATGCGTTGAGCCTGCCTGCGAGCGATAACCAATATGTGGACGTAGAGAACCATGATGATCACCATTGGAATCAGCGTTGATAAAATGTTATTCAGGCCTTCCTTTTGTCCTTTCCAGGTGCACGAATCTGCGCGCAAACCATCAAGAAGTCCGGTAATGATAATAGTGGTTATGATCACACAGGTGGTTATAAACCTTGATCGACGAACCGTCAGTAAACTCAGATAACGAAAAGGGTAGACTATCGCAATGTAGCGTTCCAGAGTCAACATTAGTAAGGCCATCAAGCCAGCATAGAAGAAGGTTTCGTTCATAATTTTAGATACGATGCATGCAGCATGGCCAAGTGGCCACGTCCCTGCAATGTAATCTATCGTGGTTGGTATGGCAGTGAAAACTCCAAGACCGATGTCGCAGATCGTGAGAGCCGTCAGGAAAACTTTGGTTACATCACTGATGCTGCTAACACGCCGGAGGACAACGAGGCACAGCAGGTTCAGTGATAGGATTAAGACGTCAGTCGTCACCATCAGAACCATAAGAAATGTGAAGCAGGATTTGTTGTAAGGCTCTGTCTGCCTGTCAAAATTGTCGTCATAATTGAGGCTTTCGTTTCCCTCAACTTGAGATTCAGACTGCATCTTTGCTAATGGAATTAATTTCCCTGCAACAATTTCGTGACTTTGGATCATCCAGATGTCAACACAAGGACCTGCCAAGATCCGTATTCTAAGGAGTCTACTTCAGAAAGTTCATTGCTGATCACAGATAGTCAAAGAGAAGTAGAAGCATCCCAGTTGTACACAGCTCACAAATATCCTTCAACACTTCAATTAGAGCAAACGTCTCCTTACTTGGTTCAAATAGGTAGATCTCATTTTTTTATAAGAATTCGCTGTGTCAACAAAAAATTAAGCACCTGTTTTCAAAAGTATGTGTTCATGGCACCATCTCATAAAGAGAGAAGAGTAATATCAACAGCTAGGCCTGAGCTTCTTTAAAACAGGAGGTAACAACTTGCTTTGTCTTGTTATTCTGCAGAGCTGATAACAGTGTTGTGGTACTCAAAACGTATGTCAACTGAAAGCTTTATAGACATGTTTGTTTTTTTCAGTCGCTTCCTTCACCTTCTGGAACTGTGTGCTAGAGTAGGCACTTTATCTTGCGAGCCATCAGTTCTCAGACAAGCTAGAATTTGTCTTGAAATGGATCTTGTACATTTTCAAGAATAAATTACTTGCAGATCAAAGATAGCGGAAACTGTCAAAGGATGATACAGCCACTTCTCTAATTTATCCAGCATAACACAAGCTAGAATTTGTCTTGAAATAGATCGTGTACATTTTCAAGAATAAATTACTGTGCAGATCAAAGACAGCGGAAACTGTCAAAGGTTGATACAGCCACTGGTCTAAATTATCCAGCATAACGCGTGTTTCCGAGTTCCTGTTCAATCTGCGTTTCATCCCCATTAAGAGCACCTTTGGCAGATATTAATCAAGATATGGAGGTGGCAAGCAGAAATGTTGTCTTTGGGGCAACACGTTTCTGACTAATCATTAACCATCAAATAGAGGAAGGATTGTGCACTTTATTTTATCATGATTGATATACCATATGGCCTTATTTTTTATGAAGTAAGGGGTACATGACAACTAAACTGAACTTTAGGAACACTTTGTACATTTATTTATATACCATTTTGTTGGCCTAACATTTTTTAACTCATTGAATGAAATTAAATTTAAGAACATAAATTTTCTGTGTGTTTGAAAAAAATACTTACTATTCAGAATTGATAAAGTTTGAAATGTCTTTTGTTTGACACAGATTTTATGGAAATGCTGAGCAGCAATTCTATTCTTTTTAAAGATTAACTCTTAATTCATTTACATCGGCTAAACTAATTAGACTTTCATCATCATCATCAAGTCGACTCTCGTCGGACTGCAACAAATTAGACATGCCTTACATCTGACTGTGAAGCTGAAATGTAAAAATCTAAAAACCACTGTCAAATTTGGTTTTGCCCTTCACCCACGTTTAACGTCGGTGAAGGGCAAAACCTAATTTGATTTATATCACCCCGACACAAAACTCCATCTTAAACCACTGTGTTATCCAAAAATTGAGCCAAAGCTTCGAACAGAATTACAAGTTTTCAAATCATTTTTTCCCTCCTATTTTAGCGTTTGACGACTTTCTACCGCTCCGGATGCACTGAGAGAGGCTTCTGTGGATTGAATGGCGAGGTGATGTATGAAGCAAGCCAGTGTGGACAAGATGCAACCTGCGGATCAAAGGACGGTGTGTATGGCTGCTTCTGCAATGATGGTTTCTCTGGTGATGGACTGCAGTGTACCGGTAAGTTCATCAGGAATAAGGAAGACTTGAAGGATAGAGTATTTTTTAGCATGGGTAATTTTCTTTAGGGGCATACCAAATATGACCTGCTCAAAAGAAAATGTTAATGAAGTGATGAAAACGATGACAATAACAATCAATTAGTGGCATTGACAATGGTGCCAACGATGACAGCAATATTAGGATGAGGGTAATGATATAGATTAGGTCCAGCTTGTATCTAGATACTTCAAAGCACACAAATACAAAATAAAAAAAGAACCATTTAAATATAATAGGCTTCAAAGCCTATGCAAATGCTTATGAGACACTACCATCAGGAGACGTGTTCATTGTAATTGACCTGTCGACGTTTTCGAGTTAGACACCTCCTTAGACAACCCTAAAGAATTTTGTACGTTTAAGTTTCGCTTGTCTCAGATTCTGCGTGTTCTGCGTCCATTTGTATATCATGTAATTGGACAAAATTTCACAAGCTGCGTTTACGCGATTCTACCAGTACGCGATTCTACCGCTAAAGAGGACTTCTGAGAATAAAACTGCTCTCACGGTCATTAGAAGAAAGTATTGTTTTAATTAATAGTCATTTATACAAGTATTTACTACTGACTTTGAGTTCATATCTTCTTGCCACAGATGTTCAAGGTGATAAAGCCTTGCTCACATGCGAAAGTGATGTCTTGAACCTCGACTGCGGGGCGGGTCAGCACATCGATATAGTGGAAGCAGTCTACGGCCGAATGGAGGACTTTGAGAAATGTCCCACCAAGAATCAACCGAAGGGGGAGTGCTCGTCACAATCTACAATGAGTGTTCTCATCGCCAAGTGTCAAGGAAAGGAGGAATGCAGTGTTGATGTCTCATCAGAAGTATTCGGAGATCCTTGCTATGGTGTCAACAAGTACCTAGAGGTATATCTTGGAATTTCAATTCATTGATGAGTTAAAGCATTACAGACCTCTCTAACTGTTTTTTTGACAGCACTGTAGGTATTTAATATAAAACTGTTCTTTATACGTACTTGCTTTTTATGTTATTTTAGTTCACTATAGTATACCAAGAAAGAACCAAGAACAAATTATAACCCTTAGTACCGAACTATTTGCCGTAATTAGATGAAATAATGACTGAAATCTTAACACAGTCGATTATTATCTTATTGTCTCTGTTAGCTAAAATTTCAAGCTGATATACCAGCTTGCCGTGCGCCAGGAATTAAGGTTAAACATTAAAAGTTATTACAATTTTAATTGTTTCTGGATTTTGTTAGGGAATTTCTTTGCAATGTAGAGCATCATAATAATACAGAGTATTTGTACCCTGCTATAAAAGGAAAGAGAAAAATAAAGCACAAATAAAAACAAACTAACACATATTTACCCAAAAGTAAGAAAACAATTTCTTCACGAATGGTTTTGTTTTGTTTTGTAGGTGGACTTCCAGTGCACAGCAACTCCAAAGCCGAAGAGTGTATCTGAGGAGGTGATGAAGAGAGTGTGCCAAGGAGACTCTATGGAGATTGACTGTGGAAACCTGTACATAGAGGTAGGTTTATTATGTTTTATTCGTGAACATTTGTTTTGTTGAGTTTAAGAACATTTGTTTGGTGTATGATTGCAGTACAATGACACAAAATGCAAAGCTACAATGACAGTTCTTCTTCTTCCTTACAAGTGCAGACTTCATGGCTGAAGATAATCGCACTGCCAGAAACACCGGGCGAACCCCTTCTCTTAGCGATAAGTGTACTGGGTTCTTTAACGTGCATTAGACATTATACAACACACGGGACCTCTGGCTTCACGTCCCATCCAAAGGACGAAGCAATAATGGTTAAGTGCCTTGCTTAAGGGCGCAAGTGTCCGCGCCCGGGCTCGAACCCACGTCACTGTTGCCTCTGAAACACCAGAACATGAGTCCGGTGTTCTTAACCGCTAGGCCATGACACTCCTATTTTTCCCATTCATAAGATGGAATTTTGCGCCGGGATGATGTAAATCAATATTAGGTGTTGCCCTTCAGTGATGTATAAACACTGTTTACTGAGTGTGTTACCTCCCGAGTGAAAATTGGAAAAATCCCTTGGTTGGGACTCGAACCCACGACCTCCTTTCTAGTGCAGATTTTTCTCCCTTTATTAAAATTGCGAGTTAAATGAAGAAAGGACATGGACAATACACCAAGAACGAAATGTACGTGGCAATGAGTCAAAGATCAGGGAAAGGGTTACTAAAATCACTTTGCCTGATACGGCCAAGAATGGTTCAAGAGCGGAAGGGGCAAGTATAGACAGTAACAGGTGCTTCTCACGAATTCCCAAATTCTTTCCTCTCTCATTGTAGCATCTCTCAGGAATTCCATGATCTAAGATATTACGTCCTCATTTCTTAGGTTCTTGATGCCGTGTATGGACGTGTGACTGACGGTCAAGTCTGTCCTGGTGGCCACATTGAGAGCGTCGATTGTATGGCCACAACCTCACTGGCGGTCATCCAGCAATTGTGTCACGGAGAGACTAAGTGCACTGGATTGCAAGCAGCCAGTCATCTGTTTGGTGGGAACCCCTGCGGAAGGACGTTCAAATATTTGGAGGTAAAATTGGAGTTTGAAAATGAACAAATTTGATTTCTTTTCCTTGCACCTTGGTTTCTCGTAGCCTGTTGAGATGTTTTGCAAGGATACTTGCTTGAAATCTCTAGCAGCAACAGGTGGAACTCATTGTCTGATGCTTCTTGTTCCTTTATCTCAATATATCCGTGCATTTCAGAGTAAGACAATGCCCGAATATTGTGTTTAGAGAGCTAGGACTAGGTCTTCACTGGTTGCAGCTATGTGGGCAAGTGCTGACAATAGACGTAGTCGTACCCCTGGAAGCCTGTTTCGGACACAGGCTAAGCTATCTTCAGATCAGCTATCCTTGTCACTTCTGATTTCTTCTTTTTGGCACTATGTTTTGAGTAGCTGAAGCTTGTAGTGGCCACTGTCATAAAAAGATGGAAGCAATTCGGAATGGCAGTTCTTATGAGGATCCTTTCAATGCTGAACTTAAATAAGAACAAAGATTCTCTCATCTTCTTCCAACCATTCTCATAACTGTATTCCGTTTACACTGTCTTCAATTTATGTCACAGGTGAAGTACAGGTGTAGTTCTGAAGTTGTACAAAAGGCGAATCTTCCTGCCAACCCATGCGCAGAGAATCCCTGTCTGAACGGAGGACAGTGTGTGACACAGGAGACCTCCAGAGGCTACAAGTGCACCTGTCCTCATGACCGGACGGGGCCGAACTGTGAATTTGGTGAGGAAATCTCAGTTTGTATATCAGGTTTATTATGCAGCCACTTTAACTTAGATCAGTCAATTTCTAAGATTGTATTTTAATTACAGAATGCACTGTCTATTTGCAACAACTTAGCTCAATTATACAAATGTTATAGTAGAGTACATGTGCCAATTATGGAACTTGGTACATCGGATGCATCTCAGTTATAGTAAGAAGTGGCATCAAGCCCTGTGGCACTGTACAATGAAGGTTTTTTTTTCACTCATCAGAAGAGAAGTGGGCAAAAAATGCTGTCATTGCAAAGCTTGCTAAACGTTTGTTATTTATTTTTTTTCTGTAGAAATCTATCATGAAATTTGTGTTTAAATAAAGCCCAATTGGTATTTTAGGTACATTTCTTGTTGTGATAATTGTAAAAATTGAAAATTATTTCCACACTTTCTTTAAATCAACAGAGGAAGTCAGTTGTCGTGCATCAGGAATCTCCCACATTATGGACTTCAACGAGCAACACTTTGAGTTTTTAGGTGACTCCAAGTATGACCTAGCCACGAGTTGCCTCGAGAATAAAAATGACTTCCGAGTCATGATCAAGAAGGCTCGAATGCCGACTGAGAACAGTGTGTCGACCATTGAAGCTGTGCATGTTCATTACGATGGCAAGGTAGTAAACATGTATTAATTATAGTTTAATAAAGTCAATTAGTTTTGAGACGGTCTGTCATGGAAAAGCACATTACAAGTAAAACTTCATTCAGTCTGTCAAAAAGTAATCGTTAAACAAAATTTTCTTCTCTTCCTATTCATTCAGCACATTCAAAATCCAGGCCTACAAATATTCTTGTTTTCCAAGATACAGAAGACTTTCCACTTTTGGTAAAACTTTATTTGATCAGCGTCAGAATCAAAGAAATCTATTTGATACACTTTGGTGAGATCAAGTTGACTCAAATCTCTTTTTAATGGTTGAATAATATTATATTTTGTGTTCTCGAAGGTGATTGAGCTCAAGCAAGAATACAAGGTCCTCATGGATGGCAAGAAAGTGTCTGACACGATGAACCTCAACTTTGGAAAAATCCGGCTCTGTCGAGTCGGCAACTACTTGGTGAGTCTCTCGTGCCAGTAGCTGCAGAATTGGCTAAACATGTCAACTTTTTCTATTGACTCATACAATATCAACAAAGGTTAGGCTATTCGGGGGAACAACTTTTGCAGCAAGATTCAACAAATTCTTTCGTAGAAACAACAACTTTACATAATAATTGTCAACAATGTAAACTTGTATGCTCAGATAAAGTACTGGGCAATGGGTATAGTCAGACTACTAATTAAAATCAGACTACCAGTTAAAGGCAGACTGCTAGTTAAAATAAGACTGTTAGTTATAAAAGTAAGACTGCTAGTTAATGCCAGACTGCTAGTTACAGTCAGATTGCTAGTTAAAGTCAGACTGCCGGTTAAGCTCATGCGCCATTGAAGGTTGAAGAAGTGTGACAACATGAAAGCCATTTTGGTTGTATTGTATTGTATGTTGTGTTACAGTGCATCACAATGAACAATAAAGGTATCATCTGTTACAAAGAAATACAGGAGTGATGGATGTTTTCTAAACATACAGATGGCAATTAACATGTTTACATTAGGTGCATGGGCATGGGTTGAATGCCAATCAGAAAATGGTGTCACGAAATTCCGTCTCTTGCATTTCCGGATGAAATGAAGACTTTATATTTTACTCCATTGTAGCTCCTTAAAACTGACTTTGAGATGATCGTAGCCTGGGATGGCCTTCACCGTGTACAAGTGAGAATGCCAGACAATGTGGCCAGACAGACGTGTGGTCTGTGTGGTACCTACCATGGGCTCGGTACAGAAAACGAAGGATTCATTGGAAAAGATGGAAACAAGGTAAGTCTCATCACTTCAAATAATTCCTCAGGAGTCCGAGAAGAGATGTGAGGGTGCCATGCTGACAAGCTGCACACCAATCTCCGTCAGTTGTGGTGGTTGTGTGTATGGGCTTTGTCAGGATTTTTTCTCTAGAGGGGGACAAAGCACCCAACAGAAGCGAAGGGGGAAATCACCGGCCGTGGAAAAATCGACACCCATGTTGCAAATATACATAAAATTAATGGTAATATGATTCACCCTTTTTCGTTTTCATGCCAACTGAAATATGAGAGACGATAATTTTGATTGATTTTTTTCTGGCAGGTGGATGACGTGGATGCCTTTGGCTCCAGCTGGCGTGTTGCTGCTGATGCTCCAGCCTTTGTCCACACTGATCTCATCACCATGCACCCCTGTAGCATGTGGCCATCACGGGCACATGAGGCATCTGTGTTATGCTCGGAACTCAAGAATGCAAGAGGTTGGTCACAGAATCATTTTCTTTGCATATCATAAATCCAGGGGAGAGAGTCCTTTTATGAAACTGTCCTAGAAGGCACAAGGAATTTTTACAAGGGACCTTTCAATGAATCCACCAAAAGCCTCAACAGACAAATGGCACATTCCTTGCACTCAAATAATGTTGGAACAGCAAATCCCACATAAAATTATAGTGGCTGGAATCTTCCTTTTAAATCCTTGAATAATCCTCCAAAACCTCCGGACAGTGTTTCCCCTGGCTAATGAAATGAGCGAGGTGGTAAAAATTCAAATTGATGATTGAAACAAAATTGACGCAGTTTGCAAACTCAAAAGGATGCTGCCCTTACAAAAATGCGAGATGATTCCATTTACACATCCAAATTGTGAGTTCTTGATACATAGAGGTCAAGGAAAACGCTCATAAATTACACAAAATGAAAATTTTTCCTTTATTGCAAATCTTCACAGCGAGGTGGTGATATTGGCAAAAATTGAGCGAGGTGGTCACTGAAAGTAGCGAGGTGGGCCGCCTCACATTTGAATGGGCAGGGGAAACACTGCCTCCGGATGGAATTTAAAGGATCGCTGAGAGTGAGGGTTAAGGTAAAACTGCAATACTTCAGTGACTGAGGAGGTGAATTAGAGGTTAGGGAAGGGATAAGCAAGACAGTGAGAGAGGGTACCCTCTCTTACTTCTTTGGGGACTCTAATTGGGAAATCTAATCAATCAATTTTGTCAATTGGACAGGTGTATTCAGAAGTTGCTTCGCCAAAGTTGACCCAGGAGAGTACTACCGCAAGTGCATGTATGATATGTGCGCAACACTACCAAGCCAGGAGTTGCTGTGCCAAGCTATGGCTGAATACGCAGATATCTGTCTGGACGAGGGAATCGTCATTGATAACTGGAGATCTAGTTTCAGAGAAGGACAATGTGGTAAGGGTGTCATAAGTTAAAAAGGGATTGTGTAAATTTCTGAGATTGTTTTGACACCTGTGATTGAGGATTGGGTAAATTATGATGTAGCTAATATTAAAGCGAGGAAAATATTCCATTTCACTGCCCTCATCTCACCAGTCACCAAAAACATGCTTCTCATTGTAATTCCTTTTAATCTTATTTTCTGTTGTGTTCCAAATCTTTTCCCATTACTAAGGCATATTAACAACTACAAACAATTGATTATGACCGTGGACAGGGACGATGTGAGATGAAGAGATTCTAAATGCAAGGAACCAAGCAGAACGTTCATTTCACGTTGCAACAGTTACTAGAATTACTCTTATGTTTACAATATATTTTTGGTCTCTCTCTTGTCTAGAAATGGCATGCCCCAACGGACAGGTGTACAGTGCCTGCGTTCAATCCTGCCCCAAGTCCTGTGGTGATCCGCATGCTGGAAAGGAACCTATGGACAGGTATGTAACACTTACACAGACTGGAGAAAAAAATCTACAGTCGCTTACACCCACAACGTCAGTACAGCCCAAACAATGGGAAAACAAATGACTAAACCAACCATCGATGGATCGCTGACTGTGGCTCTCTAAACTAAAACTGAGACTCCACTGAAAACTATCACTGTTAATTCTCTGGACATATACCATATAAATTAAATCTACACATCTGCACGCCAAGACAAATATCCAATTGGACGTACCTGCCAAATAAGAAGTAGCTAGACGGGAGTTAGATTTTGAGCCAGAATGTTTGTAAAATAATCGCAATGCTTAAATAACATTGTAAATATGACACAACTAGAAGATCTTGACATTGTTTTACGATCATAATCACAGACGATAATGATAAAAGTGCCACTGTAGGTAATGTCTATGGCAACTCATGGTCCTTTATATAGAGTTGATTTTAACAATGGCATTGTCTCCGTAGGTGTTATGAAGGATGTATGTGTCCAGAGAGTGGACACTTACAGGATGGCGACCAATGCCTGACATCAGACAACTGTGGCTGTCAGCGATTGGGCATCTATTACCAGGTATGTTGGTTTAAATATTAAAAGTGTCAAGACAACTGGAAGACATACTGCTTTGAACAGCTTTTAAACAGCTCATCAGGCAGTATATTTCAATATGACCGTTTTAGGATGGTTTCTGAGACAAATACAAGTGTTACATATCATTAAGACATTTCACATCGTTATAAAATGGAAAGTTAGCAGTAGCTATTATGAAATAAGCATCTTCTTTGAAATTCACTCGTCACAGAAATAAGAAAACAACTTTTCTAAATTGACATAGATTGGACAATTGCAATTCGCATATCATTTTTTTAAAACATTGTTTACAGGCAAAGTCAAAGAACCATGTAAGGTTACAAACTTTGATTTTTCCTTCTCTTGTCTAGCCTGAGGAAAGGGTTGTCAACGACCAATGCACTGGTCAGTACATCTGCCTACCAGGAGGAAAATGGAATGAGAATCCACTGACCTGCGATGCCAACGCTCATTGTGGAGTGGTGGAGTACAAACAGGACTGTGTTTGCAACGACAACTTTGCTGGAAGTGGGAAGCAGTGTTTTGGTGAGTAATGTAAAGGGCTCAGCTCATGAACTACCCCTCAAATACCCAAAGAAGATATTCATAACAGCAAGATATTAATATCTGTAAATTTCTTTCTGTAGTTCCTGTAGTCATAGTTTTAGTGATCATGAAGAATCAGTTGAAGAAATTGCACTTCTTGTTTCTCTTGTTATGCAATTAACACATCTTGCTCCTTCCAACCTCACAAACCAAATAATGAAACCAATGCTTGCAAGCAAAATGCTGTGGTCAAACTTTGCTCTGCTTCTGTTTTGGGATTCTGTTTGAGCAAAATGGATGGGATGCTTCTTTTCTAATCACTTCTAGGTCAGTGACAATACTTTCTGGTTGTTTGTTTCTCTCAGATGCTAAGCATGTCACTCCCAAAGTTGCCTCTCAGGGTGAGAGCCTCCACATCGACTGCGGAGACGAGTATGTTGATCTCATATCAGCAGACTACAGCTTCACTGATCCAAGCAGTGCCGGAGCGACCACAGATCCCGATTGCCGTGCCTCCAATGTCATGGATGTCCTGGCCAACCACATCTCGAAAGACGGCAAAATCCTGGAAGCCAAGGCATCTGCCTACCACTTTGGTGAGACCTGTCAGCAAACAGGCAACGTCTTGACCGTCAGTTACATGTGCTCTGCACGGCCTGTTGTCCGAGAAGTGGAGCTTGGCAAGGTGGTGCACATGAGGGGATGCCAAGACAGGGAGATCTCCTTGAAGTGCCACAAGGGGTCAAGGATTAAGATCTTGAAGACTGAATATGGACGGCAGACTGGCAGCGAGGTGTGCCAGAGTGCTTACAGCCAACATATACTGACCACTAGCTGTCGAGCTTCTCCAAAGCGACTCGAGAAGAGGGTAAATATCTATAAATGATTACTAAATCATATTTTTCTATTATTACACATATTTATTTTGTAATACTATACCGTTCTATTTGTTATTATTACTTATATCTATGAAGTCAGTGATTCCTCTAAATTATCCACAGCACTGTAGCTTGCAATCCAGTACAGTAAAAAATGGTTGAAGCCATAAGACGATACCCCAACATCAGCATTCTTCAGTTATAAGATATTTGTACACCTAGATCTTATTGTTTTCGTTGCACAAGTCATTTTCAAGGAACCATAACTCTAAGCTAGCTTCGGCTACTTCAAACTTATTTTGATAGGTTGGATAATAGTTGAAGGTTAAAGATATCTTTTTATCTTATTTTTATTTCAGGTGCGAAATGCTAACATGGGCTTTCTTCAGTTATAAAATATATTTACACAGATCTTGTTGTTTTTCTTTACAAAATTCAGTTTCAAGGATCCATAACTCTAAACTAGCTTTGGCTACTTCAAACTGATGTTGATAGGTTGGATAATAGTTGAAGGTTAAACATTTATTTTAATTTGAATTTCAGGTGCGAAGACGTTGTGACAACCGTGAGGAATGTCGCATCCAGATCAAGAAGCGTAAACTGAGAGTGAACCCATGTAAAGAGACGCCAAAATACCTGGATGTCACGTACAAGTGTGAGGCTCATGAGCCAAACTAAATGGTAAATATTATAATCTTGAACCCTGCATTACAATGGGCCTTATTCACAAATCGGCCATATTGAATTGAAAGTTAGGTAAAATCTTAAATTTTTGGAACTTGCGAAGAGGAGTGAAAGCAAGTTAGTTTATAAAAAAATTCGAGTCTGCTTTAATGAATAATTAAAAATTTGTAATTAAACATGTTTAAAGCCACATTTAAAAAAACAAAATCACCCTAAAATAATGCTGCATTGTGCCTGCATAAATAGTCTGGCGCCATACTTTAACAATTATCAATTAATAAAATACATTCAGGGAACTTGACAAAAATGGCCAACTCGTGCATAAGGCCCATTCTCTTCTCTCTTCTTCTAAATATTAAAACATGTTGAAATTTATGAATTCAATTGTGTATTTTGATACATTTCATCTGAGCTTAATGTTGATTCACTGTTTCATTTTCATTCTTTCTTTATTCAGAGGACAAGAAAGCTGAAGTATTGCAGCACAAGGAACTCCTAAACAACAGGTCACTCATTCAGACCTGACAATTATCTTTCTCTTTGTAATAAGGAAATTCTAAAATGTAGTGCTGTCATTCCACAATAATTGTGGGAATGCAAAATTAAAAGGAAATTGGCTTATCATCAATTCAGAAAAAAACATTGTCACACAAAAAAACCCTGTTTCTAATGGGCTAAAGGCCGCGCGAAGTATTTCCAAAAAATTGTGGAATCAAAGTTTTCTTAAAATGTACATTTGTAATTGGTGAACTGTATCAAGGGTTTTCTGGGGAAAAGGTATTCATTTAATAAAAGAGTAACTTCAACTTAATTTTGAGGCCTTGTTTAAATTCCAGATCAATTTAAATTCATGCACCTGTTTATCTTAATTAATTACATTATAGTCATAGAATTACTAACACATTAGAATAAGGAGATTTAAGGCAGAGTAAAGGGTCTTAAGGCAAGTAATTTATCAGTCTTAATGTAGATACTTTGGGCATAATGTATCAATAATTTTGGTCATGAATAACAAAATATAAAAATGGAGTTTTTGTTTTATTTTGGGCAGAAGGTTTACATTAAATGGTGTAAGATGTAATATAATCATCAATCGAAATTAATTTGTTTTCGTGTGAAGACGATCTTGAAAAATTTTGTTCATGGGGGATAAGGTGACTTTCATCGTCATACCAGCTGTGGTGTCTGATTGCAGGCTATATATAGTTTATTTATGCTTTGCACTAGGGATATGTAGAGATATACTTCAGTTGTACTTTGGTACAAGTTAACTTGCATAAACATTTCCTAGGATGATTTAATGAATTCGAAAATCAAAATCTGTCCCATTCATTTCCCGTAAATAAAATGTAGGAGCCAACCAATTTTTTTTTCAATATTTTGTTCAGTTATTTTTTTTTTTAATTCATCTGTCGGAATGGATATATTTTATTTGTTTATTATATTTTTGTCTTTAACCTTTTATTTTGTGATTCTTAAAGTGAATTCCAGTTGTAAAATGCTTGGTGTAAGTATACTTTCGAAAGGTGTTGCTGTATCTAAAGAACTGATTAAAGTTTGAATGCTTCTGGTGGCGTTTCTAAATTGCATACTTGTTTGTTTCCTTATTTGTTGCTGTTCATCAAACGACATTCATTTAGATGACTAGAAAGCAAACGAAATGAGACTCGTGCTTCAGAACCACAAGTGCTTGAAGCAGATGACAACGAAGATTTAATAATGTCATTTGCCGGGGGGATACCTGGGCGACTACTGCCGGCCCGAAGGACCTGCGCGTCAAACTTCAATGTTGCATTATTTTTATTTGCCCGGCGGCGGGCGTAGCGCGCCTCTTCCACGTCGCGCGCGCCCATGGCCATATATGGATCCGCCAGTGACCGAGAAAAATTAAACGTCTGAACTTTCTGAACACTTCAATAAAAAAAATGGTATTTATGAAAACGGGAAAGATTCAAGTACTTTTTAAAATCATTCCACAGATGCAACTTTATTTGATGCCGCCTACATAAATAAACACGTGATTAAAAATTGCGGTTGGCCGACAAATTTAGAAATAAAGATCATTCATGAACAGCTTTCTTCTCTCTGTAATTTGTTTTAAAAAGGGGTCATTTCGATAATTATTCAGTTATTGACTAGTTCATGCTCAGTTAGATCTAACACTTCGATCATATTCCTCTCAGACGGATCGCATTCAGGTCAGGATACCCAGCTGTCTGACATCTTAGGTTGATGATTCCTGATCTAAATCATGATTCCTATTCATACAGCCGCCGTTGTCGTCTTAGAACTAATTTATCATAACTAAACTTATCTGGTCTTTGTTCCTTTGTTGCATTTTGTCTCTATGGTGTCATTAAGCCTACATCTTATTTTATTTTGCATAAACATTGTCTCCATGAAGTTCACTCCTGCAATTTGGAAGTTTTGTCCAGGAAATCTGTATGATGCATTTTAGCTTTGTTTTGGAAAAGTTTTTATAAAAGCGTCTATGTCTTTTGACTTGGTTAATTCCGTGCCTGGCTTATGATTCTAAGCCATTACATGTATGTCTTCAGCAATGTTCTATCGTAGCATCTGAAGTCATCCCTGCCTGAATCAAAAGAGAAGAAAGTAAATATGAAATGGTTAGGTAGCAATTGTTGATATAAGAGTGACAATTACTCCAAATTTAAGTTGTAGGCCTATCTCGAGTTATTTTGTATTCGTTGGTAACGATTTCATCAGATTTGCCCTAATGTCTGTCAGACTGTCATGATGTTGACCTCGGTCGCGAAATACATCAGTGTGCAGCATGTAACTGTCTTATCGTGTGCGCTGATCAGAGGATCATGATCTTGACCTTGATCTTCATCATGACATCAGTCGACGTCACTCAGTTGCCTACGTCATGCTTACGTCATTAATATAAGATGATGTCATTAATACATGCCGCATATAAATGTACATGGCATAGCTGATTAAAAAAGTCACACATACCTAATCTAATTAAATTATGCTAAAAAGGGTCAACGCCTGTTTAGTTTTAGTTTTATTGTAAGCCTACAAGTTCATGATCTTGATCTTGTGGGATTCATCTTAGATCGCATTCAGGATACTCAGATCTCTGACCCTTGACCTTAGATTTTTGATATCCCTGATCTTAATCATGATCCCTAGTTTTACAGTTGTCGTCATCGTCTTTAGAACTAATTTATCATAAATTTAATCAAGTGGCGGATCTTAATCTGGTTCGTGGGGTTGCAACCCCCCCCCCCCCTCCATCAGCTGCTGACTAATGTTACTAGACCTAACATGGGGCCAAACACAATGCAGAAAAGCTCTTATTTTTTCTTGAATTGCCTTAGAATGCTGGAGAAAGCATCGTAGATTTCAAATCCCCCAGATAAACATTCAACATGCCTTATTTGAACCAGACTCCCCCCTCCCATTTGTATACCCCTTTCCTGAGCTGACAACTAGATCCACCTCTGTAAACTCATTATGGTGTCTTCTTTATCAGTAGATGTTTGTTTTCCTCTGTAACATCTATGATCGTTTGAGATGCATGAAATTAAGACTGAACCTGACAATCAATTTAAAGATGATAACTAGTAGGCCTATAGTCGAATTTCACCCCGAAAGGATATTTTTTTTTCTAATTGCTAGTTTTCTAGTAATCTAATTTAAGTTACTCACCTTCGATTATAATATCGTTCCATATTCCATCGGGACGTATATTGAATTATTTTCTTTACAAACTTCCAATTATTTGCAGCCGGCAATATTTTGGCTCTGGAAGGGGGGGGGGGTCATTGTGTGAAAAAATAGAGGGTTGCATGCTGACGAATATTCAAAATCAGATTTTTTTTCTGATTTTTTTCTCAATTATTATTTTATTACAACCATTATTGAATGATACATCAACCGGAAATATCCACCGATGTTACTTGGAAAAAAAACGTGGCGTTTATATATATAAAAAAACCGATTCAATAACTTTTTAAAATCATTCCATGGATGCAACTTCATTTGATGACAACTGCATACATAAACACATTAATGAAATGCGTTTGGCCTACAAATTTAGGAATAAGGATCATTCATGAACAGCTTTCTTCTCTCTGTAATTTGTTTTAAAAAGGGGTCATTTCGATAATTATTCAGTTATTGACTAGTTCATGCTCAGTTAGATCGAACACTTCGATCATATTCCTCTCAGACGGATCGCATTCAGGTCAGGATACACAGCTCTCAGACATCTTAGATTGTTGATCCCTGATCTTTATCATGATTCCTATTCATACAGCCGCCGTTGTCGTCTTTAGAACTAATTTATCATAACTAAACTTATCTGGTCTTTGTTCCTTTGTTACATTTTGTCTCTATGATGTCATTAAGCCTACATCTTATTTATTCTATTTTGTATAAGCATTGTCTCCATGAAGTTCACTCCTGCATTTTGCAAGTTTTTCCAGGAAATCTTTATGATGCATTTCAGCCTTATTTTGGAAAAGTTATAATAGCGTCTACGTTTTTTGACTTGACTAATTCCATACAGACTTCTTTCGATTCTAAGCCATTATATCTTCAGCAATAAGACCACAAGGTGTCGCTCTTCAATCGTAGCATCTGAAGTCATCCCTGCCTGAATCAAAAGAGAAGAAAATAAACATGAAATGGTTAGGTAGCAATTGTTGATATAATAGTGACAATTATTCCAAATTTAAGTTGTAGGCCTATCTCGAGTTATTTTGTATTTGCCCTAATGTCTGTCAGACTGTCATGATGTTGACCTCGGTCGCGAAATACATCAGTGTGCAGCATGTAACTGTCTTATCGTGTGCGCTGATCAGAGGATCATGATCTTGACCTTGATCTTCATCATGACATCAGTCGACGTCACTCAGTTGCCTACGTCATGCTTACGTCATTAATATAAGATGATGTCATTAATACATGCCGCATATAAATGTACATGGCATAGCTGATTAATAAAGTCACACATACCTAATCTAATTAAATTATGCTAAAAAGGGTCAACGCCTGTTTAGTTTTAGTTTTATTGTAAGCCTACAAGTTCATGATCTTGATCTTGTGGGATTCATCTTAGATCGCATTCAGGATACTCAGATCTCTGACCCTTGACCTTAGATTTTTGCTATCCCTGATCTTAATCATGATCCCTATAAAATATTACGTACTGTCGTCGTCATCGTCCTTAGAACTAATTTATCATAACTATAAAGACGTGGCGGATTTAAGGGGGTTCGTAGGGTTGCAGCCCCACCCCCTCCCTCAGCTGCTGACCTATGTTATGATATGCTAATGGGGCCAACTTATAATAAATAGAATACTGAAAGTTCTTAAATGTTATTCTCGAATTGCCTTATAGAATGCAGGACCGTCGGGAGAATCATCGTAGATTTCAAATTTTCCGGGAGACATGCCCCGGATCCCCATATACGACGAAGGCCGTGCCTAGACTCAAACCACCACCCCTCCCCATTTATACCCCTTAAGGCTCCTTTCCTGACGTCAGCTCCGCCTCTGTAAACTCATTTATGGTGTCTTCTTTACCAGTAGATCGCGTTTTCCTTTCAGTGTAACATTTATGATCTTTATTGAAAAGTTCGATATCATGCTCAACTTGGATCGAACCCGCCTCGGGTATTCGATACTCCTCTCATATTTACCAGTAGGCCTATAGTCGAGTTTCACCCCGGAAATTTACATTATTTTTTTCCAATTGCTATTTTTCTAGCAATATAATTTAAGTTACTCACCTTTGAAAGAGACATCGACCGCCAAAAATATCCACCCGGACGTAGTATATAGTTAAATTGAATTATTTCTTAACAAATTCCGATTTTTGTTGCGGCCGGCAATTATTTTGTTTCTGGGAGGTGGGGGGGGGGCTGATTGTGTGCACCCCTCTTAAGTTAATTAGTCTGACCTGAAATTACTTTTAAGTTACATTTTCATTTTTCTACAAGTGCTAAGTGCTAAGGGGGGGGGGGGTAGTTGTCAATTTAATACAGCTCTTGTCACTGACCAAAAAGTTTAGTTGAGGGCGCTGTCTTGTGACAAGCAATCGAGTGATGGTACCCTGCCTTCTTTGCATTATATAGTTATTCATAAATATTTTAGGCACCAGACTTTATCGATGACGCACAGTCACAGCACAGTAAATCACTAGATTGAATAAAACCGAGTTTATATCCGGAAAGTGATATCATTTTTGTTTATAAAACACCCTTCAGTTCTTGTTGCCTGTTTGCCAATAACTAGTAAGTAAAGCTTTACATTTAAAGACGAAGCTCGATTGAATGAGTTGATGCATCTGAAGACATTCATTATCGACTGCGAATTACTTGTGTTCATTTTGTTCAATTTTGTTTTGATTTGGCACTGGCACAGGCGACCATTGTCAACAGAATCAGCTGACTTTGTGTAACAACAGAAATACTGCCACTACCGCTGTACCAGAAGCCGAAATTCTACAGAGATTGTGAACTGAAGATTGTGTACTTTTGGCGCCAACTTAACGTCCAATTTTTGAGATAGTTTAACAACTCGTATAAAATGTCTTCGGCCTTGGAAAGTATCCTTTTTGAAACGGAATAGTGAGTGAGTTGTGTATTTAACATGTTTAAAACTTTAAGTTTTAAGTCCATGTTTAATAGGCCTAGGCCTATGCCACTCATTTTCAGTAAGTTAAACTTTTCTTTTGTTATTATTTTTCATATTATGGAAGATTGTTGGAATTACTAACCAGGGCATGCCATATTCCGAGTAACTAGGACTCTACGAATCCCTTTTTTTTTTTTTTTACATTTGGACATCCCTCGACCATGTCCAAATGTTAAAAAAGGCGATTCATAGAGTCCTTGTTACTCGGACTAGGCATGCCACTACTAACAAGACTTGACTTTTGAATTAAGGCGTGTTACTTGTTAAGATTTGTGTCTTTTGCAATTAAGTGAGAAACTTGAATGTAACCATCCTAGCTCAATGATTTAAATTAACTTCCACAAAGTAAAACGTGAAATTGGTTAAAACGTGAAGTGGTAAAAAGTTTGATTGCTTTCAGTTCTTGTAGTGAGTAAAAAGGTAAACGTAACATATATGACAACTATTGATGAATCCATATTGCCGTTGAAGTTCATACATGTAGTTGTTCTAGGAATTAAATCTTTGCTTTATTTATTAATTAATAAACTGGCACGCAACTTTTCCTCTAATCAGTTGATATCCTCATTTTAAATTTCACACTTTAACCCTTAGGCCAAAAAAAAAAGTCTCCGGTTTCTGGTATGGAGCTTGCCCAAAAAGTGGTGCGGCGACGCGTTTTTTTTTTTTTTTTACCTGATTTTTTGCTTCAAATGTCGGCTGATGACTGCAAATGGTGCCCGACTAAACTTAGTGCAAATATATGGGAGTCCAGAGAGGCCACATAAAGCTTATTCTCGACCGTAACCCAATCTAAAAACATGTTAAAATTGTGCAGCAGCAGGATTCCAGTCAAACCAGTGAGTTTGGCGGTTTTGAGACATCATCTTTCATTGAAAAAAAAAACTTTTTCATTTTGCCGACGCGCATGGCTACGGCGAAGCGCGCGCATACCAGAAACCGGAGACTTTTTTTTTTTGGCCTTAGGCTTTAGTCACTGCAGCGCCCAAAACTTCCCCGCCTATTACTCACAGTAGGACCCGAAAGCCGAAACCGCCCAAGCACTCTGTGGTTTTTATTGATTTTTCAGTCAACAAATACAGTGTAATATAAGGACGTCCAGGCACTAATGGGTTAATATGTTGTTAAAAATGGAAAAACGCTGCATAAAAACTAAGCTTGGAATTTCCTCTTTTGTGTAACTTCCCAGTTACACACCTGATTAGAATAACGAAATACAAATTAATGTTTGTCATCTCAAATCACAAAGAAACAACTTTCCTAAACAAGTTTCCTCCTTCAGAGAACCTCTTTCAGTTGAAATTTGCTGCAAAGCAAATGGATCGCAATTCCAAGAAATGCGAGAAGGAAGAGAAGGTGGAGAAAGGCAAATTGAAGAAGGTCTGTGTATCTTCCTGATTTTGTGTTTGTCTTTTTTTAGGATTTTTATTATTTCTTTATTGATCAATAAATAATTGGTAAATATAAAACAGGACTTGTGAAAGTATTCAACTGATGCCCTAACTACTGATGGAATGGAAATCCCATTTGCATGTTATTTAAAACATGAGTCATGGCATGGTTTGCACATGAATGTATATGAAGGAAGTTCCACACCTTGGATTTTTGGTTGTTCACATTAAATTTACTTTTCTTTCTAAATTCTTTACAGCAAAACTAGCAGAAAATTGTATACTACAGCAGCAAAAAGCAGTAATACAAAATACAAATATGTAAAGTCTGTTTAGAGCCAAAAATGTGGCCCATCAGGCCAGCGTTTATCTCGGTTTCAGTAGAATGAAACGACTGAGAATATTTCTATTCCCCCTGGACGAGATGCTAGTCCACCGCAGGCTACTCCCCTGCTTAGTATCCATTTATACTCCTGGGTGGAGAGAGGCAAGTGTAAATAAAGTGGCTTGCCCAATGACACAGCATATGGCCAGCGGCTGGATTCAAACCCATGAACCTTTGATCTAGGGTCACAAACCCTAACCGCTAGGCCACACTCCCCACAATGTGAAATGTTAAATCTTGTAATTTCCTTTGAATACTTATTGTAGGCCATTCAGAAGGGTAACGCGGACGGGGCGCGCATCCATGCAGAAAATGCCATCCGACAGAAAAACCAGAGCCTGAACTACCTGCGCATGTCGTCCAGGATCGACGCTGTTTCACAGCGTGTACAGACAGCAGTCACGACACAGCAAGTCACCAAGTCCATGTCAGGCGTGGTCAAATCTATGAATGTTGCCTTGAAATCTATGAATCTGGAGAAGGTAAGTCGGACTTTCTTCTAATGAAATAATGAAAATAACAATATATTGTCCTTATTTGCTGCTGTTGTTCTACTTCATGTAGTAGAAAAGGATAGTGTTCTCTGATACACAATATTTGAGCACTTCGAGTGGTATAGTTAAACTAACCTTCCCAGCAGTTTATTTTCCCGAGGTGAAATCAAGGGAGGATGTGCAGAAAATATCCTCTTGAATTTATGAAAATTTTAATCACAGAAGCTTTACTCTAACAACTATCGCTGAAAAAAAAAATAGAAAGCACGTTTTGAAGGTGATATAGTGTATGTAAGAATACACTTCCAAATTTGCATGTTTTTCACAATGATGGGTAGATAAAAAAGACTCGGAAGTAAAGAATGTCAAATGTTCTCAGTCGAGCTTTCCATTTTTGTCTTTTTTTTCTGATTCCACTTATATGTATGGGTTCCAAGCACAAGTACCCCCTCAATGGTTACAAAGGGAGAGTTGGGGGAGACCACTGGGAGGGACATTCAAATGCATTGTCAACAGCGTGTGATGCTCATGCGAAGACGCTGTTGTTTTGTGCACATTCAGAGTAAAATTAGTCATGGTTACTTTGCCCCACACGTGCGCAAAACAGTACACATATGCCGCGTGTCCTGTCCACAGGGCGCTCGAAAGTTGTTCAAAAAGCGTCTTCTACTGTTCGTGCAGGGGTCCATATGGGGTCATGAATTTGGTTCCCCACATCTCAGGGATCACAATTTAATGTTCTTATTTACAGGTAACACGTATTATGGACCAGTTTGAGAAGCAGTTTGAGACCCTTGATGTACAGACTGAGGTCATGGATCAAGCAATGGCAGGAACAACAACTCTCAATGTCCCAGTGGCACAGGTGGATACCCTGATGCAAGAAGTGGCTGATGAAGCTGGGTAACTATCATTGATCCTTAGATATAAAGCCAAATATTTAACCCTCCCATGCAATCCTACATTCTGTGTCAAGTATTCCTTTCAGTCAAAACTAAACAAGTGACTGTTTTCAACAGTTAAGAATTCCCAGCCTACATAAAGCAGGATTGACTGGCTGGGACTGTTTAACCCTTACCCTACTTGACCCTCCAATGCATGCCAATTGTGCCTCAAGAAAATCTCCTATGTTTTTTGCATGGCCCTCCAATATCTGCCATGTCATTTCAAGGGTAACTGGACAGGCACTCCAATACATGCCACAGAGAACAATGAGAGTCCTCTGATAACAAAGTGAGTGCCCCCAGCTGGTCAGTATCAGGCACCCTCCAGGGCCTCCAACTCCTGCCAATTGGAGCCTTCACTGTTAAGACTTGTTATATGCCAAATAACTGCAGCTGGAGGGCATTGGCATAACCAACTGACATGCAGTAAACTACCCTCAGAGAGTAAGGGTTAAGTTACTTGATACAGCTATGCTTTGACTCAGGGTGAATGAAAAAAAAACAGCTGTGACCACAACTTGCCTGCTTTGTCTGTTGACCCAGTTTGACTGGTCACAGTGCTTGCTTGACATAAGCTCTGACTGCTGGTGACTAGCCTTTGTTAAAAGTATAGAAGGGGAAGAGGAAGTGGAAGTGAATTTTGACTGTCTGTGACTTTAAATAGCAGGAGGGTTAAACTGAGAGGTAATCATACCTACCTGTACATGTATCCCCCTTGATACATTTTTCTGAATTCCCTGAATCTTCTGACGTCAATCCTCCAATGTGTAAGAACTCAGTGGCACATTCTTAAAACTTTAGAAGCATTAAGCTTAAGTAATTTGTTAAGTTACAGCAGCTAGACTCTCTCCCCCCCCCCCTCTCATTCCTGCAAAGTCTCTAAAACCATCCTTGTAGATTTTCAAGGATCTGTGTGGGTTGGGGTTAAAATTAATCAAACAAAATTTCTTGATGCGATTTGAGATGGTTTATTTAGTTCAGCACAGTGGTTTATTTAGTTCACCACAGAAAGAGCTAGATGAAGGCGTTTTTCGCTTGTTCAGAAATCTGTATTAGTCACATATTTGGGGGGAATGTTGCCATCCTCTTCTTCATTCCTCAAGTGGTTTGAAGACCTCACAAAGATAATGGATTTTCTTGAAATACTCTGGAAGTGCACCCTTTAGTTACTGTATACCTCATGTTTTAATTAGGAAAAAGTACTTAGTACTTGGTTGGTTCTTCTCCTAAATACTCAGCAGGGGAGTTTTTACGGGAGGCCAGAAACGTCGGGGCAAACCCCTTCTCTTGGTGATAAGTGTTACCGAGTTCTTTTACCTGCATTGCATTACACAACACACGGTACCTATGGCTTTACGTCCCATCCGAAGGACGAAGCAATGTTGGTTAAGTGCCTTGCTTGAGGACACAGGTGTCCAGACCCGGGCTCGAACCCACATTCTGTTGCCTCTGAAACACCAGTGCGGTGCTCTTAACCTCTGTCGATGTCTTAGCCATGTCGACATTCCATGATCATTTCATCAGAGCAAACCCACATCACGTAACTGTAATTTTACACATTTACTTAGTTCATGTTTCTTTGTGTTCTGTCCTCAGCTTGGATTTGAATATGGAGTTGCCGTCAGGGCAGACCACATCCCTTGCCGGAGCCAGTGCTGCATCGATGGAGCAAGACGAACTATCACAAAGATTACAACAACTCAGGAATCAATAAGGCAAAATACGGAGGGTTTTGTAAAGAGGAAAAGATGCAACATGTGCTTGCAAGCTTAAAGTTCGGGCTTAAGATATATAGTAGGATCATTGTTCAAATTCTAGCTCAGAATTTGAAATTGATCTTCCATAAACACCTGGCCCACTATATACTGGATTTGTTGTATTTCTAAACAGTATGCTCGTAGTCATTGTGTATAAACAATATTTAACAACATTTGCCCTATGCTGTTAGACACGAATCAGTGCTGTTTTTTATTGGCATTTTTTGAGAATTTTGTAAGCTAAAAAACAAAAACAAGACAACATTAACCCTCCTATGAAAAAAATGCATTCTGAGCCATGTTATTACTTGGGTCAATGCTGGTCAAGACCCCCATTGGTTTGTTAACAGTATGCCGGGGGAGAGGAAGGAAATTTGGACCGTTTGTGACCTCTTAAATAGCAGGAGGATTAACGAAGAAAAACATCACGGCAATTCAAAGCATGACACGCTGACAGATACATCACGTACATGTAGCTCTTAAATTGCAACTGCATTTTGAACAATTGTAAGTGGTATGTGACAGTGATAAGTGGTTTCGTAGAAGGAATGAAACAGTGCAAAAGTAAATTAGAAAAGTATCATAAAACAGCTTTTGAACCACAAATGTTAGGTATGGTGGACAACTGAGATAAGTGACCACTGATATATTTTATTTATCACAAACTGATATGTGTCTAGATTAATAGGCTATTAATAGCAATACCCTAAAGTATTTGTGAATCTAATTATAGTTCTGTTCGCCTTTATTTAGGACAGAAGCTTTTCATCAAGTACATACTTTACAAGAGGTTTTTAATTGATTTTTTTTTCAAATTAATTAATTAAAGTTACATTTTTGGAAGAGATTTTGATTAGCCGAGGGATGTTGGGTGGTAGTACATGAAGATTAAGCGATCCTTATTTTGGCATTATTATGTTGTTACACAGCATTTACATTGAACAGGTAATAAATAAAAATAATAAAATGATTGAAATGCATGTACCACCACCGAGAACTCCAACATTAACCGTTACAAATCTAGGATTACTTACAACTGAAGCTGTAAATACAAATGTGTAATTCTGGTATGTTATGTATCTTAGATCATTTAGATATGTATTGAATTTCATTGTAAATATTTCTCAAAAAGAAGAAAAATCAGCAAGAACAGGGATTTTTTTATGTAAAAGAGATGGGCCTTTCAGAAGTGTATAGAGTGTAATCGAAAGCGTAAAGCAATCTGCACCTATTTAAAAATTCTGTGTGTTATTAAAAAAAAACATGAAAAATGCACTTGTTCAATGTTATGACAATTACCATTCTCGGGTACCTGAGGGACAACAGACAATGGAGGTCAGAAGTTTCTTGCTTTAACGTTCCAAGGGCTTTATTTTTTAACCATGATTTTTTTCTCACATTTCATCAAACCATATTTAAACCTAAATCACAACCAAGATTAAAATATTTGATTTAAAAATAAATGCAATGTAAAAAGTACATCCTTGTTAAAAGCATGTACCGTGTGCATGTGTGAATACAAAAGGGAAGTGCCTATAGTAATTTAGAATCCCCGAAAACACCAAGCTGAAATCCATCATGAATACGCAGTTTTCATGGAAAGATATACATGTAAATTTGATATCCTACCAAAAATTAATTGTGAAAGGAATTTCCTCATCCAAATATAGCCCTCCCCATTGGTAGGGAAAAGTGTAAAACCTGGCAGAACTTTTTGTTTAAAAAAAAAAATTAAAAAAATGGAAATTGGGTCATATTTAGGGCGCACATGTGTTCTAAGCACTGGGGTATGAATCTTTCCGTATATTCTAGGTTGTTTAAAAACTGCATTGACGCCCCGAGAATCCTCAACAAAAGGTTTATTTTGCCAAGTAGAAATAAAGTAACCGTCGCCCCCCCCCCCCCCGGCCCCCAGTATCTTTAATACTGTGAAGTTGGAAGGGCGCCCTCACGAGGGACGCTACTTCATTGATGTAAATCATGGCGTCTTTCATCGGATCACGCGTGACAGAGGTGGAGAACAAACCTATTGAAAAACCGGTCGATCGTGAAAAGGTAGCTTATTTTTTATTATTTAATACATTGTGACTCCTTATAGAAAGAAATTGTCTAGAAATTGAATTAATGCACCTTTTCCGTAAAAGATTAGCTCTAATTAAATTGCTTATGAATTAACCGGCCGGTCGTTGTTGCCGGGAAATCGTGTAGGGCTACGCGCGTGTCACGGTGTTGCCAGAGAAATAAAATAGCGCCATCACGCAGCCTTTACAGTCTACACGCTCCGAGTTCGAGAGCAGTCCTGTGAAATTATGAACATATAAAAAACGCAGTGGCTATTGTTACGGCAGCCGTAACGCATTTCCCATTTTCTATCGTTACGGTAGACTGCAACCTGGCAACTTTTATAAAAAAACATGACAAGAAAATATAAAATTAGAAGGAAAAAAGTGAATTTGAACTTTATGAAATTCGGACTTTATTTCCCTTTTAAAAAAAATCCTCCAAAGCCTCAGGTTAGAAAAGGAAAAAAATTCGAGTGCAAAACTGAGATTCGAACCCGCAACCTCGCGGTGCAAAATCCTACCCTCTATCGGCTGAGCTGGCGCACTGCTCGATAAAACGTGTGGAAACAAATAATTATATACCTGCGTGCGTATCAAAAAAATATCGTAGAGGGCGCTAAACAACGAGTGCCGTAACGATAGCCACTTCGTATAAAAAAAGGTTTTAAAATTATCAAAATGGAGCAAAAACGCAAACAATCAAGTCAAACTAAACCAGACATGCCAGATTTCCATGGTCCAGTAATTTACTCAACTTCAGGTAAAGCAACCTTTACTCACTCGATTCTTGATACAAGATTTTGTAAAAAGCTGTAGGCCCTAGTCTGAAAAACAAAATGTCATGAATGTAGCTTTTGTAGGCCCTATGAATCTTTCATGTTTGTTTTGCGTCTTGTTTCTAGACATGCCCACTGCTTCTGCGAGTATTCTGCAACTCGGGTCATCACCACAGAGTGGAAGAATTTCAGCGTGGAAGAGTACCACCAAATGAACTACAGATTTACACATGGTAATTTAACCTTTAACAAAAGTCACGTTCCTGTCACATTAAATAGGAATCAACACTTCAACAACAACTAAAGTAGAATAAATACTCCAGAGTTATCTCCAGTCTCCTGTAGCAAGGTTACATGCTTGTATGACTTTCAAGATGATTAACAAACTCTTCTTTTGTACTTCAAGGATGGATGCCTCATTAAAAGAGCTGTCAAGCCTGGTGAAAGAAGTCAATCCTGAAGCAAGACGAAGGGGAACCTTCTTCAGCTTTGCCATCGTCTCTCCAGACAACAGACGTCCAGGCTATCACCTGAATAACATCGGCATGACCTGCTCTGGACGGAAGGGCCCAGATGATGCAGTTACCTTGGCATCGACATCATTCCAGATTGGGGATTATGTGGACATTGCAATCTCATTGCCAACAAGAGGAGGTGGGCCTCCACCTCAGAGAAGAGACAGCTGGGGACGGATGTAGATTTGATGCTTTCTTACTTGTATTTAAGACGCGCGTCTTCTAGGATAGACAGTAGCAGAGCTTGGTATCAACCATCTTTTCTTGAGCAAAGAAGCACACAAACTTGTATGGTTTAAGACACTCCACGTACTGGAAGATGAGGTCTTCAACAAAAAAACCCATCTTCTGAACTGTTACTTGATTGCAAAGCTTGCGCTGTCTCTTAGTATTTTTAACACTTTTTACGCTGTTAAATGCACTTGTAGCAAGTCAGATTTGTAACATTTTGTGCACCCTTATTTGGAAGTCTTTGTAGTTGTCTTCTCAAAAAATTCTCGCTGGAATTTTGTTCACTTCATTAAGCGCCTGTACATAAGCAGAAATTAGTTTGAAGCAAAGGAAAGTAGTGTAGATTTAATCAGTTACTAACATATGGAACCAAGATCAATAAATTTAAAAAGCTACATTTCCAAATCTTGAGCGGGGTAACTGCACAGACATTGTTTTTTTAAAGTAACACATCAGGTATGTATTTCATTGATACTCATTTTAGAAATAAAAGAAGCAGTGAAGTTCACATTACAATGATGCAAGAAGTTTATTTATTCATTTTGTTGAATGAAAAGGCAATTTTTAGTTCAATTATATGCAGATAATCACACATTGTGTACAACACATTAAAATGGCATCTCCCAATTAAAGGAAATCGGATATTTGTGAAATATTCATCTCTCTACAGATACGTGAACTTAATACATAACTAAATTCTGATCATGGAATTTGCAAGCTTGCAAAAAAATCTAGAAATGCTAAAGATCACATGATTTGTCATGTTGAGATAAGACCAACACATGCAGTTAAGTTATGAGTTGTCAACTATTCAAGGGAAATTAGGTTTAACCCATTCATAAATTAGTCAAAGAGCAAAAAAAATACGACTCAAGACAATTTTACATTTTTTTTTAACAACTGGGATTCTAAACAGATGTTAGACTCGTTAAGTGTATTGGGAAATGTGAAATTGTTTCAAAAATTTCAGAAGATTTTGGCAAATTTGCCTAACTAAGAAGCCTTTAAGAAAATAGTATTTACTTACAAGGCCACATTTTAAAGGGGCCAGCCCATCTAGCTTTTGGAATGTTAGCAATATTCAGAAAAAAAAATCGAATTTACTAAGCACCCCCATCAATTATCAGTTAAACAATGTTCAAGGACAACTACACCTTGAAACAGGTATTTGCCGAGTTATACAAGATACTGTCTTACTAAAATATTAGTAACTATCTTTGGGTGTGGAATTCTTTCAGAAAGGGTTTCTACTTCCTCAAAAATTTGATAAACAAGCCTGCCTTGTCCAAGACAAATCCATAATAACAAAATGTCCCTTCATCCAGACAAGCAAGTAAACAAAGCTGTCGGTCATGTCTACTTTATTTCAGCAAACAACGTTGTTGTTCGAAATGTCCTCCTTTTCCCCACAGCCATCTCATCCACATACATTTATTTAAATTATAACAAGCAGAGCTTCAAAAATCTGAATTCCTGCCAATTTCATCCAGAATTTCAGCTGCCAAGTTTGTTACTGTTCAATCACTTTTAAACCCATTAGTCCCTGTACTGCCCTAAACTGCCCTGCCTATTACTCCCTCTTCTGCCCAAGCACTCTATGGTTTTATAGATACTTCAGGGAACAAATACAATGTAGTACATAATGGTGCTAGGGTTGAAGGCGTTCCCCAAAACGAGGATTTTATAATTCGACACACAGTGCAATGCCCATACCCCCTCCCACACATAATGCAGCCACGCCTTTCTTCCCGCCTGTCTGTTTGAGTGCGTGCAGCAGCGTCACAAGAATACGTGCACCTGATGCTCCTATGGGGTGACCCAAAGCTATAGCACCACCATTTATGTTGACCTGTAGAAGAAGAAAAACAAACAAACACAGTTTAATAAATAACTGTTCCCAAAGTGTAATTAGAGGGGGGGGGTGTATAAAAATATGCAAGAGTCAAAAATTTGTGTTACTACAACTACACCATATCAATGTCAAATTGGCACTTCCTGCTGCAAACGGATTCAGAAGCAGCTTATGAAAATATTACGTTTGAGGAAGTTGTTGGTAGAAGGGATTGGACATTTAAAAAAAAAATATTTTCGTTTCAAGAAATTTGGCAGAATTTTAACTTAAATTCTACTGCAAAATAACCTTTACCTTAGCTGAATCTAATCCTAACTCCTTGACAACAGCCAGAGACTGAGAAGCAAAAGCCTCATTCAACTCAAACAGATCCACATCTGATATACTCCAGCCTGCCTTTTCCAACTGCAAGTAAAATTTGAGAGACACGGAAGATGTTAAAGGAGTTTCTGATGATAGGTGCCAGAGGTAACCATACCTGTAACTGTTTATTTAGAACAATAATATGGGCAGCTAAAATGGGAAAGCACAAAGACAATTCAAACTAATTTTAGATAAAGAAATTGCAAGAAATGCTCATCTGTAAAACAGCTAATTTAGAGTTGTAAATATTGATGAGCATGATCTGAATATAAACGTACTGCACGTGACATCTCTAACAGGCATGCAACTTGGAAGAAACAAAAACGAGGAAACTCCAATCTTTACAAGACTTTGAACAGTGTTTTTAAATTTTTAATGGCATGAGTGTGAAGTGAAAAACCAGGAGTCAGCTGATCCAAGGAAAATTTGCATGCCTGCTCTAAACAATAACAAATTTCCTTGGCATCCAAATTTTCTGCTCCAACTCTTTCACGCTTGGCATATTATCACTTCACCTGAATGAAATAAGATCCTAAAGCTTCAAAGACTAGACTCACAGCTTTCTTGATTGCAGGTATGGGTCCAGTTCCCATGACAGCAGGGTCAACACCAGCCTGTGCCCAATTAACAATGGATGCTAATGGAGCGATACCTCTCCTTTCAGCTTCCGACTTCTTCATCAGCACAAGCCCTGCTGCACCATCATTGATACCTATTTACACAAAAAGGAAATCATCAACCTTGATTTAATGCTTGCCATCAAAGAAATTTACACTCAAGAAGACCACTTGGCTTTGTCTTCCATCTTCCATTTCAATCTCAATTCAATGAGATTTGGATGCAACCTGCCAACACAAACCTTGTCTTTGGCTTATTTTTTGTTGTAAAATTGACAGTCTAACAGAACTCTTGCACACTTTTTGAAAAAAACTCTTTCACTGACTAATTTAAACAAATAAAATTCAGAACACTATATTTTACCTGATGCATTCCCTGCTGTCACTGTGCCTGTTCCATCTTGAATGAATGCTGCTCTGAGTTTGGCAAAATTCTCTATCACACAACCCTGCCGTGGAAATTCATCCTTCTTTACAACTGTACTCCCTGTCAAAACAAAAAATTACTCATAAAAATGTGAACCTCAGTGAATTCTTCTCATGAGCATTATAAGCTGAGAAACACTGTAAGCCTAGGGCAAAATGTTGTTTTAAGTAGAATGTAGATTAATCCTCAGGTGTGGCATGGCTTAAAAATGGATGGAGTTGTGCTGAAATCCCGGTCCATTATATTCAATAATTAATACTTCCATTGGCTCAAGTCTCTTAACCAATTAATACTTTTCAGGAACATAAACAACTATCTCAGAGTTGAGATCTGCAAAGATGAACTCAAAAGGTGATGAAGGATGTTTTACATTGTCTTAAGTATTTGAGACAAACAATTCCTACCTTTCCTTTGGGTTATTGTCACCGGAACAATTTCTTCATCAAAAGCCCCTTTTCCCTGGGCTGCTTCACAGCGGAGTTGAGACTTCAGTGCAAACTCGTCTTGCTCCTCCCTGGAGACGTTCCATTGCTTGGCAACATTCTCAGCTACAAGTACAACCAGCAGCAAAGTATGCCAAAGTGATTAATTCCCAGAAAATATTATCGAAAACAGGCAACTGGAAAACATCTCTAGGGCGCCGTGACTTTTTTGTGTCATAATATTTTGTATTTAATGCATGTATAACATCTTAATTTGGAATTTATTTATCTAGATCCAACAGCTTGAAAAAAAAAAAACATAAAGCAAACATAGAAAATGAGAAATTGGGAGGGGACGGGGGATACTGGAATACAGCTCTGATGAGTGTCATAATATCCCTGTTTTGACAATAATGCGTGTCTATTAGGAAACAGTCTTTCTAAGGTTGTTTGTCTGGATTCAACAGTTTGAAAAATATACCTATAAACATAAATTAGGAGGGGGATGCATGAAATTGATTGAAACAGGAGGTTTAATAATGTTGGGGTACAAGGTATAACACATGGGCAAGGCGGATGGGGTGGGAGGGGCAGAGGGTGAAGGGGGAGGGGCAGGGGTGAAGGGGGAGGGGCAGGGAAAGTGCAGCTTCCTCATTCAACACACCTGTTATTCCCATGTGATACTTGTTGAAAGCATCTTTCAATCCATCAGATATTAATGTGTCTGCCAATGAACAATCCCCAAACTTGACGCCATTTCTCATGTGGACAGTATGAGGTGCCTGTGGATGAGTTAAAAGGGGTTTTCCATACATAAGATTAAATAATACTCAGAGTAGAGGTTTATCAATAAAGCTTTTTGATTTCAGTATTTCTTCTATATTGGATTGTAAAATTGCCAGTGTGCCAAGTTTAAATCCGAATATTTCCACATTTGAATAAGATTGCAACAATGATAAGAAATTAAGAAGAAACTGAAAATCATCCAAGGCCAAAAAAAAAAAAAAACCAACCTACTGCTTCTGCTTCCGATTACATGGCATTTGAAAATAGGGTGGGTAGGTAGGGAACTTTTTTGGCAATTTTTTTTGTGTACGATCATATGAAGGAGTCTGTGTGTAGTCAAGGGTAAAACATAGTAACTGATGATTTTCATTTTTTCCCCTCATTTCCCCCTCCCCCCCCCCCCCCCAAAAAACCCACCCAATATGGTAGGACGAGAGGCTGTCAAAATATGTAGGTAGCGCAACCGGAAACAGAACTATTATTTTTGGGGGCCTAAGAAAAGAATGTGGCATAGTAGAAGTGAATGAAATAAAGCCAATTAGTTCCAATCGTAAAGTTTTGGTTAATTATTGCTCATTTGATAATTTTGTCATTATGATAATGCTGTGCATTTGTAATACCTTGCTCATACTCTCTTGGCCACCTGCTACAACTACTGTCGCATCACCACACTGTATGGCTTGGGAACCAAGAACAACAGCCCTGCAAAATAATAAGTAGAGGCCATATAAAATAACTTCTGCTTACATTAAAGCTTAGTCCAGTATATAGACACTTTGAACAGAGACACTGACAAATTGGGGAACCACCAACATAGGGCTGGATAGCTCAGTTGGTAGAGCACTGGAAAGCAATCTGGAGATTTTAAGTTCAAACCCTGTTCCAGTCAATTTCTTTGTGGCAACTTTGAAAAGAAACTTTATAACGCACCTGTAGTGAGTTTCACTTTGTGGTGTTTTAAAACTTTGAAAACATGTTAGACATTTTTTTCAGCTACAAAGCTAATTCCCCCAAAGATCTCAATAAGCATGATAAGACTGATGGACAGATGTATTCTGGGACCCCTGGTACGGGCGAGAATTGTATTTGCAAGTCTTGTAAGAGCCCAGTTCAATGTCGAACTATTTCTATTCCAGTGAAGATAAAACTGATATCTGCACTAAATTCAGACCAGGCACAAAGAGAACAATACTTACTTAAGATACTCTATGTACACAAAGCTATATTTATTTTCAGATTTTGTTTATAACAAAAGGCTTCATACTAAAAATAGGATTCATTGAAGTCAGTGAAATCAGACCACTGATAATACATTTGAAGTGGTCTAATTCAAGCAATGGTCAAAGGTTTTTCTTTTGAAGGTAGAGTGTATTTTAAAGGGGCAGGCTTGAGCACACTTATATACAAATCTGACGACCTACTGTGTATTTCCATACGAGGGAAAGAACATTGCTTTCAGACCATAGGTGTCCAAGTCTCATTTGAAACCCTGTTTTAAATTGGGACACTTTTGAAAATGTGTTAACATGTATTGAAAATGTATGCAAGCTCAAATTAGGCCCCCCCCCAAAAAAATAGTTATGCTTCTGGTTTCCCTACCTACCCTATTCTGACAGCCCCTACCCTAATTTTTTTTCATTGGAAAAATGAGAAAAACACCCAAAACCATCAATATCTATCTTTTACCCTTGAATACATGCAGACGCCTCCATATGATTGTTCACACACAAAAATTGCCAAAAAAAAATAAAAAATTCCCTACCTACCTACCCTGTTTTCAAATGCCATGTAATCGGACGCAGAACTATTTTTGTTTTTGGACCTTAACTGAACTTTCGTTCACCTTATTTTTGTAAAGTTTTTCTTGGCTGAAAACCTAGTGAGGGCAAATTGACTTCTCAAGCTTCCCTTGTGAATTTAATAGTTTTGAAGGTGAACAAAGAAATTCTATGAATTTAATAGAAAATGTGATTCTATAATGAGTTATGACAATCAATGTGCCTGTGGTGATGGAGAAAAGGGGGTTGAGGAGAGAGACAATTTAATTTGGGCAACTCTACATACCTCAATCCTGACCCGCAAACCATGTTGACAGTGCATGCGGGTACAGTGACTGGAATTCCGGCATTAACGCTGGCTTGTCTCGCTGGATTCTGACCTTCCCCGGCCGTTAAAACCTGACCCAGGATGACCTCTGACACATCACCGGGATTGACCTTTCCCCTCTGAAGGGCCTCTTTGATGACAATTGTGCCGAGCTGGTTTGCAGCCAGAGATGAAAGCGCTCCATTGATGGAACCTTTTGAATAAAACAGAGAAAAAAAAAGATTTGGCTTTAAGGTTTTTTTAAAGAAATCGGATGAACGTATAATATAAATGAAATTTATACGTTGTCCTGTCTCTTAGCAATTACAAGTCTTGAAATTTGTATTATATAACTTAATTTTAAATTTAAGCCTACTCAGTGTAGGTGGGCGGAGATCCAGATTTTTTTTTTACTTTGGTTTATCTACAATGATCTAGCTCCAAGACCTACATTCTTGATACTCTATGGTTCTTGAGTCTGGAATGCTAAATCAGCACATAGCAACTGATGAAAACACGCACAAATGAATAGATGCTTTTATCAGATGATAACATTTGATCAGATGATGTCAGCCACTCGATCAGCTTGCCCATACCTACTGAGAAAGCCTATCACTAAAATCACTAACTAAGTGGGTACCTGCAGATTTTACAAAACTATGCAGAACTGTGCCTCATTTCCTCCAAACTTGCCAAGTAAGTATGCTGGGTATCATCCATGTATAAATTCAAATGGAGGGCATGGTGGGAAGAGGTGCTGGCATACCATTTAATCTTACAAAACTAAAGCTAAGCCACTACTATAAACAGATTGGGGGGGGGGGATTTTTATATTTACACTACTTAAGTATTTCACTGAACATGATAATACACCTTTTGCTAAAAACATTTAACCTGATAACCATGAATAAAAATTGAAGGAAATGTAATAAAAGTGCAAAATTAAAGCAAACCAGTTAGGCCTATTTATGTTTTTGCAACCATGCAGCTTTAATTAAAAAAGGCAAAGAAAGAAAACAAATTCCTCAATAACAAAAAGTACAGTGATGGGGTTAAATAAATTTCACTGATTCGATTCAATTCAATTCAACATTTATGTATATCCAAGCACAAACAAAATACAATTCATATAGACATTGAGGGAAATCCAGATTTTTTTTTTATGAAAAACAAATATGGAAAAATATAAAAGAAAATGCAGCTAGTACTAGTACTAGTAGTAAGCCGTAAGCTTAGAAACTCTTTAAATCTAAAATCAAAATTCTAAACTTACCAATCGGAGTTCGAACTGCAGATACAATCACCACTGGATCTGCCATCTTCTGCGGATACGAGCAAACTAAACAAAACCACCACGGCCGGGAGAGACACGAGTGAGTAGAAAGCAGACGGGTTGACCGAAAGGCAATCAATGCGAAACTGATATGATGGCTGCTGATGATCGATGATACGCTTACGAGACGTGCACTTGATGTACATTTGTACATGTGTATGTTGTGCCCATTCTTGGAAATCACGCATTCTCGAGAATGGGCGTGCACATTCTCGAGAATGGACGCGCATTCTTAAGAATGAGCGCCCATTCTTAAGAACGAGCACGCGTTCTTAAGAATGAGCGCTCATTCTTAAGATTGGGTGGGAATATCACGTGCACAATTTATGAATTTTGCCCAATCTTAACAAACATTGCACGACATAATTATGTTAAATGAATTGTATAGCGGTTAAAAGGGAAACAATTCATATAAAGAGGAAAGAAAATGTTCTATGCTTCTGTACTCACATAACTACGATAATTTGAATCATATTAAACCTGTTATTATTGCTTTTTTCTGCCCACTATGGGAAGTTTTGTAATAACGGAGGACTGGGAACTAGTCTGGGAAGTGCTTTGTTTAGGCTAGACAAGTTACAAGTCCCTGCATGTATCATATGCGTGCCACGAAAAAAAAACGATGTCCAGAAGCTGCCAAAATTGCTCTTTTGACTAGATAGAATCCAGCTCTGCGACGTTATGGTGGGATGTGAACAATAAATTGGTGGCAATTTAAATGGGAAATAGCATTAGCACTATGGGATGTCGCAGTATTCATTTCATTCTTCACATTCTTCATTCTTACGTGTCCCCCCCCCCCCCCCCGCTTTTATTATCCCAAAAATCAGAATTCTTTGCACTAGTATTATTATGTCTCTTATTTTTTCCCGGTCCCCCCCCCCCATATCAATACGCCTTTACTTATCATATCCACTCTACTTTTCAGCGCCTTGCGTTGCAACAGTATAATTATTGAGAATCAGTGAACGAGGATTCAGCTAGACTTGCCAAGCGCAGCCGGTGCTCGGCATCGACAAGACCGTTATCTTGTCGCGCATTCTCAAGAATGTGCGCTCAATCTGGAAGAGTTATTTTTGCCAAGATTGAGCAAGGATCCAGTTGCACATTCTCAAGAATGTGCGTGCCCATTCTCGAGAATGCGTGATTTTCAAGAATGGGCACAACATGTACTGTACGCCCGATTTATTTACAAACCTGCATCACGCCAGTACGGAGCGCCGAAGATACAAATGGTTGCTTCTCTTCTTTCATAATGTGCATGCGTGCGGCGCGTGAATGGGGGCGTGGCATTGACATCAGTGCATATTACTAGTTATAAAAGAAATCAGACACTAAGCTTTTTCCTTATTTTAGACCAGATGTTCATATGTTATGCAGCACTTAAGACATTGGTATCACGGCAGCGGTTAGGCTCCTGAAGCTTAAAATTTACTATGGGCCTACATACCGAAAAGTACTTCACATTAAAAGGTTTGAGTTTACAAGATGGAAACATAGTCAATATGATGTGCAATATATTATCGTAAACATATTTCTATAAATAAATTACAGTATATCGTGTTACTGGGATTAACAACGTTAGGGCAGCATTTGATTGGCAAAAACCACAAAGCTTTATTTTCACAAGACAATTAGTGCCACCTGATGTAGGCCTACATGTAGATTCCCATCATGTCATTAATGTGAGTTGAATTTGTTGAATCAGACCACAAATAAAATAAATAGAGCTAAGAAAAATCTGTGGTGAATTTAAAAAAAATCATCACACGCCTAGTGCAAGCAAAACCAAATTGCTACAGAAGCAATTCATGTTGACAAGCATCCCTGTTGTCTTCTCACATGATGGCGCTGTTCTAGTTTACAATGGGTTCGGCGAAAGCGGGTGCAGACATTACTGCGCCGCGCTATCACAGGTCCCCATTATCCGTCTCCGAGCCAGGAGTTACAACGAAATGTTCATTTCCCGAGGATGACGGAGGAAAGTTTGGAAAAAAACCTTACAAACTGAATATTTATAAAGTTCTCCACGGGAAGTTGGGGTCCTCTCATGAACTCTTTCTTCAACTTTTAAATCTTGGAAAGACAGTTTCAATTATACTACTAGATCTGCAGAAGGTTTGAATTAAATGATTGATTTAAATCTCTTCATTGTTTAAGCTGTTTGGGCAAAGCCCATAGCTTTATTCTTGTCATTATAAGTTCAGCTTCCACGTTTCAGCTAAAAAAGTTTTTCAAAGGCGAACTTAGTTGATTTTGGGCCCTACCCTTAGAATTAAAAAAAAATTGATGTTTTGCACACTATAGTAACTGGCTACACAATGAACTTCATTCAAAGTGGATTTGATTGGCTGAAACTTGGACGACTACGAACACAGGTGTTGGAGATGAATAGCGAGAACTCATGAATTTGGGCACACGGCCAGATCCAGACGAGCAGTCAGAACATACAAACAGTGTCACAGCTTTGTGAGGAAAATAAGGAGGATATGGATATTCAGACTCCGAGCATGAGTTACAACTTGTTTTGGAATGCAGAGCACACAAGTCTCTGACTTACAATGATTAAATAAACAGAGTGCGAGTGAATGATTTGAATTATGTTTGTCGACGCCTAATCTTACATGCCTTAAGGTGTCGGTGATTGAAACACACATTTATGATTTATGCTGATTTGTGACAACACATGTGGAGCAGAGGAAACCAAGGCATTCAATGCCTTAAATATGTAAGTAATAAAATATTGCACTATGATTTCGTTTTACCCAAAACAAGAGGAAGGTTGTGCTACTTTATAAAAACAGATTCTATTCGATGCTTAACCTAAACACTGGCTAAACTTAGTCCGTTTCACGGGTCCACTTACCTCTTCATTTCACGTTTTTTTAAACTTACCGATGAAGAACTCTTCTTCTCGTCTTACAGATCATTTGACAACATCCAGCACATTATAATTTCCAAGAGAACAGTTTCTTGCGGCTCAGTTGAACACAGACCTAAATTTCTTCACGGTTACAGTCGGCTCGGTGTCTACGTACGACGAGACAAGTGTCGCATAAGAGCAAAAATATCGAAAATTCTGCCAGTTCTTTGCTTCAAGTTATCCAAGTTTTACCTCAGTCCGTTCGGCAGTGAAAAGTCACTTTCCCTGTCAGTACAAAGTCAGAAACCCAGAAGGTATAGTTGCCTCAAATTCAGACAGAGTCTTTCCAAAAGTTTGACGACATTTTCTCGGAGGTTGAACGCAGCATCACACTCACGTCGCTTTGCACACAGCGTAGTGGTGGAATTTTCCGCAGGAGAAGAGAGCATCTCTGACCGAGAATTTTTCCACTCATTTAGAAAATTCACACTCCACCATGTCACTGCAGATTGTCCCTCTAGAATATGACACGGAAATGTCAAAAACTCCACTCACTGTGTTTTGAAAAAGTTGCTTTTGACATCATAAGTGACCGACGGAAAATTAGCATCCCTGCGCCATGGCGGATTTCACTCGTCTGAAAATTCCACAGTGCAAATTTGTCGAAAAATCAGACGATAGGTGTGAATCGGTCAAGCCAGATTACGCAGAGATCCTTGAGCGATTGAAAGCACATGAACTTCCCTCACAGAATCGTCTAAACGATAATTGCAACAGAGAAAGTCCTCAAATGAGAAGAAATTTGTGTCGAAATAGCTAAAATGAAATTATTTTAACTCTGACTGATGAAGATTGCGTCAGTAGCAAAGCACTATTTTCTTCGACCTCTGCTCTCTTGAAGCGAATGAATATCTTTGACAAGTGCGGGTTTTTCCCCCCCGGCTTTCGTCATTGGCCAATAGTTCGCGATGCACCACTGGGATTGGATAAAACCGGATGCACCAGGTGCTCATTATAATATTTTTCAGTCTGTAAGCGTTCCTTAGTGTATAAACATCTATATCGTTTGACAGTTCAAAATTTCTGTGATTTTAACTGGTCAACTTGAATGACCAGCGGACCAATAACATAAGACAACACATTTCATGTAGCTCCTATGCTTTTGCATGTTATGTGCATTCAGAGCGGCATTATTCACTTTTGAAAAAAAAATAGGCTCTCTGTATAAACTCAACAAACCCATATCGATCGGTCTGGCCCCAAGAATGCCATTCCATTAATGTATGGGATGGTGATTAAATGGGCAGTCATTTTCTTCGGAAAAAAGTTCATGTAATTAAAAACAGATTCGGATTAATCTTAAGTTTATGTTTGATGGTGGGACAGGTTAAAGAATTAATGGAAGGATTCAATGGTTATGTATTGAGTAATAATAAGCAATTGAATAAACAAAAAGGACATCAGTAACATACTTAGTTTTATTAAAATATGACACTTTTATTTTCTACATGTCAAAAAGAAGTCGTACAAACTGCCAAAATAATGTCCTTCTTTGAAAGGTTGATTTACAAAAGACTAAATCCCAAGATGTTGTTGTGAATAATTGTTTCTAACACAACTGGGATGTCTTACATCACTGCCTTAAATAATTAAACCATTAAAGCTTGGATCTCTGATTTTGGAGGGTGGAGGGGAGGGGGGGGGGGGGGTCCCGAATCTCAAGTAAAATCACCCTTTCCCATAAATGTGATAATGTGCATTGATTACTCGTGTGCGTTTTCACATTACATTCAATAACACTGTCATTTTATGCAGAAGCATGTGGATCAATGAAAAGATAGTGGATGATTTCTAAACATTCAAAATATTAATGAGGCTACCTCTGTAAAATATTGAACAGCTACTGGTTGAGTAAACTTGTCAAGCAATAGTGGTGAGCAAATCCAAATCACCACAACATAGATGGGGGGAGGTGGGGGGAGGGGAGGGGATGTAACCTCTGTGTGAAACTGTCTTGAGCTTATCACACCATGCACAGCAGATGAATCCAAACCTTCGAAGAATGATACGTAATCTACTACTGTGTGGTGAAATACTTAAATAAAACCATAAAAATACATGAACATGTTTAATCAAAACACCTCTAACCACCTCTAACTAACCCTAAATTGCTGCAATAAACATACAAAGAAACACAATTTTTAATCTCTTAAACCCCCAAATAAAAACTATTCACACTTATTGGTAACAAAAACACCACTATTTAAAGCTCACGCAATGTGGCATAAAAAGGTAATGTCAGTATTACATGTATACTGAAAATTTGTCTAAAAAGCTACATGTACACGCAATTATTTTTTATTTAAAACGATGAAGTTCAATGTACCTAAACTATTTTCTACGTGCAAAATGGCCAAACTTATAAAAAAAAAGTAACAAGGAGAGTAGAAAAAGCGTTTTTTTTTAATAAGAAATAATCTGCTCAATGTACACATTACCCTTAATTCAGAAAATGTTTCATGTTCCACAAAATATTTATGTAATAGCAGATGTATTAAAACAGAAGATAATATTTCATGAATCTTTTTTTTTTAGAACAGTCCAACCTCTTTCATTAAAAGGTGCTATCTTGGGAAAGATTTGTGGTCTCAAACATCAAAACAATTCAGACAATACAAAAATGCAATTACGGCTTTATTCCAAGTGAAAGGTAAACCTACAGAAAATCTCCCCAACATCTTAAACCAAATTTCATCAAATGTTCATGCTTTCAAAAATAAGCAGAGAAGCAATACTTCATATGCTATTTTGAGTTGTACTTTGTTTTTTTTTGCTAAGCCAAACTTTGTATGCTTAGCTAACACAAGTGCTCTCCAGCTTAACCACTTAGCAAATGTATTAAATTGTATTACATGTTATTTACTCCTCCATGCATCCATCAACCAAAGAATGCCAGGGCAGTTTGGGGTGGTATGAGGAGTAACAGGCAGGGCGGTTAGGGGCGGTACAAGGACTAAAGGCGTAATTAAGCTTGACTGTTTTCATACACCATGATATGAGTTGGAAGCGAGAAGAACGAAAACATCGCAATGGCAGCCAGCAGAACGATCACCAAATTTATGTTCAGGAAGACCTTGGTGCATGTGCTCTGGCTGATGTCAACCGCCTCATACTTAGTAAAGCTGTCGCTGTCGCAGGGACGTTTACGCCTTGGGGTGACGTCGTAGCTCGCATAGCCGCAGAACCACTCATAGCAATGGCGCGCCTTGGACTTGCGCCTCCAGTGGGTCATCTCATCTGCAACTTTCAAAATACAATCACAAGATTGTTCAGAATTTCCCGTCATTTTGTATAGAAACTGTTAGAATCATCTACCAGTACTTTTCCTGCTGTGAATTAGGGAGTTGGACGTATTTGGTGTGCATTTTGGTAGACAGAAGCTAAACCTGGCTTGGTTGTTTCTCATTTGTTTAGCCTCCAGGAGCCAATTTCATGGCGCTGCTAAGCACACAAATTTGCTTAGCACAAAAAAAGACTGGCTTATAAAAGCAGGTTACCAGCCCAAACTCCCCGTGATGTATATTACTCCTGATTAGTATTCAGCTGTTGTTTGCTTAGCATGAAAATCACACAGAGTTTTGGCTGGTAACCTGCTTTTATAAGCCAGACTTTTTTTGTGCTGAGCAAACTTTTGTGTTTAGCAGCGCCGTGAAATTGGGCCCTGCAGCTTTGTGGCTACTTGAGTCCTGCAGTAACTCACAATGATTACTTTCCAAGTCCCCAAAGTGCTTGACCGATGAAAACAACTAAGCAGCAAACAAGCAACAAAAATGGACTTGGACATAACACATCTACGCAAGAAATGGAGACGATATCACTGGATCAAACTAAGAGCAAAATGTTTTATTGCTGCAGTATATAAGTAACGAATCCTTGCATAAGCATGCTTACATGTGCATGCATGTTCATCCCGTCAAAAGTCAATCGATGGCAAATGTGCCTCCTCTATCATGACAGACTTACCTTCATAAGCATCTTCATCTATAAGAAGCTGGAATGGGTCTGTGTGGGCAGTCTCCGATTTCTTCGCACAGCTTTTAGCTGAGGCAGAACTGTGTCGGTGCCAGAACGTGGTACGGACAAGCTACAAACATAAACAGAAAAAGGTCCAATTCTAGTAATCCTGAATTCCCTTTTTGTGAAAAAAAAATTACAAATTAAAATATGCGGAGGATCATCTCAGTGATTCAATTTCAAACGTTGGCATCCTGAGCTAAAGTTAGTATGTCAAGATTAACAAAGCGCAATCCTGTAAGAATTTAGACTAACTGCCGAATTTGCCTTTCCTTGACACGCGCATGTGTGACAAACAAATACGTGATATATGTTCTGCGATTTTTGAAATTATTACCGCGATAAGTCGGACGACTTTGTCGCGTAACTGTAAACGCGCTCATTGATTAGTGCGTGTGTATAAATACGCGTGACATTATCGCGCGACAAAATCGCGTGTGTGTGTATATAAAATTCAGGGAACATGATAAAAAATGGCTACATCTGTTATGGGCTTGCCTTCTCCAGTGGTGGCATTTTGTGCCAATATATCCAGTTGTACGCTAAAGACTTAAGGCATTTTTAAGGTCAAGCATTAAATTTAAGCACCTTTTTTCTCTTGGAGCAATAAATTATGTGATTCTACTTAATCCATCTGACAAAAACTTACCAGTCTGTTATCTGGTGCCGCTGTGCAGAGGCTAATGATGACATCGACAATCACCGTCACCGCAAATATGATCAGAGTGATGTAGAAGGTGTGAACTTTCTTGAAGAACACCGGACGAGTGTCTTCAGTGCCACAGGCTGGTTGCGGGAACATGATGCTGCATACTATGTGCGCAATGCCCAATGCTACTCCAATCAACAGGGCAAAGAAAGAACCCTGCCAAAAAAAGGTCAAACATTTGCCGAGTGTGAATTAGGGTTTGCTGGAAAAAGGTTATCAGCCAAATAAATACAGAAAAGTACATTTTGGCTCTTCAGTGAATTTCAATGTGTGCCTTACATTTCATGTGAAATGAAAATCATTCCAAGCTGATTACCTCGTAATTATATCTATTGCAAAAGAAATTTCATGTGTTCCAAACTAAGGGTGCAATGAAACATTTCAACTGAACAATTTCAACACAGGAACAAATGTGATGTCATCAAGCTACATGAGTCAATTGGCGACCCTGGTCAAAACAATTTTTATTACAGATTTCAACAGAGCACAATCTCAGCATTACTGCTGTAAAACCACATGTTTATACCGTCTTTAGTTTAAAAATTACGGAACTAAGAGATGTGATGAAGTGATGTGATAACGTGGCCCTATTTTGGCCTGCATCTCCAAATATAAATTCCTGACAAACGACTCATTTAGCTTGTTCGCATCACACATAGGAAAGAAGTACCTTCTCATTGGCTCTTGGCCAAACAATGGCCAGAAGGAACACAGCGGCGATGGATGGAGCAAAGCCAAACTGGACTTTGAGGATTGCAGTGAACACGTCACTCATTCCCATACCAAAATGGACTGCGGGTACCCAGGCAAAACAGACTACCAGCATCACAAGGATAGAAGTCCTTAGAAATAAGGTGAAGAACAAGGCGTTTGGGTTAGAAATTCAGAGAGTTCACCTGAGTTGGGGCGTCAGGTTGGCATAGCGGTACTTTCCTCGTCTTCCACCGCTGTGACCCGGGTTCGAATCCCGGCCGGGCCAATATGTGGATTGGGTTTTCAGTCCCTGCCTGATTCCGTGGGTCTTCCCCAGAATATTCTTCTGGGCTTTTCCTCCCACCTCTAAAACTGTACTTTCTTCTCATTCAGTACACTTCAGGTTTCTTCAGGCTTTCGAGCTACAGTGCCTATGGCGCTATTTGGGGAATCCTTGGTTTCAGTACCAGAAGTAATAAATAAATAAATAAATAAACCTGAACACAAATGAGCAATCAAGTATCTTTCAAGAACATAGTATTCGACACGTGAACAGCGGAGGGTGCAATTATGCACTCAGTCAATGTTGTATTAAAGGAGTACAGACTACCAAATGGGGTAAAAAGATACAACTCCGGTAGATATTCAAACCATGGCTCATCTATAGTTAATCCTGGACATTATCTCCATAGTTTAACACAGACATTCATGGATGTTGTAAAAAAACAACTGGTGATGCACTATCACCATCACAACTAGATTATCAAACGGTCTCTAACCCAGAATGTCCAAGTAAAAACCATCGTTCTGCTTCCATGTTTTACCCAGTGTTGTAGTACTCATACTTGGTACTTGTACACGAGTACTACTTGAGTACTTTTTTAAGAGTGCTCGTACTCGTACTTGTACTCAAATGTCAAAGTACTCGTACTCAAAATGACAGTAACAAGCACTCGGGTAGCAAAGTACTCGCACTCGACATGTCTAAATTGTACTCGGTCATCAAAGTCACTCGTATTCGAATGGCAGTGCTCGAAAAAAAAAATGGTATTTTAGCTTGACTTCCCACGGCCTTATTTTATCGATACTCTCAGTTTGAAATGTTTGATTGGCTTTCCTTGTTTTTCTCTGTGCGCGTCTGAAAAAAAAACATTTAACAGCTCACCATAAGAGGTCTGTAGCAGTCTGACTGGACCCAGACCAATTAGCCTATGCACAATGAACCATTTGTCGTATGGCTGTATTAAAAAAAGTACTTGTTCTCGTACTCGGAATACAAGTACTCGTACTCGTACTCGTACTTGGAAGTACAATTACTCGTACACTGAGAACTGTCCTTGTACTTGGAAGTACATGTACTTGTACTTGTACTCGTACTCAGAACCCTAAGTACTCAGCAGTTCTCGGTACTTGGAAAAAGTACTCGACTACAACACTGATTTTACCTAGCGGCAGCCATGGCCCATCGGCCAATTAAACGCTTGTTCACGCCTCCAACGATGTCTACGGTGATGATTGTAGCAGCGCTGTTGAGCACCGACGACAGGTCAGCCATCGCAGCAGCCAACATGACGACCAGTAGGACACCAAGGAGCCCTAATAAACAAAAAGTCGTTCAAAGGGCTTGTTGATTGGCTTTTAACAACCTAGTCTCCAATAACCCTCACCCCAAATCTTTACTTTTTTTGTCATTGGTGAATAGGAAACCCAGACAAGCCTGTTTTTGGTACAAGACTGTAGGCCCAAAACATAATTATTTTGTTATTTGATGCAAAGCCTGCATTTTGCAGCATAGTGCTGGGTTTGGAAAAGTCGGAAAGGTTTCTGTAAGGGAACTGAGCTTGGAGTTAATCCATGACTACTTTCTCAATGTATCTGTGTGACTAAAGTTAAACTGTTTTTTCAATGTTCAATTGTCTATGAGGCATTCGACAAACACCTAAATAACCCAGTTCCTTGTCTCAATCAGGAGTAACAAGAAACCCCAAAAGAAATGTGTAAGCCTACTAGGCATCCTGAATGTAACGACTATTTCAGGGTTCGACTTCAGCCAGCAAGCCAAATGTTAGTCAAAGCAATGGCGGGCTAGTCAAACTATTCCTTAAGTAGCCCGGCTGGCGAGTCAAAAATTATTCAGATATGGCAAAGATGAAAGGACAGGAAGAAATGAATCACTAAATTCAGAAAGCAAACCTGTATCACTTTGTGTCTAATTCTATTAACTGTTTAGGATTACATTATTAGATCTGTTTATTAAAAACACCAGTACAAGATTGCCTCAGGATACACGTTTTACATGTGTGTACATTGTTTTTTATGAGACACTTTATAAAAAAAAGCAGGCGGGCTAGTGAAAATGCCCGCAGGCTAGTTAAGAGCCCATTTCACTAGCCCGGCTGGCTAGTGAAAAAAAAAAGAGTTAAGGTCGAACCCTGCTACTTTAAGACCAAAGCGTCTGAACACTTACGTACCCTGTGGCAAAAGACCCATGATGAGTTTTGGCCATGCAAATTCACTACAGCCATGAGGGTTGCCGCACGCTGCCTGACACTGCTCTTCTGTTGCACAGCCAACAACATCTGAAAAATTCAATCAATTTAAAAAAAAAGCCTGTCATTTGTGATTTGAAAAAATTGAAAGAGAGGCTTGGAACGCATAAATATTCTGGCACCATCCCATTCAACAGTTTACAATTTATGAAATACATTCAGGAAACACGTTAAAAATGGCTTCCTCGTGAATAAGGTGAATTCACACGCATAACAGGTACTTAATTTCAGTGTCTTTTCTTGGTGCATTTGAGTGTCTCTTGTATAATTCAATCTAAAGCTTCCAATTCTAAAACTACTCCGATGACCAAATTACTAAGGCGGCATCACTTAAATTTGAAGTGCTGGTTCACCTGGACAAGTTGTAAGCACCAGGGGTGTGAGTGACCACTGATAAATATAGCTGAAAACAGCTGAAAAAAGGTGCTTAAAAAAGCTGAACTTTGGAAATCTCCTGTACTTTTGTACATAGCAAGTGAGGGAAAAAAAGCTAAAATCCAAAACAAAAAAAGCTGAAATCAGCTTTAAAGTTGAGATTTCACACCCCTGTAAGCAACTGGCCGAGGAGCTTACAGTGCCTTACACACAGATGACTTGCATGCAAGTGTGGTGCCATCAACAAGAAAAGGGGTACTTTTTATGTACTTGTTCCATTGTCCCACATGTGGTACTAAGGGGACCGAAGACACTGTGGGGACAACAGAAAGTCCCCATAACTCGGTTCTAAGTTGCCTAACAATAAAAGACTTCCTCATAATCTGGTAACGGCCCGCCCACACTTACTAGCATACAGGCTGCGGCTGATCATTCCCGGAATCACAAGGAGAAACATGGGCAAGATCTTGAGATACCCAGCAAAGATGCAGCCTCCTTGGGCATGCGACAGGTTTTTAGCGGTCATTGCCTTCTGAACCAGCAACTACAAGACACAGTGTGGTAATATAACAATTATTGTTCTGCCTCGTTCTGAGTGGCGAGTTGAATACATCTGAAAGACATGGGAAAGGCTGGGGGGGGGGGGGATGGGGAGATGCCTGGGGGCTTAACAATGATGGGCTCTTTGTGGCGCTTATATACATGATACATTATCTAACTACATGTAAGTATACTGTCACCTTATAATACGGCTAAGTTTCTTCATGCAGGGCGTCTCACAAAAAAATGTAGCAGTAAAACAACATTTTTTTCTGATGAAACTAAAACATTTTTTTAAAATTCCCATGAGATGATAAAGAAGGTTTCTTTACCCTTGACAGGATTTTTGTCCAGTGTGATTTGGACCTTTTGTTTAAAACTCACGGTAAAGCTTGTAAAGACTGTCAAAATATGTTTGGGCCACTTCCTTGTTGCTCACATTAAACACCTTCTCGGTATGTAAATGCATGATCTGAAAAGTGGCCCAACTTGGAACTCAATTCTTTTCATTTTTAATTAGCTGTATCCCTGGACTAGGGTGTCCAAATGAGATCGAATAAAGACCATTATTTAGAGAATGTACTACACCTTCAGACGCTATTTTGCAAATACATGTAGAGAGTGCCGTTATTCTTAATATATATGGACTGACTCTTACATTTTTTATTGTCACACGCTTTATTAAGAGATTCAAACGTTTAGGTGAGAACATATTCCTGATATTCAAAGAGTAGGGGGGGGGGGGGAGAAAAAAAATTCCCCTTTGCTCCATTCTTCCATCGACAAAGACTCAATATTCTAGACAATGATAACAAACACAAGTCTGGCCTTGCAGTGATAATTTCAGCCAGAATACATGACTTGTATTCTGACTGAAATTATCACTGCAAGGACAGACAGTGAGTATCTTTCTATTAACATTTCTTTTATTTTGGCACTTTACTACTTTTCCGTGTATTTTTTTTGGGTGAAGCTTCCCTTTGTTGCCATTATCTGCTTGATTTCTTTGTTTGATTTCCTTCCCACATAATACTGGCAGGATTTTTCTTTTCCTGGTTATATGAAACAGCTGCTCGAGCACTATTGCTTTCATTATTATTACCAGTGCTACAAAAATATTAAAACAAAATAAACAATGTACTCCTTTTTATGTTGCAGATTTCAGTTTAGGCTGTCATTTTCAGTGGAAAATACTAATATGTGTCTTTGGCATCATTCCAACTTTCGTATGATGTGATAATACAAAGAAAAATGTGAAAATGAAAGTATATTTACACTATTTGCAATTTTTAAAGTTACTTCCTCAAAAATAAGAGTACTGTTACAATTGCCTTTATTGCTGTTGGGCATCTCAGTGGAGTAGGATGGTTTATAGCAGTTAAAGTGCTGAACACTGCGAAATACATCTGTTCGCATAAAGTAAGTTACTTTTTTTATTGAGAAATGACAGCAATTGTTGTTTGCTTCTAATTACTTAAAATCTCTGAATCGTAAACATTTCTGAAAAGTTAGCAAATTACTGCTGTTATATGGATAGCCAAATCAGCATGTACATGTACAGAATCTAGACTGCATGATTTCCTTACTGCACACAAACAAGACAGCAACAATTTTTGTGAGGTTCTTTCCTCGTCTTCCACATCTATGGTCCAGGTTTGATTCCTGCCCTGGTCCACGTGTGGATTGGGTTTTCAGTCCCTACCTGATTCAATGGGTTTTCCCCAGAGTATTCTACTGGGGTTTTCCTCTCACCTCTAAAACTGTAACTTCTTCTCATTGTCTAGTCTCTATCGGGTTCGTTAGTAAAAACGTCATAACTGCGCGCGCACCACTGATTACTAGCCCCCATTGGATGAACACTCAAGTTGCGTTTGCTTCTGGTTCCAATGCTACTGAATGGCCAGTGGGTGTGGTTTAGACGGAACTGACATCACACTAACAAACCGGATAGGTTTCTTCAGGCTTGCGAGCCTCAGGTTGCGTTTGCTTCCGGTTCCAACACTACTTAATGGCCAGCGGGCGTGATTTAAAATGAACTGACGTCACACTAACAAACGGGATAGGTTTCTTCAGGCTTGCGAGCCTCAGGTTGCGTTTGCTTCCGGTTCCAACACTACTTAATGGCCAGTGGGCGTGATTTAAAATGAACTGACGTCACACTAACAAACGGGATAGGTTTCTTCAGGCTTGCGAGCCTCAGGTTGCGTTTGCTTTCGGTTCCAATGGTTCCAATGCTACTTAATGACCAGTGGGCGTGGTTTAAAATGAACTGACATCACACTAACAAACCGGATAGGTTTCTTCAGGCTTGCGAGCCACAGTGCCTAGGCCGCTTTTGAGGAATCCTTGGTTTCATTACCAGAAATGATAATTAATAATAATAATATCCCGAAGAAAACTTCCTTTGTTTTAATTCACAGATTTAAAAGATGGCATCCAGTGTAACAGCTCAGTCAGTGCTCGGTAAGATAAGTGAGGGCCATCTTGAGTGCTCCATCTGCTGCAGCCGTTTCAGGCAACCAAAATTACTTGACTGTCTCCATTCATTCTGCCTGAAATGCCTAGAAGATTACAGAAAAAGTCAGGATCCGAGCAAGGCAATGATTTTGTGCCCTCTGTGTAGACACGAGACATTGCTTGCTGATACAGGCGTAGCGGGTCTGCCAAACAATTTTGCACTTTGTGCCCTGGTGGAGGAGGTCACAATGCAGGAGCAGCTGCTTGAGGGTCAAGGGTCAGAGATCAAATGTCAAGCCTGTGACGAGAAAAACCAAGCCATTTCCATCTGCATGGATTGTGCGCATTTCCTCTGCCAGGAATGCCAAAAGGCACACCAGCGCTTGGCTGTTATGAAGTCTCACAAAGTCTACACCCTGGCTCAGCTTCGATCAGGAGAGATCGTCTACAAGAGCAAGCTCCGGGACGATGTTCCGAAATGCGACATTCATCCTGAGCAGAATCTTAGCATCTACTGCAACACATGTGAGAAACTTCTCTGCACAACTTGCTCTGTTCTGTCCCACGGCAATCTCAAACACTCCCTATTAGGCCTCACTGAGGCTTTAGACAAGTGTAAACAAGATGTTGCGGAGACAGCTGCAGAAGCTGAAGAGAACAAAAAGAAACTGCTCTTGGCTATAGACAACAACAACAAGTCCCGTCAGGTGCTGGAAACGAAGTTTGCCGACACCACAGAGAAGATCTCGATCAAGGCTGAAGAGAAGATTTCCAAGATCAGAGGAGAGATTGACAGGATCGGAGAGGAGGCGCAAAAACTGAAGAAAGAGAAGGCAGAGATTTATCAAGAAAGGGTCAAGACATATGAATATGCTCAGGCAACAAACAGAAAAGGAGTGGAGCAGATAGAACACAAGTTGGAGGAAGCAAACAAAGTGATGGCCCACGCAAGTTGCTACGAGATATTAGAACTCAGGCAAAAACTCTTGCATAATCTCAGAGTATCGTCAAAAGTACAACCAGATATGGTTCCCCAGAAGTTTTCCTTCATGAACTTCAAAGAAGGTAGGGAGTCTCTTTTGAAACTCGTCCTTGAGTGTGAGGATGGGATGACATCTAAGGCTGAAGACGACAAAGAATCAGCAACACCCAGAAAACCAATGGTAACAGAGAATTGGAAATTAAAGACAGACATTAATACATATGGGTCCAGACGGCACAAGTTTGGAGGTGTGTATGACGTAGCAGTCTTCTCTAATGGAGAAGTCATTATGGCAGATTATTTTTACCGAAAGCTAATTTCCTACTTACCTAAGGCCAAGAGCAAGGATACACCGCAAGCCATCCCAAAAGAGCTGAAAATCAAAGATCTTATGAATCCAATACGTATTGCCGTCAACAGTGAAGACCAACTGATCATTCTGGATGGCCCAACAGTCAAGACCTTCGATAGAGAATACCAGCTTCTTCGTCAATTTACAGCAATCTTGGGAACCAACATCACACCAACGTGTCTTGCGGTGGACAAGGACAATCTGATTGCAGTGGGCTATGAGAGAAAGGAGGAGGTATCCCTACACAAGCCAGACGGTACCCTCATCAAGATGCTTCACACTCCCATGATCGATGAGTTTCTGACCACCTGGAAGGAGCGACTCATCTACACCAACTACAAGAAAAAAAGGTGCTCTGTGTGGATTACAAAGGCAATTGGTTGTTCTCCGTGAGCATGTCCAGTGAAAAGTACGAAAAGCGGGGTCCTACTGGTGTGTGCGTTGTCCACGATGACGGAAGCATGTACATCGCTATGCACGGGAGGTCCTTGCAAGGCATGGAAGGTGAAATCCATCGTCTGTATGCTGACGGCCAGTACATCTCAGGTCTCATCAAGGATTGTGGGTTTGCACACAACATCGCATTGACACCTGCGGGTGACTTGGTTGTAGCTGCATCAGATTCCGTCAAAATCTATCAGCGTGTGTAAATTTACTACGCTTGAATAGTTGAGCTTGACATAAAGGGGGGGGGGGGGGAGGGGTCAGTCAGTCAGGGAGTGGGCCAGTCAGTCAGTCGGTCATTGAGTCTGCCCTTCGTCAAGGTATAGTCAGTGAGTCAGTGACTCAGTCAGTCAGAGGAGAGTGGGGCACAACTATAGAATACAGGGCCACTCCACTCTACATCCGCGCCTCCGTATGAATGCATGGAGCCGTGGAGCCGCAGTCGACCTACCACTGAGAATTGCGCCCTCTACCGGCGCGTGACTCCGCGACTCCAAGGCTCCGCCCCTCCAAGGCTTCGCGCCTCCCCTGTAGTCCTGATCATTCATATGGATATCCTACCGCTGAGAATTGCGCCCTCTACCGGCGCGCAACTCCGCGACTCCGCGCCTCCAAGGCTCTGCGGCTTCGAGCCTCCATTAATATGGATATGGATGCTTCGTTCTCAAAGAAATGTAGTCCTAGGATCATTCATATGGATATCCCATCGCCGAGAATTGCGCCCTCTACCGGCGCGCGACTCCGCGACTCTGCGGCTCCGAGCCTCCAGTGCCCCGTCACAAGCGCACCCTCTCTTCCTTGAGAAAACAAATGCATTCGCTGTACTTAGCACTTTTTGCGCATCTGCATATTATTGTACTTTATGCCCACTGACCCCGGCCTCGATTCAAGGCTCCAAGTACATAAAAAAACCTTGCTCTGGCGTGGCCCTGCATTCTATAGTTACTCCGAGAGTGGATGGCGCTTTTGAGTCCAGCAGAAATTACAACCTCAACAAGTCAAAGGAAGGAAAGGAAAGGAACCCACAAAATAAAATATGCGCTATTTGAACATTAGGCTCGGTGCCACTGCATTTATCTTGGCTGAAATGGATATAAGATGATCGTAGGATCTTTTTGCTTCAAGACGTTACGAAGACCCACTTTGCAAGAAGACCCATATATTTGAATAAGATTTTGTGAAATACACAAAGCATCTCATCTCTTGTGGATTTATTCTCGAGTATTTTCAACAGTAATTTTGTAATGGCAGTCAACTGCTAATTCATTTGTTAACCCTTTAGCACTTGTATTAAATTCTATTACATTGTATATACTCCTCCAAGAATCCATGAAACCATAGGCCAAGTTCGGGCGGTCTTTTCTTGACACTGGTGTAATTGTTCTCATGCTCTATCCGTCAGGGTTTTGCACGAATAATAAACCCGTGTCAAGAACAGACCGCCTGAACTCGGCCATAGAGTACCGGGGGGGGGGGGGGGGGGGGGGGAGGTTTTGGGCGGCATAACAGACAGGGTGGTTTGGGGTGGAACAAAAGGTTAAAGGTTAAGTTCAATTCTTACCTGGTCTGCGCACCACATCCAGAAAATATTGCTGCTGTATCCAAACAGAAAAGCGGCCCACGGCATATCAGGCTGATTGGCATCTCTGAGCATGTAGAATGCATTCTCCTTAGGGAAACCGCACGGCTGGTCCATCTTCATGAAACTGTCATTGGATACGGATTTTGGACTGAAATATTTCTTCTTCAAGCCAGGGTATCCACCAACTTCCATGTACGCTGTCAAACAAAATAAAACATTCACTGTCATTGAGTTAAACCACTTCTTCCCCTTCATTAACATTTACCATAAATTAGATTCTTACATCTAATACTGGAAACAAATTGAAAGCGTAAGACTATCAAATTTTACACACTTTTGATAAAAAAATTATCTCCACAGTGTCTTATTCAGAAAACTGTAGATACTTCATATATCTGAAAGATGCATAATCCAAATATGTGTGAATGAAATATCAACAAGGATGTACAAAGAATTTGTAAAGATTATACAAAAGGATTTCTCGTTGCAAAACCAGACGTTTTATTGTGACTTTGCACCAATCAGTTGTGAAGGGCACAGATTTATAAAAGCCAAAATGTGTAAATTCTTGATGAATTTGAATGATAAAATCGCTGTAACGGTAATTTACCATAGACTGCAAGAACAGAGGAGCCAGCAATGATGACCAACGTCTGCACGATGTGCATAGCAATGACAACCCCCAATCCTCCTGTAAAATGAAAACACAAAATAATATATCAGTTCCATTTTACTGTGGAGTGCCATGCCACTTAGTGTGGGGATATGATGCATTTGTAACAGCAAGTGAAAATGAGCCTTTTGTTCAGAATGACTTTCAATTTTACCCCTTATAAAGTAAACTTATGACTGGGAGATTGTATATTCATAAATACCTTTACAGTTTACCCACTCCTATTGGTCAAGAGTCTGTCACGTGGGTGGTTTTAAATGGTTGATAAAACACAGACTGGTTTTAAACACTTTATTCCGGTACCGCTGCTTTCTGCACCAGATTGTGCAGCATGCGTCATGTACACGCCAATCTCCATATAAGGAGATTTTGTAGTACTACTCGTGCGAGGCACATACCGGTACCATAAACATAGCTAGAGGGGTGTTTCAAAAAACATGAAGTAAAACAGTTGAACAAAATTATTTGAAATTTACAAGTTTCAACTTGTTTTGAATTTTTGACCGAAAGGTATTTATGAATGGGAATAAATATGTGCTTGGCTGGTATTAAACAATTTATATGACAGAGACTGTTATTTGATATTTTTGATGGGCCAGGAATTTACCTGGGATTGTGTACAAAGCCACCACCAGAATCATGGGGATCACAACTGCATAAATGCTCCAATCAGGGAAGATAGATTGAAGAAAGGTAGCAACGGCGTACAAATTCACCTGATGAAGAGAAAGTGTAAACAATTATTGAAAAGAATAGGATAATGAATACTACATGACTTGAATATCATGCCTGTATCATGATGTATCTTAATAATGTTAAATGTGAACTATGTTCCGATCTTCTGATTTAATTTTTTTTCAACAAAATCTGTAAAAACAAAAAAAAGGAACAACTATTGAAACTAATCCTTTATGTTTCCGTGTCCGACAGTTTAGTTTAGAGATGACTAAGTTTAGAGATGATTTTATTAAAGTTGGTGTATACATGCTTTTGGGTGTGGCACCTTGAAAAATATATTTTCAAATTGATTGATAATATTCTAGCATTACATTAGTTATAAGCTTTCCTATGAGACATCGTATGAAAAAAATGGGCCTACGACAGGTAATAAATTGATTAATTTAAATTTTTGAATTAAGAGGGGGACGTTCCTAATTCGTTCTGAATAGTGTGCGCAATTTCTGAACTGGAGCGCGGTAATTTAAAACCACTGTTTAAAACTGTATAAAGGCCTGCAAAAACAAACAAGGACATTTATTTGTCACGGGACATATTTGTATTTCTTTAAATATCGTTCGGAAAAGAAAATTGAAATTTTGAAAGAGCATGTACATACCAACTTTAAGTTGTGAGATGCAATGGTTTGCAGAATAGTTAATGTATTTGTCCTTTAGACACAAACGGTTGAAGACAGTTTTTGGCGGTTGAGTGAAAAGGCTGAGGATTTAAACAGGGTTTTAAAAATGGTGAAAAAAATGTTTCAGGTTACTCACAGACAACCTGACTCCGATGTAGAGCACAAGATAGATGATAACAAGTAGGATGCGCATCCGTTGACCACCAAACCGTCGGTGAATGTACTGGGGAAGGCTGAATACCTTCAAGCATAACAAAACAGTCATTTGAAGACAACTTATTGGCACATCTACATTTCTTTATTGTAAAAAAGGCAAAACGTTGTAATTTCAAAAACATTTCCTTTTCCAATTTGCCTTCTGCTCATGAATGTTTCACAGTTGTCCTTGCTGTTTAAGAGGAACATGTCAAAGTGTAGCACTCAACAGGAACTTGGTTTGTATTCATGGACTTTCTATTGATGACTTTCATTTTATGGACAAATCATATTGCACAATTTTATGTCGTGTTCTTTTCTTGTAAATGATCCAACTTTGAAGTTTACTTACATTGCTTGTGATGTAGACTGGAACAAACACCCATCCAAGTACCAACAGAAAAGGCAATGCCTAGGCAAGAGTAATGAGTTTATTATAAATATATAACAAGTCCGTCATTTGTCAAGGTTAGAACAATAGGAAAGTCTCAAGCTATTTGTATTAAATCATATAAAGGCTGGTTCATATTTCATGCGAATGCAATGCGAATTTGACGTCACGAAGCAGTCGCTGCAAATTCGCCAGAGTTAAAATGTGTTCAACTTTTGCGAATTTGCAGCCCAAAAACTTGCCCCGACATCACAAATTTCACGTTCGCGTTCGCGCTGAGTATGAACCAGCCTTAACTAGATTAGTAATGTTAATTATTCTTTGAGATTTGGGACGTGTCTTGTGACTTTGAGACTTGTGAAAATTACATTAAAAAATAATTTTTAAATTCTTAAAAATATCATGTAATAATGGAGAGCAGCTTATGCCAAAAAAAAAAAGTCTTCGGTTTCTGGTATGGAGCTTGCCCCAAAAGAGGTGCAGCGACACGCCTTTTTTTTTTTTTTTTCCCCTTCAAATGTTGGCCGATGACTGCAAATGGTGCCCGACTAAATTTAGTGCAAAATATATGGAGCCCAGAGAGGCCACATAAAGCTTATACTCGATCGTAACCCCATTGTGCAGCAGCAGGATACCAGTCAAACCAGTGAGTTTGGCGGTTTTGAGACATCATCTTACATTGAAAAAAAAAACTTTTTTATTTTGCCGACGCGCATGGCTACGGCGACGTGCGCGCATACCAGAAACCGGAGACTTTTTTTTTGGCCTTAGATTGTCCACATGCACACCTAATTTCAAAGTTCCCAAAATCTTGTTGAAATCTTCAATCTCAAGGACAACAAGAAGTAAAATATTAAATTCCTTACAAGTATTTCAGTAGCTGCAGCTGCGAGGCCTGTGGAGGCTCCGCCCCCAGTTAGGGAAATAATCCTCTCAAAGCTCATGCTGCTAGCAAAGAGTGAGGCTCCAATCTAAGAAAAAAGAAGATAAATCCAGAAAGGGAAATACATGTATGTTTATATTTATAAGTTTAAAGTTGAACAAAGACAAATTTAAAATTATTATAATGCACCTATAGTTAGTTTCCCTTTGCGTTATATTTGAAAATGTGCTTATATTTAGTCAGAAATTGCCAAATCTTTTTTTTTCATTTTACACTTTTAAACAGGGACACACAATATTATATTTTCCCATTTCTTTTTGGAGATGCGGAACTTGATTTGAAATTCCTCTGAATTAACTAATTATTTGAAGGAAAGTAAGGTGAGAGTTGACCTTGACGTCTGGTTGAGGAAAATACATGTAAGTGGTGCATGGGATTGTGAATGTTTCACTTTCATGATTGTTTAAGAGAAAAGAAAGGTTCATTTTTATCTCCGTCCATTAAACACGGACTATTAGATTTACCCCAAACCACGTCACTTTGCGATCTCCAAGGAAGTACCCCTCTTTGCTTCCACGGTCGGATTTCCAAAGCCTCTGAAAAAACAAAAGAAGCATTTGTAGTTGAAAAATGCGGCTTAACTGAAATTCTAAGACAACGTCACAAGGTGTGTAATATTGATAAGGAACAGAGACTTGCATTGGAAATTTGAAGTGGTTTCCGTAGGTATGTCTTAGCGAGGGGTCACGGATACATGTAATTATGCATGTCCAGCCAAATTAAGCAAAATATAATTGATGCGTAATGTTGATGATGAGCGACGAAATTGACTGCAGTGGGATTAGAACCTGTCAGTATTAAAATGCAGTTCCTAACGGACACTCTAAACACTGAGCTATCCACCCCTATGTTGGCAGGCTCCGAACAAAAGTGATTAAATGTCTTGAAAGTCATGCAAGTGCCCGATTGAGATAGTTACTTTGAACATCGAAAAGAATGCAAAATAGAAGCATTTGTAAAAAAAAAAAAAAAAAAGAAGAAGAAAAAGTAGTTAGTGGTACTTACAAAAGCTGCCACGACAAGTGTGAGGACTATATAGATTCCAATGACTGCACGGTCCCAACCTACAAGAGCCAGTTGCTCCATGGTGTATTCTTGAGACAAAAAACCTACAAACCAGCAAAAGACAAACGAGAAGTACATCAGTGGCTGTCTATGCCACAGTAGCAGACAACTCCTTACATGATACTGCAAGTCATAAACAAGTCTAAACAAAAGAACGGCGACATTCCTTTCAAATAAACACGAGATAAAAAATCAGCAGGCCTTCAATTTGAAATCTTATCCTTTCTGAGACATGCGCATTTTTCAATCTTGAACCAAAGACGGAATAAAAAAACAGTTTGTAGATTAAACAGAAAATCAAAATTGTTTTCAATTGCAAAAACATTAAAATTTCTTATACCCTTTACATATCTCTTTTATTCAGTACTTCGTGAAAAAAATAAGGATACACGGCACAGTTTGATTTCAAATTTAAAAGACTTGGAGAATTTGAATGCCAATGAATGGGTTTTATAAAAAATTACCTAAAATTCACCTCTGAAATATTCTCCTCCTTAAGCATTCAACTAAACGCAATATATTAAGAGTTTAGGAAAAGAATGTAGTATCCAGATAGACGTGACTTTTCTGGCTATGTACAAAGTCTACGGAGAGCTGAGTGCATTTTCAAAGTATTTTCTGTCCCAGATTCATGTCTTTTCAACATTGTTGCAATGACTGACCTTCATTGAGAGTATGATGAAAAAAGTGGCGTCAGGGTGCAACATTCTTTCCGAGTTGATTTCCAAAATGCAACATATGACCATTTGAAAATGGTGAAAAAGTTGGACGGTTATGAAACATTACAGAGTAAAATCAATATAACAGCTGTTTTTAAACTTCATTTTTTGCTTTATTGTATTCTTAAGTTGTGTTTAAATATATAGCAGCCATCAAAATGTATTATGGGCAACAAGGAGAGAGCAGGATTCTAAAAGGGAACAAAATGGCATACACCACATTTTGGAAATAACTTTTCGTGTTTCAAATGTCATTTAGTCATCTTCATACCCTCCATGGTCTAACTGTTCAACTGAAAATGACACTCCCATTTCAACATCCAACAAAATTATTCAAGCAGAATAATTCAAATCTTCTTTTGAAGTGTTCATCAGAACAAAACCTCCACATAATGAAAAGAATATTACTACTCAGAGAAAAGTAAACATCAAAAGGAAAGCAAAATACTTACCACCCTTGCCGAAAGTTACCAGATAAAACAGTGAATTGAGTGCCCGAGTGCCCTAAATCCAGTAGTAATGTAGCAGTGTAGTAATGCTAAAAAATATGACGGCCTTGACTGGAGTCCCTGGGTTATCACTCAAAAGTCAGCTCCACACAATGAGGCTGCAGTCACAGTCTGTTGGCTAGCTGGCTCTCATAAAAAAGTAATTTGCATAAAGCTAGCGCTTCACAATGCCACACTTGAATGCCAAAAATGAATTTTTGTTAACATGACCTGGCACAGTATAAATTTATGCATCACCACTGCATCTATTCTGGATACTGTCCGACTACGAATCCTTTTCATGTATACAAACCAATAAACAAACTTAAGCAAAAAATATGGTGCAGTTCAATTAGCATTTTGAGCTGAGAAAGCGACCCGAATAGGACGTGAAACTGTTCTCTATCTAGTAAGTTTTTTTTCTTTCAATCTTCTTTCAAATTTATATCTACCTAGATATCTCAAAATCTCCATCAATCCAATAACCAGAACAGTTCATAATTTTGTCAATTTCAGACACAAAAACCCAACATTCAACAAAATGTACACCGGTTATTTTACATAAAGAATATTCTTTTGCACAAGCAAATTGTTTTTGTTTTTTCCTTATACTGTCAGAACACAAGTTAAAAGAGAATACAAGTTAAACAAAGCTTTTTGTTTTGTTTATACATGTATAATGTAAAGTTTCTGATTTTCACTTGGAGAAACTGGAACTACAGAAAGAAAAGCAAGTAACTGCAAATACAAGTCCATATATCCAGTGATAAAAAACAAACAATTAAGCATTTGTTTCAGACAAATTTGATCAAATAAAGAAGCTTACCCACATGATTTCATTTTAGCTTAAGTTTATTTCACTCAAAGAACTCCTAATATCCTATAGATTCTAATTTAAAAATCATAGTGCTATTACTTCAATTCAAAAGCATAAATCAAACATTTATCGAAATTTCAGATGCAACCATGCAAAATTGAGTATACCCAGAAATGCTGAATATTTGACTGCCCCCAATATCACATTAAATACAATTCCAAGATATGATGTTTATCATGCCTTTTAAGAAAATGCAAACGTGCTATTTAATTTATTTTTTTAATTTTTTTTTACAATTTTCACCAAAATTGTGATGTATCATATTCTGAGAACTGGCTGTGACAAATGTACCCGACAAAAATGTACTTGACTTTTATGAGCTCTGTGCACGAGTACCCCTCTCAACTGTAAGAGAGTTGGGGTTGGGGGAGACTATGGGAGATCAGGGTTCCTACAGAAATCTGAAAACCCAATTCCATGACTTTTCCCAGGACTTTCCAGGACTAAAATTTGACAATTTCGATGACATTTAACGCCATTTTGAAGAGAAAAATTGTTTGGTATTATGATACTGATGAACAGCTGATGTTAGGCTAACCATTTGTTAGCTTTGGAAAATAAGTTTTAATGATGTTCTTGGTTTCATCCATGTCTTTTTGTTGTTGTTGATTTATGAATAAAAGATATGAATTAATAATAAATGGCCTCCTCCTCCCCTTACAGCCATCGTTAAAGCGGCCCATCAAAAACAACCCCTACATGATCTTGATTCCCATGACTTTTTAAATTTTTTCCAATTTTCCATGACTTCCCATGACTTCCCAGGACAAATATTTTCCAGGACTTTCCATGATTTTTCCATAACCGTGGGAATCCTGGAGATACATTTGAGCGCATTGTTGATGACGCCTGACGCTCACGCAAAGTACCGCCCTAAACTGCCCAAGCACCCTGGATCCACTGGATAAACACCATGTAACACAGAGGCATATAGGTTACATGTAAGTTACCTTGGCTGCAGTTATCAATTGAAATTTGCAGGGGGCCCAAGGTTGATATTGTAAACTGGGGAAACGTATGCTTGGTGACAAATGAAAATGGGCATCTACAATCCCGGCCAAAACTCCCTGGACCCCCACCCCCGGCCCCCGGCCAATGTTGTCTCTCATTGCACGGTCTGTGCCCAAGCACGAGATGACAACATTGAGCGGGGGAGCGGGCGAGGGTATGATCATTGTGTGGACGTGTCCCAACCATTTTGGCCAGGATTGTAGACTCTAATCAGTTATTTCATTGAACGCTGTCAGGAAAGAACTAAACTTATTAACAATTCTTTCAGTCCACGAATCTCTGCCATCTTTTTAAAGAATGACTATATTTACACTGTCTTTGGAAAACACAACACAGGTACAACACTCTCGCAAAAATAAAACAAAAATCCAAACAGGCAACCTTCCTGAATCCTTCAAAATCCATCACTTTACAGGAACCAAGTGCCAAATACATGTACTACATACTTTATCTTTCAAGGGACACCATGTGTTAAGTACTAATGGCTGGGTTCACACCAACCTCATCAATCCTACAAAATCCTCCAAAATGTCTGGGGTTTTGTGATCTCGCGTCATCCCATTATTATATATAATGGGTCATCAACTACTACATTAACAAACATCAACACCACATTGTCTGTATTGCTTTATGGATTCTGTGGTCAATAAGAATGATAACTGGTTAAGGCAATGTCTTCAAAGAAGATTTGGAAATCACTTTCTCCATACTTCCCAAGTGTCTTGGTTTTTTCCTAGTATTTTGACATCCAAGCAAATACATTGGGCAATATAGTAGAACATCACTTGACGTGCAAATGTATCGACAGTGAATTTGTACATGAATTCACTGACCGATAAAATTCTGCTAGTATAAAACTATAAAACTGAATTTGTAAATAATTAATGGTTATGAGTGCAATGGTAAGAATAATTTCATGAGGTGACAGATGGAATCTTCCATTCCGCGAGGTGAAGCCGAGTGGACTTGAACATTCCATCTGTCACCTCGTGAAATTATTCTTCCCGTTGCACGAACGTGAAACATTTATCATTTGTTTTATACAACACCTGACTAAATCCTTGTCATCTGATTGATCAGAGCCACCAATCATGTGACCGTGCAATGGAACTTCTATGTACCATGGAATAGAACTATTTTTGCGTTGCATCCGGGCCGTGGGTTTAGATGAATAATTCAATGACATGTGATCAGCGACCCACCAATCAGGTGACGGGAATTTATTCAGGTGTTGTATAATTACATGTAGCACACGAATTTGAAGAGCAATATTTTTTTGGTCAGCAATACTATGGAATTGGGCCCAGTTCCATACATTGATTGGACTGTATGGGGCTAGTGCACGCGAAAAAAACAAGTTTTGTGGTTATTGCAACTGCCATGCAATGGTTACATCATAACCCATGCCCACTTATCCATCTTTTATGAAATAGGAAGGGCTGGCTACAACTAGACAACTTCACATACGTCTGTAGAATCCATTTGTTGCAAAAAGTATACTCTTACTTAGACTCACTTATACACGTATGTATACCAAAAACATCTCAATACAAATATGAAGAGAGCTTTTAATATATTGTTCCATAGGAAAAGCTGCAGTCAATACAAGATGAAGATCAGTAAAGATAAAAAGGGTACACCTAGCTTGCTGACTGGGCACCTTGTCTTTTCTTGACTCCGTAGTTGTATACACGTGCCATGTCTGTGACAATGTGTTAAGGATCGTCAGTAATTTATTGGCATGGGACTTCTGAAAACGAAGCATCTGTTTAGTCAACTTTCTTTTAAGATTAAAGCCCCTTTAAATATTTTACACATATCAAGCAAGTGCGGCATTTTGGGTTGGCAAATTCCTGGCATGATTTTGTGAACATTTATATCAGCACTTCAACGAGTGATGGGGTGAAAATTATGCAGGATAGTTTGGGTGCTTTGTGTTCAAAAGTTTATGAGAACTTGTGATCATATTTCTGAAACAATGTGGATATCATCACCATTTGCAAAGTTATGCCATTGGGATTTAAGTTTGCCAAACGTTGGCAAAATATTTACAGATTGATGAACAAGGTTTATCGGGTAACGATAAAGGGGTGTCTGGGTGTCTTTTGGACAACCTGTTGGCTATTTTGGCCCTACCTTCAGGTTGTTGGGCAAATGAAGCCAACAGCATTAAACGCTTCCTACTTTGATGCCCTGTGTTTCAATAAAAGGCAAACTTCAAGGCAACTAGTTTTAAAATGTTGAAGAAAATTGCTGCCGATCCCTTTTTTTAATGCTGGTCTTATTAGAGGCCCCGTAGCCGAGCAGTTTGAGCGTGGGGCTACGGAGTGGAAGGTTGGCGGTTCGAATCCCATTTGGATCAAAAACTGGAAAATTTTCTACGACGACCCAACAGTAAAAAAAAATGGGTACATGATTCAGTCAGGGAAGGTAAGATGGCAAGAGGAGAGGACTGGGCACCGCCACTCATATGCCGCGCCCAAGACACAGTGGACCTCTAACATCCCACTGCCCCTACGGCCAGTAATGGCTATGGGATACCTTCACCTTTTATTACTTCAAGTTTAAAAGGATACTGACTTCAGTGGTGGTGTACTGATCCCTAAGAAAGTCCAAGTCGTGGTCTACTTGCAGGAGACTCTCCTTCGCTGCGGTGAGGTTGTTTGTTAGTAAAGATTCTGCATCTTCTAAGCTGTACTCTAACATTACATTGGCCTGTGAGGAATAGTATAAGAGAAGGGGTGCTTATTTCACAAAGTCTGGTATAAGCACATTTTTGTTAGGATCAGAACAGGTTTTCTTAGAAATAAAAGATTACCACCAAGTTAAATGAGCTGTTAAGCTGAAAATACTGCTAAGCAAAATACAACTTGTAATAAAAAATTACACTGTGACTAGTTCTAAAGTAATTTTTCATGTGACTAGTTCTAAAGTTGTATTTTGCTGAGCAGTATATTTAGCTTAACAGCTCTTTTAACTTGGGCCTGAGATGCAACATAATATAACATGTTTTAAGTCTAAAAAGTGGCTTCTGTTAATACTGCATCATCCTCGAAAAGGGCATGCACATGATGAAGCCAGTCTATGAACATATTGGATATCTGACACCACTTTTAAAAATCGATTAAGCTAAAATTTCAATTAAATATGCAGATATCTACAAGGGTCCATTTCTCAAAGACTTTGAACTATGTACTTACCCCTAACCATAAGCATACTCTATCAGACGGAGGTATAGATGCCTTAGCATATACCTGGTCAGCTAATAGGAACTGTGTGTCCATCTCTTCACCAGACCCCTGATATCAGAGAAAAAACAAAATTCTCTGTTACAGTTAATTATCACAATACTTGATTGATTGTCTATTAATTGGTCAGTTTGTTACTAATGATTTTTGGCTTATTGTGCTTTATTGCCATGTTTTGCTGTGGTTACTATTCTTTGTTTTGCTTGGTTATTAGTGTTGAAAATAGAAACGAATAAAATGGAGAGGGCAAGCCACACCATAAGCTTTTCAAAAGAACCTTTCATCTACACAAACGAGGACAAAAAAGTAAACAAAATAGATTATTTGAATGGCAAGGGTTAAGACGGGGTAGTTTACTAGACACACTTTGTTATGCTGTCTTACCCACATGGAAATGTGTCTAAATGACGCATTATTTTTTTTAGGCAAACATACCTGTTTACTTCTCATATGTTGTACTATCTCCAGTGTAGTTTTAATATCTGGTATTTGTGCTCTCAATCTAAGACAAATATAAAATACATTAATTATACACAAACTTACATATTTTACATTGACATGTGCCAAAGTTGTATTTTGAGATGTTTAAAAGAGAATGACCAGGGGTCAGGGGTTCGAAACCATCTCCTTGGTAATATGTTGTGTCCTTGGGCAAGCCACTGCACCCCCACTTGCTTCTCTCCACCAAGGAGTATAAATGATTACTGACATTAGCTGGGGAGTAACCTGCGATGGACTAGCATCCCATCCAGAAGGAATAGAATTATTTTCAGTTGTTTCATGCCACGCAAACCGGATATAAACACCGGCCTGATGGGCCACATCGGCTCGTGACAGACTTTACATTTTACTTACTTTCTATGGTTACTGAAAATTATCCATACCAATGCATGTACAATTTTTAGGTGGACTCATTGTACAGACAAGACTCCAGTGATCTAATAAGTACCTTTTCTTCTTTTGAAGTAAATTGAGCTCCATAAACTTATATTTATTGTGCTGCTCGTCTAAACGCTGGACCACTGCTGTTGGGTCTGCATTCTCTGGCTTCTGCATAAATGCATCGACATCCTCCTGCAAGAGACAAATTAATAATACAGCATAAAAATATACAAACTGGTGCACAATGTAGTTCACTTTTTACAACACATACATTGCAAAACACTGCAGAAGACATGTTGCGTCAATAAACTTTCACTTCAGCATTTAGAGATCTGCTTTAAAATTGGGAAAGTATGTATACTACTATATGTTACTCAATCATAAACTCAATAATTCATCTTTAGTTTTTAATTTCTTTTATATCTGAATCCGACAGGCAAGACAGGGTGCTGATATTTAATTTTATTAAATATTCATTTACCTCAACATACACCTTAAATATAATGAATGATCTCAATGTCATAAGAAGTGCTTATGGCTGAGTGGACAAGACTGGTGTGTTTAATTACAATAATAGTTTGAATGCGTTCCAGTAAATAACTGATTAATAAAAGGAAAGAGAGAGTGAGTCAGTCCAGGAGGGAAAATCAAGAAAATAACGATATTAAAGGCATTAGGATGTACGTTTTTGACGCTTCAAAATTTATTGAAAAAAGTGATGTACGTATATTTTAAGATTACCCTATACCTACTCTATTTTGACAGCCCCTACCCTAATTTTTTGTTTGGGAAAATGACTCCCCCCCCCCCCCCCCCCACTGAAAACCATCAATTACTACTTTTTACCCTTGACTACACGCAGACACCTCCATAATGATTGTACACACAAAAAATTGCCCCCCCCCCCCCCAACAAAATTCCCTACCTACCTACCTACCCTAATTTCAAATGCCATGTAATCGGAAGCAGAACCATTTTTTTGGGGGGGGGGGGGGCTAATCTTTCCAATGGGAATATACATCTTATTTTTTTTTTATGCATGATGCCTTGAACTAGCTCTTTTAAAACAACAACTAGGTATGACACTGATCATTCATGCTGATGAAAACAAAATATCACATTCACAAAACAAACCCCTTTAAAGTTGAACATGTACCTGTCTCCCTCAACACAAAATACTTGATTTGCCTGCTAGTCACCCGACTATCCTCACACATTTTTCCTTGGTCACGAAAACACTGGATCATAAAAATTATTAAATTTCCGTAATCAAGAAGTATTACGGTATAGAATGTATCTTATTATTTCCTGCAAAGTAAGGAGAATAAGTAAATCTACAAACCAGGAATACTGCTTCGGGAATTCCAGTGTGAGACTTCGATTTCATCTTCTTGGCGGACTTCGTTCCTTCCTCGACTAGCGCCATCATGCATGCATGCCGTTGTCATTAAACTTGTCATCAGTCCCCGCCGCGCCCAGGCCCCAATCATCGCGTTGGGCGGGACTTTAAATTCTTTTTTTTTTGGGGGGGGGGGGGGGTCCTCCTGTCAAATTCTGGAATATTGGGACACATAATAATTTTATAATTAAATTGTCAAATGATGAGAATTGTGATAGCCACGTAATTTCTTTGACAACATCTTTGCGTAAAAGAATGAAGAAAAAATAATAATAAAGAAGTCTATGATGTCTTGAAAATGCTTGTATTTTTATTCCTCCATGCTTGACTTTATTTTCAGTTTCTTTCCTTTTCTTGAATGATGAATATACCGTAGAGCAAGGAGTTTTAATCAACGTTGTGGATAAGTTGCCCTCATGAAAATTGTTTTGCATGCATAAATTATTTAGAAAGTATCGGCAGTAATCGATGTTTGTTTACTCAGCGCTCCATACAGCGTTGAACAAGGTCACTGAATGACCTTCCTTTGATGACATCAAAAGGCGAAGGACAAATTGTAGTCTGGCAACCTTTCCCATCCGTTCAAAACCCCTGGATAACAAGGCATTACGATCTGGACACAATACCTACAAGGAAAGAGGATTCTTTGTACACACAAACAGTGAATCATTTTGTGCTTTATGCGTCAATTGATTTGTAGCTTTGTACAGTAACTGTTATTAATCTGTGAAAGACTGAAGGTTAGTTTGCCAGAAATACGAAACAGGATAGACGTAATCATGGCGTCCAGTGCGATGCTAAAGGTGAGAAATTTTCACATTTATTTTTAGCCCGACTGCGTCTGGCCGTACAGTACTATCGCAAGCTCTGTAGTACGGCCAGACGCCCGATGCTTCCAAAAAGACTGAATTTTTTTGGCCGCCGATGTAGCGATTTTGCTACATCTTTCGATCGCGATTTTCTTTTCATCCAGGACACAAATTTCCAAAGTTAAGGTTCGTAGTGGTAGAGCAACTCATACCTTTTCGAAAAAAACGTTCTTTGGTCTCAATATTTTCATCCATCTGGCCACAAGACGAATTTCAGTCATCAGATTCCACAAATATCGTCCCCCATGCGATCCCCCATGCGATTTCAAAATGGCGGCCGCGCTGTAATGTATGCATTATGCGAGCGCGCTTGGGCAAGATAATGAATATGCATTATTTAGTTCATGACCTCGTGTTTGTATGGCCAGCCGCGCTAAGTGTCCGACAAACGTCATAAACTATGATGCATATTCATTATCTTGCCCAAGCGCGCTCGCATAATGCATACATTACAGCGCGGCCGCCATTTTGAAATCGCGTGGGGGATCGCATGGGGGACGATATTTGTGGAATCTGATGACTGAAATTCGTCTTGTGGCCAGATGGATGAAAATATTGAGACCAAAGAACGTTTTTTTTCGAAAAGGTATGAGTTGCTCTACCACTACGAACCTTAACTTTGGAAATTTGTGTCCTGGATGAAAAGAAAATCGCGATTGAAAGATGTAGCAAAATCGCTACATCGGCGGCCAAAAAAATTCAGTCTTTTTGGAAGCATCGGGCGTCTGGCCGTACTACAGAGCTTGCGATAGTACTGTACGGCCAGACGCAGTCGGGCTAATTTATTTTATGTGCCTAGGCCGACACGGTGCGTTTTGTATTCGTCCATCAATTCTCAATCTCATCATGAATCAATGTTCAGACAAGTACGTATATATATCACAAAGATAAAAAAGGATTTAAACCATATATAAAAACAAAAAAATTCTAGTTTTTAACATAATTGGTTGCACATTATTACTTCCAGTGGTTATTCAATATGAATGAAATATTAATTATCACTGATTTGTATCATGATTTGTATTTTTGTTTAAATAAATTAACTTAAAAATGTGAATGAAATGATATATATAAAACAAAAATAATCTTTACTTTGTATCAAACATGATGTTCATTGAAAAAAGGTTCTCAATGTGAAAATGTGAACAATTTTCAGACAAGTAAAAGCTATTGAAACATTTGTGTGACTCCCCCTTAAATTTAAAAAGGAAGTATTTTCAGTGTTTAGCAAATGTTTTTTTTTTTCTGAGCAAATTCCTCGTTATAGAACTTTTAAAGTGTTTTTCATAAGTTGACCACAGCAAGATCTAGACTTTGAGAGTCCGAAGTTTTCTTTATACATACACAATTTGGGTGGAATTAAAAAGAAATGAAAACCTGTTCAGTACGAAGATAAATACAACATTTCGTCTTACTATATTTCAACAGGATAAGATGCAGTTACAGTTTGAGGACAAGTGGGAAGGCATGCGTCCTACTGTCCTGAAACTTCTAAGACAGGAGAACGTCAGCAGAGGCGAATGGCAGGATCTCTTCTGGTAAAAACCAAGCCCCATGAATAGGGCCCAGCTACTAAGAGAGGGAGCCGTATCATAAGTCTGACGACTTATAGGTCCGACGCCTCATATGTCTGAAATTTCGGACTTATGAGGCGTCGGACTTATGAGGCATAAATTTATTTATTCCGCCTCATAGGTCCAACGTCTCATAAGTCCAACGCCCCATAATTCCGACGTCAGAAAAACGAGGCGTTTAATTTGTCGGACCTACGAGGCGTCGGAGCTAAGACTGAGGCGTTGGAGCTATGAGGCGTCGGACTTATGGGGCGTCGGACCTATGAGGCGTCGGACTTATGGGCCTTTATTTGGTTAGGGGATGCGATTTTGTTGGACTTATGAGGCGTCGGACCTATGAGGCGTCGGACTTATGAGCAGACCCCCTGAGAGAGGCAGTCCAGTATCTTGGCCCCATATGTGGGGCTAAACATGGTAATACTAGTTGATTCAAATATGTCACCAATTTTGATGCCAATTTTGTCAATTTATATTTCAGGGATGTCCATTCAGTGTGTCTGTGGGATGAGAAAGGGGCCTACAAAGTCCACGCTGCGCTTGTAGATGACATCAGAGAGTTTGTACAGCAAGCTAAATCAGTAAGTGTACTAATGAAAATACATTGACTATTCAAGGTTTTTTTGGGGATCGCTTCTTTTTTAAAGTCTTTAGCACTATTTTTCATGAGCTTAATTCATCACATGTGTGTATCTTGCAGATTCTACCGTTCATTTTGATTTACAAATGGCTATTAATGCATACTTAGTTCAGTGAAAAGATGAAGCTAGTGACATTGATGTTCTATGTACATATAGATCTATTGTTCATTAACCCTAACTCCCCAGCCTAATTTACTAGGAACCGTACCCATCCTGGCAAATTCCAACACCCACATGGGCAATCGTACACACACACTGTTGGACTTAGTTTCTGGAGGTATGCCAACCCCAGTGTAAAAGACCATCAGTTTAGGGGTACTGTACCTATCCCAACAGATTTAAACAAAACCAGCTGTTGGGCTTTGATGGATTGAGTTCTGTTAGGGCTAAGCTAATCAATTTGCAAATATTATTTTTATCATTTTAAGTTGAGTCATCGCAATGCCATCATAAGTCGATCACAAGTCATCTCATTCCGAATCAAGTCACAAGCTATTCAAAATAACTGTGACAAAAGCTCCTGTTACTTGCGACTGGACTTTTAAATTGACTTGTGATTCACAAGTACAAATACATCGACTACAGCACTGATCTTTTGCTCAGATTTCATTTGTTACATCTCAAATAAGCCAATTTCACTTCTTTTCACAGAGGGTGCTACATGACCAAGAAGACACTACATTATTAAAAGCCTACATCAGTGAATGGAGTAAGTTCTTCACGCAGTGTAATTATCTCCCTAAGCCCTTCGGTCCGTTGGAGACGGCGTTAACACAGATGAGCGCTGGCACACAACAGAAGAAGAATGTACAGAATGAGGACACTGTGGTCAGGAAGGTCAGTAATTTTCCCCCTTTTGCTTAAATGTAATTTAATCGTAAACCTCCCAGATTCTTCAAAATGTGAAGGTATTATTTGCATTTCGTTCATTTGTTTTGTTTGAAGCAACAAACTTGCTCAAAATCTTAAGTAAGGTGCATAACAACTAACCAGTGGAAGTTTTAACTAAGTGGCAACTAAACATCTTGAGAAAACAGAGAAAACTTATGCACAATTCTTTGGGTCTCATAACTGGATTTCCTTGCTAATGCACGTAAACAAAAAGTGTGTCTGAGGGCACACCTCTTAAAACCACCTTCTAGGATTGTTTTCTTCCGAGTGATACAATTAGTGCAATATAGGAGAAGGCTCTGTCTCCGTAGCTGACAAGGCGGGATATGGGTACATGGAGTGTGAGAGCCGAGGACCGCAGACCAGGCCTCACATTGCGAAGGTGTATCACGTCCTGGATGTAGATTGGAGCGAGTTGATAATCTTTGCAGTATCCCGTAACAAGAAAACGTATTTGTCTTAAAAGTTTTTTTTTTTTTCATCTTGACTCAATATTAATACTCCTTTCAGCTGATGCTAGAGAGTTGGAACGATCACATCTTCAACAACATCAAGCAGCGACTACAGGACAGTGCAATGAAACTAGTGCTGGCTGAAAGAAACGGAGAAGCCTTCGAAAAACAACTCGTCATTGGGGTCCGGGAATCATATGGTGAGTTGACTTCAACTGTTTGTTCTGAGTACTCCCTCTTTTAAATGACAAACTTTTTTTCGGCCTCCCCATTCTAACGAAACTTTTGTCGAATAAATACAACAGATTAGAATTTCATTTTTGAAAAGCAAAGTTCAACTTTTCACACTGTGAAAGATACTTGAGGTGGCATTAAAATTTTGAAAAATATAATCTTTGGAATATTTGAAGAAGGCAAAAATGTTGAAACCAGGGAGTGAATATTAGGCAATGTCATTGAAAGTCGTAGATATGACGTCTTTATTTTGAGTGTAAAAAGCATATTTTTTGGGAAATATATAATCCTATGTTGCTGTACCTGTCGTGTTAATCTTTGTATTATTTCTCTTGAATTTCTTTTTTTCTTTTTACAGTCAATCTGTGCTCCAATGTTGACGACCGTTTGCAGATTTATCGGGAGAACTTTGAGAGGGCGTACCTGGAAGCCACAGAGACCTTCTACAAGAGAGTAGGGCCGGATTACCTCCGTGAGAATGGTGTACAGAACTACATGAAATTTGTGAGTAAATTATTCCAATCTTGTCACTCATAATCTGTCACCAAATGTATTTCAATCCTCGAAAAAAAATTATCAAATTTTAAGGCTGTCTTTTGTTAAGTAAAAAAGCCAAATACTCTATACTCTCTACTTTAGTCAGTTAATTAAGTACTGGTGTAAAATAATATTTTTTTATTAATTGTGTCAATTGATTTAAAGTTCTTCAACTTCAGTCTCCAACTAAGCAAACAATTCCAAAAATTATAAACATCAAATGTGTGCATATATGAGAGATGTTTAGAAATAACACTCCTTCATCTTTTCAATATTTTGTCCCATTAGGCTGACAATAAGTTGAAGGAGGAGGAAACGCGAGCCCTGAGATACTTAGAAACCTGCAGAGGTAGCAACTCAGTTACTGCAGTAAGTTATAAATCTTTGTTCTTGTAACTTGAAAAATTCACAGTTTTATTAGGATGGTTCTTAGAATATGGATATTTAACATGCAAAACATGCAATAGCAGACCTTGCATGATAACAAATTTTAATTTAAGTAATAGCACTTTGAATCGTATATGATACATTTGCTAATTGTATCTATTACCAGTTTTCACACTGAGAAGCTACCAAGATACAAAGCTGTCTTCAACCTATTTTTTTATATTCCTCGTTTCAGTTATCTGAATGCTGTGTTCAAGCCTTGGTGAGTTCCTTCAAGGAGGAAATTCTTAGGGAGTGTGCTCCGATGATCAAGAGCAATGAGACAGAAAGTAAGTAGGAATGCATGTTCATAGCATACTTAAGCAACAACAAATATAGGATTTAATGCTTACATAACTGAATATCTTTCAAGGGGAGTCAGGGTGGCGTAGGGGAGTCAGGTTGGCGTAGCGGTACTTTCCTTGCCTTCCACCGCTGTGACCCGGGTTCGAATCCTGCCTGGGCCAATATGTGGATTGGGTTTTCAGTCCCTGCCTGATTCCATGGGTTTTCCCCAGAATACTCTTCTGGGCTTTTCCTCCCACCTCTAAAATTGTTACTTCTTCTCATTGTCTTCTCTCCACTGGTTTCTTCAGGCTTGTGAGCTACAGTGCCTAGGGCGCTTTTGAGGAATCCTTGGTTTCATTACCAGAAATGATAAATAATAATAACATTAATAATAAGTCTCGTACAGAAATACATGTCCAAGCTTTTGATACAGTTTTCATATTTGGTCCTCATTTTGCATTTTTATTAAGAGTTTTTGAACCTTTTCTAAACTGTCAGTGTCCTTTTTTTTTATTTCTCAATGTTCAGAACTCAACCTGATGTTCAGGTTAATGGATAGGGTACCAGACGGCATCAACCCAATGCTGAGGGACCTGGAGCATCATATAATGGAAGCTGGTCTGGCTGACATGGTGGCAGCAGCTGATATCATTGTCACAGTAAGGAACCAGACTATTTTTTCTAGGTTAACCCATAACTTTCAGTACGGGAAACGACTCTAGTGGCTGTGATTTTATTGTCAGAAAGCATATATCCCTGTCGATTATTCATGGAAATGCCTATATTTTAATTTTTATCTTCAGGATTCGGAGAAGTATGTTGAGCGGCTACTGGAATTATTCAACAAATTTAGTGCACTTGTCAAGGATGCATTTAATGATGATCCCCGATTCCTAACATCCAGAGATAAGGTAAGTGGAAAAAAGAAAAAAAAAAAGTGTAAAAAAAAAAAAATCAAACTTATGTAAAGAATTGTACTCTACATGGTTTACTTACACAAGACATTATTACAAATGGCTATTCAAAAGGTGTTTGTTTTTTGCCTAAAGGTGTTTTATGCTGCTTTCAAATAATTGACTTCCTTTCGTCTTTCTCTTAGGCTTACAAGCATGTTGTCAATGACACCAAAGTCTTCAGGCTGGACCTACCTGCCAAAAACAAAAGGTATGTGGAATTAATTGCATACTGTTTTTAACTAACCACCAATCCATATACAACAACCTCATCAATTTAATTCCCCTAAATCTTGCTCTTTGAATAAGCCATTTGCGAGTTAATTTTGAATAATATCAAAACGCTGACTTATTCCAATGCTTTGCACGTTTTAACTTTGCAATCTCCCGACCAAAGAGACTGTTACTATATCATGTGATTCGGGGCAAGCCTTACACTAGCAACCCCCAGCTCCGGCATGGTCTGGTGTCTTTGTGCCATTCTCACCCATTGTGAACAATGTATTGGTGCTGAGCGTCACGTAACTATGCAAGAGCTTGCCCCGAATCTTGTGATTAGCAACAGTGTCTTTGGTCTGGAGAATTCAAATTTAAAATGTGCCAAGCATTCTGAGCAAGTCAGTGTACCAGATGTTTTTCAAATTTAAATCCCAAAGGATATAGGTCACTCGCAAATGAGTTATTGGAAGAATGGCCACAGTTTTACGATAATTATTGCAGTGATGAAAAGTAGACATGTGTGTCTACTTTGTTTTCTAATATTCTTACTACGCATTCATTTGGATAGCTGCAAGTTGATTTTACTTTTTCCTTCAAGCATATTTTTCATAAATTTGATGTCATCTGAATTCCTCCCCTCCCTTTGCACACAGTATAAGTAGTAAGACCCAACCAGAGTCCAAATGCCCCGAGCTTCTTGCCAATTACTGTGATCTCCTGCTGAGAAAGACGCCACTGAGTAAGAAACTGACATCGGAAGAGATCGAGAGCAAACTCAGGAACGTGGTAAGGATATCTGGCATCTAGGTCATGTCTCTTACCATCTGAAACTCTGTGGAGAAAACAGTGTGAAGATAACCTAGTGACATTCTTCATACTTTGATAAATCATGTCGCCTGTTTTATCACGACAACTCTGTCTGAATTTGGAAGACTATGCAAAAATGCTTGGCCTGGATGGGATTCAAATAAAAGTTGTGGCTTTCTGTTGCATCCTCACAGAATGCACCGAACTGCAAATGGTATTTCCCCTGGAGTGCAAATAGGTGTTGACCAGTGGTTGGAAGTGTTCCATACTGAAACAGCATCAAATCCATGGGAATGAAAAACGTCGCTTTTAGTTTGTTCCAAAGACATTAGGGACAAAAGGAGCACCCAGGATTGGACTTGGGGGGGGGGGCCTTCACAATTTTTTTTCTCCAAATATTTTAGAAGTTTGAATTTTTCAAAAAATGTTGTCCAAAATTTTTGGCCGCAGACATTTTTTTTTGGGGGGGGGATGGACTATTTGGACGTTGGTGGCGCCATTTACACCCCTATTATACTACTCAAAAATAGGCCACATACATATTATCACGATCAAAACTGTGGGACTAAAAAAAATTGACAACCTCTTGGGGGGGGGGGGGGGGCTGAAGCCCCCGAGCCCCCCTTGGGTGCGCCATTTTTGCCTGGAATTGCTTGACTGTTTTGCTCTGTCATATTGGAAATCATTTGGAAATTGTTTTGACATCATTTCCTTGAGGTTTAACCCCATCTTTGTATTCCCCCATAGCTTTTGGTACTGAAGTATGTGCAGAACAAAGACGTGTTTATGCGCTACCACAAAGCCCACCTGACAAGGAGGTTAATTCTAGACACGTCGGCAGACAGTGAGAAAGAGGAGAACATGGTTGAATGGCTCAGGGTGAGTTGCAAATAAATCTCGGCATTATAGCCCAACCCTTGGCTTGTTCGGCTTCAGAATCGTCAAGAAGCCGTAAATGTTTAAACTAAGGAGAAAAACTCTGACCTCATATTAACCCTAAACCCAAGGCTATTTTGGCTAGAAACCATGCCAAATGCACCAACATGCAAACCAGGCCTGCTCAGTGCAGCAAGATCCATCGTCTCAGAAATCTCGTGGCCAAACTGGCTCAGAGTCAGTGGTCTCCAACTGCGGCAGGATACAACTGTGGCATTGTTCAATGGGACTAGCTCTCATTGTTTCAGAAGCGGCCGTTTGTTCACTGGTGTTGATGGCTCAATGCAGCAAGGTCCCACAGACTACAGTTGTATAATGTGCTGTTTTGTGTGTTACAGGGTTAGTGTTAAAAGATTTGTGCCTAAATGACTTCATTCTTAGATCATAAAGTCAAACCATTTTTCTTGTTGATAGTCACAATTAATTATAGGAAAAATCGATTACTCCTTTTGATTGCAACAACTGCATGAATTCTGTACACACAGGAGGTTGGTATGCCAGCTGACTACGTCAACAAGCTGGCAAGAATGTTCCAAGACATCAAAGTTAGCGAGGATCTCAACCAATCATTTAAGGAACTCCATCGGAACAACTACGACAGTGTAGCAGGTATTCTGATTTTTCCAGATTATTCAATTTCACCTACAAAGAAAGTGGAATTTATTTTCAGTCCACACATGTATTGAATTTTTTGGTTTGAATTCATATGTTCAAATTTCAAAAGTAAAGTTGTATTTTGCCATGATTAAAGCACAAATTTAAAGCGAAAATAATTGTCCCAATGTGCAATTAAAAAACGTTGATTATGCCCCCCTTAAAACTAAAATTGCTCCTTGTTTTCAGAAATGTCGTCTTAAAATGTATTCTTCAGAATACATATTTTTCAGAAAAGAATAATTTTGTGACTTTATTTTTCTTCAGACAACATAAACATAAAGATTCTGAATGCCGGGGCGTGGTCCAGGAGTTGTGAGCGGGTCCCCGTCTCCCTCCCTCTGGAACTAGAAGACTTCATCCCCGAGGTGGAGGAGTTCTACCGGAATAAGCACAGCGGCAGGAAGCTGCAGTGGCATCACCTCATGTCAAATGGCATTGTAAGTCGTGACCTCTGACCCTTGGGTCAAATTTGAAATGGCAGTGACAAGTAGTTGTCAATAGTGAGAACGGTGGTAATTGATTTAAGACTTGGAAGGCGATCAAGTTACTCAAGTTACAAAATCTATCTTGTAAACTACACTTGATACCTCTATTAGAATGGTGAAAATAACGATGACGGTGTTGTTTTCCCAAGAAAAACAATAACCACTTGACTAGATTGATATGAACCTACATCTACTTGGTCAGAAACCAGTGCACAGTACTACGAGAAGTATTCTAAATATCTTTATCCAAATTTGATTTTCCTATTACAGATCACGTTTAGGAATGAGATCGGTGTCTTTGACCTGGAGGTCACGACCTTTCAGATGGCTGTCCTCTTTGCCTGGAACCAGCGACCCAAGGATAAGATCACGCTAGAGAACCTGAGACTGGCCACAGAGCTTCCTGACAGTGAATTGAGGAAAACATTATGGGTAAGCAAAGCTGGAGAGTAAGCACAGCAAAGTCTAGAAAGATCTACATGGCGAATTCACCTTCAAGAAAATCTGTGTGTAATTGAAAAAGAAAAACAATACAAACTCAATGTTTTGGATAGTATGCGGTGCTCAACATCAAAACATACCAACTTTAAGATACTTTAATAGTAAAACTACTAAGGTTTTTATTTTCTTTACTCTGTCTTTTAACTTGTGTGGTTTATTTAGAATAGGGCTCTGCTTAATGTTAAAGAAAATCCCCCTTACTGTAGTAAGAATAATATACTTACTGTTCGCATATTTCACAGATTAGAAATGAATTTTGGCTTTTGCACATGTGTACATTACGGAGCTAAGAATTCTGTGCTTACAGGGTTAATCACAGAATTTTTGCTAGGGTTGTTAGCATGGAATGGTGATCTTAAGTGTGGCATTTTTGTGGTTAGCAGAGCCGTTAAATTGGACCTTGGATAACACCGTTGCATTATTGGTGCATCATATGTTTTGGCAAAAAATTCAAAGACTCAATTAGCGATTTTGTAATTTTTTTCCTTTGGCAGTCCCTTGTAGCGTTTGCCAAGATGAAGCGGCAGGTCGTGTTGTGTCATGTGGAGGCCAAGTCTCCCAAGGACTTCACCGATGCTACAGTGTTCTGGTTCAACCAGCAGTTTGCAGTTATGTAAGTCAGCACTAAAGAATATGACTTTTTTAATATTAAATCTTTGAATACGTGTGGTTTAATGCTATTACTTTTCACTAATTACAAAAGTTCAGAAGCTGCTTGTGAGGGATTTGAATTTTTTTTTTTTAATAGATTTTTTCAAAAATGATATCCCTGACATCCCTCCCTCCCTCCCTTAACCCTTTAGTCACTGTAGCGCCCTCAATCGCTCTGCCTTTTACTCCCTGTATTGCCCGAAACCGCCCGAGTACTCTATGGTTTTATTGTTTCTTCAGTGAATAAACACAATGTAATACAATGTAGTACAGGCGCTAATTGTTAAATCACTTTGTGTGTTTGAAATTAAACTTATTCTCCCATAAACTCTGCGGAGGTAAAAACTGAAGGATATTTTTGAGATAATTACTTTTATTTGATTAATTAATTACTTAATTTTTTTGCAGTAAGAATGGAAAGCCCCAGAAGCGAGGTAAGATCAATCTGATTGGACGGTTACAACTGAACACGGAGAGAAGCGGGGAAGAGGAGAAGGAGGGAATCGTACAGCTGAGAATACTCAGAACACAGGTGGGTAAACGCTGTGCAGTAGTGAATACATCTTGCACCTTGGCCTAAAAAAATCAGAAAGATTTTGTAAGGTTCCCCTACTCCTCAGCACATTGTCTAGAAGCTACATGTGTGGTGTTATTTTTTCCCTGAAATATTTTGATTTTGACCTGCCTCAGCTGGTGAAGTGCAATAAATGTGTTTGCAACGGAATAAAGAGGCATTGTAGTAGACAGCGAGGTTTAAAATATTTAAAATCTGATTTGACCTTGTCTTGACGTGCACCTTGCACATTGCTAGTGCTAGAATTTAGCACTAGCTGTTTTAATTTATTCAAACAGAACATGAAAATCACAAGATTTAATAACCCTTACCTCCCCAACTCCATCAAAATCCATCCCCCCATTTTGGTGAATTTAGGGGACTTGGTCCTGCAGGCCTGGTTTGACTAAATATTGATGGACTGGAGTATGATGGACTTGGGCCTGGAGGCCTGAAGCAAAGCATGCATTGGAAGCAGTGTGATTGATGGATTTTGGCGGACTTAGTCCAGTAATTAGTAGGGACAGTAGGGACTTAGGGTTAAAGAAAATCTGTGAAAATTAAACCTATTAAAAATTACTACTTGCAATTACAACTTCTACATCCTACTCAAGAGTTAGTTTGTATTCAAATCCAGAATTACGCCTTTTGTTTTCGGAAGTACATGTAGTTTATACAACTCCAAATGAGACAAAGTGTGTAAATGTTTGGGGGTTTTTTCTTTCGATTTTTGCAGGAGGCTATTGTAAAGATCATGAAAATGAGGAAGAAGATCACGAACGCTCAGCTTCAGACTGAGCTGGTGGAAATCCTCAAGAACATGTTCCTTCCTCAGAAGAAGATGATCAAGGAGCAGATCGAGTGGCTGATTGAGCACAAGTACATGAAGCGGGAAGAGAACAATATCAACACCTTCATCTATCTTGCTTAGTGTCAACTTTGCTGATTGGGCAGTTAGGTCATTGCCGTCCAGCAAACAACCAATCAGGATGTACATGACTTCTGTCTTGGAAGAAAATGCCCTGCCTGGTTAAAAACAGTGATTGGCCGAGAAGTCTACATCAGACAGTGATGGTAACCACTCAGAAAGTTGCTTTCATAGCACTGCAACAATAGGGTGCTTTTGATTGGCTGTTAAAAATGTGCTTCTGATTTGTAATGACCAATCAGATGTTTTGTTGATAACCGTCTATAAATACTCAGACCAGGTGCTTTGTCGTTTGAATTCATGTACATGTACCAAGTGGATATATATTGAACTGTACTTTGTTGAAGAGTGTACTACAACTGTAAGGGTACATTAAATACAAAAGGCAGCAAAAGTAATAATTTTGTTCCTATAAATGGGTTGATGTAAGAGTCGAAAGCTTTTGAAAAGGTGCTTTGGTTCCCCCTATGAAACAACGCACTGGCTGCAGAGGTGTTGTAAGATTAACAAACCAAAGGCAAGCACAGACTTTTTGCAAACTAAATTAGTAGCAGACAAATGGAAGGAATCTTCAACATCGAAACTTGTAGTGAATGAAATTGTCCGCATCTTTTGATTTCAAAAAGCCATTTACTATAAGACTTTTTTTCTGAAAAGATTCAACGGCATGATTTATAAGCACTTAACCCATTAGCGCATGTGCTACACGGTAGTACACTGTGTTTATTCACTAATGAATGGGGCTGTACAGAGGGGCAAAAAATGTTGCAACCCAACGCCATTTTTTCTTCATATATCGTCTCAGTAAAGGTCAGTTATTGCAAAAATGTTGATAAGACATGAATCAGGGACCGAGAAACATTTCCCATTTTGTTAGGAAATACTTACAAAATTGTCTTAACTCTCCGTAGACTTTGTACACAACTGCTGAAGTGGCATCTAGATACTATATTCTTTCCACAGAGAGTAACAGGCAGGGCATTTTGGGGCGGTACAGAGCGCAACAGGTTTCGTAAGATGTGAAAAACCAAGCTGCTGTAAGAATCCCTTGTAGTCCCAAAATTGTAGCATACACAACTGATTCAAAGCTGACGACCAAGTGTTACCAAAATGGGTTGTTGATTTCAATCGAAGCCTGTTGCCATGGCAATGACCAATCAACATAAAGACTCAAACTGCCTGGAATGTTAAATGAGATACTCAAGACAATGCACATAGGTATATACATACAGACATCAACTACAAGTTCTATTTTAATATTCACATATCACTTGAAAAACAAGACAGTTCATGTCATTCTACATGTACTTCACAAGTACACACATACGCAAGTGAATATACAGTGTCTCTGACTAATAGTCACCATAAACACAAACTTAAAAGCAAATGTAGAATGATTATTACGAGCAGGCACATTGTTGTGTTAAGTCAATTAACATTTTTCTCAATGTTCGGTTTCACTGCATTGTTAATATTCTTACTGCTGTATTATGTTGTAAAAAAATGACTAAAAACAGTGCATGTTGATGCTGAGTGATATGCTGCTCCAAACAAAACAGGAATGTTCCAAATTGTTTTAAATGTTCCCCTTTTTCGACAATATCATATTCTCTCCAGAAATACTTCTGGAACATAATGCTGTCCAAAACTAAAGCATGCTTTGTACAGCGTCAACAATACATTGCTGGGTCTTTTAACCCTCCTGCTATTTAAGCATTCATAGACAGTCAAAATTCACTTCCACTTCCCCTGCTATACTTTTAACAAAGGCTAGTCACCAGCAGTCAGATCATATGTCAAGCAAGCACTGTGACTAGTCAAACTGGGTCAACAGACAAAGCAGGCAAGTTGCGGTCACAGCTGTTTTATCACTCACCTGGAGTCAAAGCATAGCTGTATCAGGTTTCTTAAGCAGTCCAAGGCAGTCAAACCTGCTTTATGAGGGCTGGGAATTCTTAAGGGTTGAGAACAGTCACTTGATTGATTTGGACTGCAAGGACAATTTGGCACAGAATGTATGTTTGCATAGGAGGGTCAATTAGGTTTACTGCTAGTCCACAGAATCCATCCTTAAAGTGTTAAAACGTTAACTGTCTGTCTTCCAAGGTGGTCAATCTTCCCGGATAAAAAAACCCAAACTTGCTGTGTACACCCTGCTGTTAATTAACTAGTGAGGATAATTTTGCCCCAGCAATAGAGTTGTAAATTAGTCAATCACAAGTCAGTTCACAAGGAGCTGGGGATGACCAAAGACAAAGGGATGTCTTTGTCATTGTCCACTAAAATGGTTTGTCAATGGATTTGAAACCGGATGAATTGTGATTGACTTGTGTCGACTTAATTTGGGGAGAATGTTGCATCCTGACGCCACTTTTTTATCATCATATATCATCTCAATTAAAGGTCAGTCATTGCAAAAATGTTGAAAAGACATGAATCTGGGACTGAGAAACATTTCCAATTTTGTCAGGAAATGCTTGTTGGCTCTCCATAGACTTTGCACACAACCGCTGAAGTGGCGTCTGGATACTACATTCTTTCCTTGATTTCAAATCTGCTGTGCATATAAAGAGCAGAAAAGAGTACGAAACGATTTTTGTATATGAAGTTTGAACTGAAGTAATAGTATAACCACATGGTGTGTTTAATTTGTACAGAAATGATTAAACACTACAAATTATCCAAATGTCGGCATATGGTTTTGATTATTTCTCTGTCCTTTCTGAAGCCAGGAATTACAGATGAACCTGTTTTGAATTTCTTTTTTTTGATAATTTACATATCTAAATCTAATTAAACTTTACATAAATTTAAGGGCTTGGTGCTTGAAGTGAACTTAATGAGACTGTTTCTTATTGTTCAAAGCACTAAATTAATTTAGAAATTCACTAGCTAGGGCCAGCAAATTTTGGCTACAGAACAAAAATGAAAATAGCTCCTTGTGTTTGGAACCCAAGCATTACACGGGTGAATCATGGTGCTAGTTCGTTCTCTTTTTACCAAGCCCAACCGGTTTCTAATAAAACAAAACAAAAACAACAAATACACAATATGTACAAAGGTTCTCTACAACTGTTAAGGAAGTTTTAACATACATGTACCTTTAGTTACAAAAGTCAGTAGATGCAGGCAATCTGCATCAATAGTCTTTTCCAAAGTTAAAAGGTTGTTAAGGTTATTCTGGCTGTACAACATTTTTCATCCATGGTTTCACTGACACAATAATCGGCTGGATCATTTGGATGGTGCCGGTGGGGGCAGATCAATGTTCCTCACCCTCTGGATCATCGCAGATGCTTGCTGATCGAGCTCAGAAATGCGCTCCTGAAAAGTAAGACAGAAGATTGATTATCAAATTGTTCGTGAGGAAATAGAACATTTCGCCATTCCAATGGTATTTTTGGTACAAAGTTGAAGTCAGGGTGTGGGATAAAATGACAGACGGATATGAAATCACAGAGTTGTATTTCAAAACTGTGTAATTGCAAGTTCATTTCTCAAACCCAGTGGAACTCGTCTGCAATCCAACAACTACATGGAGATTTACTTAGAAAACCCACTGAAGGAGTCGGGTTGGCGCAGCGGTTCTTTCCTCGCCTTCCACCGCTGTGACCCGGGTTCGATTCCTGCCCTGGCCACATGTGGATTGGGTTTTCAGTCCCTGCCTGATTCCTTGGGTTTTCCATGGAATAACATTCTGGGGTTTTCCTCCCACCACTAAAACTGTAATTTCTTCTCATTGTCTTCTCTCCACAGGTTTCTTCAGGCTTGCGAGCTACAGTGCCTTGGGTGCTTTTGAGGAATCCTTGGTTTCATTACCAGAAATAAATAATAATAATACAAATGTTTATCATCTCTTAGGACTTACATCTATGATGGCCTTGTGTTCTAGCACTTTGGTGCAGGCATGCAGGAGGAACTGCTCATAATCCTTGTATTCTTGCTGCATCTCCGCCACATGCTCATGGTACCTGTGAGAAAAGTTGCAAAGTTACAAATCAATTTAAACAAATAACGAATACAAAATAAGAGATAGACTGGGCATCATTGAATTTTGCCATCTATACTGCTGCAACTGTACTTAAACATTTTTCTCTTTAGACTTTTATTTGTTCCGATCGACCGACCCTACTTCAGAGGCAAAGAAATACGAGGAACCATAAAAATGAAAAGGGATGCCCTAATAGGGATTTGTGCACATTCAGAATAGAAGGAATCTTTTTCAAAATATTCTCCTGGGAGTGGTCACGAAGGTGTCAAGACCTAGATTCACAATTATAACGACGTGAGTTATCTTACCTCGTGATGAGTTCTTTGAGCTCCGCCTGTGCCCTGTTCTGATCTGTGTCTCCTACCACCTGCTGCTGTTGGATCTTCTGCTCCAGCAGGCTCTGCTGCTCAGCCAGCTGACGACTCTCCTCCTTGATTTTCTGTGAGGAGGGGGAAAAAACACAGGAAATCAATTTTAAATTGCAGCAAAGCACATTTTCATCTGCTTACGGAGTGCCGTGGCCTCATGGTCTGCAGCATTGGATTTGTGGTCTGCGGGTAATTCTGCAGGTTGTGGGTTCGAGTCCAGCCTGGGGTTGTGGTGCGTGTGCCCTTGGGCAAGGCACTTTGTCACTCATTGCTTCTCTCCACCCAGGAGTAAATGGGTACCTGTAAGGGCAGAGATGGTTGTTGTGATTGATTTTAGCTGCTTTGTGCCGAAATGGCAGCATGGAGCTGTATACTCCCCAGGGCGCTGAGATTGTCTTTTGAATGTTTCATTGGCCTAATGAGCAGGGTATTAATGCTGCGCCAGGAGTGTCACTATGTGACAGACATGGCGCATTACAAGTCTCCATTATTATTATTATTTATCAAACATAAACACAGGAGAGAAAGGGGAGAAAACCAGGTGTAAGAACTCAAAACTCTTAATTCTTACAAACCTCTTTCAGTGTTTCGAGTTCCTTGGCTCGGCGCTGCAGTCTGGTGTCCAACTTGCTAACTTCATCCTGTTTGCTCTCAACCATCTCCGTCAACTGTAAAAACAAAAATTACAAAGGTGGTTTGATTTGGGCATTTTGACTTGGTCAACGGGGGACAAGGAGATAGGCGGAACTCTAGAATTTGTTGCCACAGTACGCCAAGCACCTTACACCAACCACCTATAGGATGATCCTACGTTTTTTGTTACATGCGTTTGCTCGTACATGCGTAACACCTGCCACAACCACCCTGCTGAGAGGACGTCTTTGCTTAATTGGTCATGCACTGCAGAGACTTGAGGTGTCTCTCGCTGTCTTCTTGAACTCACAAAACCAACTATCACAGCCCTTCTGACAGAAAGGCCTGCGTCGCACCTACCTCTCACAGATTATAGACGACCTTAACGCCATCTGCCTTAAACAAGATCAGGCTGTTCGTGCTGCCCAGGATCTGGCTGGATGGCAGAGACGAATTTCAAGCATTGGAAAAACCAATTGAGTGCGAGTTGAGTGCGGCTCGAGTACTGCAACTATACAGTAGTATGTATTTCTTCAAACTCAAATGAACATTGGCCGCACGTACTTGGAGTGATATGGGGGAGAACCATACATACAAAGGGTTTCAAAGGGATCACCTTGTGCAAGTTTTTCATGAGCGATGATTAGAATGCGAATGTTTAATTGTGGAGGGTATCGTCCTAGGATTACCTGTTCCAGTGTTTCTTCTTCAAGAAGCTTCTGACTGTTCAGCTTGTGGACCTCCTCGTTGACTTGCTTCTTCATTTGAATCAGGGCAGGCTGGAAATAAACGAAAGATACAGTATACTAACGATGTCCTTATTTCAAATAGTGTCATGTATCACAATGTACAGCAGGACGCCAGGATGCAATTTTTTTTTCCCAGACAGGATCTGGCAGGATCGAAAGAGAGTGTCCTCTCCGCGTTCATGCATATTCATAGATGTCCACAGCTTTTGAGAATTTAAGCTAATGCTGGGTCAGTGCTGCCGAGAACAAGTCATTAGATATGTATGTAATGGACCAATCAGAAGATGGGAAACCCAATTCGAATTGACATTTTTTGATAACATTTGTCCACAAGAATCGTTCCCACTTTGCTGTTTGCACTCACATTCAAGTTACATCACAAAACAACTACAGTCGACTCTCGTTAGTACAAACTCTGTTGATACAAAATTCTGGTTGTAACAAACATAAAGCCTTGGTCCCAACTGTGCATTTATATGCACAATGAGTGGGACTGATGTTCCTCTTAATACAAAATTTTGATATAACAAACAAGTTGGCTAGGTCCGAACGAGTTTGTTATAACGAGACTCGACTGTACTACTTGACTGATGGTTCTTTGCCAGCCTTGCTCATACCTTTATTGTGCTGGTGAAGTCCATGAGTGAGGCTTTGTTCCCGTGGGCGTTGTAGAAGTTGATTTTCATCTCGTAGTCTATGCCGTGGGCGTTCTCTGCCGTGGAGGGGATCAGGTTCAGACTCCTTGCCTGGCTGTTGAACTGAGTTACATGCTTCTCCAGCTGAAATAAGGTTAACAAATCGTTGGAAAAGGAGTGAGTTCACTCAAGAAATGTCCACAATTTCCAAACAAGAGGGGAGTTCAAGGTAACACAGTACTTGAACAGGAGAAAAGTTGAAGTACTTTTCATATCAAGTTTGTTAACTTTTGGAGCTGAACTGGACTGCAAACAAATGGAGTATTAGAGAGTGTCTTTAAATGAATCACTTGTTCAACTAGCAAAAATATGTTCTGCCTGTGCCCATGGAGAGCAAATGGTCTTCCATATGAGAAAATTTTAAGCTAACTCAATACAACCCACTCCAACTCAGAACAAGTTGGGAGTACAGTGTTGTCTCGAAATTGCTGTTTACACTGAGGAAAGAGATCGGCTTTCTCTGTGATACACAATGCATGCATTGCATCAATCTATGATCTAATGTTGAATTCAGCCCAAGTTTTTATTCGACTTATCGGGTACTTCCTTGAATAAACTCCCATGGACTTACGCATAGAATCAGCTGCTACCAGGAACAATTCACCAAAATCAGAAATCCAATTCCAAATTGAAGTGATTCTATTTTGATTCAGGCACAGAGGTTCCAAAGCTTACAAACAGTTCTAAAAGGACCAGAAATGTCACACACCACTTACAAAGATCCAAAAACCATCATCTTTCCTTAGCCTCACCTGTTCCTGTTTCTTGGCAATCTGTTTCTCCTTGTCCCATATCTCTTGATCAATCTCCTGCTTGTCTCTCTCGATGGCCTCCAGGGTGGCGTTCAGCTGTCTCATCTCGGAGTGCAGACGCTGCACGTCGCTGGCCGACAGCTCCTGATTGGCCAACTGATGCTCGAATCGCTGCTGCTCGTTCATCGTCTGCTCCAACTCCAATTCTGATCAAAAGAAGGTGAGACAAGAATTTACTCTCGGCTCCTTGCGCAGAATCGTAATCTTAGAATGCAAGCAAGACAACACATGGAAAACAGACTGTCGTGTGTTGATGGAAGATTTTGACAACTTCTAAATGTAAGACCAGAAAATTGTCAGACCTGCTTGTTGGAATTGCAGTTCGATATCTTGCAGTTTCTGCTGGTGGATTCGCTTGTGTTCATTCAACTCCTGCAGATACTTGTAGAAGCGTTCGTTGTCACCAGCCATCATCTGAGCATGCTCTTGTAGTGCTGTCAGGCGACACTGCACAATAAATAGAAAAATTAGCAGAAAGTGTACATAGGGGACCTACATAGTTGGATGACATTGCTAGAAGTGGCAAAAAAGGTTTTGTCGTTCTTTGAGGAAGTTAAGCTATAATGTAAGATGTAATTCATGAGAGGTGACTTACAGGTTCTTGCTGCAGCAGCTGCAGCTCAGCGGCCAATCGCTGCTCCTCTGCTGCCAACTGCTCCAGGTTTCCTGTCTGCCCAAGGCTACGCTGCTCTGCTCATAGAAGAAAAAAACCCACGAATACATGTTAATGAGTTATTTAGACAGTCATTTAACACAACGTCAATCCAATTCAAAATCCTGAGACTTTTATTCTAGGCTGTTTATTAGTCACAAATCAAATAAAATCAAACAATTGAGGAACATTTACAAATTCATACCACAAAAACATCAATTTTGAAAGTTGGTTCGTAAATTATACACTTCAACATTTTCACTGAATAAAAACGAAATATTTTTACTTACTGATGCCTTGTGCCAGGGCTTCCTCCCTTTCTTCAAACGTATCTGCTCCATCCAAGAACTCCTTGTACGCTCCCTCGACATAATTGAACAAAACCTACAAAAAGAGAAGCAAAGTGTTTGAAACAAGTCTCAACACAAATATCATCAAGTGATAATTTTCCAATTTTTCCCTAAATATGGCTTTATTAAAATGGACGATGAGAAGGGCGTTTTGAAAACAAAATGGTAAGTGAACACATTTTTGGGCGCTGTGGTCCAATGGTTATGGTGTTCGATTCATGTGCCAAGGTGCATGAGTTCGAACCCTGGCATGGAACATGGTGTTTGTGTTCTTGGGCAAGACACTTTACTACAATTGCCTCTATCTACCCAGGAGTATAAATGGGTACCTGTGAGGGTAGAGACCAGAATGCGCTGATCTCGAGCTGCTGCAAAAACTGGTCCCATGGCCTGATGAACAGGGGTAATAATTGTAAAGCGCTTTGAGACCTTTGGTATAAAGCGCTATATAAGCATTACGTTATTATTATTATATTATTATTATGACGTTTTTGATCAGTATGCTCTGATCATCTTCAGGGCAAGACTGCAGTCAGTGCCATGTCAGGTATTTTTTTATAAGTGTGCGTCCAAGAACAGTACTAAAGAATAAGTATTTGTAGAAGTTGTGTGATTGTCTCACCTCAGAATCGGTGCCTGAATCAAACTCATCCCCCTGGTCGTCGGTGAGCTGCGCTGAGAAAAGCACCGATTGCTCATCCACACCAAGGGCATACTGTAAAAAAAAAAACACAAATCAATATAATAGTTAAAAGGAAAAATCAAAAAAGGAAGAAAATGCCCATACAACAGACTTTTAATAGTTTTACAATGGATCATAGGCCAAAATTTATTCAAGAAAAAAATATTTGTTGTACCGGAAAGAGAGTACATGCATAAACAAGGACACAGAGTCATTATGAAAAATTCAATTTTACAGCCAGGTGATCACAAACCTAACTGCTGAAGCTCGTCTCAGACATCGAAACTTCAAAAATGCTGGAACAAAATTCATTTAATATGCTGCTCATTTGGTATGACATCCCTCAGCAAATCCAATAGATTCTGCTGTAACTGAAGAGCAACCGATGAAATAGATTCTTTGGGGGGAAAAAAACTTGGTCTCTACTGACCCTGACTGAGTTGAGCAGCCAATGCAGGGCACCCAGGATGTTTGGCCAGGTGTGAGGGCTGCCCACGGTGAACATGGAACTCTTGGAAATGTTGAATGGATATCTGGAAACAAAGTCAAACAAAAAATCATGGATAATTGCTTTTGAACTTCTCATTTAATTGCTGTTGGCGAAAAATCGTCAAGTTGAAATGAAGACAAAGTAAATAATTTTTTTCTGGAAAGTTTGGTATTGGATGCAAGATTTGCTATTAATGAATGACAAACGTCTTAGAGATTTAAATGAAAAATTGAACAAATGACAACTTAACAATTTTCATTTTCAATTGAAAATACATGTAATGTAAAACTTCTTTGAGATTTAAATGAACAATTGAACAAATGACAACTTCACCATTTTCATTTTCAAATGATAATACATGTCATGTAAATTATGCTTCATCAGTACAGGGTTTAATTGAAAGTCTTCCATACAGGCAAGTTTCTACCCGAGCTTGCACAAAAAAGTCATGCATGTTTCTGGATGCCAACTTTACTTAAAAACTGAATATTTCTAAGGGTGAATCACCGTGTCTTACTTCAATGTCTTGAAGATCTGGGGTATCTCCTCTTCAAACTTCTGAGCCGGCGCGTACTTCACCTCCAGGAAGTTGTAGAGGAACTGGAAGATCTTGAGGAAGTCTTTAGTCGTTGGTGTCATCAGCATCTTGTTGTTGAGGGGATGAGGGTAGCCGTGCTGTGTCAGAAACTAAAATGGAAACAAAAACAATATCACAGTTCCCCTGCTGGTGCCAAATTGGGGAATTATTTGTAAAATTGACATAAATTTGCGATAAGAAATACAATGGTGTGATGATAGAGTGTTACGTACGTCCACTATATCTCTGATTTCTCGTTGCATGTAGGACTTGTCGCTGAGGGGTCTTGTGTCCTTCATGATTTCATGGCCAAAATTCCTCCCTCCGTATCCACTCGACTGCCTGTAAAATTGGTGAAAAATAAAGATGGATCAACCTTTCATTGAACATTTCCCTTTGATTGATGAAAACAACAAACTTGAAATAAGGGTGAATAGCTCATGAATAATTTTCTAAGTTGGTCATTAGCTTTAATGTCCTGCGTATTGACAATTTTCTTTTGTTGAGGATCACAATTTAAATACTGCTCATGTAAATCAACCATCACAGTTGAATTTAATAAATGATTTCAACTTTTAAAATTTTAAACAATCATTACTAAATTAGCCTTTTTCTGGAATGAACATTTTGTTGTTCATGAATCCGATGTTTCACAACCGATTATCTGTGACTGACTTTTACCGTTTGGTGTTAATGAAGCCATGTTTCTGGGAGACAGATTTCCGGTTACCGGTTGACGATCTGCTGCTACCTGCTCCACTGTCAGAGCTGAGACGTTTGGAGCTGCCAGCATTGTTAGATCTTCCAGCTATCAAGACAGGCAGGAAAGAAGAAAAAAAAGTTGAACCAATCTCATTGGGGTTCAAATATCATTGGAATTTAGGATGCAGTATGTGAACCTACACTCCCACATATTCAAGCTTCCAATTCTACTAGATTTTGGAGGATCTAGCAGGAATTAGGGTGTTTAGGAAAGGTAGCCTTTGTTTTTTGATAGCCAGAAGTGTGCAGCGAAGGTATATATGTAGCTTACACTGTACTGTGAGACAGCTTGAGCTGCTGAAACTTCACTGCACACCTCTGATTGATCCGTAGTTCCACAACAATGTTGTAGTTTAGTCCATCACAAGTCCAGTCACAACTTAAGTAAGAGTGGATCAAAGATCATTTGAATAGCTTGGTTTTGATGACTTGTGATGGCCTTGCAGAAAGTTACAAAACTTGTGATAGACATAGACTCAACTACATAGCCATGATAGCTGTTCCGTATATGTACCCTGAATGCCTAGAAGGAGAGAGAGACAGTTAGTGTTTTAAACTGTAGAATGTTGATGGTTAAGAACTAAGGAAACTTGCTTACCATTGTCTTGCTTGACTCTGAGTGGGGCTAGTGAGGCACGTCCACTGTTTACTGAGGACCGTCTGCTACTGCTACTGCTGCTACTCTGGGATGGACGGTACATGGTTGTCTCCCTGTATTCCTGTAAAACAAACAAATCAGTGACTGGAATATGATAATCTGACATTCCCATGACGAAAATAAAAAAAATTAAAAGAAAGTACAGATTAAGAAAAACGCAGTGGCTATTGTTACGGCAGCCGTAACGCATTTCCCATTTTTTATCGTTACGGTAGACTGCAACCTGGCAACTTTTATAAAAAAACATGACAAGAAAATATAAAATTAGAAGGAAAAAAGTGAATTTGAACTTTATGAAATTCGGACTTTATTTCCCTTTTAAAAAAAATCCTCCAAAGCCTCAGGTTAGAAAAGGAAAAAAATTCGAGTGCAAATCTGAAATTCGAACCCGCAACCTCGCGGTGCAAAATCCTACTTTCTATCGGCTGAGCTGGCGCACTGCTCGACAAAACGTGGGGAAACAAACAATTATATACCTGCGTGCGTATCAAAAAAATATCGTAGAGGGCGCTAAACAACGAGTGCCGTAACGATAGCCACTTCGTAAGAAAAAATGTTGAAACCTGATGCCATTTTTTTTCTTCACATATCATCTCAATGAAGGTCAGTCAAAATGTTGCATCATATGCTATCGTTTATACGGCAGCCGTAACGCAATTTTCAACTGCCATCGTTACGGCATTGCAACAACACCATTGCGAATATATATCACATTTACAACTACCCAGAGCACTTTGGCAGCTCGATTGGTTACACATTCACATCACAACAACGATTCAGCTACTGTGTGATGTGTGCGGAAGTTTCTGAGATCGACCTCGGCGCTAGGCATGCTAGGGCCCTTCACATTCATGACATTCGTGACATTATTTTTATTTTTTTGATAAAAAAAAATATTAGGCTGGGCCAATGTAGCTTTAAATCTTACTGCATCAAGCTGAAGCATACACAATGTTTATATCTGTGTAAGTATAAAGTGTAACAGTACAGTGTCTTAATTTCAGGACAGGTGTGCACAAAACAAATGCACGCAAGCGAACGACGGCCATGACGGCGCGGCGACGACGACGTTGCACTTGCAGATAAACGCCGATCACATGATCACAACGTCAACATACATCATTTTGTTAGTTTCTTAGGCATTTACTCAATATTAATCTCTTATCAATTATTCAAATTAGTTAGAAGACAAACAATTTCTATACGTATTCACTTACAAAAATCGGCCGTAACGTTACTCCTTCCGTAAGATTTTGAAAATGGCCGCCTTAGCTTAAAATCCTTCCCATCATGCTCTTTATCCCCCAAACGGGGTTTTGATAGTTGTTCTCTCCCGATCGGGGTATATAGAAATAAATTTCAAAATCCTGTCAATTGAGGGCGCTATTATCAACCACCGCATGTGAGTCGAGTGCATGCAGTGAAAATAACTCGAACGATGTCATCCGCAGGTGGGATTATTTATAAAATGAGCAGGATAGTGTTGGTACTTGCGAGTTATTTATAATGCTTACATGCGGTTGGGGATTAGTAACTCATATATTTAAATTCTAGAGCCTAGTAAATACAGGCCTAGGCCTAACGTATTGGCATGAATTTTTTTTTTTTGGGGGGGGGCCCTTTCAATTCAGCTGCTGAAGTTCCTTCTCAAAATGGGGGGGGGGGGGGGGGGGGCTGTGAGTGAAGGCGTGCCTTCCCCCCGCCCCCCACCCTTCATATCAACACCCACCCCACCTCCCGTTTCCTGAAAGCTAGATCCACCCCCTGGTTTATCCTGTTTATCATGTTTATGGTGGTATTATGAAACTACACTGTTGTTAACATGGTTAACTGGTTAATTCCTCACTGGAGCTGCCTAGGTTATAATGTCCACATTAAAACTCAAAACAATACAAATACTTTGTTTGTACCTTCCCCTTTATAGGAAAGCGGGACTTTGGATCATTTCATTCATCTAATGTCGAAGAGCTGATAGCACTTGCACAGGTAACCGGTCGTACAGGCTATTAAGTATTATAAAAATAAAAAAAAGCCGGCCCACTTTGGCACTTTTTTTCTCCAAAGATGGCGATTTTCAAAGAAGGCAGATGGATTCTTTCATTTTCTTAACTCTTTTGCTGGAAGCAAAGGAAATGACAATATCATTGACAATAAATGTGCAAAAATCTATTACAAATGTATAAATGAATGAAAAAAGCGGGCAAGAAAAGCCGGGAAGAGAAAGTATTTTACTTGGCCAGAATTACAGCTGCTTCTAACATCTTCCTGAGCTTAATTTCATTTGTTAATTTGGCCTCCCTATGCTCATATTCAATTTTTAAATGATGAATTGCATCCAGTTTTACGATTGCATAAAATTTGAAGTTTAAACTAATTCATATTTTCAACTTATGGTGAATGATACATCTGAAAGCTGCATGTTTACATAAAAATTGGAAATCTCAATTTAGAGCCAAAATCAATTATAGTGGGAGAATGCAAGATTACTTTTCTCTTACATCTTTTAATTCCTTTTTTTTTCTCCAAAGGACGATTATGTGCCACCAAAGCTACCAACCGATCTACCAAATTTTGCCGACTACAAAGCAGACCCAAGCAGCATTGCAGCATTTGGTCAGGAGATGAAGAACAGACATTTCCTCTTGGAGGTGATCAATATTTATCAGACAATTTTGTGAAAGCAAATGTCTTAAAATTATCACCAAAGTTTTCCTTAAAAAATGGAGTATTTTTCAAACAATATTGTCAAAAATTACAACAGAGGACATGTCAGTTCTACAAAATGTTCATGAAACTTTTGTGGAAAGGGGTCATCATCATCACAACATTTTTCAATTGCAAATTCTTACCATACATTCTGTAGCCAATGAAACTTTGGCTGAACTTGAATCAGGCATGAGCTTTCCTCGATTCCACTGATTTCCTGGGGGGTTTTCTCATGAATGCCACTACAAATTGAAAAACACTGTACAAAGTCTAGTGTGTGTTTTTTTCTAAATTCTCAGTTGCATTCCTGTTAAATATGAACTTTATTTTCTCTATTTTCAAGGAAGAATGCACTTTCCTTAACCACGGTGCCTTCGGTGCCGTTCTTAAGGATGCCTTGACGGCAGCTCAACGATGGCAGACTTACATCGAGAGACAACCTCTGAGGTTCTTTGACCGAGAATCTCTCCCACAGCTTGTGTATGTTGTCCGTAGACTCTCCAAGTTTGTCGGTAAAAAACGCTTTCTCACTTTCCACATTTGACGTTGAAAATAGACACGGTTGTTTGTCTCATTCTAAACTGAATAATTTGTGTATTTTTAGAAAAATAGCAATTACAAAACCGTCTACTTTTCTGGGTAGGGAAAACTGAAAATAACATGGACTGTATATTATATTTTAATTAACACATTGTTTTTTCAACTTTTCGCATTATTTATAATTAATTATGAACAATGATTAATTATTGTGAGCATTATGTTTGTTTCCTTTGCTTTATAGGATGTGACCCAACAGGGCTTGTTTTGGTTCCCAATGTTACAACAGCCATGAACTGTGTAATGAAGAGTTTGAACTTCAAAAAGGGCGATGTTATTTATTGTCTCAGTGTCACTTATGGTATGTATTAAAATCCTCTTAGACCAAGTTATAAAAGATGTGACCATGTTGATATCATAAATACCTTTGTCATTGAAAAATTGAACTAAGAGCAGAATCTGATACAAAGTGCCCAAGGATCTAGTCATACTTGGTGTATAAAACATGAATAATTCACTTTTCTTGAAACAGGTGCCGTTAAGAAGCTTTTAAGACACACTGCAGAGACAACAAGTGCAGTTATACAGGAAGAAACAATCACATTCCCACTGGCTTCTAAAGAGCAGGTACATCAACTGGAAACATTCACTCTGAAATTCGCTGTCATGTAGCCACGAAACCGCTTTTTCAATGAACATGTATATATTTTATCTGTTTAATTCATTTCATCAGGTTGTGGATCTTGCAGTGCAATTTCTGCACTAGAAAATGAAATATACTAAAAAGCACCTTCGGGAAAGTATACAATTGCTCAATAAAATAAGTCTCTTAAAAAAAAATTCAAATTTTCCAGGCATTTCTCGTTCTGCACACTTGTTTGAACTTTCCTTTTAATTTTTTGTTGCAGATAGTGGAAACTGTCAGGAAGAGCCTGAAGTAGGTTGAATCATTTTAAATCTTTTTACTCTGTACTTTTCATGATAGAAAGTTTATAATCCAAAAAGCGAAACATTAAGCAATTCCTTACTCTTATTCCTCTGTTTGCTTCTGTTACATAATGAACTTGCCAATTTATTAATGCTTTTCTCTTCAACAGACCTGGTACACGATTGGCTGTGTTTGATCATGTGCCTAGCAACACTGCTTACATTCAGCCAATCAAAGAACTCATAGACATCTGCCATGAAAGGTATGATTATAACGACCATGTTTTGATTCCCTCTCCCATTTACTTGATTATTAATTCCCTTCATTTCATGCATAATAAACACTGTTAATATTATTTTTTTTCTCACTTATGAATATATATGCTGATTCTGCTTTTTGTTTTGATATGTCAGCCAGTTTGACATTTATATGCATATCTTATGTGGGTGAAAGTCCTATGAATCTTGATTTCTGGTTGTGCAAGATTTGTACAATGAACCTATTACTCAACAGTAACATTTGTGACTGGTGGATTTGCATTTTAAATTTTATGCAACTTTATTTACACCAATTTTTCTAGGGGTGTACCTGTACTGATCGACGGAGCACACGCCCTGGGCACCTTACCCCTAGCCCTAGATTCCTTGGGTGCTGACTTCTACACCTCCAACGCCCACAAATGGTTGTGCTGCCCCAAGGGGTGCGCCTTCTTGCACGTGAAGAGGGAGTGGAGGGGTGCCATCAGACCCCTCGTGGTATCCCATGGGTGGGGTAGTGGGTTCAGCTCCGAGTTCATGTGGTCAGGTGAGGTTCTCATAATGCTTTTGATAATGCCTGTATCTGATCTATGCATTACTCATTGGGGGCGGTGTGCATGTGTGGACTAGCAGTACCCTATTTGGTCTGCATAACCAATTTGGTCGAAAAACAACTTGAAACAAAAACAGTGTGTGTAAAGTGTCTTGCCCAAGGACATAAGTCCTAGGACCTCATCCCCCAGCCTGTGGTGTGACTCTTCATTCAAAACTGCCTTGCAGTTGCCCTGACACCATAAGCTTCTTGAATATCCCAGCTGGAATTACATCTGCAACGATGGTCAAGTCTGTGAATTCCTAGTACAGGAAATGCACTTTCATAAACAGGAATCGTTGCCTTACGTCTGTCCTTGTTTGATTGGGTTCAATATTTCTTTTTCCGAAGGACTTGTGCTACACTTTCCTAAAACAAACTATTATGAGACCATTCAACTAATTGAACTTGTGAAACAAAGTTTAATATATTTCAGTTCAGATATAATTTGTACCAAATTCCGATAAGTAAATTTTTTTTCTTCAGGCCTTCGTGACTACAGCCCCTTCCTGGCTTTACACACCGTGCTTGATTTCTGGGAGGCTGTCGGCGTTGACAAAATCCGTCGGTACAATCATCAGTTACTATGCGATGCAGGTCAGTAACTTTAGGGGAAAGTGGGTAAATTTATAATTTAACGACTTCAAGTTGTTCTGAAAGTTGGCAGTAACGGGATGAATGAGGCTTAAAAGTTTGCATGGTGGACATGAACAATGAATGGATGGATTGCACACTATGCTTGATTTCTGGGAGGCTGCCTCAAAATCTGCATTCTTTTTTCTCATCACGAAAAAGGGGGGGGGGGACGATTCAATAGCCCATCCCCCCGGTCAAATTTTTTTTTTGGGGGGGTGGATATATACCCCCCATCCCCTGGGATTTTCGCCACTGGGTCTGAGGCTGTCTCATCGAATATAATCTGACATCTATTCCTCAGTATATGACTTCTTAGGGCATCCCACTTGTCCGTTTGACTGCATTTGATTAAGTAATGTTTTTCTCTTCTTTATGCAGCTGAACTGTTTATGAAAGAATGGAAAACTAGTTTATTAGCTCCATTAGAAATGTGCGGTAAGTTAATAATGGCTATGTCAATTGACTAAATCACATCAGATTCCACAGAATTCCTTAGTTTCATTTATTAAAAAAATGTGCCAAGTTATCCTTTTTACAATTAGTTTTTGTCTGTTTTTGCTTGTCAGGCTCCATGGCTCTTGTTCAGCTCCCGCCCGACGCCGCTGGAAACAAGACTAAGAATTACGATGCGGCTGAAATGATCCAAAACCAGCTGTACCATGAGTTTAACATTGAGGTAACTTTTTTTGAGGAATTAAAGTTGAGCTCCTATTTTCATCCTTCAAAGAAGTAAACACGAAGAGTTTAGGAAGGGTGCATTTAAGGTCATCTTTCACAGCAAAATCTTATTTCATTGCAGTTTTTCCGCCCTCTTTTCTTTGAGATAGTTGTTTTACCTGAATTGAAGATCCTTATGACTCTTTCGAATTACAAAGATTTTTTCCCCATTGTTTTGCACAGGTACCAATCAAAGCAGTAGACGGTAAACTGTACGTTCGGATTTCTGCCCACATATACAATGAGCTACCAGAATACCAACGACTTGCAGCAGCTATAAAAAGTATTCAGACATGACATAAAATAAAGAAAACTAAGAATACTACAGTAAAAGTATTCAAATATATTTTATTACTGTTTTATTTGAATGCTAATAAAACATACAAAACATATACTAAGTGTGGTCATTATTATTTTATTGTAGAGGCTTCTGAGGAATTTTGACATTCACATTTTAACTAGTTTAAGTTACCGAGTCAAGCATGAACATTTAGGTGACGCTCTCAACATGTGCACACTAGGCGCTCCATACACAAAATTTACATATCATGAATATTTATGATACAGCGACTGGGCATTTAAGCCGCTTGCATAAGGCTTTATTTTAGCGATAGCATTGTTTGAAATACGTGTGTGGCACAAAGCATTTTTATGTTGAAATTCCGTCTTTTTAAGCCATTGCTTGAGAAGCAGAGTATAAAATGGGAGACAGAGTAATCTTAGGAAAGAAGCTGTGACTTTAATGTGGAGGTCAACAAATTGGTTTTGCTTGATTATTCACAGACGGTTACATTTCTCTGATGTGAAATTCTAAACCTCTTTTAAATTTCTCAAGTAGGGCTGAGGAGTTTGGTTCTCGCCCACGTAAATTGATAAGAAAGAATGTGTGAAATTTGAGTTTCATGTACTTCCTAAATATGTGGAAGGTAAATCTTGACAGATTCAAATTATCCGAAGTTCATCTTTTGATTATGTGAACGATACGGTTGGCTCTGACTTAAGAAGTTGTAAAAAAAAATGCCTTTTCAAGTTTCAGATTCTATAATAAGAGCGATTCAATGTAACGTAAACATGCAGTTCCCTTGAGCTGTATAGAAAAGTTCAAATCTAAATCTCATTTTTTTTGGAGATAGTTGTTACGACTTTGGGCTTTATATCCCCCAATATACATAAACGACAAGGCTAAAGTGGCCATTGTTATGCTTTGGAACGTGCAAAGCCAAGTTTGCTCAAACTATTGATAAGAAAAATAAATAAAATCTGAATAAATAGTAATAAGTCTGGAAATATGACACCACTGGTGGTCCATAAAGGCAAATCTAAAAGATAAATCAAAGTACTTGTTGATCTTTAATATTTGCACTCTGTTATCATTTTTCACCGTTGAGGGGGGTACGTGTTGAGTAATTAGTGGTTCCGAAATAAGAATGCTAATTTGATGACTGCATAATGAGTAGACACCGTCGTATAATAAAACTGACGACTTTGGCAACATTTTTATTTAAACAGTAATTGGAAGTCGAGCCAACCCTCAGGACTCTGGTCCTCTTGGGTACCTTGTCCGTAGTCTATCTGATCAGGTTATATAGTTCAATCATTATGTTGGCATCATGAACCGGCCCAGTTAGTCGCGCCAGGCCTGGGCGGAAGTACCGGTGCCGGCCGGTTCTAGCAAACGTCCGATTCGGCGCGGGTCGACGGGGTTCACCCGGCCGTAGGTCAGGAAGCATAACTTAAAGCATAACTAACCGCTCATTCCACTGCTCATTTGCTTAATATTCGAGTTCAACCATCTGCCTTTGTGTTTTCTGTTTAGTTAAATCATCGGCCCAGTTCAAGACATTAAAACATTTCGTGTAGCCTTTACTTTGTTGATCTTAACCGGTTTCTTTGTAAGCATAATCAATTGTTAAACCAGGCACATAATAAGCTTCAGATTACTATAAACAGCTAGAAATGTTTATGAAAAGGGATATCACTGGTGAAGATACTCTTTCTTCAACGGCGGCAGACCATTTCTGAAAGTCAGGAACGAGCAGAAAATATACGTCTCCGTAGCGGGGATCTGATACACCGTGCCCTCTGGAGACATGCACACAATAGGGAACAAAATATTGTATACGTCTCCACAGGGCAATTTCTGTAGATGAATACGTCTCCACAAGGTTTTCACGAACTACATATGGATTTCAACTCAAAAACTAGGAATTTCCAAGGTGTGTTAATGTGTCGCAAATGGTAGAGTTTTAGAGAAGGGATATTAAGTCCGAATTTCAGCCAAAGAAATTAATTCTGGTTAAAATAAGAGCATTTTGAAACTTTACTTTCAAACTCGAAAACTTAAGTACACAAGAACAAAGAAATGTCTCCACAAGGATACAAATTTCAGTATGTGGGATCTAAAAGTTGTAGGAAACCCTTTTTTCCCCTGAAAAATGGGGAGGGGTATTGCCTCCCCACCCTCATGCTTCCTCCACCTGTAAGAAGAACACGGATGATGGTTTCACGGAATGGAACTAGCCGCGCGCGCACTCTACCTAAACAGTTATAATTTCGTGCTCATTAAAAGGCGATTGCGTCAGTCATGGCTGATTCGTGACAGAATAGAAACGAAATGTCGATTAAAAACTGATTCGGCGGGGGGAAAAAACATGATCCGGTGTTGTTCCCGTGCGAACACACAGAGCTGAGGTTTGCAATTGCAGAATTGCGTCACGTAGGCTAAATGTGGCCTTTTGTGATCTTTCGAGAACAGTTATAAGCCCTATGAAAGTCTGAACAATGGAATTTGCAGTATATATCAAAATGATTTATGTACAGATTTAATCTCATTTATAGCACAAAATATGTCTGTCACACGGCTTTCGCTAGGCATGTGGCCCCCAGTCAGCTGGTTTTTTTTTTGAGTGACCTATGGATCAACAATAAAGATCTCATTTTATTTTGTCGCGTTCAACTTCAACTTGAAAATTCAGCAATTATCATCATTTTTTTCAAATTCATATCGAAGTCCCACTGTAATTGGAATCCTGAGAAAAAATCCAAGCATCAATTTGAATAATTCTTCAATTCGTTAAAATGTGTGTATGGGCCCTACATGTACGTCATCGTTCGTAACTCGCACTGTAGCTTTGTTAATTGTGCGAATTACTATTGTAGTAATAAGTTGTCTCGATATTGCTTATCACAGGCATGCAACTTTTCCTCGGATCAGCTGATTTCCTCTTTTTTTTACTTCCCATGCATGTGTGCCATTGAAAATCGAAAAACACTGTACAAAGTCTTGGAAAGATTTGAATTTCCTCCTTTTTTTTGACTTCCCAGTTGCATGCCTGTTATCAGCATAGGATTTTGGCATTCAAGGACGGTATTTTAATTTTATTTCTTTCACTGAATGGACGACATTAGGCTGCATTAAGTTGAGGATCAATATATCAACCAAAGAGAAACTATCAATTTTATTGTCCTTCAGGTAAAACTAGAATTTTAGCCTACACGGACCCATGGTTCATGATCATAGCACGGCCTGTGCCGTCCGCGGAAACTTCGCACTAGGTTCTGAATACAGGACATCATGAGCTATAGGACACTAGCTGCCACCTGCAATGACCAATCACTTCCCTCCTTGGGCCAAGGGATCGAGGACATCGAGTGGGATGGACCGTGACCGTGGCGGTCATCCTGGCCTGACCCCTCGCCTCAACCCGCGGCTAGCTGTCGCCCAACTTGCTGCAGTATTTTTACGTACGTGTTTTTGGTCAGAATGTGTAGAAGTCTCATCTCAAGAAATATATGAGTTCTCAATTCTTTGTCGTACTAACTGTCCGTGTGAGGATACTGGAACTAGCACCAGGCTATAGTCTGAATATCATCCGTTAATTGTTCCACGGAGCCCTCTAGTTACACCAACGTCTGATATAATGTGAGCATGCACATTTTTATGAGACCGCGTGCCAGCCAATCGTACTTGTGACGTTATTTCCATCAGAAATGTGGACTAATAAGCTCTTGATTTGTCAATTTGGCTGCCGTGTTTTTGTACTACAGCAACAGGTTACCGAAGACCCAATATAGGCGCCCGCTGAATGGTCAGAATCTTGATTTTAAGACGCAGATCTAGTTTTGCATAATTAATCGCCGAATCTAGCTGCTCATATAATCATAGACCAATTGCTGTGCCAGGGGATATATACTATTACTTGGCATAGAGCAAGGAAAAAATGAAACTAGTAATTAATAATGCACTTAATGTTATAATGCAACTTCAAGGATACGATCTATTTTTGAAGTAATCTGACCATGATCTGACGGAGGCTGAAACGATCGGCGTTTGTTCCCCCTATGGAGACGTACGCATTTCTTTGTACGGTCTTCATGGAGAAATAGTTTTCCATATATCTTTCAAATCCAGTACATGTATGTTGACTGTGTTGCTTGAAGAGGGTGTTGGATTGAAATGAACAAGTGGTCATGTTTCTGATTTCTCCGAGCGATTGATTATTCGTCATCAACACAATTGCAACACAAACGAAAAGAAGTAGTTTGAGGTGAAATATGATTTTCATTGCTTATTACCCAAGCAAACATCGGCCCGCCAGCGTCGAAAGTGAAATTAACACCTTTTAGTAAACTGAGAACAATCGAGTCGAGTGCATGACTAATCCCCAAACCCAACAACCGTGCTCGTGCCGTTGCAACATAAACATTGTCATCCCGTTACAAGGAAATGCCACGCGTACGTACGATAGCACGTCTCATATTTCCTGGCCTACTTCCAGAGGCTTGGGGAAAAAAGTTGGTTGAGGTCAGAGTTGTAGCTGATAGATTTCCCTTCCTTTCCCCGGCCGTACGTGGTCGGGTTTTAACCACACCGATTAAATATGAGCGACCTTGATAAGTGGGGCTGGCTTACTGACTGACTTTCCGGTGGTCGATATACAGTTCAGGCCTAGCGCCTGCACGATACGAAGGAATGCAGTTGTTTGTTGAGTAAGATACTTTACGGGGAAACCAGGATTACAATGTTGACTTCTCGTTAGCAAGTTCAGTGCCACCACAAGTGTCTGGGGTATTCTGTATGTTAGCGCGATCCAACATGTCTACAAAGTAGTAGTGGCACATTGCGAGAAGTAAGGCAGTGGCTGTACAGTTTATCAGTACAACTCGAAGCGGAAGTTTGTGTTCTGTCCTCAACCAACAACTTTCTCCATTCTGCTTGGGACGCGCGCCTGGAAGACCAGTATGAAGCTCGAAGATATCATACCCTTACTCGGCAACTTCGGTCGCTATCAGTTCTTCATGGTCTGCTACATGGGACTGGTCAGTATCGTCAGTTGCCTGACGACTCTCAGCAATGTGTTCTACGCTGCAGGGACCGACCACTGGTGCAAGGTTTTGCCCAAGGAGAACTGCTCCAGTTGGATGGAGTTTCAAGACAACTGCACAGACGTGAAGAAGTCCATCCTCCTGCCTCCTCCAGAAAATGACACAAACAGTAAGAATGCTTTCTCCAGTTGTAAGCAGTGGGAGTTACCAGATGGGTACGTATTTGATCCGTACGTACCGCTCGATGACTTCGACAATTTCACTTCTTCCGAAGTGTCTTGTGAAGATGGATGGGAGTACGACACGTCGCAGTACAAGACCACCACCAGATCAGATGTAAGTTTTCCTATTAAACGAGTATATACGTGTATTATTGGCTTCTTCGTAATGGATAGACGTAAAGTGTGAGAAAGGGAAGTACGAATCATTTTCTCCACATGGAAAATTCGGCCGGCTAGGACTTTGATTACTGAAACTAAATTATGATGTTGGTATTAAAACAGAATCAAACAAATAATTGGTTAAGAAATGTACGTTCTATTATCCCTTTTGTTTTAAGTTCGACCTGGTTTGTGATGACAATAGTCTGCCAAGCATAGCGCAGTCCGTCTACTTCATCGGTTTTCTGGTAGGATCCTTCGTCTTTGGTACGATCTCTGACTGGTAAGTCATACAGCAGCCTCCTTAACCCCTATTGTGTATGACATATGGGAATTGCAACATTGGCGAGTAAAAAAAAATTCATAAGCTATAGGCCTAATTCAGGTGCATGGGACTCGAACCCACAACCTTTGTCCTGCTCGCTAGTGCATATTTCCTACCTCGGTTAGAGAAAGTGCATTTGAATGATGCTTACTAAATGACGTCGGTCAAATACAAAAACTTTCCCCCGACGCCTTTAGTGAGATCAGATGTTGGAAATATGCAATGTGTGATATAATTATATATTATACGTGTTTGTCTTTGGAAGCTTGAGTGTATTATTTTTCGAACTCTGTATTGCTTTTGAACAGATTTTTGTTCTTAAATAGGGGAAATTACATTATTTCTTCTTAAGCGGTACTTCAATTCCACGAGGAAGGTGCCTCTCCGTTAAATCAAAGAACTTTGACTGCCTCACTAACAGTGGTAAATGAACCGACGAAAAGTTCTTTTCTCATCTCATGCTAATTCAGGGCTGGTCGAAAGAGATCTCTTGTCCTCGGCCTTCTGTTCTGGTTGATTGGTTTCATCGTCACGTCGTTCTCAGTCAACATCTACATGTACACGGCCTTCCGATTCCTGGCTGCCTTTGGCGGGCTTGGTGCATACATCTCAACCTATATATTACGTAAGTTGCTTTCTACTCATAGTTTGATTTCTCCAATTAACTTTTTGTGTGTGATTTGAAAATGACTGAGGTCTCGATTTGGAAAATAAAAGGTACATGCACAACTGAGGGTTTTCCTTGAAAATGGGCTGAAAAACAGAAAATTTTACATACATAGGTAACATTAATGCACAGAGCTACATATGTATTTGTGCAAAAAAACCTCTAAATCGACCCCTGCTTTGCTCTCTCCATGCAAGACTAAAGACGTTTCAAAACCACTTTCTTTCCCAGTTCTTGAGGTTGTTGGGAAGTCGTGGCGAAATGCCGTCACCATGGTAGCGGGGATATTCTTCGCAGTTGGGTACTTCTTTCTGGCGACGGCGGCCATGTTCATCAGGGAGTGGCGGACTCTCTCCCTGGTTCTGTCCGTGCCTTCGATTGTTTTGCTCATTCCAGTCCTGTAAGTATCAAAGTCAACTTAATCCCACAGCAACTAAATTAATGTGTGTGAGGGTAGTGCGAGAATTACATGTATAAAATTGGGATGTCTAATTGACATTACTGATCTTCATTTTACATTCAGTGGAGCATTTATTAAACCAGTCAGGTTTTAATGAACTTGCTTTTTTGCTGGACTCGACGGGCCATCCTATAAATTGTCCTGTGAATGATTGACTGCAGTTGAGTCACTGAAAATAAATAATGTCCTAAAATGAGGCTTTCGGGTCTAGCTGGAATAGGCAAGCTAAGCCATGCCACCCCCTCCCCCAATGACTCCCTTACATTCAATTCAATTCAACAGAACATTTATTTCCATACCTTCAACAGTAATAACGACACAAGAATAATACAATTATGTAAACACTTAATGTAATGCTAAATGAATGTCACAAAAAGACAACAGATAAATAGATATGGAAATAAATAGATAGATATTAATTACATGATATGTACAAGATGAAGGCATGGAGGCACTTTCAAGAAACCTAAGGGTTACTGCTGCTTTCTCCTTGTAGATTTGTTGAGGAGTCCATCCGATGGTTGGTATCTAAGGGCAGGATCGATGAGGCTGAAGCGGTCATCAGGAGAATCGCCAGGATGAACAAGAAGACTTTGCCGGATGTCTTATTCGATCAGGGGGATATACATGAACAAATGGTGAGCATGGCTTCCGAGTTTAGATTAGTATCGAAGTCCTGAGTTATTTTTTCTGGTTTTTGTTTTTGTCAAGGATGGCAACACTCTGAGGTGAGACGAACAAACCACCAAACACATTGAAAAGGTGACAAACATATACTGATAGATGGACTATTGCTTTAAAGAAATATAATAAGCAAATATGAGAATGATAATGCACATGCCGGCGCCTATACATTTAACTTCTCAATTTCTTCACAACTTGTAAAAGGAATTGCAGAAGTCGAAAATACCCCCGTCGGCCATTGACCTCTACAGAACACCCAACATGGCGGTCAAGACTCTAAACCTGCAATTCAACTGGTAAGTCAAGTTTAAAAGTAACCATTTTTCTCTCTTGGTGGACGTGTTTTAATTACGTTTCCTAAACAAGAAGTTTGTTAGCACTCAAGAAGGCCTCCCTGTAACAGGGGTAACACACTGAGTATACAGTGTTTATACGTCAAACTAGTATGAGAAATTTCATGGCAGTATAATTTTTTTGTTGACTAGGGCCTCAATAGTTCTGTGGCCTCAAATTTGCTTGATGATAGATTCGTTTTTTAGGATTCTTTTTTTACTTTCCAGATTGAAATAATAACATTTTCATTCTTTGCTTTTCACAGGATGGTCAACAATCTCGTGTACTACGGCCTGTCCCAGAGCACCGGCGATCTGGGCGTGAACACTACACGTGGTCTTATAGGTGGGAATTGACGTTTTTGATTGAACTTTATCAAATCTTACGACTTGTTAATTTTGTTCACTACAAATGCTCACACTCAAACTGTCAGGTCGGGGAGTCAGGTTGGCGACTTGGCGTAGCGGTATACTTTCCTCGCCTTCCACCGCTGTGACCCGGGTTCGATTCCTGCCTGGGCCAATATGTGGATTGGGTTTTCAGTCCCGACTTGAGTCTTCTGGGGGTTCCCTCCCACATCTAAAACTGTAATTTTTTTCACGTTGTCTTCTCATTACTGGGGCCCATGGGGGACCAGTGTATTCCACTGTATGAGCCACCCAGTTAAAATCAAATTAAATAATATGAGGAAACCCACGCCCCATAATACAGCATTGTGGGAGAAAATAATCTTCCTTTTGTTCTTCGCATTTCTTGTATACAGCTATCGGGATTTGGAGAACAGTGGTCTCCATGGTCGGCAAGTTCTGCATCTCTGTCACTTTCAGCTTAATATATCTCTATTCTACTGAAGTGTTTCCAACACCAGTCAGGTAAAAGATTCAGAGGGACATAAACATGTGTGAATATATGATATGTTATCTTGTGGGTACGGTCAATGTCTTGTCATTTTGCACATCATATGAATCTCTCTCCAAAACTCTGTCTTTTCTCGAACAAGTCAAAATGTCTTCTGCCTCTCTCTATCTCTATCTCTCTCACAACAAAACAAACTCCAACATACCACACACAAAAGGCCCTAAACGGCGTTTCCGAAAAGTACAAAACGATCTATTCTTTACTGACTGACGTGATTTGTTCAACAATTAGGGTGGGCGTTCTCTGACAATTACCATGGCCTTATACAAATGCTGTTGCGTAAGATAGAAGGGCTTTTTTAACACTCCACGAACGCCTTAGCTCTAAGTGAATGAGAAAAGTCAACGAGGACTGACTGACACGTTATTGGTTAAAACTTTCGGACGATTTCATTTATGGCGGGGTGCACAGGTATATACAAAATAAAACAATAATGAGCGGAACGCAGTAAACACATGATCAGCGAAAATAATTATATACTTGTCGGTTGCACTGTAACACTTTTGTGTTTCCATAATGTCATCGAAAAAATAAATAATCTCTTTCAGGTACGGTATCCCAGGGGTCGCGGGTTCGGACCCTGCTCCAGTCAATTGTTTTATAATACTCGCCAATGTTAGAACTCAAAATCGCCTCCCTAGCTGTTGACGATGTCGATGTTTGCTGCCATCATTAAAATAAACCTCATATGGTAAAGGGAGTTCGAAATTCACTTGGTAATCTTTGTATCTTATAGGAGACTGAAAGACTCCCTTTTTGTTCTTTTCACACAGAGCTGTCGGTGTGGGTGTCTGCTCCATCGCATCTCGTATTGGAGGCATCCTCTCTCCCATCATCCTGCTCTTGAAGTACACCTCCCCCGACCTCCCTCTGATACTCTTCGGCTCCAGTGCCGTCGTAGCGGGTCTCTTGGTGTTCCTGTTGCCGGAGACGAAGGGCCAAACACTGCCACAGACGCTGAAGGAGGGAGAAGAAATCGGAAAGTAAGAACTCTTAAAGTGCTTCAAGTAACATATTATTGTAATCTTCATTTCGGGGAGTGTGGTCTGTTGAGTTTATAGGTAAAACAACTCATGATCGGAAGGTCAGGGGTTCGAATCCTGCTGCCAGACATTACGTTGTGCCCTTGGGAAAACCACTTTACCTCCACTTGCCTCCCTCCAGTCAGAAGTATGGGTACCGACAACCTGTGATTGACTGGTACTTCGTCCAGATGGAATAGAAATGTGCTCAATGCCTTCATACTCAGGGAATCTGTTTTGAGGAGTCATGTTGGCTCAAGACAGACAGCACTGCACATAAATCACACAATTTATTTGGGATTATTATCTTATGTTCATGGGCTATAATTAAATGTTGACAATATAGCAATTTCAATCAATCAGCACGTGTACGTAGCGATTGACAATGTAAAGATTAAGACCGATTGTTTTGCTTGCTGGTGGCAACTTGAGCTGCTGATGAGATCCGCTGTTTGGTTCTTGGTTGACAGGTGTCGATGTCTGCGCAGGAGTGACGATGACCAGTCGGTCATTGACCTCTACGAGACCAACGTGAATAAAGACAGCGCCACTACAACTGCAGACCTTGACTCCAATTAAAAGAGAAAGGGGACTATAAACGTGTCATACCATGGAGCTAGGTGATCCTAGCTCCATAGTCATACCAAGAGAGTTGTTGGCTACTGTATGACATTTATCTTTGGTGTGGGCCAAAAGACCGTGTCCTTTTTCAGTTGTCTGAAGCTTCCTGGCGCCTCCCACAGTTTGAAATAAATGTCTGACGACGAATTGTGCGCGGGAACCAGTGATGCATTCCCAACTCTGAAACTACAAAGCTCCTAGATGGTTACAGTTTACCATTGTTTCATGGTGGGAAGGTGATATTTCCCCATAAGTTCTAGGTTTGACATTGACCTTTCAGAACTTGAACTGATTATAAATTTGGCGCGTTTTTTTTTTCATTTTTCCTTTTCTGAGTGTAATGTTTGTTTGTCGTTTGAGTGTTTAGCGTCAAAATTCTACGTTTTTATCTTGATGTAGCCTAAGTTTTGTAAATGGTGATGCTTTTTAGTTTTCTGTGTGGTGCTTTAATTTTTATGGGCATTTGTACAGAAATTAAATTGTATTAAAATGTTAATCCTATGTTTGATGGTTTATGATTTCTTAGGTGAAGCTTCTATCCATAATGATGATAGATTGAAAGTGAATGCGTAAATTTGACTTTAAACGGCGGTTTCACATCAGGGTTTAAACGCATGTAACATACCTTTTGTACATTTCTTACTTTGAAAGAATAAATCTACATCTTCCTACCAGTATTTTCATTACTTTAAGAGCAATGTCCATGTTTTTGTTTGACGCAGCCTGTATATGAATCAAAGGTTAGCCAAAGGTAAACAAATTAACAAATATGGTATATAACAAATATGGTATATTCAACACAAGATAATTGTCCAATTACATGATATACAAATGTACGCGAAACGCGCAAAGTCTGAAACAAATACAACTTAGTGTACACAAACTTTATAGGGTTGTCTAAGGGGCGTGGCTAACTCACAAACGGCGATAGGTCAAATTGACTCGAAACGAGATTAAGAAGATCAAATCAAATACTATACATGCCAAGCTCTTCATGATGTATCTGTTGGTCTATGATTGCGTATAGGTACAAAATTGCTGTCGAGATGTAACTATTAAAGAAATACTGAGTGACATGAGAAAAGTGACATACAAATCAGACGAACTCAACAGATTACAGAATGACCAAATTAACGGATGAGAGAAAGGATAGTTGTTCACGTGCGTTTTTGGTCTTGTTATTGCGCACACATTTTCGACATTTCTAGTCGCAAAATAAAAAAACAAAGGTTTTGTAACGTAACGTCACGAGTGCACCATCATAAAGATCCCTCCATGATTGTGGTAATCATGTATGAAACGAATACAAAAACTCTCAAGTTATGCAATACCCACTGCTCGTTTATTAATGCTGATCTATAAATTGCCTCAAACGCGTTGGTTTTGTTTTTGCAAGAGACGTGCTTTACCACTGTGCAAAACTTGCAAACCAAGTTGACTTTTACAAGGCCTAGTAAATATCTTGTATAAATGTGGGTCACACGTTCAGTCGTCACGTGGTCACATCTGCATTTTTACAATAGTTTGATTAACTCCAAAGGTTACTTCTCGTTATCTTAAAACCAATTTAAAGGCACAATACAGCGATAACAAAATGGTCAGGTCAAATAACGTGTCCAGTTTGCAATTTGTCAAATAGGTCAATTGTACATACTTGAGTGGTAGGGCGGTGCTGCTTTTAGGTGCCAGTGCCGATCTGTTCGAGTTAGTGGTACGCCTATTTCTGGTAGAACAGTAACAACGACAGTAACAGCAACGACAACGAACAACAACATAACTAAATAAACAAACAAAATGAAGCTCGAGAACATTATTCCTATGCTCGGCAACTTTGGCCGATACCAATTGTTAGTTGTTACCTACGCTGCTTTGCACAACATCTTCGGTTGCTTCACAACTCTGGGCAATGTGTTCTACGCAGCGGAGACCGACCACTGGTGCAACGTTTTGAACAACGCGAATTGTTCCAACTGGGCGGAGTTTCAAGACAACTGCACTGACGTGAAGAAGTCCATCTTCCTGCCTCCTCCTGAAAATGGTTCCGACAGCGAGTATCCTTACTCCAATTGTAAGCAGTGGCAGCTACCAGATGGGTACATATTTGATCCGTACGTACCGCTCAGTTACTACGACGGTTTCACTAATGTGAGTGTGCCCTGCAAAGATGGATGGGAGTACGACACGTCACAGTACAAGACCACCACAATCATGGATGTAAGTCAAGGCTTTATTAATCTCATTACGCTGATGTTTGCGTCCATTATAATTCCATGTATTAATAACTGTGTTTTGTAGTTATTACTTTCAATAGTTCACAGCAGGTGCTGCATGTACGCGCGCACTCGGGCGTCATCTACGCCCATTGGCGTGTTTAGCAAATGGGCGCTAGTAATCAGTGTGCGTGCGCGTGTAAGACGTGCAGTCACTTTATACGAAAATCAACCCCTGCGCGCCAGGACTTCGTGAGGCATGCGCACACGCATGCTTCCACCTGTAGCTTCTAATCTGTTCTTCTAATCTTTTCCGCAGGATTAGTCTTGACACATTTCCCTTGTTCGTTTTTGTTCTCTCCAGTATGGTCTGGTGTGTGATGACGCTTACCTGCCCAGCCTGGCGCAGTCCATCTACTTTGGCGGTTTCTTGGTAGGATCGTTCATCGGAGGTTCCTTTTCAGACTGGTAAATAAATACCTTAGGAATAACATCATTGGCAATATGAGTTATTTTTGATCTGTTGAAAAGCAAACAGCAGGCCCTTCGCTAGTGGTGGGGGAGGGGGGGGGGGGGGCGGAGGGGCGCCGTACCCCTGGCAAGCAATTGCCACTCCGCACAAAACCATTATTTTAGCATCAACATTTTATGCAATTGTGTTAATTTCTTGTGGTGTGGCCCCTAGCTGTTAATGTTTAACACTAAACATGTTTAGAGTAAGGATGGATAGTGTTTAGCAACAATACTGATGGTTTAGGAATTGAACACATATATACTGTTTAGCTGCTAAACATGTTTACAAAGTGATAGCAAGATTGTGTTTAATTGCTTAGCACAGATTTTAGAGTGTACCTAAGTAACCTCTTTTTTCTGCCATTAGGTTTGGTCGCAAGAAGGTCGTTATATTCTTCCAGCTGTTGTGGTGCGCCTCTTTCATAACAACTACGTTTTCAGTTAACATCTACATGTACATAGCCTTCCGCGTTATGTCGGCATTGGGCGTTCTGGGAAGCTACGTGGGACTGTACGTGTTAGGTAATTAAAGCAACACACGTTATTTTGTATTCAAACCAAAGGCAAAGATCTTTCCAAACAACTTTATAAAGGGTCCGTGGTATGAAATTTTCTCGGGAACGCAATTTATGCAATTGAAACTCTTCAAAATGAAAGCCATGTTTGACATCCCTTTTGGGTTCTATTCAAAAGTGCATTTCTATAGAAGACATTAAAAAAAATCCATACTTTTCGGACAATTGAGGGCGCTGTTGCTGTGATTTAGGCCCTAATTTCACGATCGGAAGACACTTGTGGTTTTCTATTCAAATTGTGAACTCAAAATTTGCTCAATGACTACAATGCATCGTAAGAGAAAAGAGAATTTATGAGAGATCGAGCAAAATATCCAGTATTCTGGCAACATGTGATGCTGAAATAGCTGTATTTAACATGGAGGTTTCTGCCTCAAATGACATGACTGTTTTGCTCATGAATATGGCAATTTGCATTAGCATAAAAACCAAAAAGGTACTAAAATAGCCTTGTTGAAAATGGCTGAACGATAATTGAAAATAAGGTTGTTAATGGGACTCAAATATGTATTTTCAAGGATTGCATTATACATTACACACATGGGCCCTTTAACTGCACCCTTGTGTCCCACTAAGTTGCCTTTCAATTTTCAGTCTTTGGCCTGTTAATTTCGAGGGCCTGTTTGGGCCTCTTTTGTCGCATAAAAGCACCCGAATTGGTAAAATAACCAATTGAAGTAGCACCACAGTGTAAAGGAATACACGTAGCTGTAGAGAAATAGAGTCATTGTAAATAATTATGGTAAAAATATCAGAGGAATGTGACAAACAATTAGGGTGCCTTGTGGATTTTCTTACATCTCAGAGGCATGCGCATTTCAAGGTTCCCTTTATTTCACGGCCCCTTTACAATGACTTTGCACATTTCCTGTTTGCTTCATCAGTTCTTGAAGTCGTTGGGAAGTCTTATCGCACGGCAGTCACCATGGCCTTAGGGATATTTTTCGCCATAGGCTATTTCTTCATTGCGACGGCGGCCATGTATCTTCGACAATGGCGCTCTCTGTCGATGGCCCTCTCCATATCGTCAGTGGTTCTTTTGATACCGCTGTTGTAAGTTTCAAAGGCAGTTCTCTTTTTAATTGCTTGCTCTTTTGTGATTGGATTAAAGGAGAGAGATTTAAGCTAAAGCAGATTTCACGATCACAATACACTGCAAAAAACGGTGTTAAGTATTATTTTTAAAAAATGTCTAAACACTTGTTTGCTCTTGCAGGTATAAACATGTTTACATACTAAACATGTTTTGAGTATAGATAGATAGTGTTTAGCGATTGAACATTGCTGTTAGGAGTTTGACACGCAATGCTAAACATGAGAAACATGAGAAACATGAGAACGAGAGCAGCATTGTGTTTAATTGCAGAACACTTTAAGTTTTTAGAGTGTACGTTAAAGATTGATTAAGATCGGACATACCGGTGTAATGAAATTTAACCCTCAAACAAACTGTTTTACCTTGTATGAACTCTGACCCTCACACGTGTATTGTCAATGCTCTAATTTCATCCACTGAGGCATGCGCAATACAATCGATGAGTCCATATTTCATAGAGTCAATATGGCACATTACTTCGGCACAGTGAGGCTACAAAAGCCAGCAACTGTTTCCATGTTTGCATACAGGGTATGTTTAGAGAGTACAAGTTCTGTAACTATTTTGTCCCGTCGGTATTCCAACAGCTTCATCCAGGAGTCCATCAGATGGTTGGTATCCAAGGGCAGGATTGATGAGGCTGAGAAGGTCATCAGGAAAATTGCCAAGATGAACAAGAAGACTTTGCCTGATGTCTTATTCGATAAAGAGGACATACAGGCAGAGACGGTAAGTCCGCTCGGAATTATATTAGGTGATAGGCCTAGGTATATCCACACCATTTTGGAGATGTTGTGCTTATGAATAGGGATAGGATTGTATAACTATATGGGATTGCCTTAATCCCATCCACCAGGGGCAGATCCAGCACTGGGTGCGGGTGGGGGGGGGGGGGGGGGGGGGGGGGGGGTAGCTAGCATGTGCTGTATACTTTCATCGGTGTGATAGGGTTAACAAAGATTGCTGTCAATTTGCCCCAAAGGCAAAGTGTGCCTTAATTGACTTTTAACGTCTATGTTGAAAAGCGGTTTTTAAAGTGCGCTTTGGCGTCCGATGCTGGCCTCAGTAACGGCAATCAACACTTTTGTTTTAATTGCAGGAATCAAAGGAGTCGGCAATACCACCATCCGTCATTGATCTGTACAAGACCCCCAACATGGCGGTCAAGACACTCAATATGCAGTGGAACTGGTTGGTAAAATCACAGGACGAAAATACCAATTAGGCCTAAACATTCCTTTGCAATTATTGTTCTATCAATAAATATAATTATGTTGGCTGCCGTTCGTTTATTCTTGTAAGATATTTGGTATCAATTTTTTTTTCTCAACAACCCCTTCAGGTTTGTCAATAGTCTGGTGTACTACGGCCTGTCGCAGAGCACCAACGATCTAGGAGTCGACGACTACTGGGCTTTCTTCGTGTCGGGAGCCGTGGAAATCCCGGCCCTGCTGTACGCCACTTTTGGACTGGAGTGCTTCGGCCGGAAACTGAACTTGGGAATATTGGAGTTGATTGGCGGCGTGGCTTGCTTGGCTACTATCTTTATTCGTACGTTCTGAGCCTGACAGTTTATCAAAATTTCGATATCATGATGCTGGTCAGCACAACTATTTGCTGAACGCAAAAAAAAAGAAAACAAATAATTGCCAGAATGGCATGGGACTTTTCTGTTTGTGTCTTAATTGTTCTCAACTTGTGAAACTTTCCGAAGTAATTGTCTGTTATGGAATTTTGCGTAGGCGTATGTAAAGGTTTCAGTTGAGCGGTATACTTTAACAGCATTTTCAAAGACTACATTAGACCATTGATTACCGATTTGATGACCAACGCTTCTCATTACAATTACTTGATAAACATGTCAAGAATCATTCATGTCCCGAGCTTCTCATGAATTTGCACTTAATATCCAAACTAGTCCAGTGCTGCACTCTTTGTGAAAAAGTCAATTCCTTACTGAACATACTCGGGCAACATGTCAAATATAACACTCTTCCTGTTTGATTGTGCTTCTGTTTTTATTTAGTTTTTGTACTATTCAAATTGTAGCCAAAGGGATCTGGAGGATTGTTGTGGCTATGATCGGCAAGTTCTGCATCTCGGCCACGTTTTCCATCGTTTACGTCTACACTGTGGAGCTATTCCCAACCCCAGTGAGGTGACAATACTTCTTTGATTTGTATAAGTGTTGATTTTGTATGTTGGAGCTGTGGCGCAAACAAAGGACGCAATCCACATCTCAGTTCTCTAAGTATCTTTTGATTCTAACAGAGAAGGCCTATGGAATCAATTTCATATAGTTTAAGTCGTTCCTCTGAACTGCATACCAATAAGAAGACGTCCTGTTTGGTTACATTATTTTTTAGTTATGTCCTAATAAAAAAAAAAAACCCTGACTCTCAGAGGGAGCTGTTACTATGACGTCACTTTTGAATACGATTATATTCTCATAAGGTGGTTTGGTTGCAATTATGACTCTGGAGAAAACACACCACAATTTGTGCATACATTTTGCTCAATGACTGCAACTTGAATAAACATTAAATCAGACATTTGGAGAAGAAAAAAAACTACATTTTAAACATCTATAACGTAAGGCCTAAAACTAAAAGCTTCTGATGACATCACTGTTTTGTGCATGAATTTTAAGGTTCGAAACAGAATTTCTACAGAAGCCAAAACCCTGATACCCTTTCAAAAATGACAAATGTAAACCAAAAATCGGTTTACATCTCAAGCTGTCCATCCAGAAAAAAATATTTCATCAGATCTTAATTTTTTTATGCAGGGCGGTTGGCTTGGGCGTGAGTTCGGTCGCCTCTCGTGTGGGTGGCATTTTGTCACCCATCATTCTGCTCTTAGATAAAACCGTGGCTAACCTGCCGATGTGGCTGTTCGGCTCCAGCGCAATCTTGGCGGGAACTCTGGCGTTCTTTCTGCCAGAGACAAGAGGCAAAAAACTGCCGCAAACGCTGGAGGAAGGAGAAGCATTTGGAAAGTATGTCCCTTTGTCCTATTAGGCTGTAAAATTGAATACGTGAAAGAAAGGACCTGTGTGTTTGCTGACATCAACGTCTCAAAAGTCTCCCATTGGTAGAAGTTTTTTTATAATACTTAGTACAGCCTAAAAAAACCCAGATTTTGGGTGTTTTTTTATGGAGGAGAGGTTCACAGTGTCATCTCCCCCCCCCCCCACTTTTGGGAAATCAAAAGCTGGTGCAGTCTGCCTACTGATCGAGTCTTAACTGAACTGCAATATAAAGATCCTATAGCAGAATCGTCAGTATTATTATTTGTTTGAGTGTAAAAAAGGGCATTTGTTTTTCTTTTTAGATGTCGTTGTATGGGTGGACAAGCTTTCAACGACGAGTCCAGTGTGGAACTTGATGGCATGGACACAGCAAAAGAGGGCGTCTTTGCGATATCCAACGCTGTCTTCGATCACAAGGAGGAGGAGAAGGAATATCGCGACTTCTCGCAGCAATTCACGCGTAAACTTCAAGAGTCCTCCCACATGTGAAAGCACAACATGCTTCGTTAAAGACCAACTGCTTATTGTGGTTGTAGACTTTATTCCCGAGTCGGCCATATTAAATTGAAAGCGATGTAAACTGTTCATTTTTGGAACTTGCAAGTTGAAATGAAAGTAATGCAATCAAAGTTCATCACCAATCGATACCAGTCTGTTCTGATGAATAATGTCAAATTTGTGATTAAACATGCCATAATGTTTTAAGCCAAAATAGTCTGGCACCATCCCATTCAACGGATTATAATTTATAAAATACATTCCATTGGCTTCCTCGTGAATAAGTTGTATGTACTCAAGAATCTAATTCTAAAGACATGCTTTTATCTATATATACTATATCTACTAAACTGGTGGATATAAACTGAAAAGAAAATATAAGCTATGTCGATTTGATCACTGCCATGTAATTATCATGTACTTTATGAGGGAAATCATACAATGTTTTCATTCAGTGTTTTTTTATGAGGAAACACACTTTCGGGTTTTTTTTTAAAGAAAAATCTTCGTTATAAAGTCGGCCGGTTGTGAATTATGGATCATTGATATCTGTGTATCCTTTTTATTATAAAGTTCATTATAAAGCTTTCTGTAATGGAGTATGCTCACATTTTAGACAAATATATTGGTATAAAATGACTAAATACGTATAATATAGTGTTATGATATAAGTGTATATATTAATTAACAGCATAGTACAAGAAAGTATTGATATATTCAAACACAATATTTAATGAAGTAAGTGTATATTATAGTTGGTTATTCCCCGTTTTTAATGATTGTAGGTGTCGTTGATTGTACTTATTTTTCTTCGGTCTCTGATGACACAGCACTAAAATTTTATTGAGAAACATCATTATGTACAAAATATGACCATATCTTAACTGAAAGGACTTCTTTATTACTTGCTCCGACTAATGAGTAGCGGTCATGGCCTGTCCAGTTTGTATGCTTGCCATGACAAGCAAACTGACTAAAGTTGTGATGTTTTCAATTTCCTTAAGCTATAATTAAAATAAATAGGGCGCCCTCACAGACTTTGCCTTTGATTCCATACTGTTAACAAAAATAACTATCGGAAACCCTTTACATCTAAAAACGACGATGATACGTTGATAAGAGAAACATCTAGATCAGTTTTTTTTTTTAAAGCACTATTTTTAGGGCAATCGTGATTATCCTTGTTTACTTTTACCACTTCAAATGTATGCTTATCAGACTATAACATCAAAGGTGGACTGACTGTTGATGGAGACAACATGAAACTATGTGACATAATCATGGCAAATGAGAACTAATAATCAGTCTTTAATGCAATTAATAGCTTAAAGATATACCAGCGGCCCGAAGTCTTGTCTGTCCTGTCGCATGCCATTTGTAGTTGTTTTAGCAAAAATATCAGCACAAGGGTTTTCTCTGTAATACATCCATTATAATCTGATCATTAATAGAAGGCTGTTCACATCCACGCTCCCAAAAGAAGAATAGAAACTCATATCCCGCCGTTCATAGCGTTCATAAACTAAAATTTGAAGAGAAAAACCCAGTTCATTCTGAGCTGTTATATTGTGATTTTGCTTTTTAAGATACAGTTGAAGTGTGCTTCGCGATGTCATATAGGCAGACTTATCTGAACAAGGCACTGTCTACTTTCTAGATATCTCGAAAATAATGTTTCGTCAATTGTAATTCTCAAGTTCATTTTTTGTTTATATTTCCCACAAAATACATTGAGTATATAAGCCTGGATTGGCAAAGTATTACAGTGTTCAAGAACCGTTGTCAAAAACTATAAACCCAAAGTTAAACGCCATGCTTTATCGTGTGAGGGTTCTATAATATGTCGGAGTGCCGTTTCAAAGTTGACACCAAAGATGACGAAATGGAGTTTGTTGTGTGTTAAACTGAAATGGTATTTAAACCTCGAAGTTGGTGGCCCGCGATTGTTTGAAACTTGGAAATGGATTTACTCTAGTACTTTCAGATAAACGTAAACTATTCACATATAAAAACTCACCTCAGAACACTCTCATAACCATGATAACTGGCATTTATCATAACATTTATTTTAAAACCTGCTGCTTCCAATGTTAAAATAACATGCTTTATATATCAAGAGTATATAACATAGTCTTGCCCTACCTTCTACTTGGTTACCCCGGATACTTATGGGATTGATTATTCTGACATCTTTTCAGGAAACGACATGGTTTTATATTAACTGAAATATCACGTAGCTTAATGTGATCCGGCGTGGACAAGGTAAACAAAAATGGTGTTTGTGTTCAAAATTCCATATCAGGAAAAGTACATGAGCGAATTGTTTTTCACTAAAAAAAGCTTATTCATTGGGCTTTCATATCCCAGATCTGGAAAGCACTACATGCAGATATTCTTTTTAAAAAAATAGGGGCACCACGGAGAAATGGACTTTTAATGAATTGTTAAGGGATGAAGATACGTTAGCTTTTTTGGACTCACCCTGTATAACATGCCGATTGTCAGAAAACATGAAGTTGCAACTAGGCATATTCAAATGCCGTCGGGTGCTCAGCGCGGTAGCGCTCCAGTCAATTTCTTAATAATCTTAATGATATCAAAAATGACTATTAAAACAACCACAATCTGCCCATACTAAAACCCAAGAAAGCCTACCTGAGGAAAGTGTGCATTTTGCCACCCAAAAGTCCTTAGTGTAACATTGACCTGTTAATTTTGTTTTTCAGTTGGGAGTGTGACCTTGTTTTGTCTTTTGGGTGTTTAGCGTAAAACTTCCACGTTTTCATTTTGACTTAAGTGTTGCAAATTGTGGGGATCTTTAGATGGTGTGCAATTGTACAGAAATTAAGATTGTAGTAAAAATGTCAATCCTATGATTGATGGATTATGATTTCTTTGGTAAAGCTTCTATCCATAATAACGAAGAGAGAATGAGAGTGAATACATTAATTTTAATTTAAACTGCGGTTTTACATCATTTCTTAGACGCATGTATGATAACTTTGGTATTATTATTTACTTAGAATAATCAATCTTGATCTTCCTGCCAATATTTTCATAACTTTAAAAGCAATGTCCATGTTTTTATTTGACGCAGCCTGTATATGAATCAAAGGTTACCAAAAGTTTAACAAATTAACAACCAGGGTACAAATTAAACCTTTTGACTTCTGATGAATCAATAATCTTTAAACCTTTCGACCTTTGTATATGCAAAATGTTTTTTTTTGGCAAAGTAACTTCACGAGTGCACAGAGAAGATCTGTTCATGGTGGCGGTATACTGAAATGAATACAAAAGCTCTCAGTTATGCAATACCCATACTCGTTCATTTTGCAAATATTACTGCTCATCTGTAAATTACCTTAAACGTGTTGGTTTTATCATTGCAAGAGACGTGCTTATCATTATAAGATCTGCTGGTGCTGGGTCGCAAGTTCAGTCGTCACGTTCAGTCTGCAGTTGTTCAATAGTTCAACAAGCTCCAAAGGTATAATATAGCCTACTTGAGTGGTAGGGCGGTGCTGCTTTTCAGTGCCAGTGCCGATCTGTTCAGGTTTAATAATAGTAGAAGGCCTATTTCTGGTAGAACAGCGACAACGACAGCAGCAGCGACGACAACAGTAACAACAACAACATAACTAGATAAACAAACAACATGAAGCTCGAGAGCATTATTCCTATGCTCGGCAACTTTGGCCGATACCAGTTGTTTGTTTTTACCTACACTGCCTTGCGCATGATCTTCAGTTGCTTCACAACTCTGGGCAATGTGTTCTATGCCGCGGAGACCGACCATTGGTGCAACGTTTTGCCCAGCGCGAATTGTTCCAACTGGGCGGAGTTTCAAGACAACTGCACTGACGTGAAGAAGTCCATCTTCCTGCCTCCTCCTGAAAATGGTTCGAGCAGCAACTATCCTTACTCCAATTGTAAGCAGTGGGAGCTACCAGATGGGTACGTGTTTGATCCGCACGTACCGCTCAGTGACTACGACGGTTTCACTAATGTGAGTGTGCCCTGCAAAGACGGATGGGAGTACGATACATCGCAGTACAAAACAACAACCATCATGAATGTAAGTCGACTTTTAAACCTTCTTGTATTCCGAATACTGAAAGGTAGTAACGGTACTTTGATGATTTCGTTCTGTCAAAAAAACAAATTAGATTTGTCCGTATAATCAATTTGTTTTGCGACCTCCACTGGCCGGTGGAACCAAGCCCTCGCGCAGCCCGCGCGTGCACGTTCAATGCGCCTTTGCTTCAACCAATAGGGTAACTATAATGCGTCGCGCGCGCGTTCCAAGACTAGTGTCACGCATCAGTTCACGATTCGTCTAGCTTCACATGTTCGTCTTTGTTCTCTCCAGTTTGGTCTGGTGTGTGATGACGCTTACCTGCCCAGCCTGGCGCAGTCCCTCTACTTCGCCGGTTACTTGGTAGGATCGTTCATCGGAGGTTCCTTTTCAGATTGGTAAATACATACATTAGAAATGACCTCATAAGCTATTGTTTGATCATTGAAGTGACAAATTAAAGCCATACTGCAAATTTGAGTGAATGGGATTGTCACGCCATCGCGCTGTTGAAAATAGAGAATATCAATGACAAATTGATGAAACAAAGTAAATGTTAAAAAAAGATGAACACTAATAAAAAAGTAAACAACATATCGACCCAAGTAAACAAAAACTTGATTGAAGGAAAAACAAATATTAAAGAATAAAAAAAGAGTATAGGTGATTAAAAAGGTATTTTACTTCTTTTTGCCATTAGGTTTGGTCGCAAGAAGGTCGTTGTATGTTTCGAGCTGTTGTGGTTCGCAACATTTATTGCAACCACGTTCTCAGTTAACATCTACATGTACATGGCCTTCCGCTTCATGTCGGCCGTGGGCAGTATTGGAAGCTACATGGGACTTTACGTGTTAAGTAAGCAACACACATTATTCTGTATTTCAAACTAAATTGCTTTCAAAGGCTCGTGCAATAGATATTTCCAAAACAATTTTTAACTACACCCTTGCGTTCCATTTGCCTTTAGGCCAAAAAATAGTCGGTCTGTGGTCAGACCAAAGTTGCGGAACTGATGCAGATGCGGGTTTTTTTTTAAAGATTGGATTGTACAGAGGAGGTGGAAATTATTTTGCTTTTTTTGTGTCCTCACTAGTGTCCTCCATTATTTGCCTTGTTTGGCGCCCTCCATCATTTGCCTTCCTTGGTGCCCTCCATCATTTGCCTTGCTTGGTGCCCTCCATCATTTGCCTTGCTTGGTGCCCTCCATCATTTGCCTTGCTTGGTGCCCTCCATCATTTGCCTTGCTTGGTGCCCTCCATCATTTGCCTTGCTTGGTGCCCTCCATCATTTGCCTTTGTGCCCTTCCCCATTCCTGGACATACAGTGCTCATTGGTACGAACATTTGTGATGATGCGGCCAAAAAGGGGTAGCTACTGCGGAAAATTTGAAGAAAAAACAAACAAACAAACGTTGACGTGCTTGATCAAAATCGATGCGCGCGCTGACCAGAGACCGACTATTTTTTGGCCTAATTGTCAGTCCGCTTATATTATTTTCGAAGGCCTGCTTTAGACTTTTTTTAAAATATAAAATACCCAAATCGGTAATAAAACTAATCATTGTAGCATATCAGAGTGTGCCAAATGGCAGAGTCATTGTAAATGGTAAAAGAATATAAAAGTGAATCATAACCACGCGAAGCGTGCCTTGTGATATTTCATACATCTCAGAGACATGGACATTAATTTTAGAATGACTTTGCACTGTTCCTGTCTGTTTCATCAGCTCTTGAAGTCGTTGGGAAGTCTTATCGCACGGCAGTCACCATGGCCTTAGGGATATTTTACGCCATAGGCTATTTCTTCATTGCGACGGCGGCCATGTATCTTCGACAGTGGCGCTCTCTGTCGATGGCCCTCTCCATATCGTCAGTGGTTCTTTTGATACCGCTGTTGTAAGTTTCAAAGGCAGTTCTCATTTTAATTGCTTGCTCTTTTGCGATTGAATTAAAGGAGAGAGATTTAGGCTAAAGCAGATTTCACGATCACAATACACTGCAAAATATGGTGTTTAGTATTATTTAAAAAAAATGTCTAAACACTTTTTGCTCTCGCAGGTACAAACATGTTTACATACTATTCATGTTTTGAGTATAGATAGATAGTGTTTAGCGATTGAACATTGCTGTTAGGAGTTTGACACGCAATGCTAAACATGAGAATGAGAGCAGCACTGTGTTTAGTTGCTAAACACTTTAAGTTTTTAGAGTGTACGTTAAAGATTGATTAAGATCGGACATACCGGTGTAATGAATTTAACTCTCAAACAAACTGTTTTACTTTGTATGAACTCTGACCCCCACACGTGTATTGTCAATACTCTAATTTCATCCACTGAGGCATGCGCAATACAACCGATGAGTCCATATTTCATAGAGTCAATATGGCACATTACATCAGCACAGTGAGGCTACAAAAGCCAGCAACTGTTTCCATGTTTGCTAGGATATGTTTAGAGAGTACAAGTTCTGTAACTATTTTCCCCCTTCGGTATTCAAACAGCTTCATCCACGAGTCCATCAGATGGTTGGTATCCAAGGGCAGGATTGATGAGGCTGAGAAAGTCATCAGGAAAATTGCCAAGATGAACAAGAAGACTTTGCCTGATGTCTTATTCGATAAAGAGGACATACAGGCAGAGACGGTAAGTCCGCTCGGAATTACTTGTATATGTGATAGGCCTAGGTATATCCACACCATTTTGGAGATGTTGTGATTATGAATAGGGATAGGATTGTATAACTATACGGGATTGCCTTAATCCCATCCACCAGGGGCAGATCCAGCACTGGTTGTGTGTGGGTGTGTGGGTGGGTGGGGGGTGTGGGTGTGTGGGGGTGTGTTCCTGCATGGCATTACGCCTGAGGACAGACAACAAAAGGAGCACAAAGGGGCCATTGATCCTCGAAGGAAGGTGCCTATTGTCCTCGAACGCAGGTTTGTGTGCTTAGTCTATGGGAGAGTGTTATATTACAGGGACAAAGGAAAACACAAAGCCAATCCTCGGAAGCATAGCAAAAACGACTTTGTGTGTGTGTGTGTGGTGGGGGGGGGGGGGGGGGGGGTAGCAAGCATGTGATGTATACCTTCATCGGTGTGATAGGGTTAACAAAGATTGCTGTCAATTTACCCCAAAGGCAAAGTGTGCCTTAATTGACTTTTAACGTCTATGTTGAAAAGCGGTTTTGAAAGTCAGCTTTGGCACCAGATGCTGGCCTCAGTAACGGCAATCAACACTTTTGTTTTAATTGCAGGAATCAAAGGAATCAGTAATACCACCATCTGTCATTGATCTGTACAAGACCCCCAACATGGCGGTCAAGACACTCAACATGCAGTGGAACTGGTTGGTAAAATCACAGGACGAAAATACCAATTAGGCCCAAACATTCCTTTGCAATTATTGTTCTATCAATAAATATATGTTGGCTGCCGTTCGTTTATTCTTGTAAGATATTTGGTATCAATTTGTTTTCTCAACAACCCCTTCAGGTTTGTCAATAGTCTGGTGTACTACGGCCTGTCGCAGAGCACCAACGATCTAGGAGTCGACGACTACTGGGCTTTCTTCGTGTCGGGAGCCGTGGAAATCCCGGCCCTGCTGTACGCCACTTTTGGACTGGAGTGCTTCGGCCGGAAACTGAACTTGGGAATATTGGAGTTGATTGGCGGCGTGGCATGCTTGGCTACTATCTTTATTCGTACGTTCTGAGCCTGACAGTTTATCAAAATTTCGATATCATGATGCTGGTCAGCACAACTATTTGCTGAACGCAAAAAAAAAAGAAAACAAATAATTGCCAGAATGACATGGGACTTTTCTGTTTGTGTCTTAATTGTTCTCAACTTGTGAAACTTTCCGAAGTAATTGTCTGTTATGGAATTTTGCGTAGGCGTATGTAAAGGTTTCAGTTGAGCGGTATACTTTAACAGCATTTTCAAAGACTACATTAGACCATTGATTACCGATTTGATGACCAACGCTTCTCATTACAATTACTTGATAAACATGTCAAGAATCATTCATGTCCCGAGCTTCTCATGAATTTGCACTTAATATCCAAACTAGTCCAGTGCTGCACTCTTTGTGAAAAAGTCCATTCCTTACTGAACATACCCGGGCAACATGTCAAATATAACACTCTTCCTGTTTGATTGTGCTTCTGTTTTTATTTAGTTTTTGTACTATTCAAATTGTAGCCAAAGGGATCTGGAGGATTGTTGTGGCTATGATCGGCAAGTTCTGCATCTCGGCCACGTTTTCCATCGTTTACGTCTACACTGTGGAGCTATTCCCAACCCCAGTGAGGTGACAATACTTCTTTGATTTGTATAAGTGTTGATTTTGTATGTTGGAGCTGTGGCGCAAACAAAGGACGCAATCCACATCTCAGTTCTCTAAGTATCTTTTGATTCTAACAGAGAAGGCCTATGGAATCAATTTCATATAGTTTAAGTCGTTCCTCTGAACTGCATACCAATAAGAAGACGTCCTGTTTGGTTACATTATTTTTTAGTTATGTCCTAATAAAAAAAAAAAACACCTGACTCTCAGAGGGAGCTGTTACTATGACGTCACTTTTGAATACGATTATATTCTCATAAGGTGGTTTGGTTGCAATTATGACTCTGGAGAAAACACACCACAATTTGTGCATACATTTTGCTCAATGACTGCAACTTGAATAAACATTAAATCAGACATTTGGAGAAGAAAAAAAACTACATTTTAAACATCTATAACGTAAGGCCTAAAACTAAAAGCTTCTGATGACATCACTGTTTTGTGCATGAATTTTAAGGTTCGAAACAGAATTTCTACAGAAGCCAAAACCCTGATACCCTTTCAAAATGACAAATGTAAACCAAAAATCGGTTTACATCTCAAGCTGTCCATACAGAAAAAAATATTTCATCAGATCTTAATTTTTTTATGCAGGGCGGTTGGCTTGGGCGTGAGTTCGGTCGCCTCTCGTGTGGGTGGCATTCTGTCACCCATCATTCTGCTCTTAGATAAAACCGTGGCTAACCTGCCGATGTGGCTGTTCGGCTCCAGCGCAATCTTGGCGGGAACTCTGGCGTTCTTTCTGCCAGAGACAAGAGGCAAAAAACTGCCGCAAACGCTGGAGGAAGGAGAAGCATTTGGAAAGTATGTCCCTTTTGTCCTATTAGGCTGTAAAATTGAATACGTGAAAGAAAGGACCCGTGTGTTTGCTGACACCAACGTCTCAAAAGTCTCCCATTGGTAGAAGTTTTTTATAATACCTAGTACAGCCTAAAACCCCCAGATTTTTGGTGTTTTTTTTTTTATGGAGGAGAGGTTCACAGTGTCATCTCCCCCCCCCAACTTTTGGGAAATCAAAAGCTGGTGCAGTCTGCCTACTGATCGAGTCTTAACTGAACTGCAATATAAAGATCCTATAGCAGAATCGTCAGTATTATTATTTGTTTGAGTGTAAAAAAGGGCATTTGTTTTTCTTTTTAGATGTCGTTGTATGGGTGGACAAGCTTTCAACGACGAGTCCAGTGTGGAACTTGATGGCATGGACACAGCAAAAGAGGGCGTCTTTGCGATATCCAACGCTGCCTTCGATCACACGGAGGAGGAGAAGGAATATCGCGACTTCTCGCAGCAATTCACGCGTAAACTTCAAGAGTCATCCCACATGTGAAAGCACAACATGCTTCGTTAAAGACCAACTGCTTATTGTGGTTGTAGACTTTATTCCCGACTCGGCCATATTAAATTGAAAGCGATGTAAACTGTTCATTTTTGGAACTTGCAAGTTGAAATGAAAGTAATGCAATCAAAGTTCATCACCAATCGATACCAGTCTGTTCTGATGAATAATGTCAAATTTGTGATTAAACATGCCATAATGTTTTAAGCCAAAATAGTCTGGCACCATCCCATTCAACGGATTATAATTTATAAAATACATTCCATTGGCTTCCTCGTGAATAAGTTGTATGTACTCAAGAATCTAATTCTAAAGACATGCTTTTATCTATATATACTATATCTACTAAACTGGTGGATATAAACTGAAAAGAAAATATAAGCTATGTCAATTTGATCACTGCCATGTAATTATCATGTAATTTATGAGGGAAATCATACAATGTTTTCATTCAGTGTTTTTTTATGAGGAAACACACTTTCGGGTTTTTTTTTAAAGAAAAATCTTCGTTATAAAGTCGGCCGGTTGTGAATTATGGATCATTGATATCTGTGTATCCTTTTTATTATAAAGTTCATTATAAAGCTTTCTGTAATGGAGTATGCTCACATTTTAGACAAATATATTGGTATAAAATGACTAAATACGTATAATATAGTGTTATGATATAAGTGTATATATTAATTAACAGCATAGTACAAGAAAGTATTGATATATTCAAACACAATATTTAATGAAGTAAGTGTATATTTTAGTTGGTTATTCCCCGTTTTTAATGATTGTAGGTGTCGTTGATTGTACTTATTTTTCTTCGGTCTCTGATGACACAGCACTAAAATTTTATTGAGAAACATCATTATGTACAAAATATGACCATATCTTAACTGAAAGGACTTCTTTATTACTTGCTCCGAATAATGAGTAGCGGTCATGGCCTGTCCAGTCTGTATGCTTGCCATGACAAGCAAACTGACTAAAGTTGTGATGTTTTCAATTTCCTTAAGCTATAATTAAAATAAATAGGGCGCCCTCACAGACTTTGCCTTTGATTCCATACTGTTAACAAAAATAAGTATCGGAAACCCTTTACATCTAAAAACGACGATGATACGTTGATAAGAGAAACATCTAGATCAGTCTTTTTTTTTTAAAGCACTATTTTTAGGGCAATCGTGATTATCCTTGTTTACTTTTACCACTTCAAATGTATGCTTATCAGACTATAACATCAAAGGTGGACTGACTGTTGATGGAGACAACATGAAACTATGTGACATAATCATGGCAAATGAGAACTAATAATCAGTCTTTAATGCAATTAATAGCTTAAAGATATACCAGCGGCCCGAAGTCTTGTCTGTCCTGTCGCATGCCATTTGTAGTTGTTTTAGCAAAAATATCAGCACAAGGGTTTTCTCTGTAATACATCCATTATAATCTGATCATTAATAGAAGGCTGTTCACATCCACGCTCCCAAAAGAAGAATAGAAACTCATATCCCGCCGTTCATAGCGTTCATAAACTAAAATTTGAAGAGAAAAACCCAGTTCATTCTGAGCTGTTATATTGTGATTTTGCTTTTTAAGATACAGTTGAAGTGTGCTTCGCGATGTCATATAGGCAGACTTATCTGAACAAGGCACTGTCTACTTTCTAGATATCTCGAAAATAATGTTTCGTCAATTGTAATTCTCAAGTTCATTTTTTGTTTATATTTCCCACAAAATACATTGAGTATATAAGCCTGGATTGGCAAAGTATTACAGTGTTCAAGAACCGTTGTCAAAAACTATAAACCCAAAGTTAAACGCCATGCTTTATCGTGTGAGGGTTCTATAATATGTCGGAGTGCCGTTTCAAAGTTGACACCAAAGATGACGAAATGGAGTTTGTTGTGTGTTAAACTGAAATGGTATTTAAACCTCGAAGTTGGTGGCCCGCGATTGTTTGAAATTTGGAAATGGATTTACTCTAGTACTTTCAGATAAACGTAAACTATTCACATATAAAAACTCACCTCAGAACACTCTCATAACCATGATAACTGGCATTTATCATAACATTTATTTTAAAACCTGCTGCTTCCAATGTTAAAATAACATGCTTTATATATCAAGAGTATATAACATAGTCTTGCCCTACCTTCTACTTGGTTACCCCGGATACTTATGGGATTGATTATTCTGACATCTTTTCAGGAAACGACATGGTTTTATATTAACTGAAATATCACGTAGCTTAATGTGATCCGGCGTGGACAAGGTAAACAAAAATGGTGTTTGTGTTCAAAATTCCATATCAGGAAAAGTACATGAGCGAATTGTTTTTCACTAAAAAAAGCTTATTCATTGGGCTTTCATATCCCAGATCTGGAAAGCACTACATGCAGATATTCTTTTTAAAAAAATAGGGGCACCACGGAGAAATGGACTTTTAATGAATTGTTAAGGGATGAAGATACGTTAGCTTTTTTGGGACTCACCCTGTATAACATGCCGATTGTCAGAAAACATGAAGTTGCAACTAGGCATATTCAAATGCCGTCGGGTGCTCAGCGCGGTAGCGCTCCAGTCAATTTCTTAATAATCTTAATGATATCAAAAATGACTATTAAAACAACCACAATCTGCCCATACTAAAACCCAAGAAAGCCTACCTGAGGAAAGTGTGCATTTTGCCACCCAAAAGTCCTTAGTGTAACATTGACCTGTTAATTTTGTTTTTCAGTTGGGAGTGTGACCTTGTTTTGTCTTTTGGGTGTTTAGCGTAAAACTTCCACGTTTTCATTTTGACTTAAGTGTTGCAAATTGTGGGGATCTTTAGATGGTGTGCAATTGTACAGAAATTAAGATTGTAGTAAAAATGTCAATCCTATGATTGATGGATTATGATTTCTTTGGTAAAGCTTCTATCCATAATAACGAAGAGAGAATGAGAGTGAATACATTAATTTTAATTTAAACTGCGGTTTTACATCATTTCTTAGACGCATGTATGATAACTTTGGTATTATTATTTACTTAGAATAATCAATCTTGATCTTCCTGCCAATATTTTCATAACTTTAAAAGCAATGTCCATGTTTTTATTTGACGCAGCCTGTATATGAATCAAAGGTTACCAAAAGTTTAACAAATTAACAACCAGGGTACAAATTAAACCTTTTGACTTCTGATGAATCAATAATCTTTAAACCTTTCGACCTTTGTATATGCAAAATGTTTTTTTTTGGCAAAGTAACTTCACGAGTGCACAGAGAAGATCTGTTCATGGTGGCGGTATACTGAAATGAATACAAAAGCTCTCAGTTATGCAATACCCATACTCGTTCATTTTGCAAATATTACTGCTCATCTGTAAATTACCTTAAACGTGTTGGTTTTATCATTGCAAGAGACGTGCTTATCATTATAAGATCTGCTGGTGCTGGGTCGCAAGTTCAGTCGTCACGTTCAGTCTGCAGTTGTTCAATAGTTCAACAAGCTCCAAAGGTATAATATAGCCTACTTGAGTGGTAGGGCGGTGCTGCTTTTCAGTGCCAGTGCCGATCTGTTCAGGTTTAATAATAGTAGAAGGCCTATTTCTGCATTACTCGGACACTCTCGATAGAAGTGACATTTAATTGAATGTACACGAACCATCGGTACCGATGGTTCGTGTACAAACCAGAATGAGCCAATAAGACAACAGCGCCGATGGTTTGTGCACTGACAGATACAACCAATGAGAGAGCATACAATCACTGGTGGTCATCGGCCCAGTGACCTTGCCAAGCTCAGCTATCAGTGAGATTTACGTAACGTTGCGTAACAAAGTGTATGTGGGGAAACTGTGGCCAGGGCCCTGGCCCTGCACAAGGCCATGCATGTGCATGCTATCTTAATATGTTAATGTAACGTACACTTTGTACAGTTGAAACCTTATATTAATTGCTTCTATTTCCAGACATTAAGGTTTGCTGCATGCACTATAATATATTACTTGGACTTGGTTGTATAGCAAGGACCTATAGTTGTACCATGGAGGAAGGAATAGAAAAATACAACTTGGAAAACGATAATCTAAACGAGAATATGCTGAAATGTAGCGCCCACTGAGAAAGAGAACTGGAGTTGTAATACATGCATGTCAACCGTGCAGACAAGTTCTGGGAGAGAATATTCAACCGACGGCGAGATTACTTACACCATGGAGGAAGGAACACCTCCATGCTTACACAAGCTAAAACTGTAAAAGATTTAATGTTTTCATATTCCTTGCTCTATGGTTATTCCAAATGGTCCGGCCGTGATTATTTTAATTAATCTGTTATTACTGATCATTAATTTTTGTCAAACCTGTTTTATAAACCAACAAACAATCAATTGTTGTTCTATGCATTTTAACTGGACTGGTGTTATTACCATTAAATCCCATATTCAAGGCATAAATAGATATTTGTTGATGTATGATGTAACATAGCATGGCGCCGCCACTGACGCGTGGTGTACTTTGTTTGTTCGTCTGTCGCGCTATCTAGAGCAACAGTTTTGTACTGAACTTTCACAAAAACCGGTATAATTTCATCGAGTTCTAAACACTCCCGTTCCTAAATCACGAGTTAATCCGATTCCTGTTACAAAGTTACAACAAAACATTATTTCGACATGATTTTCCTATTTTATTGCAAAGTGCATGGGTAAACCCTTTGAAAATATCCCCCCCAAAATGAGGAAATAATTTTGTGACAAACTTCTAGTTGGGTATATAATAATGGTTTATCAGATTTTATCAACTTTACAGAATTCTTCAATGGAATTTTCCGATATTTATTTAAGTGCGCCACGTTAGGGAACATTCAGCCGTTTGTGTGCCCAATTTCCGGATGCCACCGTTTTTGAATTTCGGAATATAATCTCATGACACCGAAATAGTTTACAGAGGTATAAACCGCCGCAGTAATAAGGTGTAAGTACCAGTATTTCACGGACTGAATTTGAAGTTTATCAACAAATAAGTTTGGCAACACTACATGAGGAAAGTCAAGGTAAACGTCGAAGTGTGCCAAGTTAGGAAACACCACTATGTAATATATTAAGGAATTGATAGGGTACTGGTTTTAAGAAATATATTTATAGACTTTGAGCGCATTATTTTTAAATTAGAGATGAAGGAAGGGTATTTCCAAAAAGCAGAGCTTGTCGAGTAGGAATCCCCTATAACATGAATTAATACATACATTTAATGAAAAAAGCAATTGCAAACAATTAAACATGTAAGCTGTACATGCCCCCCCCTCACCAAAAGCAGTTCCTTTGCGCCACCATATTCCACGGAGCACACTTTCATGATATAATTTTAGAAATGTTGATACTGATTTCCGGGGCGGGGCAGATACGTGTTCCCTCACGTCCCCCTCATTTTGGCGAAAAATAAACCTAACCCAGCGTAGTTTTTTACTTTTGATGTAACGAAGGAGAAATCAAAAATGTGGGGGTTTTTTTACCCTAAAAGAGCCGGGGCGGAATTCGCCACCCCCTCGACTTTTTCCGCGATAGCCTTTAAACAATTTTTTTCGCAACCTGAGCTGTTATGACTTTTTAGCCTCGAGCCTTGAGCATCTTTTGACAACAAAAAAATATAAAAATCAGACCAGGGGTTGTTGCGCAGCGAAAAATTTCCCGGTGCCATGCGAATTTTCCCATATACGCAGCGTACACAAACCAGAATAACCATTCGTACATATGAATAATTAATGAGCCATAATTCCAGAACCCTTTGTCCTATAATCATGAAATTTCTTGGGTATATTTATGAAGAGTTGCTCTATGCATCTTCTTCGCCCCTTGGGGGGGGGGGGGGGGGGGGGGAGGGGGGCGTGAATTTGCAGCATGTTAGTGCCAAGAGAAGAAAGGGGTGCGGGAAGGCAAAATAGGGGTGCGGGCGTGAATTTGCAGCATGTTAGTGCCAAGAGAAGAATAATCATTCGTACATATGAATAATTAATTAGCCATAATTCCAGAACCCTTTGCCCTATAATCATGGAATTTCTTGGGTATATTTATGAAGAGTTGCTCTATGCATTTTCTTCGTCACTCGGGGGAGGGGGCGTGAATTTGCAGAACGTTAGTGCTTAGAGAGGAAAGGGGTGCGGGAAGGCAAAATAGGGGTGCGGGCGTGAATTTGCAGCATGTTAGTGCCAAGAGAAGAATAATCATTCGTACATATGAATATTAATTAGCCATAATTCCAGAACCCTTTGCCCTATAATCATGAAATTTCTTGGGTATATTTATGAAGAGTTGCTCTATGCATTTTCTTCGTCACTCGGGGGAGGGGGCGTGAATTTGCAGCACGTTAGTGCAAAGAGAGGAAAGGGGTGCGGGAAGGCAAAATATGGGTGCGGGCGTGAATTTGCAGCATGTTAGTGCCAAGAGAAGAATAATCATTCGTACATATGAATATTAATTAGCCATAATTCCAGAACCCTTTGCCCCATAATCATGAAATTTCTTGGGTATATTTATGAAGAGTTGTTCTATGCATTTTCTTCGTCACTCGGGGGAGTGGGCGTGAATTTGCAGCACGTTAGTGCTTAGAGAGGAAATGGGTGCGGGAAGGCAAAATAGCGGTGCGGGCGTGAATTTGCAGCATGTTAGTGCCAAGAGAAGAATAATCATTCGTACATATGAATATTAATTAGCCATAATTCCAGAACCCTTTGCCCCATAATCATGAAATTTCTTGGGTATATTTATGAAGAGTTGTTCTATGCATTTTCTTCGTCACTCGGGGGAGTGGGCGTGAATTTGCAGCACGTTAGCGCTTAGAGAAGAAAGGGGTGCGGGAAGGCAAAATAGGGGTGCGGGCGTGAATTTGCAGCATGTTAGTGCCAAGAGAAGAATAATCATTCGTACATATGAATAATTAATAAGCCATAATTCCAGAACCCTTTGCCCTATAATCATGAAATTTCTTGGGTATATTTATGAAGAGTTGCTCTATGCATTTTCTTCGTCACTCGGGGGGGGGGGGCGTGAATTTGCAGCATGTTAGTGCCAAGAGAAGAAAGGGGTGCGGGAAGGCAAAATAGGGGTGCGGGCGTGAATTTGCAGCATGTTAGTGCCAAGAGAAGAATAATCATTCGTACATATGAATAATTAATTAGCCATAATTCCAGAACCCTTTGCCCTATAATCATGAAATTTCTAGTGTTTATTTATGAACAGTTGCTCTATGCATTTTCTTCGTCACTCGGGGGGGGGGGGGGCGTGAATTTGCAGCATGTTAGTGCCAAGAGAAGAAAGGGGTGCGGGAAGGCAAAATAGGGGTGCGGGCGTGAATTTGCAGCATGTTAGTGCCAAGAGAAGAATAATCATTCGTACATATGAATAATTAATTAGCCATAATTCCAGAACCCTTTGCCCTATAATCATGAAATTTCTAGTGTTTATTTATGAACAGTTGCTCTATGTATTTTCTTCGTCACTCGGGGGGGGGGGGGGGGCGTGAATTTGCAGCATGTTAGTGCCAAGGGAAGAAAGGGGAATCCGCCCCGGCTGTGAGGTGGTCAAAATAACCCGGCAACAATGTTACCAAGCGGGCAAATAATTGTTATTTAAAGATTTTGTCAATTCAATAAAAGTGTCAGTCATGCGTAATGCGCTTGTATGTATTTAGTGTATTTTGTACACTCCATGTTCCAACCTTTAATCATCTTAAAGTTACAATTATTCCTTAAAATATAGCATAAACAGTCATTTTACTCTTCTCTTCTCTGTATTGTTTTAGTGTTAATTTGTTGTTATAATAATGTTATAATATAACAGGTATAATGAATCTAATGCGTAACGTCATCCACGGTAATGTCAGTCACAGAGGTTTATTTGCATATTAAAAGAAATCATGAAAGTTTTGCTCATTTACTACATGTGTTGGTTACCCTATAAGCTAAAATGCTCGCATGGATTTAAATACGTAGAAATTTTAACTTGAAAAGAAATTTGAAAAACATGTTTGATATTTTTTGGTTGCATCGCTTTTTGTAATGTCAGTCACGACAGTAAACTACCACTCTAATTGGAAAAACTGAACATGAAATTTTAAATTTTCAATACCGTATTGTGTATTCAGGTCCCAGTAACTCCCATGCCAAACAATGGTTCAGTTGGCTTTAATTGTTTACACATAAGAGCTGAATTGATATTCAAAATTAGTAAAAATGTAATGTCAGTGACGGTCTTAGGCTTAGTGTAATGTCAGTCACCAAAAAACGATGCTTTTTCCATAAAAGCATTCAAGATAGCAATAAAAATCTGCCCTTCATTGTTTTCTTAGCACGGGGTCTAGGTATATCAACTTCTATTGTTGACAGACGAGGCTATTTTAATCGGGTGTTAATTTGTTTTATATTAACAGGCATATTCATTCAAAAATTCATGATTTTTCCCCCCATCTTACTACATGCGTTAGTAACCCTATTAGCTCTAATGTTCTAATGGATTTTGATCTGCAGCACTTTTAACCTGAAGAGAAATTTAAAAAACATGTTTGACACTTTTGGGTTGCATCGCTTTTTTTAATGTCAGTCACAGCACCAATCAGGGCTCTGGAGTGCTCTGAAACGTGCAAAACTAAATCAGGCCCACTTTACTCACAGTTTAGCCAGCAAATTTCTCCAAAAATTCCACTGGGGCAAAGAAAATGTCCTCAGTATTTCACCAACCAAGTTTGCAGACTCAATTCAATTTTTAAAGGAGACTTTTCTTTAATATTTTGCACATGAGAGGGAAGTCAAGTGATTTCAAAATGGGGCTAAATACTGGACTGGTACATGTTCAACCATGGTCCAACTATTTGAAAAGACTGACCTCATTTCATTCAAAGTCAATAGTCTGGTGGCTTGACTATGGAGAGATGTGTAGTAAATTGAGAATAGTTCCCGCTAGTTCCTGTTTTGGGACTCTCATACACAGTATTGAGAGTCCCAAATTTTCGGACTATCACGGCACTAAACAACCCCCCAAGTCAAAAAAGCTAACCATGAAATTTCAAAGATTCAATACTGTATTGTGTATGTAGGTCCTAGTAACCCCCTTGCCAAACATGGTTCAGTTGGCTGTAATTGTTTAGACATTAGAGCTGATTTGATACATGTAATGTCAATCATGGTGGAATTGCCCAGATAATGAAGACATTAAATCCTGTAGCTTGTGTTGGTAATCTCGCCGTCGGTTGAATATTCTCTCCCAGAACTTGTCTGCACGGTTGACATGTACATGTGAACTCCAGTTCTCTTTCTCAGTGAGCGCTACATTTCAGCATATTCCTGTTTAGATTTTCGTTCTCCAAGTTTCCGTACAACCATGTCCAACTAATATATTAAAGTGCAAGCAGCAAACCTTTGTCCAGAAATAGAAGCAAAGAATTATAAGGTTTCAACTGTACAAAGTGTACGTTACATTAACATATTAAGATAGCATGCACATGCATGGCCTTGTGCAGGGCCAGGGCCCTGGCCACAGTTTCCCCACATACACTTTGTTACGCAACGTTACGTAAATCTCACTGATAGCTGAGCTAGGCAAGGTCACTGGGCCGATGACCACCAGTGATTGTATGCTCTCTCATTGGTTGTATCTGTCAGTGCACTAACCATCGGCGCTGTTGTCTTATTGGCTCATTCTGGTTTGTACACGAACCATCGGTACCGATGGTTCGTGTACATTCAATTAAATGTCACTTCTATCGAGAGTGTCCGAGTAATGTGGTAGAACAGCGACAACGACAGCAGCAGCGACGACAACAGTAACAACAACATAACTAGATAAACAAACAACATGAAGCTCGAGAGCATTATTCCTATGCTCGGCAACTTTGGCCGATACCAGTTGTTTGTTTTTACCTACACTGCCTTGCGCATGATCTTCAGTTGCTTCACAACTCTGGGCAATGTGTTCTATGCCGCGGAGACCGACCATTGGTGCAACGTTTTGCCCAGCGCGAATTGTTCCAACTGGGCGGAGTTTCAAGACAACTGCACTGACGTGAAGAAGTCCATCTTCCTGCCTCCTCCTGAAAATGGTTCGAGCAGCAACTATCCTTACTCCAATTGTAAGCAGTGGGAGCTACCAGATGGGTACGTGTTTGATCCGCACGTACCGCTCAGTGACTACGACGGTTTCACTAATGTGAGTGTGCCCTGCAAAGACGGATGGGAGTACGATACATCGCAGTACAAAACAACAACCATCATGAATGTAAGTCGACTTTTAAACCTTCTTGTATTCCGAATACTGAAAGGTAGTAACGGTACTTTGATGATTTCGTTCTGTCAAAAAAACAAATTAGATTTGTCCGTATAATCAATTTGTTTTGCGACCTCCACTGGCCGGTGGAACCAAGCCCTCGCGCAGCCCGCGCGTGCACGTTCAATGCGCCTTTGCTTCAACCAATAGGGTAACTATAATGCGTCGCGCGCGCGTTCCAAGACTAATGTCACGCATCAGTTCACGATTCGTCTAGCTACACATGTTCGTCTTTGTTCTCTCCAGTTTGGTCTGGTGTGTGATGACGCTTACCTGCCCAGCCTGGCGCAGTCCCTCTACTTCGCCGGTTACTTGGTAGGATCGTTCATCGGAGGTTCCTTTTCAGATTGGTAAATACATACATTAGAAATGACCTCATAAGCTATTGTTTGATCATTGAAGTGACAAATTAAAGTCATACTGCAAATTTGAGTGAATGGGATTGTCACGCCATCGCGCTGTTGAAAATAGAGAATATCAATGACAAATTGATGAAACAAAGTAAATGTTAAAAAAAGATGAACACTAATAAAAAAGTAAACAACATATCGACCCAAGTAAACAAAAACTTGATTGAAGGAAAAACAAATATTAAAGAATAAAAAAAGAGTATAGGTGATTAAAAAGGTATTTTACTTCTTTTTGCCATTAGGTTTGGTCGCAAGAAGGTCGTTGTATGTTTCGAGCTGTTGTGGTTCGCAACATTTATTGCAACCACGTTCTCAGTTAACATCTACATGTACATGGCCTTCCGCTTCATGTCGGCCGTGGGCAGTATTGGAAGCTACATGGGACTTTACGTGTTAAGTAAGCAACACACATTATTCTGTATTTCAAACTAAATTTCTTTCAAAGGCTCGTGCAATAGATATTTCCAAAACAATTTTTAACTACACCCTTGCGTTCCATTTGCCTTTAGGCCAAAAAATAGTCGGTCTGTGGTCAGACCAAAGTTGCGGAACTGATGCAGATGCGGGTTTTTTTAAAGATTGGATTGTACAGAGGAGGTGGAAATTATTTTGCTTTTTTTGTGTCCTCACTAGTGTCCTCCATTATTTGCCTTGTTTGGCGCCCTCCATCATTTGCCTTGCTTGGTGCCCTCCATCATTTGCCTTGCTTGGTGCCCTCCATCATTTGCCTTGCTTGGTGCCCTCCATCATTTGCCTTGCTTGGTGCCCTCCATCATTTGCCTTGCTTGGTGCCCTCCATCATTTGCCTTGCTTGGTGCCCTCCATCATTTGCCTTTGTGCCCTTCCCCATTCCTGGACATACAGTGCTCATTGGTACGAACATTTGTGATGATGCGGCCAAAAAGGGGTAGCTACTGCGGAAAATTTGAAGAAAAAACAAACAAACAAACAAACGTTGACGTGCTTGATCAAAATCGATGCGCGCGCTGACCAGAGACCGACTATTTTTTGGCCTAATTGTCAGTCCGCTTATATTATTTTCGAAGGCCTGCTTTAGACTTTTTTTAAAATATAAAATACCCAAATCGGTAATAAAACTAATCATTGTAGCATATTAGAGTGTGCCAAATGGCAGAGTCATTGTAAATGGTAAAAGAATATAAAAGTGAATCATAACCACGCGAAGCGTGCCTTGTGATATTTCATACATCTCAGAGACATGGACATTAATTTTAGAATGACTTTGCACTGTTCCTGTCTGTTTCATCAGCTCTTGAAGTCGTTGGGAAGTCTTATCGCACGGCAGTCACCATGGCCTTAGGGATATTTTACGCCATAGGCTATTTCTTCATTGCGACGGCGGCCATGTATCTTCGACAGTGGCGCTCTCTGTCGATGGCCCTCTCCATATCGTCAGTGGTTCTTTTGATACCGCTGTTGTAAGTTTCAAAGGCAGTTCTCATTTTAATTGCTTGCTCTTTTGCGATTGAATTAAAGGAGAGAGATTTAGGCTAAAGCAGATTTCACGATCACAATACACTGCAAAATATGGTGTTTAGTATTATTTAAAAAAAATGTCTAAACACTTTTTGCTCTCGCAGGTACAAACATGTTTACATACTATTCATGTTTTGAGTATAGATAGATAGTGTTTAGCGATTTAACATTGCTGTTAGGAGTTTGACACGCAATGCTAAACATGAGAATGAGAGCAGCACTGTGTTTAATTGCTAAACACTTTAAGTTTTTAGCGTGTACGTTAAAGATTGATTAAGATCGGACACACCGGTGTAATGAATTTAACTCTCAAACAAACTGTTTTACTTTGTATGAACTCTGACCCCCACACGTGTATTGTCAATACTCTAATTTCATCCACTGAGGCATGCGCAATACAACCGATGAGTCCATATTTCATAGAGTCAATATGGCACATTACATCAGCACAGTGAGGCTACAAAAGCCAGCAACTGTTTCCATGTTTGCTAGGATATGTTTAGAGAGTACAAGTTCTGTAACTATTTTCCCCCTTCGGTATTCAAACAGCTTCATCCACGAGTCCATCAGATGGTTGGTATCCAAGGGCAGGATTGATGAGGCTGAGAAAGTCATCAGGAAAATTGCCAAGATGAACAAGAAGACTTTGCCTGATGTCTTATTCGATAAAGAGGACATACAGGCAGAGACGGTAAGTCCGCTCGGAATTACTTGTATATGTGATAGGCCTAGGTATATCCACACCATTTTGGAGATGTTGTGATTATGAATAGGGATAGGATTGTATAACTATACGGGATTGCCTTAATCCCATCCACCAGGGGCAGATCCAGCACTGGTTGTGTGTGGGTGTGTGGGTGTGTGGGGGTGTGGGTGGGTGGGTGGGTGGGTGGGTGGGTTTGTGTGTGTGTGTGTGTGGTGGGGGGGGGGGGGGTAGCAAGCATGTGATGTATACCTTCATCGGTGTGATAGGGTTAACAAAGATTGCTGTCAATTTACCCCAAAGGCAAAGTGTGCCTTAATTGACTTTTAACGTCTATGTTGAAAAGCGGTTTTGAAAGTCAGCTTTGGCACCCGATGCTGGCCTCAGTAACGGCAATCAACACTTTTGTTTTAATTGCAGGAATCAAAGGAATCAGTAATACCACCATCTGTCATTGATCTGTACAAGACCCCCAACATGGCGGTCAAGACACTCAACATGCAGTGGAACTGGTTGGTAAAATCACAGGACGAAACTACCAATTAGGCCCAAACATTCCTTTGCAATTATTGTTCTATCAATAAATATATGTTGGCTGCCGTTCGTTTATTCTTGTAAGATATTTGGTATCAATTTGTTTTCTCAACAACCCCTTCAGGTTTGTCAATAGTCTGGTGTACTACGGCCTGTCACAGAGCACCAACGATCTAGGAGTCGACGACTACTGGGCTTTCTTCGTGTCGGGAGCCGTGGAAATCCCGGCCCTGCTGTACGCCACTTTTGGACTGGAGTGCTTCGGCCGGAAACTGAACTTGGGAATATTGGAGTTGATTGGCGGCGTGGCATGCTTGGCTACTATCTTTATTCGTACGTTCTGAGCCTGACAGTTTATCAAAAGTTCGATATCATGATGCTGGTCAGCACAATTATTTGCTGAGAGCAAAAAATAATTGCCAGAATGACATGGGACTTTTCTGTTTGTGGCTTAATTGTTCTCAACTTGTGAACATTTCCGAAGTAATTGTCTGTTATGGAATTTTGCGTTGGCGTATGTAAAGGTTTCAGTTGAGCGGTATACTTTAACAGCGTTTTCAAAGACTACATTAGACCATTGATTACCGATTTGATGACCAACGCTTCTCATAACAATTACTTGATAAACATGTCAAGAATCATTCATTTTCCGAGCTTCTCATGAATTTGCACTTAATATCCAAACTAGTCCAGTACTGCACTCTTTGTGAAAAAGTCAATTCCTTACTGAACATACCCGGGCAACATGTCAAATATAATACTCTTCCTGTTTGATTGTGTTTCTGTGTTTTTTGTTGACTATTCAAATTGTAGCCAAAGGGATCTGGAGGATTGTTGTGGCTATGATCGGCAAGTTCTGCATCTCTGCCACGTTTTCCATCATTTACGTCTACACTGTGGAGCTATTCCCAACCCCAGTGAGGTGAAAATACTTCTTTGATTTGTATAAGAGTTGATTCTGTATGTTGGAGCTGTGGCGCAAACAAAGGACGCAATCCACATCTCAGTTCTCTAAGTATCTTTTGATTCTAACAGAGAAGGCATATGGAAGCAATTTCATATAGTTTAAGTCGTTCCTCTGAACTGCATAGCAATAAGAAAACGTCCTGTTTGGTTGAATTATTTTCAGTTTTTGTCCTAATAAAAAAAACACACCCTGACTCTCAGAGGGTGCTGTTACTATGACGTCACTTTTGAATATGATTTTATTCTCATAAGGTGGTTTGGTTGCAATTATGACTCTGGAAAAAACACACCCCAATTTGTGCATACATTTTGCTCAATGACTGCAACTTGAATAAATACTAAATCAGACATTTGGAGAAGAAAACAAACTACATCTTAAACATCTATATTAAACGTAAGGCCTAAAACTAAAAGCTTCTGATGACATCACTGTTTTGTGCATGATTTTTAAGATTCGAAACAGAATTTCTACAGAAACCAAAACCCTGATACCCTTTCAAAATGGCAAATGTAAACCACAAATTGGTTTGCATTTCAAGCTTTCCCATCCAGAAAAAAAACTATCATCAGATCTTAATTTTTTTTATGCAGGGCGGTTGGCTTGGGCGTGAGTTCGGTCGCCTCTCGTGTGGGTGGCATTCTGTCACCGTTCATTCTGCTCTTAGATAAAACCGTGGCTAACCTGCCGATGTGGCTGTTCGGCTCCAGCGCAATCTTGGCGGGAACTCTGGCGTTCTTTCTGCCGGAGACAAGAGGCAAAAAACTGCCGCAAACGCTTGAGGAAGGAGAAGCATTTGGAAAGTATGTCCCTTTGTTCTATTACTATTAGGCTGTAAAATTGAATACGTGAAAAAAAGGACCTATGTATTTGCTGCCACCAACGTCTCAAAAGTCTCCCATTGGTAGAAGTATTTTCATGGTATTATGATCAGTACAGCCTCAAAAAGAATAGATTTTGTGTTTTTTTATGGAGAGGTTGACAGTGCCAAGTCCCCAAATCCCAACAACCCCCAACAACCCCCACCCACTTTTGGAACATCAACAGTCTGTTAACTTACTGAGTCCTAACTGACCTGCAATATAAAGATCCTACAGCAGAATTGTTATTATTTTTGAGTGTAAAAAAGGCATTGGTTTTTCTTTTTAGATGTCGTTGCATGGGTGGACAACCTTACGACGAGTCCAGTGTGGAAGTTGATGGCATGGACACAGCAAAAGAGGGCGTCTTTGCGATATCCAACGCTGCCTTCGATCACACGGAGGAGGAGAAGGAATATCGCGACTTCTCGCAGCAATTCACGCGTAAACTTCAAGAGTCCTCCCACATGTGAAAGCACAACATGCTTCGTTAAAGACCAACTGCTTAGTGTGGTTGTAGACTTTATTCCCGAGTCGGCCATATTAAATTGAAAGCGATGTAAACTGTTCATTTTTGGAACTTGCAAGTTGAAATGAAAGTAATGCAATAAAAGTTCATCACCAATCGATACCAGTCTGCTCTGATGAATAATGTCAAATTTGTGATTGAACATGCCCTAATGGTTTAAGCCAAAATAGTCTGGCACCATCCCATTCAACGGATTACAATTTATAAAATACATTCAATTGGCTTCCTCGTGAATAAATTGTATGTACTCAAATATCTAATTCTAAAGACATGCTTTTATCTATATATATACTATATATGTTTGCTTATATATAAGACTATAGTCTATACTATACTGTTTTGATCCAAAAAACTTTTCTATTCCAGTTTATATCATATCGATTGAACTAAAGGAGATATACTGAAGAGAAAAGATAAGGTATTTCGATTTGATCACTGCCATGTAATCATGTAATTGATGAAGAAAATCATACAATGTTTTCATTTAGTGTTTTTATGAGGAAACACACTTTCGGTTTTTTTAAAACAAAATCTGTTAACTCAGCGGTTGGGAGTTCTGGATTATTGATATCTGTGTATCCTTTTTATTATAAAGTTCACTAAGATAGCGTTGAGAGCTCATAAGCTTTCTGTAATTGAGTAGGCTCACATTTTAGACAAATATATTAGTATAAAATGACTAAATACGCATAATATAGTCTTATGGTATAAGTGTATATATTAATTAGCAGCATAGTACAAGAAGGTATTGTTACTTGCTCTGAATAATGTGTAGCGCCGTGACAAGCAAACTGATTAAAGTTGTGATGTTGAATCATTTATTTAGTCGCCTTGCACTTGTTAATTACACTGTTCACAACTCATGTTTTGTCTTTTGGGTGTTTAGTGTAAAACTTCCACGTTTTCATCTTGAATATAAAGTGTAGAAAATTTCGGGGATCTTTAGATGTGTGCATTTGTACAGAAAATTAAGATTGTAGTAAAAATGTAAATCCTATGAGTGATGGTTTATGATTTCTTTGGTAAAGCTTCTATCCATAATAACGAAAAGAGAATGAGAGTGAGTGAATACATTAATTTTAATTTAAACGGCGGTTTTACATCATTTCTTAAACGCATGTATGATAACTTTGGTATTATTATTTACTTAGAATAATCAATCTTGATCTTCCTACCAGTATTTTCATAACTTTAAAAGCAATGTCCATGTTTTTGTTTGACGCAGCCTGTATATGAATCAAAGGTTACCAAAAGTTAAACAAATTAACAACCAGGGTACAAATTAAACCTTTGACGTCTGATGAATCAATAATCTTTCAACCTTTCGACCTTTGTATTTGCAAAATGTGTTTTTTTTTGCGAAATACCTTCACGAGTGCACAGTGAAGATCCGTTCATGATGGTGGTATAATGAAATTATTATTATTATTGATTCGGCCAACAAATGAACAAAAGTACAATGTCAAAGCAAAGATATATCAAAAAGTAAACAAAATTGGAAATTGAATAAGTATGACCAGACAAGACTGCAGGATGCGAGAAGGAATGGGTCGGGGGGGGGGGGGAGGGAGGGTGGACAGTTTGGCAAGGGAGAGGAGATAGAGGGAAATAAAACAAGGATAATGTAACATTCCAAACCGGCCAGGGTAAACAAAAGTGTACTTAAACACTGTAGCCCTAAGGCCTGCCTACCCAAGCTAGAAATGTCTACACAAGAATAAAATAGATCTTAAACAAAATGATATAATTATAAATATATAAATGAAAAGAAAATGAATAAAAACAAAACAAAAATGAATACAAAAGCTCTCAGTTATACAATACCCATGCTCGTTCATTTTGCAAATGTTACTGCTTATCTGTAAATTGCCTCAAACGTGTTGGTTTTATCTTTGCAAGAGACCTGCTGGGTCGCAAGTTCAGTCGTCACGTTCAGTCTGCAGTTGTACAATAGTTCAACAAACTCCAAAGGTATAATATAGCCTACTTGAGTGGAGGGGCGGTGCTGCTTTTCAGTGCCAGTGCCGATCTGTTCAAGTTTAATAGTAGAAGGCCTATTTCTGGTAGAACAGTGACAACGACAGCAGCAGCAACTACAACAAACAACAACATAACTAAAATAAACAAACAACATGAAGCTCGACGACATTCTTCCTTTGCTCGGCAACTTTGGCCGATACCAATTGCTTGTTTTTACCTTAGCTGCCTTGCACAACATCTTCGGTTGCCTCACAACTCTGGGTAATGTGTTCTACGCAGCGGAGACCGACCACTGGTGCAACGTTTTGCCCAACGAAAATTGTTCCAACTGGGCGGAGTTTCAAGACAACTGCACTGACGTGAAGAAGTCCATCTTCCTGCCTTCTCCTGGAAATGGTTCCGACATCAACTATCCTTACTCAAATTGTAAGCAGTGGGAGCTACCAGATGGGTACGTATTTGATCCGTACGTACCGCTCGGGAACTACAACAATTTCACTAATGTGGAGGTGCCATGTAAAGACGGATGGGAGTATGATACGTCGCAGTACAAGACAACGACCATCATGAATGTGAGTCGACTTTTAAACCTTCTTGTATTCCGATTACTACGGTACACGGATTCTGAAAGGTAGTTACCGTACTTTGATGATTTCGTTTTGTCAAAAAACCCGAAGTAGAAATATTTGTCCGTATAATCAATTTGTTTTGCGACCTCCACTGGCCGGTGGAACCAAGCCCTCGCGCAGCCCGCGTGTGCACGTTCAATGCGCCTTCGCTTCAACCAATAGGGTAACCAAAATGCGTCGCGCGCGCGTTCCAAGACTAATGTCACGCGTTCGACATGCGCACGTCAGTTCCACTTCAGCAAAGGCTTCTAATTTTGTTCGCCGGATTCGTCTAGACACATGTTCGTCTTTGTTCTCTCCAGTTTGGTCTGGTGTGTGATGACGCTTACCTGCCCAGCCTGGCGCAGTCCCTTTACTTCGGCGGTTTCTTGGTAGGATCGTTCATCGGAGGTTCCTTTTCAGATTGGTAAATACATACAATAAAAATGACATCATTGGAAATGGAAGCTATTGTATGATCATTGAAGTGACAAATTAAAGCCATACTGCAAAGTCGAGTTTATGGGATTGTCATGCCATCGCGATGTTGAAAATATAAAATATCAATAACAAAATGATGATACAAAGTAAATGTTAAAAAGCATGAAAACTAATGAAAAGTAAACAACATATCGACCCTCGTAAACAAAAACTTTATTGAAGAAAAAACAAATATTAAAGAATAAAAAAAAGAGTATACCTGATAAAAAAGGTATTTTTTTTGCCATTAGGTTTGGTCGCAAGAAGGTCGTTATATGTTTCCAGCTGTTGTGGCTCGCAACATTTATTACAACTACGTTCTCAGTTAACATCTACATGTACATAGCCTTCCGCGTTATGTCGGCCTTGGGCTATCTGGGAAGCTACATGGGACTGTACGTGTTAGGTAAGCAACACACATTATTCTGTATTTCAAGCTAAATTTCTTTCAAAGGCCATGCAATAGATCTTTCCAAAACATTTTTTTAACTACACCCTTGCGTTCCATTTGCTTTTAGGCCAAAAATTAGTCGGTCTGTGGTCAGACCAAAGTTGCGGAATTGATGCAGCGATGCGTTTTTTTTTAAAGATTGGATTGTACATAGGACGTGGATATTATTGTGTCCTCACTAGTGTCCTCCATTATTTGCCTTGCTTGGTGCCCTCCATCATTTGCCTTTGTGCCCTTCCACATTCATTGACATACAGTGCTCATTGGTACGAACATTTGTGACGATGCGGCAATAGAGGGTGCTGTTGTAGCTACTGCGGAAAATTTGAAGAAAAAAAACCGTTGACGCACTTGATCAAAATCGATGCGCGCGCTGACCAGAGACCGACTATTTTTTGGCCTACTTGTCAGTCCGCTTATATTATTTTCGAAGGCCTGCTTAAATAGACTTTTTTTTAATATAAAATACCCAAATCGGTAAGAAAAACTAATCATTGTAGCATATCAGAGTGTGCAAAATAGCAGAGTCATTGTTAATGGTAAACGAATATAAAAGTAAATCATAACCACGCGAAGCGTGCCTTGTGAGATTTCATACATCTCAGAGACATGGACATTTATTTTAGAATGACTTTGCACTTTTCCTGTCTGTTTCATCAGCTCTTGAAGTCGTTGGGAAGTCTTATCGCACGGCAGTCACCATGGCCTTAAGTATATTTTTCGCCATAGGCTATTTCTTCATTGCGACGGCGGCCATGTTTCTTCGACAATGGCGCTCTCTGTCTATGGCCCTCTCCATATCGTCAGTGGTTATGATGATACCGCTGTTGTAAGTTTCAAAGGCAGTTCTAATTTTGATTGCTTGCTCGTTTGTGATTGGAAAAAGGATAGAGCTGTAGGCTAGAGCAGACAATACTGCAAAACGGTGTTTAGGAATTAACCACTTTAATTTTTTTCTAAACACTTTCTTGTTCTCAGGTTGTAAATATGTTTACATACTAAACATGTTAGAGTAATTGATGGCTAGTGTTTAGTGATTGAACATTGATGTTTAGGAAATGGACACGTAATGTTAAACTTCTAAACAAAGTTTACAAAGTGTTTACAAAGTGAGAGCAAGATTGTGTTTAATTTGCTAAACACATGCGGGTTTTTTTTTTGGGGGGGGGGCGTGTACGTTTAAGCTTGATTAAGATCAGCCGTACTGGGGTGTCATGTGAAATTGAACTCTCAAACACATTTTTATAAACTCTAACCCTCATACGTGCGTTGTCAATGCTCTGATTTCACCCACTGAGGCATGAGCTTATTGACGGCGACTCGTCCGCCACCTTGACGACGGGGGATAAGCAAACCTGCAGTCTGCTTATACAACCAATAGGTCCAGATTTCATAGATTCAATAGTTCACGTTACTTGGGCACATATAAGGTTAACCAACAATTACTGTTTCCATGTTTGCAGGAGATATACAGAGAGTATACACATTCTATAAGTATTTTTCCTTTCGGATTCAAACAGCTTCATCCAGGAGTCCGTCAGATGGTTGGTATCCAAGGGCAGGATCGAGGAGGCTGAACAAGTCATCAGGAAAATTGCCAAGATGAACAAGAAGACTTTGCCAGATGTCTTATTCGAATATGAGGATATACAGGCAGAGACGGTAGGTTCCCGCGTAATTACATGTATTTTAGGTTAAGGGTCTAGATATAATATTTTTTCTATCTACCCCACTTTGGAAAGTTTGTGCTTATGAATAGGAATAGAATTGTAAAACTCTTGGAGTAGGCCTATACAGGAGAATAACATCGTGAAAACGGCGATGCAGTTTGTTGAAAGCAGTTTTCAAACATCAATCCCACCCTCCAGGGGCGGATCCAGCGCTTGTTCCGGGGGGGGGGGGAGAAACGAGGCATACGCTGTTTACGTTTATCTGCACGATTTTCCTTTTTTGGCGGCCGTGCGGGGGGGGGGGGGTAACCTAGACCTCCCGTAGATTCGCTGCTGCGCACTAGTACCGAACTTCCTAAAACATCACAATTGGGTTAAAAACGATTGCTTTCAATTTTACCCCGAAGTCAAAGCGTGTGACCTTTAACGTCTATGTTGAAAACGTTGGCCTCAGTAACGACAATCGACACATTTGTTTTAAATGCAGGAATCAAAGGAGTCGGCAATACCGCCATCCGTCATTGATCTGTACAAGACCCCCAACATGGCGGTCAAGACACTCAACATGCAGTGGCACTGGTTGGTGAAATCACAAGACGAAAATACCAATTAGGCCTAAACATTCCTTTGCAATTGTTCTATCAGTAAATATATGTTGGCTCGACTTCCGTTCGTTTATTCTTGTATTATTTAATCCATTTTTCCCAACCTTGAACCCGTCAGGTATGTCAATAGTCTGGTGTACTACGGCCTGTCGCAGAGCACCAACGATCTAGGAATCGACGACTACTGGGCTTTCTTCGTGTCGGGAGCCGTGGAAATCCCGGCCTATATCTACGCCACGTTTGGAGTGGAGTGGTTCGGCCGTAGACGGAACTTGGGAATACTGGAGTTGATTGGCGGCGTGGCATGCTTGGCAACTATCTTTATTCGTACGTTCTGCTGACAATTTTAAAGTTCGTAAAAGTGATGCTGGTCAGCACAACTATTTGCTAAGCGAAAAAATACTTGCCAGAATGACATGGGACTTTTCTGTTTGTGTCTTGTCCTCAAGTTGTAAACACTCCCTAGGTAATATTGTCTGTTATTGAATGTTGCCCAGGCCTACGTAAAGGTGTCAAAGTTGAGCGGTATGCTTAAAAGCAATGTTGACTACATTAGACCATTGATTACCGATTTGATAACTATCGTAAGTACTAGTACACGGGAGACACTTTAGTGTCAGAAGTTATACCTTTGAGAGACATGTGGAATTAGAGAGACATGCCGCAGCCCCTATTTAGAGGCAAAATGGTAATGTCGCAATAGGCTACAATCCTGGCCAAATCTCGCCCCGGCCCCCGCTCAATGTTGTCTCTCTCATTGCGCGGTGTGTGCTCCATCAGCTGGAGAGAACAACATTGACTGGGGGAGCAGGGGCGTGGGCGACCTTGAGATGCTAAAGGGAAGAGTCCCAACCATTTTGCCCGGGATTGTAGATCGATTGCTCGTGATCCAATAATTAAAAAAGTTTCTGTGGTTTTTTGTTGACTATTCAAATTGTAGCCAAGGGGATCTGGAGGATTGTTGTGGCTATGATCGGCAAGTTCTGCATCTCGGCCACGTATGCCATCATTTACGTCTACACTGTGGAGATATTCCCAACCCCAGTGAGGTGAAAATATTTCTTTCACAGTCAAAAATTATACATTTCCAACAATTTTGTTGAACAGTTTTACTTCATTGATTTTTTTAAACGCCCCTCTAACTATGGTATGGAATATCCTCTCGTGAGTAGTAGTCAACAATCGCCTTATATGGTGATTGACGCGCGCGTGGTGCGTACTGCGTGATGTTGCGCGGAACGCGGAGCGCCGGTGTGTAGTGTGCTGATTGGCTACACAATTGAAAAAGGATGTCTTGATGCGCGCACGATCGCGATGTCGTCGTAGAAGTTGAAATTTGTCTACTCTTGCGACTACATTTCAAGCTGTCCATCCAGAAAAAAAATCTATCATCAGATCTTTATTTTTGTATGCAGGGCGGTTGGCTTGGGCGTGAGTTCGGTCGCCGCTCGTGTGGGTGGCATTCTGTCACCCATCATTCTGCTCTTAGATAAAACCGTGGCTAACCTGCCGATGTGGCTGTTCGGCACCAGCACAATCTTGGCGGGAATTCTGGCATTCTTTCTGCCGGAGACAAGAGGCAAAAAACTGCCGCAAACGCTGGAGGAAGGAGAAGCATTTGGAAAGTACGTCCCTTTGTCCTATTACTATTAGGCTGTAAAATTGAATACGTGAACAAAAGGACCTATGTATTTGCTGCCACCACCGTCTCAAAAGTCTCCCATTGGTAGAAACATTTTTATGGTATTATTATCAGTACAGCCTCAAAAAGAATAGATTTTGGGTGTTTCTTATGGAGAGGTTCACAGTGTCAAGTCCCTAAACAACTGGTGAAGTCTGCTTACTTACTGAGTCTTAACTGACCTGCAATATAAAGATCCTATAGCAGAATCGTTAGTATTATTTTTTTTTTAGTGTAAAAAATGGCATTGGTTTTTCTTTTTAGATGTCGTTGCATGGGTGGACAAGCTAACGACGAGTCCAGTGTGGAACTTGATGGCATGGACACAGCAAAAGAGGGCGTCTTTGCGATATCCAACGCTGCCTTCGATCACACGGAGGAGAAGGAATATCGCGACTTCTCGCAGCAATTCACGCGTAAAGTTCGAGAGTCATCCCACATGTGAATCATGCATTATGCTTCATTAAAGAACAAGAGTCTAGTGTGATAATGTACTCACCAAGGCATGCTTATATCTATTATGTTCGCTTATATCTAAGTCTACACTGAAAACTTACCTGGGTTAGTTTTACCAAAAAAAGGGTGAAAACTGGAACTACCCAAACTTGGGTTGTTCTATAACCAATTGTTTGGGTTAGAATTTATGTTAAATTCAACCAAAAGTTGTAGTCATACAAAACCAAATTAAATTCGGTCTTGAATGACCACAAATTTTGGTTGAATTGAGCAAAAATTCTAACCCAAACAATTGGTTATAGAACAACCCAAGTTTGGGTAGTTCCAGTTTTCACCCTTTCTTTGGTAAAATTAACCCAGGCAATTTTTCAGTGTATAGAACTTTTATTCTTTCCATACCAGTTTATTTTATATCTATTGAACTGATAAAGATATACTGAAAATAAAGTATAAGGTGTTTCGAGTTAATCACTGTCATGTAATTATCGTTTAATTATCGGGAAAATCATGATTTTTTTCATTCAGTGTTTTTATGAAGAAGCCCACTTTCAGTTTTTTTTACAAATTATTTATAACGGATTGTGAGTTCTGGATCGTGCTAATTGTTGATATCGTGTATACTTTTGTTAATAAAGATCACTAAGATAGAGTTTAGAGCTCAAAAGGGTTTGTGTAATTGAATATGCTTACATTTTAGAAAAATGTATTGGTACAAAATGACTAAATACGTATAATAAAGTCTTATTATCAAGAAAATAATAACAGAAAGTATTGATACATTCAAACACAATATTTCAATGATGTCAATATATATTACAGTTGATTATAACAATAGCAATGTATTCCATATTTAAAGTAAGATTAAAGACATATCAAGACAATAAGTGAATCAACACTTTCGACACTTTTATTCGAGAACTTCATTGGAGAGCTAAACTACAGAAGAAGAACAAAAAGTTCTGGAAACAGTTTCTGTAACATCTTATTTTAATTAATATAATATAATGTAACTACGTAATTAAGTAATTAATACGTATGTTTGCTCAAAAAATGTAAACAATATTACGACAAATAAAAGCGCTCGACGCAATAAAAAAAAAAAGAAAAAAAAAAGTTGGTTATTCCCACTAATTAAGTCAAGTTGTCCTTGTTAACAAGTAGTGTGTGCCGGTGAAATCACAGATCACTCCGAAACAAGGAATTTGGGAAAACGTGTGTTTGTGCTGATCCGTGTCAAGCGTTGCGAAATCTAACAAATGATGACGTCTCGCCATCAAGCTTAATATCATTTTGCCTTAATCTTCTTTTTTGTCTCTTGAAAAACCGAAATGTATAGCTTGAGGAAGTCATATAGAGGAGAACCCATGATTTTCAAAGGGGAGTGGGGGTGGGGGAGGGGATGCTAAGTTGTTGAGGTCAAGGGTCAGCTAAACTTTTTTCATATGTTGGTGCATGTGTTGGGTACAAGAGACAAGTTAACCATTAACCCAGTGTGAAAATAAGGCGCCATCACAGACTTTGCAGTTTGATTCCATGGAGAACTGACATGAACAATAAATCAGAAACCCTTTACATCTATACAAACGATCGCGGATGATACGTCGATAAGAGAAAAAGACAACAGTCTAGTATTTTGAAGCACTTAGGGCAATTGTGATTAGCCTCGTTTATTTTTACCGCTCCAATTAAGTTCTTATCAGACTGAATGGCATCTAAATTGGAAGGACTATTGATAATGTGAGATAACATGAAATTATGTATCATAATCATTGCATAATCATGGCATAATAGCGGCCCATGGAGTCTTCTCTGTCCTGTCGCATGTAATTTGTAGTTGTAGAATTGTTTCATACATCAGCAAAAATATCAGCACATGTTTTTTTTTGTCTCTATAATACATCCATTATAATCTCATCATTAATAGAAGAATGGTCACATCAACCTTTCTAAAAGAAGAACAAGAACTCGAATCCCGCCGTTCATAGTGTTTTTCTTTACAGTAAACCAACATTTGAAGGGAACAAAAAAACAGTTTTAGCTCTTTATATTGCTTTGTGAGTTTGCTTTTTAAGATAAAAATTAAGGGTGCCTCACGATGGCCTATGGGCAGACTTATCTAAACAAAGGCATTCTTTTTAGGTATCTCAAAAATAACCATAATGTTTCGTCAATTGTAATTCTAAAGTTCATTTTATATTACCAACAAAATACATTGTGTACCTATCAGCCTGGATCGGCAAAGTATGGTGTTCAAGGGTCCGTTGTCAAAAACTGCAAAGCTGACACATGCTTCATCGTGTGAGTGTGTCTTAGTAGGAGTGGCGTTTCGAAATTGACGAATTGGAGTTTTGTCTAACCAAAAAGTATATTCGAAATTGTTCACTTGCGATATTTTGTGACAACATCAAATGACAAAGCCATCATGTATAAAACTAAGATCAATTTTTTTTCTAACAGAAAAATAAACAATGGATGTTGTTAACTACAGCCAATGCTGAAAAAAAGAATACTCTTAGGTCTGAGAGATTACAGTGATAGATTGTATATATGTGGCAATATCCTAAATCCTGAAACAGGCAAAGCTTTGCATTGTTTCCTTGGATTGAATAGTCAAAATGTATTTTACTTAAACAATACATGTGACCAATACTGTTGGGCATACAATCGAAATAGACTATAAGGCCCCAGTATCTACAAAATGTACATGTATACATTTGCAATCAATGAAAACGCAAAGCTAAAGAATAAAGTTTAAAAACAGGTAATATACTGTTTCATTCTTTTAGGTTCCATAACTGTGCAAGTTGTCCACCTTTTTCAAATGGATATGTCACGTTATGGAAATATATTCTTCACCTATATTTAAGCAGCCGTGTGTCTAAAAGGTATGGAGTGCAAAATTATAAATTCCCATTTTGTAAAGAATCAAATTAAGTAAAAATCAAAGCATTAATAGCCTTCAGTATAATGTGATAAGATCAATACCAATTTAATTAGGACCGCCCATGAACAGCCATAAACCACTTGTGAACTTGGTTATATAAACGTTATACATATTGATTTTTGTATCACTGTTTTATATAGCACAAAATGCATGTGTATTAGCCAGTTGCTCAATTCAGGATGATATACATATGTTTGTGTATATGTATGACTGTCTGTGTTCATGAGCTGATAACATCGTTTGCGAAGTGGGCAACCGTCGTCCGTAAAGCCTCGCTTTTGGCTATAATGCAAAGTTCGAATTTTCTTGACACAAGTGCCGACTTTCGGCACTCCTTCGAAATTTGAAGACAATGCGCTCTGACTCAATCGGATATAGGCTAAACCAGTAATTGTGTGAACATATATTCATCAATTAGTACAACATTACGTCACAGTGTTTGTGACTAAATGTTGAGTCATATGGTTAATTTATATTTGTTTTGTCTTGTTGAAAACGTCCAACAAAATGATGCATTATATGCTACGTTTTTTTGGCCAGGATAGCACATTGGCAGAGGAAAATAACAAGCGTGTCTCGTGTACATCTTCTGTTCTACATATGCGAACTGTCTCGAAGGTCTTTGGTGAATTGCTGCGAGAAGTCGCGATATTCCTTCTTCTCGTCCTTTTGATCGAAGGCGGCGTTGGATATCGCAAAGACGCCCTCTGTGGCTGTGTCCCCGTCATCAAGTTCCACGTCAGACTCGTCATAGATGTTCCCGCCACCCATGCATCGACATCTGAGAATAACAAAATTAAATGGAATATAGACATTTTTTTGTCAAGCAACTGAAAGTGGAAGTTTGAAGAAGTCAATCATGAAATGCAATTCTGGTAGTGTGTAATGGATCATGAAATGCAATTCTGTATATCGAAACTGAGTGAAAATGTAGAGGGTGCTGCAAACCTCATGGTCTGGAGCATCAAACGTATGATTTATGGTCAATTCTGCAGTGTGTTAGTTTAGCCCATGGGGTTGTGGTGCGTTTGTCATTGAGTAACATATACCTGGTCACGGGAGTAAATGGTCAACCTGTGAGTTGGTTTAATACTGTGATGGATTTTTTTATCGCTTTTCACCGGAATGGCTGCATCAAGCTTATACTCCTATGGAATGTGATATGAAACAAACTGGTAATTTGTCATTATCAACTTACTTTCCAATTTCTTCCCCTTCCTTCAACGTCTGAGGTAACTTCTGGCCGCGTGTTTCCGGCAAGAAGAATACCAGAACGCCGGCCACAAGCGCACTTGCACCGAATAGTATTAAGGGGAGTGCCTCAATGGTGGTGTCTCCAAGCAGCAGGATAATGGGAGAGAGCATCCCGCCGGCTCGAGCCGCAAAGGAACACAGTCCCAATCCAACACCTCTGTAGGGCAAATTTGAATAAAAATGTAAAAAATCATTGTGAATTTATCTTAGTGTGTGAATTAAAAACAACAACCACAAGAACCACATCAACCACCACGAGAACCACATGAACCGCAACCATGTACAAACAATCACCCAATCACGACCACTCGTACCCCAACCACCACAACCACCACGACTACATCCACATAACCAGCACATCAACCACGATCACCACAACCACATCAACTGGATAACAAATGTTCTGGGTGAGTGGAACAGCGGGCCGGGTGAACAGGGAACCTGGCATATTGACCAACGTTTTATAATCTCAAAATCGCAATCCTCACTGGAGAAAACATACTCGAACAAACAGCACACATATTAGAAACAAAATGGCGGGCACTGGTATGAGCGGACATCGTTAATTTCACAAGAAAATACATTTCGGAATCTCCAAAATAGCGCTATCTCTACACCTGGATTGGTAATATACTGCACTATACTTATCAATGCTCGCATATGTTTCAATTGGTCGGGAATATACTTAGGCCTATAGATTATTACACCCAGCATAATTATTTCAATGATCCCAACCAAGTTCCCTGCACGTGAACCTTTACCTGATTGGTGTTGGGAACAGCTCGGTAGAGTAGACATATACGATGCTGAATGTGGCAGAGATGCAGAACTTGCCGACCATGGCGACCACGGTCCGCCAGATACCAGCGGCTGGAAAGAAACAAAAAGGAAAAACTCGTTTGCAGATATGCAAGAAAAGAGAGCAAAGGTGAGTGTGTAGTTAGTGTGGAAATCGTGAAGTGTAGGGCCCCTGTTTTGTTTTGATCAAATAAGAGTAAAAAATGTGTTTTATTGCTCAAAAATCACCTTTATAATCAAAAGCAGACTTTTCTTAATTCTAATGACACCCGTTTTGCAATTTTGAACAGATTTTTGGGGTAGAAATTACGATTTTCCTGCGCGGTTTGTGCTTTTTTTGCGATTCAGCGCGCCGTGCGTGCTCACGGTACATCGCGCGGTGATCGCCATCTTTATTTTCGGGTCGCATGTTGTCGCCGCGCTGTCGTCGTCATTTTACCCCCAAATTTCCCTCAAAAAATCAAAACCCTGCCCTCTATCTATGACTTACCTATTTATTGAGAATGTCGCCAACTAGTTTGGTAGGTCCAATAATTTTAAAGTGGATTTTGTTCACTTATAGGAACCGGGCCCTACCCTACACGATCGCCGTTAGTGTGGAGTGGTTGTGTCCAGACCGGAATGCAAAAGTGGCACACAATTTTCCTCCCTGTGTTAAATATTCCTCAGAGAGGAAGATATAAGTTTTTAAAAAGGAATAATGTTATAAATAAGCATTTGGCCAACACTCTGATGAGCTGTACACTTGAAAGTGCAAGTATTCACATAATATCTCTCGAATAATACACAAAGGGAAGATGCATTTCTGCTCACCATAGAAATAAACAGGCCTGTGAAGATTTGTGTTCAAAGTCTTTAAATATATGTATTTATCAGATATTATTACTTGGTATTACACACTAACAAAGCAAAAACAAAACAAATGTTGTTCAAGTTAAAGGTTTCTGAATAAGGTTTACGAGGTACTGGTTACACTCACGGATGAAGATAGTGGCTAAACACGCTGCGCCGCCAATCAATTCCAATATCCCGGTGTTCAGTTTCCGGCCGAACCACTCCACTCCAAAAGTGGCGTACAGCAGGGCCGGGATTTCCACGGCTCCCGACACGAAGAAAGCCCAGTAGTCGTCGACTCCTAGATCGTTGGTGCTCTGCGATAGGCCGAAGTAAACCAGACTATTAACAAACCTACGAAAAAATAAATTTGAAAGAACAACAATTGTTGATGGTTTCATCCCAAAATGGATACTGATGCTTCTGGGCTACATGATAAAGATTTAAACAGACCTGAGACCTAACGACGTAATGGCTTTGTTTACATAAAATGCGTTTTCCTATGGGAGCGAAGTCGGGACGCCAGACAAGTAGGGATCGTCTACCACATAGAAAAGTGTTCATGTTAACAAAGCGTGACGTCATTAGGTCTCAGGTCTATTTCGCCTTAACGAAACATAATAGTGACATCTTGACGAGAAAATTAATCCCAATTAGCATTTCGAATAAATGCATGACTACATTTAGTCGCAAAGGTAATCTTAATTTTGTATTATATATCTGCATATCAATTAAAGGACTTCAGCGGGGGGGGGGGGGGGGGGGGGGACTATTAAAAAAAGGTAATATTCTTGTAATTCTGGGCGTAGCCGCACCCGCTTTCCCTTTATAAGACAGTATGTTACAAAACACGAAATATAAGGGCCAGAGAATATGTATGTTTTAGTTATAAAATAACAAGACCTACAACGAGCGTTGCCAAATGTTTCCTACAAAAACGTGGCTTTTCCGTCTTGATTTTCCTTCCACCTCTAAAACAAGATTTCTTTCTCATTTCCTCCTTTTTTGCTTTTGGCAGACATGTGAGTTGTCTGTAAAAAAATCAGAATCTTTAGTGTCAATACAATAAGATTTTAAATAATAATAAATACCAGTTCCACTGCATGTTGAGTGTCTTGACCGCCATGTTAGGTGTTTTATACAGGTTAATGACAGATGGAGGGATTGTCGACTCCTTCGTTTCCTGGGGAGAAAAACAGGGGGAAACAATTCACTCAATCTGATTCACTCAATCTATTTTCAGCTTGATTTGTTGCAATTAATGTTCTCTTTTACTGAACAAAGGACGATTGTACTGTCTGTGTACAATAGAAAGAAAAATTGCCTAGATTCATAAATGTATTCATCAGTTTCATAGACATATTTTGGTTCGAAGCCTCTGCAAACGTGTGTCTTCTGGCAGAGGTTTAAGATTGTATGTAAACATTTAACTGTGGTCACTATTACCATTTCTTTCATGATATCCTCTTTATCGAATAAGACATCAGGCAAAGTCTTCTTGTTGTACTTTGCAATTCTCCTGATGACTGATTCAGCTTCATCAACCTTGCCCTTAGACACCAACCATCTAATTGACTCTTGTAGGAAACTACACGGGGGGAAAAAATCAGATTTAATATCGGTTACAGTCTCAAAATAGGACTTGGATTCAGCAGACCTCTTCTCTTATACTTCACAGTTTTACTTCTTGACTCTGTTTGCTAGACCTGAATGACCAGCCGAGGCCTGCTGTTCTCTGGCTGACCGAGTCACTGACTGACTTCGTGTCACTGATTATGAATAATGTCGTTAACTGAGACTCCCGGGTCCAGCTCAATTAAGATAACCTATAGTCTTGTCGTCTTTTTAAGGCGATTTGGGTACAAGTTGAGTACCCTGAAAAAAAGTCTACATGTTATCTGACTTTGCGTTATTCCGTTTTCTCCTAAAAAAACAAAACAGAAATAGATACTAACATCAGCGGGATGAACATGACCACTGACGTCACGTTGAGATACAGCGACAAAGGGCGCCACTGCCTGACGTACATGCCTGCAGTCGCAATGAAGAAGTACCCCACTGCGTACAGCATGCCAACGAACATTGTCACGGCTGTACGCCATGACTTGCCTATGACTTCAAGAACTGATAGGAAGTGAAGACAAACAAAATTGTTATACCTCTGTCTTGAATACTGTATTTTCATTGGCCTAGAATGATCATGCCTTAAGTTTATAAAAAGTTTTGGCACACTCCCTGTGGGATATCACGTGTGCTATGACTTTGTACGTACGGTGCGTACGGTGTGAAACGCTTGTATCGCTGGTACCCACGCTATTTTCACCATGCTTTCACGTATGAGTGGGAGCAGCGATCAGACGATCAGCTGTTTCGAGCAAGTGACATGCCTGTGAGTTGACGTTCAATTGTCATGATTGTCTGGTTTACTGCTGTTTGTTTTCGTGATTTTTACATCAAAATCCAAAGATTCCAATAACAAAACAATTGTTGACTGCTGTGATGTGGGATATGACGTTTTGAACACCCGAGGGGCGCACAGAACGTCATGTCTCACATCACAGCAGTCAACAATTGTTAATTATCTCACATGTTTATCGTGAATCTATCATAAGATAATCATCAATTAAATCACAAGTAAATCACAAGGCAATCGTGTTAAATTATGACTCAATCACAAGTCTTACCTCAATCACAAGTTATTCACAATAAAAATCACAAGCAGTCATAAACGAATCTTAAGTCGATCACAAGTCAGTCACGGGTCATTCACAAGTCAGTCACGAGTCATTCACAGTGTAAATCACAAGTCAATCACAACTGTATTGCGGTTCATTTTGAGTGACTTGTGATTGACTTTGTGATGTCTTGCGATGAGCCTCGATTACAATTTGGGCACTGAAACCATGCTTTCTTACCCAAAACGTACAGGCCGACGTAGCTTGCTATGTTACCGAAACCAGAAATGAATCGGACAGCCATGTACATGTAGATGTTAACTGAAAATGTGGTAGCGAGCACGCCGGCCACCCATAAACACTGTCCAATGATTATGACCTTCTTACGACCAATCCTACCAAAGTTGAAGGAAAAATATCCAATGTTATAAATTGTCAACATTTTTAAGAGTTGTTTTCTATTCTGCATAATTTATCACAAGGCATTCACGGGTATAATCAATTGAACACTAACAAAATAATTCCTTTGTCGCTGTTCATCAGCGCCTGTTACCTGTGATTTGACTTGTGAATTACGGCTATAACTACGGTACATCTCTGATAAGTATGATTAATTTGTTACTTCTTGCTTTCCTTGTGCTTTAAAAAGAATATATTTGTGCTTTTCCTCGAAAAACTCTAAAAGGGGTTCATGTTCACGATACAAAGTATTTCGATTCTGTAGAGTTAACTTTTGGCATTACGAAAGTAGCTATAACATACACGTTTCGATTATTGTGCCGAGTTGGCAATTTGTTGCAAGCATTTAAGTGCATGACCTTTTTCTTATTCCCATGTCAAATTCTTGTTGTACAAAAAGAATACTTAGTCAACTGTAATATTGTAAAATGTCTTGTTTAGACCTACCAGTCAGAGAAGGAGCCGCCAACGAAGGAGCCCACTAACAACCCGGAAAAGTAAATGGTCTGCGCCAGACTAGGCAGGCTTCCTTGGTCACACACCAGACCAAACTTGAAATCAAGAGAAAAAGGTCAAAGAACACAACAACTTATAAAACCTTGTATTTCACCTTGTAATTCGTGTTTTATTACAATACCTTCATCTTATATTCTATCGGTTATGACAGTTCACATACTGGTTCAAACTGAAATTTCAAAATGTTTCTAATGTTCAAAGCATAGATACACGTACACTACGCCTTTCACATTACATCACAGTACTTGATAAGGCTCAGAAGGATTTTGGGATTTGAAAAATACACTAGTCAAACCAAATTTATACCAAATTTCGGGATCTGGTTACCTCTGAAATGGTGGTGGTCTTGTACTGTGACGTGTCGAACTCCCATCCATTTTTGCAGAGCACATCCACGTAGGTGAAACCGTCGTAGTCACTGAGCGGTACGTACGGATCAAATACGTACCCATCTGGTAGCTGCCACTGCTTACAATTGGAGTAAGGATACTCGCTGTCGGAACCATTTTCAGGAGGAGGCAGGAAGATGGACTTCTTCACGTCAGTGCAGTTGTCTTGAAACTCCGCCCAGTTGGAACAATTCTCATTCGGCAAAACGTTGCACCAATGGTCGGTCTCCGCCGCGTAGAACACATTACCCAGAGATGTGAAGCAACCAACGATATTGTTTAGACCCAGGTAGCATATCAGGACGAACTGGTAGAAGCCAAAATTACCGAGAAGCGGAATGATGTCATCCACTTTCATCGTGTTTTAGTGGACAACAAAGTTTCCGACTGAAGTCTCAACAGTTGTATGAAGTTTCTGTCACGGTTACAAGGGATTTTTCACGGGGGGAGGGGATGCTGGTACGTCTGTGGTGGTAGAGCGGACGAGTTACTCATTAATCCAGCGTGTAAATAGGGCGCTATCACAGCCTTTGATTCCCGCCAAGGAAAACTGACCAAACAAAACCGGTCGAGGGTTTCATATATAACACAACAAAGGGCTTTATCTGATTGTCATGAGGTCATGTCTTTATGGCACTAAGAAAATGGCGTATTGGGTCGTGTGGATATTACCATGCAAATCGACACACAGACTGAAAGTTGAAAATTGGAGAAAAAAATAATCTTGCTTGAAATCGTGCTTGTTATTGAGGGTCGAATTGAAGCCTAGGGTTTATATGAGCGATCAAATCTTGGTCAAACCTTTTCATGTTTTTCGTCAATAGTAATTCTAAAGTTCATGTTGATGTTGCCCACCCAGTTCACGCGTTATCCATGAACCTTAATTTCATTTTTGACTTAATCTTATTTATTTTGTCTCTTGAAAAACCAAAAATGTAGCTTGAAGATGTCATTCAGAGGAGACCCCATGAATTTCAATGGGGGGTGGGGGTGCGGGAGGGGATGCTAAGTTGTTGAGGTCAATGGTCAGCTAAACCTTTTTTCATATGTTGGTGCATGTGTTGGGTACAAGAGACAAGTTAACCATTAACCCAGTGTGAAAATAGGGCGCCATCACAGACTTTGCAGTTTGATTCCATGGAGAACTGACATGAACAATAAATCAGAAACCCTTTACATCATTCTATACAAACGATCGAGGATGATACGTCGATAAGAGAAAAAGACACCAGTCTAGTATTTCGAAGCACTTAGGGCAATTGTGATTAACCTCGTTTTTTTATTGCTCCAATTTAGTTCTTATCAGATTGAGTGGCATCTAAATTGGAAGGACTATTGATAATGTGAGATAACATGAAATTATGTATCATAATCATGGCATAATCAGTGCATAATAGCGGCCCATGGAGTCTTCTCTGTCCTGTCGCATGCCATTTGTAGTTGTAGAATTGTTCATACATCAGCAAAAATATCAGCGCATGTTTTTGTTTTCTCTATAATACATCCATTATAATCTCATCATCAATGGAAGAATGGTCACATCAACCTTCTAAAAGAAGAACAGGAACTCGAATCCCGCCGTTCAAAGTGCTTTTCTTTACAGTAAACCACCATTTGAAGGGGAAACACCCCCCCCCCCAGTTTTAGCTCTTTATATTGCTTTGTGAGTTTGCTTTTTAAGATAAAAATGAAGGGTGCCTCACGATGGCCTATGGGCAGACTTATCTAAACAAAGGCATTCTTTTTAGGTATCCCAAAAATAATCATAATGTTTCGTCAATTGTAATTCTAAAGTTCATTTTATATTACCAACAAAATACATTGTGTACCTATCAGCCTGGATCGGCAAAGTATGGTGTTCAAAGGTCCGTTGTCAAAAACTTTAAACCCAAAGCTGACACATGCTTCATCGTGTGAGTGTTCTATGTCCGAGTCGGAGTGGCGTTTCGAAATATGCGAATTGGAGTTTTGTCTAACCAAAAAGTATATTCGAAATTGTTCACCCGCGATATTTTGTGACAACATCAAATGACAAAGCCATCATGTATAAAACTAAAGATCATTTTTTTTTTGCTAACAGAGGAAATAAACAATGGATGTTGTTAACTACAGCCAATGCTGAAAAAAAAAATACTCTTTGGTCTGAGAGATTACAGTGATAAATTGTATATATGTGGCAATATCCTAAATCCTGAAACAGGCAAATCTTTATAGCATTGTTTCCTTGGATTGAATAGTCAAAATGTATTTTACTTAAACAATACATGTGACCAATACTGTTGGGCATACAAACGAAATAGACTATAAGGCCCCAGTATCTACAAAATGTACATGATTATATTTGCAATCAATGAAAACGCAAAGCTAAAGAATGAAGTTTAAAAACAGCTTATATACTGTTTTATTCTTTAAGGTTCCATAACTGTGCAAATTGTCCACCTTTTTCAAATGGATATGTCGCGTTATGGAAATATATTCTTCACCTGCTGTTTAAGCAGCCGTGTGTCTAAAAGGTATGGAGTGCAAAATTATAAAATCCTATTTTGTAAGGAATCAAATTTAGTAAAAATCAAAGCATTAATAGCCTTCAGTATAATGTGATAAGATGAATACCAATTTGATTAGGACCGCCCATGAACAGCCATAAACCGCTTGTGAACTTGGTTATATAAACGTTATACATCTTGATTTTTGTATCACTGTTTTATATATATATACATAGCACAAAATGCATGTGTATTAGCCAGTTGCTCAATTCAAATAGGATGATATACTTATGTTTGTGTATATGTATGACTGTCTGTGTTCATGAGTTGATAACATCGTTTGCGAAGTGGGCAACCGTCGTCCGTAAAGCCTCGCTTTTGGCTAAAATGCAAAGTTCGAATTTTCTTGAATTTTCTTTTTCAAGTGCCGACTTTCGGCACTCCTTCGAAATTTGAAGACAATGCGCTCTGACTCAATCGGATATAAACCAGTAATTGTGTGAACATATATTCATCAATTCGTACAACATTACGTCACAGTGTTTGTGACTAAACGTTGAGTCATATGGTTAATTTATATTTGTTTTGTCTTGTTGAAAACGTCCAACAAAATGATGCATTATATGCTAGGTTTTTTTAGGCCAAAATAGCACATTGGCAGAGGAAAATAACAAACGTGTCTGGTGTTCATCTTCTGTTCTACATATGCGAACTGTCTCGAAGATTTTTGGTGAATTGCTGCGAGAAGTCGCGATATTCCTTCTTCTCGTCCTTTTGATCGAAGGCGGCGTTGGATATCGCAAAGACGCCCTCTGTGGCTGTGTCCCCGTCATCAAGTTCCACGTCAGACTCGTCATAGATGTTCCCGCCACCCATGCATCGACATCTGAGAATAACAAAATTAAATGGAATATAGAAATGTTTATGTCAAGCAACTGAAAGTGGAACTTTGAAGAAGTCAATCAGTGAAAATGTAGAGGGTGCTGCAAACCTCATGGTCTGGAGCATCAAACGTATGATTTATGGTCAATTCTGCAGTGTGTTAGTTTAGCCCATGGGGTTGTGGTGCGTTTGTCATTGAGTAACATATACCTGGTCACGGGAGTAAATGGTCAACCTGTGAGTTGGTGTAATACTGTGATGGATTTTTTTTATCGCTTTTCACCGGAATGGCTGCATCAAGCTTATACCCCTATGGAATGTGATATGAAACAAACTGGTAATTTGTCATTATCAACTTACTTTCCAATTTCTTCCCCTTCCTTCAACGTCTGAGGTAACTTCTGGCCGCGTGTTTCCGGCAAGAAGAATACCAGAACGCCGGCCACAAGCGCACTTGCACCGAATAGTATTAAGGGGAGTGCCTCAATGGTGGTGTCTCCAAGCAGCAGGATAATGGGAGAGAGCATCCCGCCGGCTCGAGCCGCAAAGGAACACAGTCCCAATCCAACACCTCTGTGGGGCAAATTTGAATAAAAATTTTAAAAATCATTGTGAATTTATCTTAGTGTGTGAATTAAAAACAACAACCACAAGAACCACATCAACCACCACGAGAACCACATGAACCGCAACCATGTACAAACAATCACCCAATCACGACCACTCGTACCCCAACCACCACAACCACCACGACTACATCCACCATAACCAGCACATCAACCACGATCACCACAACCACATCAACTGGATAACAAATGTTCTGGGTGAGTGGAACAGCGGGCCGGGTGAACAGGGAACCTGGCATATTGACCAACGTTTTATAATCTCAAAATCGCAATCCTCACTGGAGAAAACATACTCGAACAAACAGCACACATATTAGAAACAAAATGGCGGGCACTGGTATGAGCGGACATCGTTAATTTCACAAGAAAATACATTTCGGAATCTCCAAAATAGCGCTATCTCTACACCTGGATTGGTAATATACTGCACTATACTTATCAATGCTCGCATATGTTTCAATTGGTCGGGAATATACTTAGGCCTATAGATTATTACACCCAGCATAATTATTTCAATGATCCCAACCAAGTTCCCTGCACGTGAACCTTTACCTGATTGGTGTTGGGAACAGCTCGGTAGAGTAGACATATACGATGCTGAATGTGGCAGAGATGCAGAACTTGCCGACCATGGCGACCACGGTCCGCCAGATACCAGCGGCTGGAAAGAAACAAAAAGGAAAAACTCGTTTGCAGATATGCAAGAAAAGAGAGCAAAGGTGAGTGTGTAGTTAGTGTGGAAATCGTGAAGTGTAGGGCCCCTGTTTTGTTTTGATCAAATAAGAGTAAAACATGTGTTTTATTGCTCAAAAATCACCTTTACAATCAAAAGCAGACTTTTCTTAATTCTAATGACACCCGTTTTGCAATTTTGAACAGATTTTTGGGGTAGAAATTACGATTTTCCTGCGCGGTTTGTGCTTTTTTTGCGATTCAGCGCGCCGTGCGTGCTCACGGTACATCGCGCGGTGATCGCCATCTATATTTTCGGGTCGCATGTTGTCGCCGCGCTGTCGTCGTCATTTTACCCCCAAATTTCCCTCAAAAAATCAAAACCCTGCCCTCTATCTATGACTTACCTATTTATTGAGAATGTCGCCAACTAGTTTGGTAGGTCCAATAATTTTAAAGTGGATTTTGTTCACTTATAGGAACCGGGCCCTACCCTACACGATCGCCGTTAGTGTGGAGTGGTTGTGTCCAGACTGGAATGCAAAAGTGGCACACAATTTTCCTCCCTGTGTTAAATATTCCTCAGAGAGGAAGATATAAGTTTTTAAAAAGGAATAATGTTATAAATAAGCATTTGGCCAACACTCTGATGAGCTGTACACTTGAAAGTGCAAGTATTCACATAATATCTCTCGAATAATACACAAAGGGAAGATGCATTTCTGCTCACCATAGAAATAAACAGGCCTGTG